AAGACGGGACAGCCATCGATGACAACGCCTTTAGCGGTTGGACATGAAGCAAAGGGACATGTATCACGGTCGCCGGAATTGCCCCACCACTGCACTTCAATGCCTTTACGTCCGAGTGCTAGAAACAGAAGTATGGTCATAAAAGCAGAGCCAGCATCTAAACCACCTGACAACACATAGTTATACTTCTTCCACCACTCTCTCCTGTACTTGAAAATGAAGTGGCCAAAGACGAATGCAACAATGAGCCAGCTTGTGAAGTTAACCGCCGTTGCAGGTGGCATCATTGCAGTGGCTCCAACAAGGACAGGGATATGAATCTTGGAGATCCATGTCTGACCCGGGAATGCTTTTGTAGCTAGCCAAACCAAGAGTGGAGCTATAGCTCCAACGAGGAAGAACCAGTTGACACTTGAGTATTCTCCAAGATCTCCAAACATCCTACGCGGTCCCACTAGTCCCCAAATCACAGAGGCGTCAAAGAAGACACGGTCCATGGGACAAGTCCATTGGCTATCTGAAGGAAGCAAAGCTGTGTCACAAAGATGAGGAATCTCTTCCATTAACCACCAAGCTGTCCCCGTGTAAACCACAACCGCCACAAGCGTCCCCACCACCTGAGCCATGAACATGGATCTAGGAGGGATCTTCATGTAGTGACCGAGCTTGAAGTCGGAAATGAAAGTCAGCGCTTGAGTCATGCTGATGTATCCATAGACCTTGAAACACATGTTGGCAACAGGACGTTCCGGGTAGATATATCCGATGACATACTCGGTTATGATGTTTAAACCGGGTGCCTGGTTAGTAGTTGCTGCTATGACTCCGATCAGAGGAGTGAAAGTGATGGCAATGGCACAAGCAAGCAACACTCCCCACCAAGGAAGCTGCACTGTCGCGTTGTAGTGCACAGAGATGAACATGATGAGCGCTATGTTGAGCAAGAGGATGACCAAAAACCACCATAGAGGAACTTCTCTGTAGTTTTTCTTCATGATTCTTGTATGTATATCCATCTTCTTGTTCTTCTGAAACGCTCCTCTTGTCTGCTTCCACAAGTCACTACAAACACATCAAGATTATTATTAGTTTGAGTTTCGGTGACGATGAGTCTGAAAACATAGTTGAATTATATATGTACCTTCCGTTGAAGACTAGGACATGGACGATGGTGGCTGACAAGGTAGCAAAACCGAGACCATAAGTAACAGCAAAGAAGGTGCTCATGTTGATGGATCCGGTTCTAGAGTAAACCGCCCGGTCGAGATGGAACTTGCTATCAATAATGCTCAAAACATCGTAGCGTGAGCCATTAGCCATGAAGAGCTGGCTAGAGAAGATAGGGAAGGTCTTGGCTTCGTAGATGTTAAGCCAGTAACAAACAGGCGTGACGACGTACATGACGAGCACGAAACCGATGGCTATATTGGTGGAAGCGAACAAGGGACTAGCTAAAGGGCTTCCAAGGTAAGCACTAATGGTGACCCAATCAAAACCAATGGAACCAATACCGAGACCGTGTTCACCTGAACCGAGTTGGTTTACTAGAATTGATTTGAGGTTGAGCCAGCAAACCCATGAGATCGAGGTTAACATGGTGAAGAGATAACCGGGGAGGATGTAGTAAGCGAAGCTAGCTACGAGGACGATCAAGAAGAACTGTGTTCGGCTCATGGCTCCTTTCTTTTTCTTTTCTTTCTCGTGCAATGCTCCGAAGAGAGAGACTTGTACGAGATTGCTCGGCCACCACATTTCTCCTGGCTCCACGAGGTGTTTTCTGAAGAGACCCGCCCAGCCAAATCCAAGAATCTACCAAAACAGAGTGAAACGGTTTTTTCAAGAATCAAGAAAAATCAAGAAGTTGCAAATTCAAGATTCAAGAAATGGCAAATTCAAGAACAGAGGAATTAGTGGAAACCTGAGTTGTGATCATGACGAGAAACGCAGGGAGGAAATGGAGAGAGCGTTTGTAGTAAAGCTTAATAGCACTGAGTATGTGAGTGGCGTAAACGGAGCCGGCGCCGGAATTTGCAAAGATTGTAATCAGAACGTGTTCCTTGACGTTGAAGGCACCGGGGTTTAACGTGAACTGGAACCTCGTGCCTTCCAAGAAACTCCTCGTCGGAAGCACCCTCGCCATGAGGTGGCCGAGGGGCACGACGGCGATCTGAGCTGAGATTCCGGTGATGCTCAACGGCATGGTTCTGTACCAGAAGAACTGGTTGATGAAGGAGAGCACAATGCACGCGCCGATACCCAAAACCCACATCCGGAATGTGAGCACCGGTAAACTGGAGTCGTCGGTTTTAGGTACGGTGAGCTCCACCTCCGGTACAACGCACCGGTCATCTTCCATAACCGCCGGGAACTCTGTTGCTATCTCTCCCATCGTTTTCTTGCTTGAAAGTTTTATGTGCTTCCGATCTTTGAGGGATGATGAATTTTTCTTTTTCTATGTGCAGTCTCGATTGATTCTCTTCAATTATTGAACTGATGTGAATATATATATCCACTCATCTCTCGTCTGTATCAGTTAAAGAACTTACATGTTATTATTGAATTTGAAATTAGTATAAATGGATCGACAGATAAAGAAATGATATAATATATGAATTATGCAGAAGAAAGAGAGTAAATCCGAGTGGAAAACGACAAGTGATGGGTACTAAAGAGGCTTTGTGGGAAGGAAAAAACAGCTTTGAAACTTAAACAAAGGATGCAAACAAAAAAAGGGTCTGATACTACTAATCCTGAAACAAACATATTGTACATATACATCCCACACAAAAAAATAAAAAATAATAATATATAGTACAATTACAAAAAACAATGATAAGTCTAGTTGTCTTGTCTTCTCTCAATGTATAAAAAAAAATGCTTCTGGTTAAACGGGTAACGGAGTTCACGGCAGAAATGTGAGTACAGAATACTAATATAGACCATTATAGTATTTTGAGTCCATTAATGATGTGGATATGATTGTTATATAGTACTGTACTAATATATAAAATCATTGATCTTAAAAAAAAAGTTTGAATGACATATAATCTTACCGTAACAAGTAACAACAAGCTATAGCCTTATGGTCAACTTTGATTAGTGAACAACAAAAGCCATAAATGCATCATTAGTCGCGATATGAGATTCAAAGTTCAAACCAAAGACTTTTAGGTCAGTCAGAGAATCCGTCGTTTTCTGGATTTTAAATGAAATGCCAAAATGTTATCGGGAAAACAAACGAAAACAGCAACTCGTGGGAAGTGCTTATAGAATACAAGTTGCAAGTAAATCATGCGCCAGTTGATATTTGCAGCCTCACAGGTCCACTCTTACTCTACTATATAGCTGACAATCCTATCTATATCGAAACTTTCAATATTGTTTTTTTTTCGTTAGAATTCATTAGTCAAATGATAAGCTAGATTATTTTACACCTTATATCCAAAAGGTTTATTAATCTAGACTAAACAGTTGAATGAAATCTATCGAAAAGATTTTTTTAAACTGATTGGAATACTGATTTTAGGGCTTTAAGATGGATCCAAAATAATGCAGGAGCTATACGGACGGCTTTTGAGAGCTAGTGCTATCCTGAAGACGTTTCTCCAAATTAGCATGTCGATGATTAAGAGCTGTCGGTTTATGATATGTAGGGACGAGGAAACAAAAGCACAATGTGAACCTTAAGACTTTATATAAATATATATTAAACCACGCGATAAATATAGATTCAGAAAAGATGCTTGTTTGTATTAAGTGGAAATGATGACGACTGCGACTTGAGACATGAATGGACATGTTCCATGTTACTGCATACACGGATACACCTAACCTAATGACTAGATAATGGCTCTATATCTATATACGGCCTAAACATTTATTCCAAAACACTTAACCATGTTTTGATCATACCCAAAATCAGTCTACCTACGTATGCATAATTCACAAAATCAAACTTTTAGAAAACTTAAATTAGTGAAAAACAAAAAAGAAATGTGCAGTATAGTATGGACACGGTAAATCTGACTTTATCAAACAAAAAAGACACGGTAAATCTGATGTGTGTGGATCACAAGAAGTGAATGTGCTTTTTGAAAAAGCTCAATTTAAATACGGCCTACCGTCGTTATCCTATTTAATGTGACCACTGTTTAGCTGGAAATCACTTGGAGACGACTTTAAGGTACGCCCAAAATCTAAAGCTATACACCAGACAAAACGACTTTCTATTTTGTTTAAGATATTTTTTTGCTACGTTGTTGTTATTGAATTGAGTACATATTATACATGAATATATCTTTAAACTTTTCTGTAATTTTTTATAGAAAAAGATACCCTTATTTTAACGAAAACAAAAGGATAAGAAGTGTAGCAAATGCACATGTGAATGGGCAACACTAAATGGATTATTAATATATACATGTACCAAGGTTTCAAGCTGTCACATAATGCTGCACGCCTGCACCGATGCGTGTGCATGTCACAGTGTGTAAAGTGTAAACATGGATACAGTTGGCCACCGCTAAATAAGGATCCCACAAATGAGCCCATCTCATAAATCATATCCCTAGCATATTCTTTTTTGGTTGTTTTCTTACTATATAACCTATTAAAAGAGAATTAGTTTATATCCATATAATCACGATACTGATTAGAATATATAATCTGAAGCCAAGTCGGAAAGAGTACTAACCATACATGCTACATCTCTGGCAAATCATCGCCGCAAAACAACATACAGTACCCCCTATATGAGACCAAATTATTGGAAGCAACGGTCTTAATATATTGACAAGTAAAGAATGAAATATCAAATGGGCCTTCTGTTTAGAACACCCATGAAAAGGCCAATCAGCCAAGAAGCACAAATATTATTGTATGCAATAATGCAAGTGTTCGACGACCAAGATCGGTCAACGCACTATAAGTTCCACAAGACTAACGATAAGAACGATTAATCTTCATAGTCTCATCCAAATATTATCTACATCCATCGACCGATGGGAGAAGGCAAAACTCTTCCTACGTATTTTTGCAGAAACTGCGCGAACCCACTAGCTCTCGGTGAAGATCTCATCTCCAAAAAATTCCTGGTATAACATCAAAACTAAAGATAGTTTGTACCAATTTTTTTTCCTTTTTCGTTTCTTATCCAACTATTTTATTGAGAACGTTTTTAGAATATGTTAAAAATGGATATAGGGAGCTTCGGGGCCAGCGTTTATGTTTTCGCACGCGATGAACGTGGTGGTTGGACCGAAGGTTGAGAGGAAACTGATAACCGGATCGTACGTGGTGGCAGATGTGATGTGTAGCAAGTGTGGTGAGACGTTGGGTTGGAAGTATGTTGAGACCTTCGATCTTAGACAGAGGTATAAAGAAGGCATGTTTGTCATTGAGAAGCTCAAGTTGACCAAGAAATATTGAAAGTACTCTACTTGGCACTTGGTCAAGAATTCTCTTGGAAGGGTTTAAAGAAAATAAAAGCAGGCCGGATTGAAGATTGTATATGTTACCTACCGTGTGAATGTCAATATATTTGGTTGTTGTATATTGTATGTATAAACTCTCCTTTTAAAATCTCAAAATTCAGGAACATCCATTGCGAAACTCTCAAAATCTCACATGTGTCTCGCATTTATTCGTCCAGTTCTATAAATTACTTTTCAAAATAATAGTAATAATTAATCTTTATATTATTAATTGAGAAGTACATTCTAATGTTTGGATACAAGAATAAGAGAAAATCTATTTGAATAGAAGAATAAATGGAAAGAAAAAATGTTTGGATATAAGAATAAGAGAAAAATCTATTTGGATAGAAGAATAAATGGAAAAAATTGTTTGGATACAAGAATAATAACTTAAAACAAACCGATGGTTTAGAAAACTTCCGTTTTCAAGCTTTAAAAATATGCAAAAAACAAAAATTAACATAATCTATCGATAATACCAAATCAATAGAATATGATCGAATAATATTTGCAAAATATCCAATAGTAAAATAGAAATATGTCTAATTTAAATCAAATTGTGGATTTCTGTTCGAGTTTTTTTTTAAAATTGTGTTCGGTTTGGGTTCGATTTTTCTGGGTTTAGTTCAGGGTTTTTCGATTTTTTTGGATTTCAGCTTTAGACATATTAAAAAAGTTTGGGTATTTTTTTTTTATTAGGGTTTTATAGGTCGGGTCGAGTTTCGGGTGAAAAAGTTTCAAGTTTGTTTTTATTCGGTTCAGGGTTTTCGGGTTTAGACATATTAAAAAGGTTTGGGTTTTAAAAATTTTGATTAGGGTTTTTGGGTCGGGCTCGGGTTTAAGGTTTATATTTTCTTCACAAAACCGCACCGTCACACCGCGCGTTTGCGCGGGTCCTCTACTAGTAATAAATCATTTAACCGAAATCAGTAATTATAAATTGACAAAAAATCAATAGTAAGTTACTAACACATGTAACAGACATAACAATATCAATGATTTAACTGTATTTTTTACTAGATTTTTGATTTTATTACGACTACTTTAGTATGGATAGAAATAAATCGTCTGAACAGACCAAGATATATTTTTACAGAGTGATAAAAAATTAGTTATTTAAAATCGTATTCATTAAAAATCAATGGTTTTCCTTTTGAGAAAAATACGAAGAGAAGACACTGTTTAACATTTTGCTCTTTTTCTCAAAATGGTCATAAAGCAAAACATGAGATTTTACATTACCTCAAGAACTCGGCAGCTACAAAGAGATGCTCCATGGCAGTCAAGACTGATATGAGCAAGGCCTACGATAGGTTGGAATGGGAGTTTGTGGTGACTGTTCTGGAACGGATGGGTTTCCACGCCAAATGGATCAACTGGATCCTGCAATGCATCTCCACCGTCTCTTATACCTTTCTGGTTAATGGAGCGGCCCAAGGTTTTGTTAATCCACAAAGAGGAATCAGACAGAGAGACCCTCTTTCACCCTTCATCTTCATCATCTGCGGTGAGGTACTCTCAGGTCTATGCAAAGATGCGCAGACTAACACCTCAATGCCAGGCCTACAAGTCTCCCGTGCAAGCCCTCAGCTAAACCACTTGTTGTTTGCAGATGACACCATGTTTTTCTGCAAAACAAACAAGAAAAGCTGTGAAACCCTTCACAAAATCCTCAAAGACTACGAAGCTGCCTCAGGACAAATGATAAATTTCCAAAAATCTTCCATAACTTTCTAAAGAAAAACACCACCGGATATCAAAGATCGAGTCAAGACTACTCTAGGGATTGACAAAGAAGGAGGGCAAGGGAAGTACTTGGGGTTACCTGAAAGTTTTGGCCGTAGGAAAAAGGATCTCTTTACAGCAATTGTGGACCGGATCCGCCAAAAAGCTGTCAACTTCTCCTCAAGGTTCTTGTCAAGTGTAGGAAAGCTGACTCTAATCAAATCCGTTCTGTCTGCGATGCCAACCTACTCCATGTCTTGCTTCAAGTTACCTGCAGGACTATGCAAAAGAATTCAATCAGCTATAACACGTTTTTGGTGGGATACTAAACCAGGAAAGAAGAAGATGTGTTGGATATCTTGGGATAGAATGGCAAAATCAAAAAAAGAAGGCGGTTTGGGTTTTCGGGATATACAAAGTTTCAACGACGCCTTACTTGCAAAAGTCAGCTGGAGAATACTTAACAACCCGGAGTGTCTCCTTGCCCGAATACTGAAAGGCAAATACTGCAAGTACGACGATTTCCTTTCGGTCCAAGTCACCTCTTCCACCTCGCATGGATGGCGTGGTATTTTGATAGGACGAGACCTCCTAAACCACCAATTGGGTAAAGCAGTAGGCAATGGTTGTCATACGTCCCTGTGGAATGACCCATGGCTCTCCTTGTAAACTCCAACCCGACCCCTAGGACCTCCCAACCTACAGGACAAAGACCTCCTTGTTTCAGACCTCCTTCTAGACCAACCACGAAGATGGAACAAGGAAAAGATTGAGAACCTCTTACCCCATCACCTAAATGATATCCTCCTAATCCGACCAAGCCTTACGGGTGCAAGAGATTCTTTCATCTGGATCCCAACCAAATCAGGAGACTACTCTGTGAAAACAGGGTACCATGTTGCTCTAGGAACCACTGACGCACCTGCACAACACAATCACTCAAGCATAAATTGGAATCTGGAGATCTGGCATGGACGTTTCTCACCAAAAATGAAGGTTTTTCTCTGGAAAATAATGCAGGAAGCCTTACCTCTCGGAGACAATCTGCTTAGCCGAGGGCTAATGGACAATGCCTGCTGTGTCCATTGTGCCGAGCTCGAAACCACAGAACACCTTTTCCTCCAATGCGCCTTTGCCCAACGAGTTTGGAACCAGGGACCTTTCAAAACAGCTCTCAACCCCCTGATCTTCCCAAACTTTACCTCAGCCCTAATCGCGTCGAAGGACTGGATATGTCTTCCACCAACGGGTCTCGGAGCCGGTCCTCTGTTCCCTTGGATTTGTTGGTCGATTTGGAACTCCAGAAACTATCTCGTCTTCGAAGAAAGAACTTTCTCTCCCGAGGAAACACTATCGAAGGTGATCTCGGAGGCAAAAGAGTGGCAATTGGCTCAAGTGAAGACGCAGAAAGGACCTATTACCCCGAACCTACCCCACCTTCCACACAATTCTCAAAACTCCATTGTCTGCTTCACCGACGGATCGTGGTGTAAGGAGTTGAAGACCGGCGGAATGGGCTGGATCTTTGCTGATACCGCTGGAACAGAACTAAATCACGGACAGGCATCGGAGCGTTTCGTCACTTCACCACTGATGGCTGAAGCTTTAGCCATCCGATCAGCTCTAAACCAAGCGCTGGAATTGGGAATCACCAACCTCCACCTCAAGTCAGACGCTCAGGATCTCATCCGAGCTTTAAATTCGCAGGAGCAAATCACAGAGATCTTCGGAATCCTCTTTGATATCAATACTCTCGCCTCTATGTTTTCTTCAATTTCGTTCACCTTCATACCCAGATCTGAGAACATGCAAGCTGATTCAATTGCAAAGAATGCAATCAGACTTATCTCAAATCTCGGTTTAGTGCCCGAAATCGAATTTGTAACCGGTTAAACCTTTTGGTCTAATTAAATGTTTGTTGTTCAAAAAAAAAAAAGGTCATAAACCAAAACCCAGAAAAAAGAAGTCACAAGATACTAAAAATAGTCGCTGCACGGCTTGATCAAAGAGTAATAAAGATCAAAACTTTCATCAACCCCCAACCTAAATCTCCACAATCTTCATTTCAATCCTTGTTCTCTCCGTTAAACCCTTGTAAGACTCACTTCCTCTGATTTTTCTCCCCATTTCGTTTTAGAAAACAGAATCGTTCCTACCTACTGCGTAATTTCTCTCCGGGAATATCTCGTTTCGTTTCGTTTCCTTTACCCTACCAATATATTATTTTAATACTAGACTCTAGTATATAATTTGGTCTCTTGTCACCACTATTTGTTTATTGAAATCCATTTGGAATCTTTAATCCTGCACGCTAACACCTGCCCACTGTTCTTATCCTTTTTATTTTCCAGATATTTGTGCTTCGAGCTTGCTGAATTACAACAGATTCTACAAAGGTTTTCTCTTTATCTTGACTTTATCTTTCGAATCTCTAATTCCTGATTCCCATGTGTGATCTGGATTTTTTGTTTTTCAATTTCTGGTGAAAAAGGTGAGAACTTGCTTGATTTGATTGGGAGAAATTGATCACGACCTCAAAGTGTTTGATAAAATGGCTCAGTCAGTTGGTCCAAGACTGTATAGTTGCTGCAACTGCAGGAACCATGTTGGACTTCACGATGATATCATCTCCAAGGCTTTTCAGGTCAATCACCTTCATCATCTCTTCTGTTCTGCTAGTGTCCTATTATCTGATAGATGTAGATAATCAAGCATAGAGAATCACACTAAGACTAGCTCGAGCTGAGAATCTGACTGTCCTTCATATTTTAGGAAAACGTTTGACTTATTGTGTCCTTCCTACTCGAATTTGCAACCATCAAATGCTACTGATTCAAGTATCAATTTTGCTACCAAGTTATTTGACTGATGAGATTGTTTTAAACAAGGACCAAGTTCTTTGAATATGCGTGTGGTTTGATTATGGAAGCAACTAAAAAGTTTATGTTAGACATTTTGTGTTTTGAATACCATTAACAGTCCAATTCTTAATACCATTATTGGTTCTCTCATTATCAGGGAAGAACAGGGCGTGCCTTCCTCTTCTCACACGCAATGAACGTTGTGGTTGGGGCTAAGGAAGACCGACATCTTCTAACGGGTCTCCACACCGTGGCTGATATAGCTTGTGCTGACTGCAACGAACCGTTGGGTTGGAAGTACGAGCGAGCCTACGAGACCTCGCAAAAGTACAAGGAGGGCAAGTTTATATTCGAAAAGGCTAAGATTGTCAAGGAGGAGGATTGGTAGTGAAGAAACGTGTTTGAATTCATTATTGGATTGGCTCTAAAAACTGTACATAGATAAATTTGGCTTGTCACAAGTCATGAATCATCATCATGTTCATCCATTTTTAGTTTCTTCATTTGTCTCTTTGTGTTACCTGCTTTTGTCGTCTCTTGTGTTCAACTATGGTTGTGTTCATACAAGGTTCCTCTGTTAATAAAGATGTTTTAGTCTCAGTGTCTCAAACCTTCCTTTGTAAGTGTTATGATTCTCCATACTTGTCTCTGAGTTGCTTGAAAGATTACCAAAAGAGAAAAAGAGCTGCGTGCCGTTTTTTCGACATCTATGTTGACAACGTGCTGTTCCATGTATTACAGAGCCAAGTGATTGCCGTTTTAGGGCCCAATGCCAACGAATTTAGAAAATTAATCAACAGAGGAAATAGAGGGAGAGAGATGTATCTGAAGAAGCCGATATGGAGCGATGGCGCGTCAGCGACGCCGGAGAATCCGTCGGAATCGGAACACGGCGAGGAATCAGACGCGACGGCGACGGTGGTTGAAGAGCTTGTGACTTCTCTAAACACACAGAGACTCTACAGGGAGCTGACACTATCTCTCCGGACGGGCTTACGGGATGCTTGCGCTGAATTCTCATTTCTACGAATCCGCGGCCTCCGATCTCTTCTCAAAACTCTCCGATCCGTCGCGGAATCAGATTCCATCATTCGACTCTTCTCACACACCCAAACCATCTCCGATCTCCAACGTCTGATATCTTTAATTTTAGTCGTTTGTCCTTCTCAAATCGGCGATGCCTTGTTGTATGTAATGTGTTATCTGATGATGGAACGCTCTTGATTTTCGCAGTGGTTCCGGTGCTTTTCCGGCATTCATTGAAAGAAGCGGAGGATGATAGAGTGACGAGCTTGGATCACATATTCAGCGTGGAGCCGATGAAGATAACGAGTCCTTCAACAGATGCTGAGGTCGCGGTTGCACTTAGGGTTCTCGAAGGTTGCTGCCTTCTCCATCCTCAGAGCACCGTTCTGGCTCATAAGAATGGCGCAGTGCGCGTAAGACTCTCACTTTGTTACTTCTTAGTAGTCTATTTTTGTACATCTGATTCAGAGGCAAGATACATAGAACTGCGGCAGAACAAATTGATCAATTTTCATTCGGTTATCTCTTTCATGCTGGATTATTCAAGTTTTAGAACAGTAGCGATCTTCAGATTGATGCAGTAGGAAGGTTCTGGGTTGTGTGGGATGTTGATGTGACTCAGATGCTCATGAATGTTTCAGGTGATGATGAATGTGTTATCAACACGAGGAGTACTTGAACAAGGTGCCTGCTTGGATGCCTTAATCTCAATATTGCTGGATTCATCAGCAAATCAGGTGGTAAGTATTCAGCTTCTCTGTTTGAGTAACAAGTTCTCGAAATAGAAAGCAGGTTTTCTGTCATTTGTAGAACTCATGCATTTCTTGTGTTACATTTGAACCTGTAATTAAGGCTTTTGGCACATATCAATGGAACAAACTGGCTTTTATTGTAACTTTTCTCATTATCCCTTCTTGCTTTTTGGTAACAGGACTTTGGAGCGTGCAATGGCATTGAGGAGGTTGCAATGCTCATGCGAGACAAACAAGCTGATGAAAACCTCAGGTGAAATTTCCTTAACAAATTTTTGTAGGTTGTCACATTTTGTCATGTTTAGTAATCTATACTGATTCACAGGTTAAGATGCGGAGAGTTCTTACTACTGTTAGTTGGCCACGTGAACGGGAAGGATCGTTCTCCGATTGCGAGTGTGAATGAAGACATCAGGCGCCTTCTTGGTGAGAAATCGGCTTCTTTAATATGGGCGGCGAGTCAATTTGGTTCAACACGTGATCCTGAACAAAGAATCGCTGCTCTTCACATCCAGGCTGGTCGAGTGCTCGAGTCTCTCGACTTGTACTAATTGTCAAACTCTAAGTACAAGTTGTTATGTACTAATGCAAAGTTGTTATGTGTAAGACTGTCCAAAATGGTAATATAATTTCTTCTGCAAAATATCTGTTAAAATCACTCAGTTAAATAGTGTTCTTTAATGATTTTCGAATTGGCAAACCAGTGATCTCCAGTTAATCTGTACGAACAATACCATACATGAAGAAGGGAAACTCAGAGAAATCATAAGCACACGACAACAAATCAACAAGGATTGCATATACTGATTTACATACGATACAAATACAACTTTAAGTTGTCATATGAACACAAAAACGTTGAAAAAGACATTTGTTGACAAATTATCCACCTGATGTTAGTTTTAGGCTGTTAGCATTGATTTTGTCTCTTTTCCTTGAATGTGAGCAAATGATTATTCAATGTTATTTCCTTCACATTCTTCCTAAGCTTCAAAGAAATCAACTCTGTACTTTGAACTTCCTGATGCTGTCACTGAGACCTACAAAATGCAAATAATCTCATAATACACCTAACAAATATGCGATCATTGACCCAATGATTCAGTGGTCAACTGAAAACTGTTCCCTGTATTAAAAACTCTTTGTGGGTCACAAAAATTTACCCGCCGGCCCATTAATCCCTTCCACGATTTGAGGTCGTTTCAATGAAGCATAGATTCTGACGGAAATATACAGTTTTTGTCTTTTCTAGCTGTGTACGAATGTCATAGATCTAACTCCAGAAGAAGAGGAGGAAGTAGAAGAAGATGAGTGACGAAACGGCGTCGTCTTCGTCTCCGTCTCCGGCGAAGAAGAAGCAGAGTTTGGGATGGATGGAGTGGATGAGAGGCTGGAGCAGTGTTTTCCAGGAGATTCTCTTCCAGAGGATCACAGCGTCTCATTTGGAGAACCCTCTCCCTCTTCCTCCCGTCAACGACCTCACTTGCGTCGTCACTGGCTCCACCAGCGGCATTGGTCGCGAGACCGCCAGGTTTTTAGTCACTCTGCTTCCTCGTTTCTTCCAATTTACAATCAATTGGGGATTTGCTGATAGCTCGACGAATTTGCTTTTTCTTTTTGGGACTCGAATTGATTAGACTCCCACTAAGCTTATAGCTCTTTTTTGATTCTTTGTTCGCAGGCAGCTTGCAGAGGCTGGTGCTCATGTTGTGATGGCTGTGAGGAACACAAAAGCAGCTCATGAGCTGATACAGCAATGGCAGAACGAGTGGTCTGGTAGAGGTCTCCCACTTAATATCGAGGTAATCTTATTGATGATTTATAAATTCTGTGTATAGGCTTTGGCAAAGCCACAATTTTGTGTATTAGTCTATTAGATAAAGAGTATCGGTTTGTACATATGGATGGCTGATGATGATGATACTCTGTTTGCATTTTTGTAAAGGCAATGGAACTTGATCTTCTTTCACTGGATTCTGTGGCGAGGTTTGCTGATGCTTGGAACGCCCGTTTAGGACCTTTGCATGTTCTGATTAACAATGCCGGCATATTTGCTATGGGAGGTTGGTTATATTTTTCTCGCTGTTTGTTATGCCAAACGTTGATTGTATATCTAGACTCTTGTGAATTAAACGAAGATGGTTAATTATTGCTAGTTTATGGAACTCTGTTCGACGGTTTTCTTTTTTTTAAATGATTGGCCATCTGATGGCCACATTTGTACAGTACTATGTTGAGGAAAGAAACCAACTAAATGCTACGATCTGTGGTTTGTGCAGAGGCGCAGAAGTTCTCAGAGGATGGATATGAGCAGCACATGCAAGTGAATCATTTAGCTCCAGCGCTGCTTTCAGTACTCCTTTTGCCGTCTCTGATCCGAGGCTTTCCTAGCCGAATCATTAATGTCAATTCCATTGTAAGGCTCCTGGTTTTTGCTCTCTAGTTTTCTATTCTCTTTGGTATGAGTAGTGATGTTGAAAAGCTCAAGATGGTTTTGTATATTTTGTAACTTGGAAATATATGGTCTTGTTAAGTGATTACAGAATATGTAGATGAGTAGCATAGAGCTTTCTGAAGTAAGTATGCGTAGCGTTTATAGTATATCTGCAGAGTTTTCGTGTAGAGAAACCAAAAAGAAAAAACAAAGCTTGTTGAAAGTTTCGACCCAAATTATACTAACAATACATAGCATCTACACTACGTCATTACTCATATCAGTGAAACTCTGTGGCAATGATGTTTGTATGAAAACTAAAACAGTTTATATCTATCTATATCTTTGGTGATTATTTTTTCATGCAAGATAATGGGTTGTGGGATTCACTTTTGTAGATGCATGGTGTCGGTTTTGTTGACCCGGATGACATGAATGTTGTTTCCGGTAGACGTAAGTACTCGAGCCTTGTAGGATACTCGAGCAGCAAGCTTGCCCAGGTGAGCTTACAGTAATGGTATTCAAACTTTGAGCAGCAAGCTTGCCCAACTTTTTACCTTGCGCAGTTTTTCTTTTCTTTTCTGGAAAATGCTTATTTATCAGCATCTGGTGACTTAACTTTCTGGTTTTCTTTCATCTTCCAGATTATGTTTAGTAGCATTCTTTTCAAAAAGCTGCCTCTGGAAACAGGAGTCAGCGTCATATGTCTATCCCCTGGTGCTGTGCTAACAAATGTTGTGAGTATTAGCTTCATTCCATTCAGTTACAAAGGCAAAGTATCACATATTCATTTTTCTTTGAACTTCATTTGTTTCCGAATATTATAGGCCAGGGATCTTCCCAGATCTCTCCGAGCTGTTTACGCAGTGATACCTTATTTCATATTTTCACCCCAAGAAGGTTGTAGAAGTACCCTATTCTCTGCCACAGACCCTCAGATTCCAGAGTACTGGGAAACACTAAAGAACGATGATTGGCCTGTTTGCCCGTTCATCTCTCAAGATTGCCGTCCTGCAAATCCTTCCGAAGAAGCGCACAACACAGAAACTGCTCAGAGATTGTGGGAAAAGACGTTAGAGCTGGTGAGTCTTCCTCTCGATGCAGTTGAGAAGCTCATAGAAGGAGAAAATATCCAATGCCGTTATGGAGCTCAACCCGAATAGTCTTTCCAAAATAAAGAATCCACAGATTGATTATCCCTTTACAAACCAAAGGGTAAGTATTGAGAAATAGCTTTTTTTTTTTCCTTTTTTGCTTCTTTGTTTTTTTTCACTCTACTATATACACTGTGGAATGTGATTTGCTTGAGAAAAGGACAGGAGCTTTGAAGGGTATTGAGAATGTTTGATTGTTGGTTAAAAGTCAAGCTTGAGCTGCCATTCCATGGCTTACTTGCAAGTCTTCTTCAAGTGCGTCTGAGATTAAGATTGTTCAGTAGTATGGTGGCCTGGGGGTCTGGTGGGTAGTTTCTTGTCTGAGTTGAGGGTATTTCCGTAAATATCCCACTAGTTTGTGAAGTCACATTGCTCATCTATTTATATCGGTGGAGGCATCTCTCTCTTACTCATGGACAAAAGTGATAAATCTCCTTTCTCTTTCTAATGTTTCTTGCTTAAATGAGTATTCCATGGAAGTGATTCACTCACATATAAATGGATGGGTTTCTCTTTAATCTTTAATGAGATGCTCATTTGAGCAAGCAATGTTTGGAAGTGGAACTATTTAATATCATGTATGAGTTTTTGTCTTTTGTTATAAACATAGACAAAGGAAAAAAATATAGCTGGATTTCATTTTCGTGCCCACTTCACGTGAATCTAATGCGTTCATGTTTGTGGACTACTTTTTCTTGGCTTATGGATACATATCGCTTTACGTGTCGTATGATTCAAGCTTTTAAATCATCCACACCATGCACGTCTTCTCGGTTGTTTTCTACCACCATTGCACCAAAAGTTTATACATTTTGACATCAATTATATTTTATTTGTTGGTTAGTGTAGAAAAAAACTTAGGGTGTAACACGTTCACTTCATGTGATGTGTCGTCACTCGTCGCCAAATTTTTCTCTGTCGTCTTTAACTTCTTCAATTTAAGTCACTTGAAAAATTAAAAAAAAAAAGTCTTAACGCCCACAAGGAAAAAGCAACTTCTCTTTTTGTTTGGGTTAATGAATCAGACTTTATTCCTTTTTGTCTCTCCAGATCCATAGGGCTCCTTCTTCTTCTTCCTCGTGACTCTGTTTTGATTTTTCTTTTAGGGTTTTAATAGTCGGCGTTGCTTTTTGGTTTTTGAAATCCCGAGAGGACTGCGAGAAATTCGATTTCGGTTTTTTCGGGAAAATGGGTGATTGGGCTCAACTTGCTCAGTCTGTGATCATAGGTTTGATCTTCTCTTACCTTTTAGCGAAGCTGATCTCGATCGTCGTCACGTTTAAGGAAGACAATCTCTCTCTTACTCGCCAGACCGAGCCCGAATTGGAGACTAAACCGGAGGTTGACTCGCGACGCATCGATTCTTCTTCTACCGGAGGTTTCGGCGGAGGCGGCGAGGCGGATTCGGTCGTCGCGGAGCAGGGCAGCTCCAGAGGCGAGAGCGTCGCCGGTGACACCGAGGGAGACGACGAAGACGATGATTGGGAAGGCGTCGAGAGCACGGAACTCGACGAGGCTTTCAGCGCCGCCACTCTCTTCATAACTACCGCCGCCTCAGATCGGCTGTCGCAGAAGGTACCAAGCGATGTGCAGCAGCAGCTTTACGGATTGTATAAAATCGCTACGGAAGGGCCTTGTACTGCTCCTCAGCCTTCAGCTCTCAAAATGACTGCTCGTGCCAAGTGGTATCTCTCTCTCTCCCTTTCTCTCCCAAGTTGAATCTGCTCTGCCATTAGCTTGATAGCTTCTGTACATACTTTCTGGCTTTCAAGTGTTTGAGATTGATTTAAAGTCCGGAAATTTGATGATTAGTTGAGGTTATGAAGGAGAACTTGCATTGTTGAGTGTAGATTGATATCGCCTAGTTAGCCTATTACTTATGAAAGCACTGGATATGTAAATCTCGTTGTTGTAAGTATTAATTGTTACGTCTATGGTTTCGGGTTTGTGGTTTGTAGTCAATTGATTGGGACTTGCCATCTTGATCTTCTTCTATTTCAGGCAAGCATGGCAGAAACTGGGTGCTATGCCCCCCGAAGAAGCGATGGAGAAGTATCTAGAGATTGTCACTCAGCTATATCCGACTTGGTTAGACGGTGGCGTGGTAGAAAGCTTTTCCCTTTTTCATTTTAACTGGTTCTGTTTTTCTTATGGAATATTCATGTGATCTTCTCTGCTTGCTTTGTTGTGACGTACCAGAAAGCCGGAATTCAGGGTAAGGATGATGCAGCAGCTTCCAACACGAGAGAAACCATGGGGCCAGTTTTTAGCTCATTGGTTTATGAAGAGGAATCCGAAAATGAGTTGTAAGGTTCTCTTCTTGTATTCTGATGTGTTTGACTTCCTCTTCCTTGAGTAGATATAGATATCGTAATTTTCACCTTTGTGACATCAGAGGTTCATAAACTTGGTTAACATGTCATATTAGCATAATAGCATCTCCTGCTAGCTGCGTCAACTTTTGGTTTTGTTAAATTGGCAACAATGCTTTCATGGAACCTTGAACTGTTAATTCCTGTCTGTTCATTTTCCTTTCTTTTCACTTTCAGGAAGATTGATGCCATCCACGGATTCGCTAGAGAAGGAGAAGTCGAGAACTTGCTGAAAAGCATCGAAAGCGGCATTCCTGTAAATGCAAGGGGTTAGTCTCTGCTTAGATATTCCACTTTCTAAAAGTTTCAGTTGTCTCGATGCTGAATTTACTTTCCAACTTCCTGTAAACTACAGACAGCGAAGGCCGCACGCCGTTGCACTGGGCTATCGACCGTGGCCACCTCGACATTGCTAAAGCTTTGGTCGATAAGAACGCCGATGTGAATGCTAAGGTAAAGAAAGAGAAGTTCTTACCCAATAAATTAGCTGCAAAAAGATCAACTAACTTCTTTGTTGATGTTTGAATGCTTGTTGTGTTGTTGAAACAGGACAACGAAGGCCAAACCCCTTTGCATTACGCTGTTGTGTGCGACAGAGAAGCCATCGCCAAGTTTCTGGTGGAGCAGAAAGCTAACACGGAATCTACAGATGAGGACGGAAAGTGCCCGCTCGATCTCTGTGAATCAGACTGGCCATGGTTCCGAGATTCCGCAAAGCAGACTGACTAAACAAATACTAACCACAGAGATGCTCGCGTCGTCTTCTTCTTCTCTAATCCTCGCAATGTATATGATGAAGTGACTTAGTAAGAAAGCTTTTCTTTTGCTTTAACCTTTTCCTCTCGTCCCTACCAAGATCGTTTCCAACAGTAAATCACTTTGGGTGTTTCAAAGTCTTGTCCTTTCATTTCATATCCGGTTTTTATTGGTTTGCTATATAGAGAGGGAGAGATAAAGAGAAAGTCTTTTCTTGTCATTGGATTCTCAACAAACGAATAACTGACTTTGGCGGTAAAAAACACATAATTTATTGTTTTTTAGGGTAAACCTCAATAAAGCAAAAACAAAAATAAAATTAGCAATTTTGGTGGCCTTTTCCTCTTCTCTCCCTTACAACCCCGCCTTTGGCTATCGGAAAATGGCCAAGGCGGTGGTTTACACGCTGCTACTAACCGCCACCATCATTGTCCTCATCATCTTCCTCGTTCCTCAGGAACAAAGCCAGGCTGAAATCTTCGAGGGTCTCATAAGCCGCCGCATTGGACGCAGGCTTGAAATGCCTGTGTTTGACCCTATCGTGCCCCGAATTGAGAGGTTGTCTCATGAAAAAGAAGCCAAGACCACCGTGGAGTCTGCAAAGAAGGAAGAGGAGGAGGAGGATGATGACATGTTTGAGGAGTATTTCGCACAAGATAGGAGGCTTAACACGACGATGAGGATCAAGTTCTTGTTTCCTCTGCTCGACGCGTCACCCAGAGATGGGTTCGTGAGCTTGAAAGAGCTTCAGACATGGATGATGCAGCAAACAGAGGACAACATGGGTTACAGAACCGCCAAAGAGCTCGAGCTACAAGATAAAGACAAGGATGGTGTTATAACATTTGAAGAGTACTTGCCTCAATTCTCAAAGGAAGACATTGGTAATTTTAATTACGTAACTTGTAGTATTTTGATTAAACCAAACACATTTCGAGATCTTTCTTTTTAATTACGAAAAGAAAAAATGAAAACAGAGAAAAACGAGAAGGGTCATGGTGAAGCTGGTTGGTGGATGGAACAATTCAATAATTCCGATTTTGACCACAATGGCTCTCTCGACATTGAAGAGTTCAACAAGTAATTTATTAATTCTTTGAAAAATCTTATTTTTTTGTAATAAATTTGGTTATATACAATATTCAAGAAAATAATCCAAAAAATGCAGTTTCTTGCACCCAGAAGACAGCAGAAACGGAGATGTTCAAAGATGGGTTCTAAACGAGAGAATAACGTAAGCATTTCGTGTTTGTGTTTGTTGAAGCTAGTAAAGCGACGTCGTGTGATTGTTTTGATGTATATATGTAGGGGCATGGACACGAACGGTGATGGGAAGCTAGAGTACAAGGAGTTTATAGACAACGCATACGAAATGTACAAAGAGTTTGCAAAGTTCGAGACGGATGATGAAGGTGTCCCAACGGCTCAGCTTCTGTTCGCAGAGCTCGACAGAGACAAAGACAGGTTCCTTGTGGCCGATGAGCTTCGACCCATTTTGCATTATCTTCAACCTGGTGAGATGAGTTACGCCAAATACTACTCCACTTTCCTTTCTAACGAGGTAATGTTATTGTGATGTGAAATCAACTATGTATAGTAATGTCCAAGTAGAATTAATGTGTATATTTTCTAACTTCAAGTTAATTTTATAAATTTATAATTCGTAGGCAGATGAGGATAAAGATGGTAAACTATCTCTTGATGAGATGTTGAATCACGAAGATGTGTTTTACAAGGCTGTTCATCACGATGACTTGGATGAGGAAGAGTATTTTGATCATGATGAACTTTAAACTCCTGTTTTGTGTCCTTTCTTTGATTGTTACTCTCAGTTTTTTGCTTATCAATTGACCTCTTTGTCCCGACTAGACTGGTTTTGGTGACTAATTTTGTTGATTTGTTTTTTTACATAGTCCTATAGCGATAACTTATATGTATAGGCAAATTTCACAATCTAGTTGTGCGGAAGAAATATATAATTATTCCAGCGCTAGCAGAGTTGTACCTGGATTGGTTTCAGGCTCCTATTGGATGTCATAACCTGGTTAACTCCAATCTTAATATGTAAAGATCTTTATGATTATCAAGGTAGTTATGGTAATGTAAACAATTTGCACAATGCAAGGGTAGGTGGCAAACGACTATAATTCTATCTGAAGTTCTGAACTTAAAAGATGAAATTACAAATCTACCGATGCTTTCTTAACATTTAGAGTAAATTTGATGAGAAAAAATACATTGTAAGTTTCGATAAGAAAATACTAAGATTTTTACAGAAAACAAATTGCGTGATATGATCAAATGATATCAAAAACATATATAGTTAGATATGCCTATCGAAAATGTAATGAACGTTTTGTGTTGGTATGTCAAAATTATGTTCAAAACATATACTATTACATGCCTAAACAAAAACAAACTAGAACCACCAACTGTGGCATGAGCCATGCGTTTTTATCTGATTATTCTGTAATTTCTGAAAAGATACATTTGCATTCTTAATGTTAAAATATTGAATCAATAATAGTTAATAAGTTGTCGTCATCGACGACATTTACATCCCACCTTTCTACTTGTTGACTTAAAAAATACAAATACTTTAAAAATGTCAGATGGAGGTGGGTAAATAGAAAAAAAACAAAACTCACACCAATATTTAGGCTGCAGAGTACGAATAATATTGTTCCGTATATGCAATTATTAAATTTGCATATGGCTCTTTAGAATATGCTACATTTTCAGTATAAATATAGCTTTACCGCAGTTCTCATTTCTCACTCATCAACTCATTCTCAAAACAGAGACCAAAACCGTTTAAAAAAAGGCGGGAAAGAAACAAAACAGAGTGATAATGGGATCTTTGGCTGAAACACAGATCACTCCGGCTAAAATCTCGGACGAAGAGGCCAACCTCTTTGCCATGCAGCTCGCTGGTGCCACCGTGCTTCCTATGGTTCTGACATCTGCCTTAGAGCTTGACCTGCTCGAGATCATATCCAAGAACGTCGATTACGCCGGCGGTCAACTGTCGGCGTCGGAGATAGCGTCCCATCTTCAGACCAAGAACCCTGGTGCTCCAGTCATGGTCGACAGAATCCTCAGGTTGCTTGCGGCTTACTCCATCTTGACTTGCTCTGTACGTAAGCTTTCTGATGGCGGCGTGGAGCGTCTGTATGGACTGGGACCGGTGTGCAAGTACCTGACTAGAACGAGATGGAGTCTCACTCGCTGCACTCTGTCATTTGAACAGAGACAGGGTCTTCATGGAGAGCTGGTAAATTGTTGTCACCTTTCAGAATCCTAACTTGTATATTGTGATTGTAATGAGTACACTAATCAAGAAACAATGTTTGTTATGATATGATCTTGCAGGTACCATTTGAAAGATGCAGTTCTTGAAGGCGGGATTCCATTCAACATGGCATTTGGTATGGACGCTTTCGAGTACCAAGGGTCCGACCCAAGATTTAACAAAGTGTTTAACAATGGAATGTCGAACCACACGACCATCGTCATGACCAAGATTCTAGAGACCTACAAGGGCTTTGAGGGATTGACTTCGTTGGTAGATGTTGGTGGTGGCATTGGAGTCACTCTCCGTATGATTGTCTCCAAGCATCCACACATCAAGGGCATCCTTTATGATCTCTCTCATGTCATTCAGGAAGCTGTATCCTATCCAGGTACATATATATATATATATTTCTATTTTTGCTATTTCTTCATGGATATGTCAGTTTCTTAGTTTGAGTTTAAATGAATGATTCAGGTATTGAACATGTTGGGGGAGATATGTTTGTCAATGTCCCTAAAGCGGATGCCATCTTCATGAAGGTTAGTAAACTATGTATAATATGTTTTATAAGAATATGTCTCTCAAGCAATTGGTTTTTAACATTTCCCACATGCATGTGTGATGTGACAGTGGATATGTCACGATTGGAGCGACCAACACTGTTTGAAGTTCCTGAAGAACTGCTATGAAGCACTCCCAGACAACGGGAAGATGATAGTAGCGGAATCTATACTTCCGGTGGTGCCAGACTCAAGCCTCCTGACAAAAGAAGTTGTCCACATGGACTGCCTCATGTTGGCTCACAACCCCGGGGGCAAAGAGCGGACCGAGAAGGAGTTTGAGGCCTTGGCCAAAGGTTCTGGCTTCCAAGGGTTCCAAGTTGTTTGCAGAGCCTATGGGACTCACATCATGGAATTCCTCAAGAAGATATGAATGTGTGGAAGATACATGCATGTACCCTTTGGCTTCTTTTGCTTCTCTGTTTTCTGTTTCCAAGTTTTGTCTACATCTCCATTGTTGACTATCTTATCTCTGGCTTTTCATGTCACTATGGTTATTGTTGTTGTAGTTGTTGGAAAATACATTTCTTTGTAAATGTACTTTCACTGCCTGTACAAATGGAAATAAAATATAAAATCTTTTTGTTGAATTTCTTCTCTCTGTATTTTCTTTATTTTATACTAGCATCATCAAAAGGATAAACTCAAACCAAAATTCCATCTTATGCGGTTCTAAACTTGTCTTTTTTACTTTTATGGTGTAGTGGAGATGTTTTATCTACACTAAGCATAGCTTTATGTCCATATATAGTCACCTCCAAAGATTTTACATGTACTTTTGGTGAGTTCCCAACTGTGAGGTATCATGATAACTCCATTTCTATGGGAAGACTAAGAGCATTAGACATAGTTACATGCTTTATATACACTAAGGAAAGGGACTGGATGTTCATTTTACTCAAGAGAGAAACGAAGTCATCCATATCCCAACAGTAACTATACCAACAGTCGCTGCAGCCTGAACCAGTTCGATCACCGTGTTTTGCCGCTGCGCCGGGAGATTCTTCCACTCTGTTCTTCTGTTTTTAAACCAAGACAAACGTCAAGAGGCAATGAATTGGATTCTTAATAAGTTAAAGAATCTTATATCTAAGACCTACCCTAGATCAGCAATGATGATGCTGATGTTGTCCTCTGATCTCCGGTCCTGAAATATAAAAGGGAATGTCAGTTTCGGGTTTCTGATAAAACGAAAGCTTGAGTTGGAGGGTTTTGCGGTGTACTTACCAAAGCTACTTGCGCAAGAGCTTCACAAGCAAGCTGTTAAAAAGAAGAACATTTTGAGAAGACTAGTTCAGACTAAAAACCATACAAATGCTGTAGAGAATAATTGGCAAGGACTTGACGAAGAGAAAAAAAAGGCTTGCCTGGACATTTCCATGTTTCCGGAGCTGTTCTCTTACGAAACTAACCACATCTGAGCTGCATCAGCAAAACATCAATCACTGTAAGCTCTATACTTCTTTTCCCTCACAAAGTATATGACTAAATGAGGGGAAAAGGGAAAGAAGACAAAAGGGAACCTCTTCATGTAGTCCCATAATCCATCAGACGCTAAGATAATGAATTCCACATCAGATGTAAGTGGTACTTGGAAGATATCTGGAGTTGCCACAACCATGTCCCCTTTAAACTCCACTCTGGCAAAGTATTTCATTGTAACACAACCATAATCAGATAGATCAGGATGTAACAGCACTAGCAGAAACAGCTTTTGAATAGTTTAGTACCTCGAAACAAACTTCTCGGACCATCTTCCTTCATTGACACCCTTCTTTAACATCCTGTGTGTATGAAACTTTATAAGCAATGATGCATCAACGGGAAAAAGAAGAGAAATCATGAGAGAGATAAAGAAAGAACCCAACTCATTCTTCTTGGTCTTGAACCGGATGTCACCAAAAGCACGAGATACAGCTATATCTCCACAAATCCTTCCATTGACAATCTGATTGAAGAAAGAGCAAGAAGATATCGGTTTTTAGCCAAAATCACAAGTTACACACAAGGAAATTCCAGTGATATATGAGAAATTTAAAACATGGGAAAATCAGGAAGACACACCCATCCACCTGCTTCTTTGATTCTCTTCATTTCCTGAACAGCTGCCTTACTGCTTCCATATGGACGATGAGAATCAGTCAATTCCTCAATTTTCCCAGATCGAGAAAGGACCTATTTTTAATGCATTCACAGACTTTTCATACATGACCAAGTACAATGATTCCTTCATCAAATTTCAACAATTTTGTAATAAAGAAGCTTACTGCGCAAGAATCACCGATATGTGCAATGAAGGAAATGTCATTTCTTATGAGCATCACAGTGGCTGTTGATCCCGACTCGTCTTCCTCACCGTTTTTCTCTAGCCTGGGATTCAAACCATATAGAGAAGAAAATTGTGAATTTACTTCACTCAAAATCACAAATTACCTCAAAGCCTGATTAAAGTAAGATAATTTCACCATTTGAGCAGATTCTGATCGACGCTTTCAAAGGCCGTAATCAGAGCTTCCTTGATCGCCGCGAAATCACCTCCACTCAACAACGATCCAACTTGCAATGCCCCAGCACACTCCTTGTACAGCTCTTCCCTGTAACCACATATTATAATCAGATTCATCACCACCATAACTCTAGAAAACTGAGCTTGCATGAGAGCTATGACACAAGTACCTGAGGAATTTGACAGAGGACGATCCAGCGTGGCCGTCGAAAACCGCGGCGAATGAGAAGTTATCGATAGCTTCCGAACGGATGACGATGTCGTCCTCCATCTCCTCCCGGAACCCTTGAACGCTCGTGTATCCCCATCGGATCGGCGTCACACCCGCCATAGACGACGGCGCGTCGATCGCAATCGCGGAGCAACGGTGACGACCATACGTGGGATAGACAACAAGGCCATCGCCGGCGTCGGCGGTTGATTTATAAGGAGAGCCGAACTGGCGGAGAGTGTTCGAGTGAAAGCGATGAAGGCTCGGCCTGAGAAGCGCCATGACTCAGTGAGTCAGGCAAATCGAGTTTACCAAAGGAAAGAGAAAAAATCAAAAGAGTTCCTTTGGTCAGTGAGTGACTCAGTGGCAGTGGATTTTCCTGGAAAACAATCTAAAGATAAGAGGATAATTAAGGAGGGCCTCTTAACTGATTTAACGGTCTACTTTTCAAATATGGGCTTTTGAATAAACGGGCTGGGCCCAAAGCGGAATCAGTCAGTGAGTGACTCAATGGCAGCATCTCTCGCATATTCTGCGGTTGAAAAGTTTTACCATTTTCTGCTTTTACTCTTTGGCCAGCTTATGTTGGCTTTTGGGCGAGCCATGCGAGAAAGGACTTTTGAGTTTTGAGGTCGTAAATCCAGTCAAAGTCACGTAACTCCTTTGACTGATAATCAAAGCTCCTAATTTTGCAATAACTTCTCTATACGTGCTTTAATGAGTCCAATCTTGGATCTTAATTTCAGGGATTTGTTGAGTCCTCATCATCAACGAGTTTTTCCACACAAAGAAGTCTAAATGAAAGTTAGAGTAAACTACTTTGACGTTTAAACTACTGTTAATATGTAATGTAGATGTACATTGCTATATACGGAAACTTTAAAGACGATATACACATGAAAGGTTGATGTGAGAAGAGAGTTGAAATATAATTTTTACAGTTACAAAGGGAAATCTTGTTTTTTAACTTACAAATTTAGAAGGCTCTAGTGAACTTGAACGACTACTTAAAAAAGTCTGATAGAAGGGAATCCCAAAACACTCCTTCCAATTAGCATGGGATTTGTCTTAGCTCTTCAGTCTTCACCAATATGTCTCCTAATTTGATTATTTAATTATTCTTGGTAAAAGTTAAAACTGTAATTGTCTGTAGATTATGTGGTGTTTACTGTTTACAGAGGGAATATTAGTCTATAAACTAGAGAGCTAAAGAAAAAGAAATTGCAGAGATTCTATTTAGATATTGGAAGAATTCATCCTTGGAAGATTTTCTTGCCTACGCCTCCATGGAATCACTTGCTTAAACCCTTTGTAAACCCTTGCCTGCAATTTTAATTTATACAATCAGGCCAAATAAATAATTACCTAAAGAGTAGGCAATGAAACGACAACATTGTTGAAGGAAAGTGAATCGAAAAATCCTAAACTCTGCACTTCAAAAAGGAGATTATATTCAACTCCCATAAAAGTTGGAAAAAGGTGCAATTTGCATCAGTCAGACATTAACAAATGGTTGAATTTTGAAATACTTACTAAAGTAGGTAAAAACTAAAACGAGATTTTTTAGAACAGAAGATAAGAAAAGTTAGCAGCGTTGTTCCGTTGTTCCGAAACTTACCAAGAATTGTGATTTGGAAGGAGAGAGATTCAAGAGGCTTCCTTTTCTTCTAACTCTACTGATCTTCACCGTTGTGCCACCGCCGTCGCAGCAGCGGCCGTTCATGGAACGTGAAAACTCCAATCTGCCCTCACTTTCCTTTTCGCTTCTCCTTATCACCGAGAGAGACCGGCAAGGTAGATCGTAAGGACCATCGAGAACTGTGGTCGGAGATGGCTCATTCGCACCTGGAAAAAACAACCTCGGCGGAAGCTCAAGGCACCGCACGACTCCTCCAGCGTTCAGCTTGGACGCCGGCGGTTTGTTCTCATCGGAAACACGAGGCTTCCCCGGAGCTTCCTCCCACAGAAACGGGACCGTTCCGGCGATGTTCACAGGCGGCGTCGCTAGGCCAGGAGTCTGAGATGCTCTGTTCAGTGGAATCGAGAAGAGAGGAAGCTTAGGAGTCGCACAGAACCGTTCCTGATCATCAAACTCAAATTCCATTGCCTTTTTTCGTCAGATTTGGAACTTTCTTTTCTTTGACGTTATATGAAATGGGTTGGGATTTAAATAGAGAGAGAAAGATAAAATTCTGTAAATGTTCGAATAATATGAACAGAAGAAAAACGGAAATGAGAGGATGGATAATGTGAGGAATTGTATTTATGAAGAAGAATATAAAATGAAGAAAACGCTCCTTGTCCTTGTGCTTGTGGCGCTTCTTATTCACGAGAGATCCATAGGAGAGAATAAACAAATAACAAAGCGGGTCCTACGTTACGGTTTTCTTAACGTTGGGACCTTTCAAATTTCATGTGGAGACTTTAGTGCCATCACTAACTATTAATCAAGAAGAAAAAAAGGTAATGTTAACGTTAAAAGAGTGTAATACGCAGTGGATGCGTAATATTGCGTGTATACGCTATATACGTAAAAGAGTATTAGATGGATACGTCGAACAAATATTGGTGAAAGTGAGGAATGTTATGCGTTGACAAGTCAAAAGGCTGCTCTAGTCGTTGCATAAGTTACGTATGTGAATGGTGAAATGAGTTCAGTATGAAAAAAAGACCGGTGTGTGCTTGTTGTTTAAACAGTGTGAGAAGATTAAGGTAATCATATGATCCTTGTGAGGCTATGCAAAGTTTTGATATTTCATGCATCTCCTCCTAACGTTACTGAATTCATCCAATAAAGATACTCTTTTGGCCCAAAAACTGTGGCGTGTTTCAAACATACACTATCTCTTTCAATGTATATATGGCCTATAGTCCATGCATAGCCTAATTAGCTGGACTTTGAGTTGAAATATATGTATTTGATTGTATTAAGTAGATCTTTCTGCAGCCACTTTTCGTCCAATCACATAACAAAACTCAAGTAATTGACATCCAAGGAAAACGAAAGATATATTATTTTACAAACCAGATTTGACAAACAAATTTTTCTTCAGCCTCATGAAGAAAAACTAAAAAACTTCCAAAAACACAAATAAACATGACAACGAACGTGTAAACCAGCATTTAAACCAGGAAACAACACCTCCGATTTTGGAAATGAAAAAAAAAACAGATTCTACACAGAAATTTGGTTAAACATTCAACTAAAGAAGCTCTGTTTGGTAATGATGGATTTGAAGTAGTCTCGTAGAGTGATATTTAGGCTTGGATGCATTGAAACCCTTGACAAACCCAAAGCCAGATTCCGAACAGAACAACACAGACGCAGACATCGAACATCAAAACAATCCACACATGTTTCCTCCAAATGTGCTTCGCCTTTTGTCTATGATGATGATCATGAAGCAACCCGTCTCTCAATCCTTTGCTAACCACGCCTCCTCCCAAATCCACTTTCTTCTCCGCGCCTTCCCCTTTGCCCTCCGTCTGCAATCTCTTCTTATTCTTCAACACCCTCAACGGCTTCCCCAGAAGCGGCATAAACCCGCGTCCTTTCGGTGAATCCAACTCCCTCGGAGACCCAACCAAACCCAACTCCAATTCCAAATCTCTATTACCACCACCACCACTAGCAGCGATCTCGGCGAAAACTGGATCGAGCTTTGATTGGAGACAGAGCTGGGTCGGGTTATCCAGCGAATCCGATGCAGATCCGTCCGCGACCAGAGCCTCCGTGGCGGATTTCAATCGGCCGAAGAGCCAGAGAGATTCCGATTTCTCCACGACCTCGTCTAGGATCGCGAAATACGAGAACAAACCGTCGACGACGAAAGCGTAAGTCCTCTTTCGGACTGTGTGAGAGATCATGGAATGGTGAGGAGGCACGTTTTCAATGCATCGCAAAGCCAAAGCTTCGATTCCTGGCTCCTCCTTTGAAGAAAACTCGGCGAGGATCACTGTTCCTTTCGCAATGCAGGAGTAGAACAAGAGACGTGGATTCGAAATCATTTCAACTGATCGGAATCGGAATCGGAATTGAGCAAAATCCAATCCGAATCAATCGGGAAAATCCCCCCAATCTCAATCGGAAAGGAGCAGAGATTTCAGTGATTCTCTGTTTCTCTCTTTTGAGATCTATCTTCTCGTTTTCGAGATTTTCCAGGGAACAAACAGAAATGGTGGAGGAGTTCCATTATTGGCGAAACCAACAAGAACAAAAGAAAAAAAAGCAGAAATTTACCGCAAAAAGATAAATCGGTAACAGAATAACGGTTTACCTAGGTGAAAGTACCCTCGTAATAGTTAAATATTTACAGAAATATCCACAACTTTCGTAGGCTGCTTAATCAACATCAGACACGTGGAAAGTTAGTTCAGCTATCACTCCTACCAGTGGTGGTCTACCGCCACGTGTTGAGACCAGGAAGTTAATTAATTAATTAATGGGACAACTCGTAAATCTCTAACTCAACAAAAATTGATAAAATGAAAATCAGACACAACTAACTCAAAATTCTCAATTTCATGCAAAAGCATTGGACAAATGTTATGAAAAACACAACAAGGGCTCCTTTATTTTAAATTTTCGTTACATGTACATAAACACATTGTAAAGATATTGTACATAGCTGAGATGCAATAACAGAAAATAAATTTCCATCTTCATCTTGATTGTACTACTTTTGAATAACGGAAGGTATGAAAACAGAATGAAAAATGGTAAAATGAGATTATGAAGATAATATGAAAACTAAAATGATCATCATCACTGTCTTATGGTCTTTTAAATGTTTAGTCACGGTGTCTCATTCTAGTCTACGCACCACAATTTGTTAGTCATGTTGGTTATTTATACATAAACTACAGAACGTGGACCTCGTGGAATTTAAATATTCAATTAAAGAAACTAACCATAAGTTGTGAGCAGATGCTTCTGAATCTCATCTTTCTTCGTCTCTCCCATGGAATCCACCACGAATCCAATCTACACTCCAAGCTCAACCGGAGACAGTGGCAGTGGTGATGGTGCCTGCACCGGTGAATCGACCAAACTCCCCCTAGACTCGCCACAAGGCAGCGAGAAGGACGATTGCGTTGACTTCGGCCAAGAACAAGGTCTGAGAATCATTTTTATTACTTATACAGTTCATAAATGAAGATTATAGTTTTGACAACTTACTTATTCGAATGCTTAAATCCGTTACCCATAGAACCAGAGTCAAATGAAGCTGTTGACACTGAGAGTGTTTCAAAATCCGTAGCCAGGAACCAATCCCCTGAAACTGCAGATGTAGTTAGTGCAAAGGATTTAGAGACAGAACCTGATTCATTGAACGATAATGTGGAGATTGTGATTAAGAACCAGCATAAGTACTACATTTACTGCCCCTGCTGTGGTGAAGATATCACCAAGACAGTCAAGCTCGTGAAGAAATCAGATATTCAACTCGCAGGAAACCGTGACGCTGAGAATGAAGCTGTTGACACTAAGTATGGTTCAATATACGAAGACAAGAAGTCAAAGGCTCCATCATGGTTCTCTGTTTATCTTCAGAAGCGGTTACCTTCTGCTTATGGCCACAACAAAGACAAAGGTACCCTTTCTTTTCCTGCTTTCTTTTGGTGTCCTTGTATGGACAGTTGTGATTGACAATGGTTTCTTGGCAGTTCCAAGCGAGAAAGGGGTTGACACAAAGTCAACAGAGTCTTGTATCGGTAATGAGGAACCGAGCATCAGTGTCGTTATTGAGAAAGACAGACCGAGATTTCCGAAGTGGTACATGGACGTTTTTGCTTGGTTGTTCCTCTGTGTTATCATTGCTCTTTCTGTCTATTCCACTTCTCCACTACAGTCATTACCTTTCATGCCACCGCATCTGGAGTTGCCTTCTGTGTCTTCATTGTCGCTTCCTTCCGCTTCTATACTTTTGATAGTTCCCACGTTTGTGGTGTTGCTTCTCGTATTTTTGGCAATGAGGTCCCGTTACAGTTCGATATATCACAAAGAGAGAGGTAGTTGCTTTTTTCTCCTCCTTCTTTTGTGGCCATCAGTTCAATGTTTGAAAAACAATGCATTCTGATCTTTCAACACTTTTCAGGCGACAAAAGGGTTGATTCCAATTCTACTGATACCACTAGTAAAGAACAGAGTAGAAAAACCCAAAATCAAGATGACGAAACTGCAGATCCTACTCAAGATTCTGACAAGAAAACAGGTCTGTTCTGAATTCTCTGTTTCAGAGATGAATTCTTGATTAGATTTGGTCAACCTCGTTTCTTGACAAAGATTCTTGATTATGCTAGACAACCAAAAAATTCACCCAATCCGGATAGATCTTTCACAAAAGGAGCAACCATCTATGCAAACTGTCAATAAGGAAACTCATGAAAATGCAGAGAGTGGCACACCAGCAAAAACTCAAGCAGAACCTGGGCTGCTACCTAATACTAGTGTTGAACCTCGCAAAGGCGGTAAGAAACTCGAAATCCTGAAAAGTACTGTGTATGGAGGTCTAACACAATCCATCACAAGCCTTTGCACAGTAACATCTGCGGCGGCGTCTGGTGCTTCAACTCGTAAGTGATCCCTCATCTCTTTGAGGCATTTCGTCGAACACTATGAATGCTTAAAAACATTTTTAATGTCTTTGCTTGTAATTCAGTGAACGTTTTGGCCTTGGGAGTTGCTAATTCGTCAAGCGGTCTTCTTCTGATCGTTCACAGCGTAAGTGATCTCTCTAGCCTGTAACAAAACACCAGTTTGAAATGTAATACAAAGGCGCCATTTTTGCAGCTCCAAGAACTGATAAACGAGAAACCCAGAAGACGAACCAACACTGATGATCAGAAAAAATCGGAAGCAGGCGAAGAAGAAGAAGATCGGTACGAGGAAGTCCTCGGAAGAAGAGAGAACTCGAGGCTTCACAGATTGATCGCGATCTCGTCTTTCGTCGTCTGCGGGCTGATCCCACCTGTGGTATACGGATTCTCGTTTCGGAGAAGAGTCGAAAAGAGACAAGAGTACAGGACTCTAGCTGTTTACGCAGTGTCTCTAGTCTGCGTCGTCTTGCTCTCGATTGCGAAAGCTTACGTCTCGAAGAGACCCGAGTATCTCAAGACTCTGTTTCGGTACACGGCAATGGCGACGACGGCGTCGGGATTGTCTCAATTTGTGGGATACTTGGTCAGTCACTGGCTTGAGAAAAGCGGGTTTTATGATGATTCTCCATAAGCAGCTCCACGAGTTTGAGACTTTTTTTTTGCTTGTTTTTCTTTTAAAGCGAAATAACTTGTCTCGATGAAGACAAAAACAAAATTAATTTTCCATAATTGTCTTGATGGAGAAATAAAGTGTCGAAGGGACAAAATATACCTTTTTGTGGTCAGCGTAAAGAATTCATTAAAATTCTTGAACTTATGTAGTAGTACTAATTAAGAAAGGGGACACTAATTATAAAGACACTTTATTACAGGAAATTCCTTTAGTGTTTTGTCTTTTTAAAGTAGATTTGTATGAGTATTAAGACGTGAATAATATTGTTGTTTATAGTTCACTTTTAAGCACGTATACGGAGATTGAACTTGTATTATCCAAAATATATACATTATACACAAAGTGTTTTATATGTCGTGAACTTTCCGATTAAAGAAAAATCAGGAATAGAGAAAACCCTTTAACAAAGATAAGAAAAATCAGGAATAGTAGGTAAGAGAATGAATAATGAGAGAAAGTTAGAGACAATTATATTATCACATGAAGGAAGCTTAATTATTTATTTATAGTCATGGGCCATTTTCTAATACGAGATTTAAATATATTCACAACATAAACAGCTTTTAGTTTTGTTTCTTCAATTTGAAAGAAACAAAATCTACACTAAGCAAATGATGACTGTTTAATGACATTTTGTACCGTTCTAGAAGCAATAGTTTATATTTAGAGCCAACACCCGATCGTTTTTGCATGTTTTGCTGATTCTACTCGTATGAAACATCTGGTGCCCACATAGATATTATATATCAATCTCAATCCATCATCCATGTAAAGTAAACTAAAGGTTAAGTTCACATTCCATGGATCATGCATGACTCATCACATCGAGTGACGTCGATAATATAATTAAAACCCACCCACGTTTCTTCCTCGATTCAGATATATGTAGTTTATTGTGTTCACTGGTGATTTTTATTAATTTGACTTCTCGAGCTAGTTAGCTCTTGGACATATGCATGAGGTGTAAACCACTTTCGTAACGTGTTTTGGGGGTTCTTATATTTTAAGGTGATATTATTGACATTAGTTAAGAGTCTTAAGACTTTAGGAATCAGGCGATTTGGTCAAATATATGTAACCTGTCTCCAAATACTTTTTTTGTGTGATAACTTTGTTTTTTTGTTTTAAATTCTTTATAAGTTTATGTCGTGGCAATTTTCATTGTTCCAGTTCTCGTAATAGCTTAAGATTGAAAAACATCTCTTCAGTTCCCGTGATAAACTTACGATATGATTGAAAAACATGAAAATATACTAATGATGATGGTGATTGATCACAACCACATCATCGGGAGTGCTGAATATACTATGGAAACAGAACAAGCTTCTATGAAATGCAATTAATTGTAGAACACACATAAAAATCAATTTTTTGTTTATGAATTGTAGATTTGTAGCTAGTTCAAAAGCCTAATAATTTTTTGTTTACTTTTGAATAGTAATATATATGCAATAAGTTATATAAAAATAAATATATGCAATAATGCAAGGAAGTTTGGATCTAACTCTGGTTGACATATCTTGAATGAATTATACATGTGGTATTGATATCTTGTCAGCAAAACGTGATGCATGCTAAATTATTTCGGAATGTTTATATTGATTATTTATTTGAAGATGCGACTTTCTTACAGGTAAAACAAAAATAAGTCCTAGTTGGTGAGCAAACGGTATTGTAGCATGTGTTGTTAATTATTTTTTTCCATTTTTTTTTAGTTTTTGTAAAAGGATATCTTTATTTTATGTGTTTCATTTTTTCTTTTCTTTTTTGACGACGATATGTTTGAGTTTGACGATATAGATAAGAGTCTTCTCGCCTTGTTAACTATCCACCGCTATAAATCAAAGAGGCATCGATTAGTTGGGACTTGCGGTCATCGTGAAATAAATGCAGTCACACTCTTTCCTCTGTCATCCATGTGATCTGACAATAAATCCCCTTAAAGAAGGTGACAAAATCTTCAACTAATCCCTTCTTATTTGTGTAAGTACTTGATTGTTCGGAGGATTACGGTACCCAATACTATAATGTCGAGTCGCTAATAAAGAATCTGAATGGTAAATTATATTAAGAAAATTTTGTGATAAAACAAACAAGCAAAACATTACTACAATATAAAAAATTCAAACTGAAACGAAAAATGGAAAACATGCAGCATCGTTTAGGTCTTTTCGAAAATTATTTTTCTAACATTGTACTTGACAGTAGTTCGTGACAAAAAGAAAAAAAAAAATAAGAAGTAGAAAGTCGAAATATAAACGCGGTAAAATGTTAAATTAGTACTGTCGGAAATAAAACTCAAACCAGGAAAAGCTTTCTTTGGTCTGAACATGAATTACAAAACGTGCTGATAAACGGCCAAGTCAAAAACACATCGTCCCTGTACTTTATAAGCAGAAATCAATCAGCATTAACAATTGATAATATCCAAGTGAGACAGAGACGACCCCATCAATCGCTTCCTCAAGATCTCCGAATCTCTCTTTTGCTCCTCCTTTTCCCCTTGTTTATCAATTTCCTCCACTTGGGCCTCTTTAGATGGGATCCGCCGCTGAGATCACCGACCCCACCACCACCGGGACCGAGAGTAAGCACCAGCCGTTACAATTGGCCGAAGAAGAAGAAGAAGAAGACGAACAAGTTGTTGAGTTGGATAGAAAAATTCGTAATGGAAAGAGACCCAATACTCCGGACAGTAGTACTATCACCACCACCACCACCAACACTAACACCAGCTCGTCTTCTAGCTTCTCCGGTGATGGGATCCCCGATTTCCGCAACGGCGAAGGAGACCATGTCGCAATAGAGAGTTTGGAGATCCCGGAGCAAATATCGGAAGTTGGATTTCACGGGGAGCATGACGGCGAAAACAATGTCAACGTCTACTTCGACGGAGAACAAGGTTAGTTACTAAAGATCTCCGATTATTTCATGCCTTGAGCTGATTTCTTATACAGAAACTCTTCTACTCACGAAGATGATTTCAGTTTATAGCTTGATTTAGCGTTCTCTACGCATCAATTGTGAGATATTTCGGAAACGGCGAAAAAAAAAATTGTGAGATATTTCGGAAATGATTCAAATTAATTAGCGTAAAACAAAATTAGAGGTTTAGTCTAGTAAATAAATGGGTGAAGTCGTTGTCATGATTTGATTGTTTGTTAATGAAGGAATTTGGAAATGTCGCCACTGCGATTGGACCTACAGAGAGGAATCTTTGTTATGTTTTGAAACCGAAGGTCAGTCCAGTGTCTTGGACCAACAAAAAATCATTAGATCTCTTTAAAGATTAGATGATTCCTCTGCTGAATTAGTGAAAAGTTGGAAATGTTATGTTTGGTTGAAGATAATCATCATATATGATTGAGTTTCTGGTTAATTCTTGTTTGATGCTCTTCTCTTAGGCTCCGAGTCAGCTGATGCAGAACCTGATGTTGATGAGTCTCAAACTTCTGACCACTTGAACGGAGAGAAAAAGGAGACAGAATCTGAAAAGGATTCAACTTCCGAGGAGAAGAAAGGATCCGGTGAAATCGAAGAAGTACAAGTTGCTGATTTGCCTAAGGAGGTGGATGCTGTTGACCAACAACGCACTGGTGATGTGGTAGAAGAGGAGATTGACATCGACGACGTTGAAGATTATGAGGTGGAGAAAGTGCTGGATAAGCAGGAGACGCATGATTTGTTCTGTCCAAAGTGCAATTCTTGCATCACCAAAATGGTTGTTCTAAAAAAAAGGGTTGTTCTCAAAAAGAGAAAACCGACGATCCCTCGTGTGGTTGACGATCCAAAGCGTTTGAGAGTGTCTCACGAAAGCGAACCTCTTATTCATTCGGAAGACGGTTTGCCACTTGCAGATGATCGTGAAAACTATGTACATGAATCATTCATGTTCAAGTGCTTGTCATGCTTTAGCATATTCATACCAGCAGGTACATTTTATATTGTAACTATTTTCTTTGACAATTACAAACTGAAACTGTATCAGATCCCATCTTCTTTTTTTTTTTTTTTTTTTTTTTTTAGTTATCTAAGGCACGTGCCTTCTTTTTTTGCAGGGGTTGGTTCAAAGCCGATTCCACCTAGTGAAGGTGTTGAGGGGTTAAAGACTCAGCCAAAGCCTACAGGCGATTTCAACTGCTTCGGTTCATTATTTGGATTTAAGAAACAAGAACCAGCTGTTCAACAAGGTATTTGTTTGGTCCTTTTGCCAGTCTCATCAATTGGTTCATGTTTTAAGACATTTCATTCTTCTACTACTTCAAAACGGTGACTCCAGACTGTTGACTTCAGTGACTACTTTAGTGTCTAGAAAAATTAAAACTGCAATGTCTCTCCTTTTTTTTTATTCACTAATGATGCTGAAGGGATTTGTATCAAATTATCATTAGATTTAAATTTATTTCTTTTGTGTTGTCAGGTGGGGCAATGCCTAGAGTCCCGGAAGTTAATCCACCGCGTGACATCCTAAACGTTACTGTAAAAATCCCATCAGAAGCTCCAGTCCTTGTTCAGGATGGTGCAGCAACTCCTATTCAAGGTAAGGACGTTCTATTCCATAACAATTGGGTCAGAGATAAGTGCTTTTCAAGACAAAGAGCCTGTTGACACCTTTTTGACTCAATTTACATTGCGTCACTCTTAGAAAGTGGAACCCATGTTGGTGTCTTGTATAGTTGAATTTTCTTGTGAAGCAACTTGAATGAAAATAAAAACGTGATGGCCATTCCTTCTTCTCTTATTTTTACCTTTTTCGTCTCTCTTTTGATCTTTAACAACTCCACCATTCTGTTCTTGGTATGATGGCAGTTGAAAACCCACATGAAACAAGCAAAGTTGTCAACAATGGAGCTCCTGTTGAACAGGGGCAAAAGGCTCTGGTTCCTTTCGCAGAGGAGCAAACACAGCAAAAGATCGATAAGGATGATGCTAAAGCGGCAGACGAGAAACCCTCGTCAGGCAAAGGACGTCTCACCCCGATGCAACCATCTCATGACATGAACATATCAAACGAAGTGATTAGTGGACCTGATGGTTTCAGCGTAAAAACTACAATTTATGCAGACGGTGTCTCTCATTCATTTGAAGGAACAGACCCTAGACAGCCAGATTTTGGTCTGGCCAAAGTAACAACAGGTGATCTTAATTCCAGTTTATCATGCTGAAAGGAAACAATCTTCATAGCTTCATCATCAAGATTAAGATGTTAACATTTCCGCTTCTGTTTAGATGTGATTGACACAGGTGACAGGGGAGTTATCACCGGTCCGGCAAGCTCTAGAATTGATATTGCACCGCTTCCAGTTAGTTCGCTGGGAGACGTGACTCTAACGGCACCGTTACTGACACCAGCTGTTGAAGGACGTAAAGTGGAAATCTTGAAAAGCATTGTATACGGAGGTCTCATCGAAGCCATCACAAGTCTCGGTGTTATCTCATCTGCTGCTGGTTCCGGTGCTTCAACGCGTAAGTACCTCTTACTCTTTATTGCATTGTGAAACACAAAAGCTTAACACTCGTATATGTCCCATTGTGGTTGCAGTGAACATTTTGGTCTTGGGGCTTGCAAACTTGTTCGGCGGACTAATTCTCATAATTCATAATGTAAGTGTTCTTCACTTAAAAACATTTTCGTAATCTTGATGCAGTTTCAAGAAACTCACAAAGAAACTTCTTTTTGCAGCTCCAAGAACTTAGAGATGAGGATCCAAGAATAACAACAACCACAACAACAACAGCAGAGGAGAACAAAGAACAAGGTCGGTACAAGCGACTCCTCGGACGAAGAGAGAACTTCACGCTCCACGCAACAGTCGTAATCTTGTCCTTCATAATCGCGGGACTGCTCCCTCCTGTAGTCTACTACTTCTCATTCAGCAAAACACACAACGTAAACCACAAAGTCGCGTCGGTTTTCGGGGCGTCTCTGCTACTCATCGTCTTGCTCGCGCTGGCCAAAGCTCACGTGAAGACCCCGAGAGGCAGCCTCCTGAAGAGCGTCCTGTACTACACGATGATCGCTGTTTCGGTCTCGGGGATTTCTTTCGTGGTTGGTGAGTTTGTGGATCATTTGCTTGAGAAGTATGGATGGTCCGATGGATCCGAAGCTCCAGCTGGACACATGATGCTTGACCTTATGGGGAGAAAAGCCGGTGGCTTTGGATACGCATCGTCGTTCTGAAACTTAACCTTGTAATCCTATCACGTCCTACTTTTCTCTTTCACTCTGCTTTATGAGCTTTTTCTGTTGGACCCTTTTTGTGTGTGTTTTTAGGCCAAGTCTTTGTTGACTTGTGCGAGTGTAGAAGTCTTTTCCAAGAGTAGGAAGCGCAAAATAAATACGGTGACCTGTTTGACATTTTTTTGCTTTATTAGATTAACAAAAAAAAAAAAAAAAAAAAAATTAGAAAAATGGTAAAAATGTAGGTTCTACCGAGAATTGAACTCGGGTTACTGGATTCAGAGTCCAATGTCCTAACCGCTAGACCATAGAACCATTTGTGAACACAAGCCGATGGAGTTTTATATATTCAGTGAATGACAACGATTTGAAACCATTAGCGGACATCAGTTACGGTCGCATTGGCCATTTGGTTTTTGATTTGATTAAATTTAGTTCTAGTGGCTAGCCAGTTGGTTGGGTTATTTTCATAACCGTCAGATTCAAATTCGAATTAAAGGGAGCCTTTACATCTGGACGGCTCACATTTCATCTCTCTTCATTTCTCTCTCAATTTCAATTTCAGAGATCGAAGAAAAGCACAGCTTTTGCCAGAAACGGTGACGATAGAGAGACAGAGAGAGAGAGAAGGAAGGAGGGAGGAGAGTCAGAGTCAGGGCCGATTTGATTTCCCTGAAAAATTTCAGTCTTTTTTCTTTCCTTTTTCTCTCTTTCTTGTGTTTCCAGATTTGTATATCAAATCCATTTCCAAAGATTCCCAAAAGTGGCAAGGAAGCAAAGTACTGTATCCGCTTTTGTTGTTCCCCTGTGAAAGAAAGGAATTTTCATTTCCCAGAAGAGAGATTCTAGAGAAATACGACATAGAGAAGAGGAGGATAGGAAGGGGATTTGACCTAATTTTTTGAACTTTTAGGGATTTTTAAATTGATTGCTGTAAAATGGAGACGGAGAGTATGGACTGCGAATCGTCGGTGAGAAGCATCCAGAACGATGAGATCCATCACACCGGAACTTACCATTTTTCTTCGACGAAGAGTCACGCCGGAGCCGCCGCCGCCGTTGTTACCAATATAGTCGGTCCCACTGCAACCGCTCCGGCCACTAGCGTCTACGAGCTTCTCGAGTGCCCTGTCTGTACCTATTCTATGTATCCCCCTATCCATCAGGTGAATCTCCTGATGCTCTTTCAATGTCAGTCAAATTCGTTCGTTTGAAATTCATGATGTTGAAGTTCTTAATCCAGTAGTGATTTTGCTTGAAAACCGATTACTATTTGAGTAGTTTTGACTCAATACATTCCAGAAACTGAGGCTTGTGTAACTCTGCTTGCGTATTTACTTCACTATTGATGGAAGATGCTTCAATTGAGCCAGGCCAAGTTCTTGATTTTTGGAAATTGATGTGTCTTTGATGATTGTTTGCAGTGCCATAATGGACACACGTTGTGCTCGACCTGTAAAGTGAGGGTGCATAACCGGTGTCCAACGTGTAGGCAAGAGCTTGGGGATATAAGATGTTTAGCGCTTGAGAAAGTAGCCGAGTCGCTTGAGCTTCCCTGCAAGTACTACAATCTTGGGTGCCCTGAGATATTTCCTTACTACAGCAAACTAAAGCACGAGTCTCTCTGCAACTTCAGACCTTACAGTTGTCCTTACGCTGGCTCGGAGTGTGGTATCGTTGGAGATATCCCTTTCCTTGTAGCCCATCTGAGAGATGATCACAAAGTTGACATGCACGCTGGTTCCACTTTCAACCACCGTTACGTCAAATCCAATCCTCGTGAAGTAGAGAACGCCACTTGGATGTTAACTGTGAGCATCCTTCTCTGTCTATGAAACATGATTCTCTTCAATGTTTTAACGGTTTCCTCTCTTGTTTCTTGACTTGGTTTTAGGTATTTCATTGCTTTGGGCAATACTTCTGCCTGCATTTTGAGGCGTTCCAGCTGGGGATGGGTCCGGTGTACATGGCGTTCCTGAGATTCATGGGGGACGAGGAAGAAGCAAGGAGCTACAGCTACAGCTTAGAAGTTGGAGGCAGTGGGAGGAAGCTGACATGGGAAGGAACGCCGAGAAGCATCAGAGATAGCCACAGGAAAGTGAGAGACAGCAACGACGGTCTCATCATACAAAGAAACATGGCGCTCTTCTTCTCCGGTGGAGACAGGAAAGAGCTTAAACTTAGAGTCACTGGTAAAATCTGGAAAGAGCAACACAGCCCAGATTCTGGGCTTTGTATACCAAACCTATCTTCCTCCTGATCATTCATTTTTGTTTTCTCTTACTTTGAGGAGGTATGAAAGTCGATGTGGGATATATTCTTAACAGAAGGAAAGCTGTATGATCGAATTGTTTGCAATGTTCTTCGTTGTCTGTATCTAAAACATGTTTATGAATGAATGAATGTTTGATCTTATCAGAAGTTTTAAGTCTCATTTGTTGGTAACCTTGGATCGGAATTCAGATGCCTAAAACTTAAGATTCATTACTTTACAATAATACATGGGGAAATTGAAGATATACGATCATTTGAAAAGAAAATGCGATTGCTGGGAATATATGACATGTATCATGTAAAATGTGTGTTTGAAAAATATGGAGGTGCGGGGAATCGAACCCCGTGCCTCTCGCATGCGAAGCGAGCGCTCTACCATATGAGCTACACCCCCTGTTTGATAATTATCACCAATAAAGATTATTGTTTTATGGTCATACCCGCAAACAGATGACAAATCTATTTTGAGTTTTATAAATTTTTTGATGTGGATCTACAAATGTTATACAAGTTGCCAATCAAGAAAATCAGGAAGGTTACTGGTGAATCAGTGAATGTAACTTATGCATTTATCTATCATGTAACATATATAAGCTAAAATATGATGTTATTCAATTCATATTAATTCTGTAAGATTTTTATCATGTAATATTTCAACAAATCTTATTTTTTTGTCAACAGGATTTGAACAAATCTTTAAATTGTGATTTTAATTGAAAAAAATATGGAAAAAAATGTTGAAGGGAATTGTAATTTTTCATATTATCAAATTGAATGACAATTGACAAATAGGAAAAGAATTTGAACAAGGAATACGAGGAAATTAAGGAAAAAGACCCAATCCTAGTTTAAGAGGGTTTTAACTTTTAAGTTCTGTTTCTTCTCGAACTTTCCTTTTTGCCTTTGTGACTTCCGCTATAAGTACACAATCTTTGTTACATTGGATTGACATCAAGAGAAATTCATTCATTCCGATTTCTTAATCCCTGAGACTACACAGCAGCTAAACCCTAAAGCTCAACAAACACCAATGGCGATTATCTCTGAGATGCAGGAGGAGAAACCCTCGTTGCCGTTCAAGGCAAGTTTTGAACCGTCAAACCCATTAGGGTTTTTGGAGAAAGTCCTCGACTTTATTGGGAAAGAGAGCGACTTTCTGATGAAAGACACGGCGGAGAAGGAGATCTCCACTGTTGTTAAGGCCGCGAAGGAGAAATTGAAGCAAGCGGAGAAGAAGAAGGCCGAGAAGGAGAGCTTGAAGCCCGTGGAGAAGGAGAGCTTGAAGCCCGTGGAGAAGGAGAGCTCGAAGCCCGTGGAGAAGAAGCTGAAGCAGGAGAGTGTGCCTCCGGTGGAGCCCATGGAGGTGGATAAGCCCAAGGAGGAAGAGAAAAAAGAAGGTGGTCCTATCGGTAAGTCCTTCGTTTTCCCTTTTTTTAATATGGAAATTGCTATGTCACTTGCTTTTCAGAGGCAAGTGAGGAAATTTTTGGTTTAGGGTTATGTCTCCTTAGTTAAAAATTGGATCTTTATTGATGAATGTGTGGAATGAGCTCTGTTTCCTCAGTGGTCTTGGATTTTGTTTGGTTCAATTTGCCCTTATAGGAACTAGAAAGTTAGGATCTTTAATGCATTGAGAGTCGAAATTATTGTACCAAAAACCAATTCTGGAGTGAAAGATTCTAACTTTATGTTCTCTCTTGTTTGGTGCAGTTCCTAACAAAGGGAATGGGCTTGATTTTGAGAAGTACTCATGGACGCAGAATCTCCAGGAGGTCACTGTTACCATTCCAGTGCCTGAGGGAACTAAATCACGCTCTGTTACCTGTGAAATCAAGAAGAACCGTATTAAAGTTGGTCTCAAAGGGCAAGAACCAATCATCGATGGAGAATTCTTCCACACTGTCAAGCCTGACGACTGCTTCTGGAATATTGGTATGTTCTTAGGTTCTTGTTATAGACATTCAGCTACTACTAAATCTTTTGAGTGTGTATTTATAATATGATGTTTACTTTTGCAGAGGATCAAAAGGTGATATCGGTGCTCTTGACAAAGCTTGACCAGATGGAGTGGTGGAAATACTGTGTGAAGGGAGAGCCTGAGATTGACACTCAGAAGGTTGAGCCAGAGAGCAGCAAGCTTGCGGATCTCGACCCTGAAACTCGCAGCAGCGTTGAGAAGATGATGTTTGATCAGAGGCAGAAGCAGATGGGACTCCCAACGAGCGATGAGATTGAGAAGAAAGATATGATGAAGAAGTTCATGGCTCAGCATCCAGAGATGAACTTCTCTAATGCAAAGTTTAACTGATGGATTTCATCCAAAACCCTTTTTTCTCTTGAGCCAGTTTTGTATTGAATCTATCATCTTTTTATGGCTTCAAGATGAAATCTGCCCTTTTTAGTTAAATATTCCGTTGTTAAAAACTTCTTCTGGTTATTGCTTAATGATGTGTTCAAAACTGGTTTGGCAATGAAGCGAATATGGTTTTGTCGTTTTATTATCTTAATTCTTGCTTTAATCTCTTTCTTTTGGATCATATCTAATAAAAAGTGAATTGAATAATCATACAGTTTATTTGTCTTGGTACCTTTTACACTTGTGTTTAACACTATAACCATAGTTCTCAATGATTCAAAAGAGACAACAGCAGTAGACTGACATATTAAGAATAATTTCATGGCTAAGCATTGGTTTATTTAGAGATGAAATCTGCTTCATTGCTTCAAGATGAAATCTGCTTCATTGGTTTATTTAAAGGCAGTTGTTGATCCGTTAAATATACCATTCTGAAAAACTTACACCTGGTTATGCTCAATGGTGTGCTCAAAACTTCCATTTTTTTTTTTTTTTTTTTTTTTTTTTAAGTGAAGGACTAGGAAACTGAATATTCTTCGGAATAAGATATGAAAGACAACTATTCTATCAGTCAAAGTCTATAATTAATTCATTATCAAAATCTGTGACACCAAAAGATTCTTTTCATACATTATAATCGGTAGAATCTCCGGTGAGATTTTGCTGGTGGCTTGGAATATTCTTGTAAAGGTTGTTTCTAGTGTAAATTAGATTTGATGAAAACTGTTCATGTGGTCCTCTGTTCCATTGTTCTCAGTGATCCAAAAGAGACAACAACAGTAGATGACAAAATTTCTTCTTATATTATTTACATCAGAATATAACCTAAACTTAAGAGCTTTGGATGGTGATGGAGAATCTGAGCAGTAAGAACAATCTAGTGCCACAATGAAGTTAGCATGCGCTCTATGATACTTTATTTTTCAGTTCCAAAAATGAAGTACTGAACATGGTCCATTAAAAAAAATGAAAGTCTGAAATGTAACATGCAAAACAGAGCAGAAACCACATCCAACCAATCAGTCTAGACGATGATAGCCCGACCTTCCTGGTCCAAGAGCTTCTTTTAGGCATATAAATAAGCACCTTGAGCTACATAACGATTGCAACCTCCTTTCTTTGAGTACGCTCACGTAAAAATCCATTCATGTATGTTAAGTATACAGCGGTTAAATTTGAATTGAAATTGTTTGGCACCACCTGTGATTTTTGTTGTTGTTATTTCATTGGCCAACACCAACTTAAAACTATCACTAATACCGATCATGACGACATGTAACTCTATTTTTGTTGTCAAATCTTGTTTTACCATCATTTACTCTATTGTTATAAGTAAAACCATAAGACTGATTGAACTTGGAAGCAATCCCAATCAGTTTGCTGCGCGTATACACGCGGTAGGGTATGCTTCCTGAGTGGCGCCGCCTTGCGCATTGGCAATGAACAATAAGTCAATAATACATCCAACCATTGGAAAGTATCGCAAAAGCCAAATGTTTCAATTTTCACGTTACAGTGATGTGATGAAATGAAAGACAGAAATATATGCATAGTTTAGTTAGTTATATGAAAACAAATATATACAATACATAGAGATCCAACTTGATAAGAAATGTCAACGTTGTTTGAGAGAAAAACCAATACTCCCATGACCCAACAATCCAACATATTGGGGCTCGGACTATTATATCAACGCCGAATTAAATACAGTATAAAACAAAACAAAAAGAAACCCACTTGTGATAAAATATTCAGTTGACATATTCAAAAAGAATATAAACGCTAACGAAAACTTAGCAATGAACTATAACCAAAAAGAAAAATATTCGGCACATTGGTCCTTAATCAAATGACCATGTTCTTACAGAAAACATATGGTTATCAAATTTGGACCAGGAAGAAAGACTTGTATGCTCGTCTCCTCATAAGAAAAACGTGATTTGAACGTAAATTAGATAGGGTCATTCTCACACTATACGAAACAGAAAACAAATTTTACTTTTAGTACGTACAGAACCCATTCTGAAAATTTTCACATGTCACTCAGTGTTTGTCATTTCCTCAAAACTTTATATTCAAAAATATAAAGCCAAGATTGGACGTCACGGGAGCTCACTTCCTCGCCATAAAGTCTCAAAAGCATATGAAAGAGTTGATTAGATTACATGAATTTGGTTACAAAGTACAACCAGATTGTATTCTATGAAGGAACTCATTGTTCCCATTATTATTCGTCAGAGATCTCTATCATAGAGATTAGAGAACAATGATAAATTGATAATTGTCGCGATTAACAAAATCTAAAGCACGAGACTTATTATCATCACGCGCTTTGAGTTAAAAGGAAAATATCAGAGAGAGGTCACAATGTGGGACCTATGCTAAACATGTGCTGCCTCTCTAGTCTCTAGTGTCACCTACCTACTGTGAGTTGCTTACTGCTACTACTACCCTATAATTACTGTACTTAATTATTTAGTTAGGCTTGCTTTTCAAAAGTAATCTTGTTTGTCTACTAGTCCAACAATGGTTTTGGTTTCATCAGAAGAGATCGATCGATTTGTACAAATTATTGTAACGACTAATGGTTCACCACTGCTTATATCCATCCCAATTGACAATGGCTCATATACGAGTTTCTATTAAACGCAAAGGAGGCATAAGCCGTTACATGGAGATGACTGTTGTGAATCACTAATCCTATGTGGTTCTCAAAGCTGCACAAGTTTAAAGAAAGTTTAAGGGTGGTTCCTTTAGAGAAGTTATCAAAACTACAATGTTACCATATTGACCAGCTTTATATGCTAATTTTTAACACTTTGATATTGATTCTCGTTTTCTAAAACAATAAATTAGAAAGTTGATTGGTAATTCTCTGCAGAAAAAAAATAACTTTACCAAGTACTAACATAGTGGGAGTTACTAGCATATTATACTATTTATTTTCTTTTTCCCTTAAAAATTTTTGTTTGCTCCCCAAATATTTAAAGCAGAGAATATGGGTTTTAGTGACCACAACGCTGCAATAAATTACAGATAAAAATTTATGATCGGTCCTCTCCACATCACAAAGGCAAGAAGGGGGCCAAAGTTGAAAGTACACAACTTTTCCTCAGGGTATGCTCCAAATCCCAACTTGGCCTCTCTTTTTTTCTCATTTCCTTGAAAATTTATGCTCACTCTCTCCTCTGTTCAATTCCCCATTTCTACTTCTAGGGAAAAAATTATAAGCAAGAACAAGGAAAGAGGAGAAGAAATGTATGCAGAAAGTGGGTTAGCGTTCCACCGATTCATGCAGGGTTGTCCTCCAGAAACTCAGCAATTCGATGACCTTTTCAAATCATACAAACTCTCCGATGAAATGGTTTGTCTAATTTTCTCGTTTTGGGTTTCTTGTCTCTTATGGGGTTATCTTTGATGAAAATAAAGTGAAATTCCTCTCTTGATGATTGATGAAGAAAATTGGAGTGTGGAGTAGATGAAAAACACTAAAATTAGTGGATAATATTAAGGACAAACAAATTCTAGTTGAGTGATTTTTTGATAACTGGAAACTTGATTTGATCTTTTTTGCTGAACACACATCTGTTTTGGCTTCCAAAATTGTATCTTTCTTAGCAGATGAAAAAAAGGGAATCTTCTTCTTCTGATGCTTTGATACTTTGATAGAAAGAAAAAATCTCAACTTTATTCTTCCTCTGAGGAAAAATAGAAATTTTTATCGGTTTGTGAAAATGGAATTAACCCTTTTCTCTTTATACAAACTGAGCTTTAGAAAAACCATAAGATTGACAACAAACTTTTGTGTGTGTTTTCGAACATCAGATTCCGTGTTCAAAATGACTTCTTTTCTCATTTATTCTCTTGCTCTGTTTGTGTCTTGTCATCTTCGTAGCTTCGTTTTCTTTACAATCATTCTCCACTAAGACTGTAACAAACTGGAAATATTCGCTTTCCTCTTTACCCTTTTTGAACGAATCTTCTCCTAAAGAGATCTCGTGAGTGTTTGTGCATAAAGCCAAAGAAGAAACTCACTTGAGTTTGTGGACATAAGTTTTGAGCTGTGATCTTTGTTCTCTCTGTTTTGTTTTGACCTTCTTCTTCTTATGAATGTGAAGCAGAACAATCTTGTTCAGTCATGTGAGTATGGTTTTGGAGAAGAGAGTGACCTATTCAAAGCCCCTGAGCCGATGATGATCGAAGAGCCAATGCTGCTAGCAGTTGATCCTCTCTCTCAAGAGATTGCTGAACTAAGCGATCTCGGGTCATTGCAGAGTGACCAACAGCTTATAGACAAGGCTTTCTACGACTGTGAGCAGGACCTCCTCGTGAAATCAGCCATGGAGTCTCCGCTTTCCGAGGTACTAGACGTCAAGAACATCTCACTAGTGGCGAAAATGGAGGACGTTGTCAAGAGTAGTGTAGTCGTATCTGACGTCCCGGTTCCAAAGAGCGTGAGCTCTGGGAATCTGAGCTCAATGGACATGGCACAGCAGCACGAGGATGGAATGAGAAGAGCCTTCAGCGAAAGCGATATACAGGTTTTGTGCTGGTCTCTTTCTTGTCAAATCATCCATATTTATATGTTCATCACTTATGGATGTTTTGGTTTATGACAGACACTTGGGACTAGAAACGCGGTTCTTGTTCAGTCTCAGTTGGATCGAATCATTGTAAGTTGCACATCTGAGGACCGCCGTGAGAAGCTTTCTCGATACAGGAACAAGAAGAGCAGGAGGAACTTCAGGCATAAAGTCAAGGTAAAATACCTGACTGTTTGTGTGCAGTATCTCAAATCTCAATACCGTTTTGTTGGAGACTGAGTTCTTGGTTGTTTCGGTATGGTTGCAGTATGCTTGCAGGAAGGCTCTTGCGGACAGTCAACCGAGGATCCGAGGAAGGTTTGCGAAAACAGAGGAGATGCTGCAGAAATGAGGATTAGTAGTTGTTAGGTACTAAAGATGAAGCAAGAAGAATAGTTTGATGGATGCAGTGTGTTCAAATTATATAAGACTCCACTCACATTGTATATAAGTGGTTTGTCTGAATAAGCCTAAGGAGTAAGTAAAGTGTAAAGATTAGGAAGTAAAAAACAAGCTGTAGTAGTTAATCAAGCAGTATATGCTTGCTTGCTTATATATGTTAGATCTTGTGAAGCTTTGTCTCTAAAAATCTAAATATATAAGCTGTTTGAATGTTCCTTTGTGTGATTAACAGTTGACATAGCTTTTGACTTTTGATGCATGATTGTGATTTTGTGAATACAAGGATAACGTTTTGAAAATATGAAAAAATGAGAAATCTACCCAAACATTGATATCTTTTAAGTAAACATATTTCGTTGATATACTACACATTAAAATATCGTCAATTATTAACATGAAGTCATGAACTACTCCATTTTTACAAAACAGTCAACCATGACTTCAAGTTTTACAGTTGTAAACGTAATACAGTTACTTTATGTAAACAATGTTTCGATTTGTACACTTACGAACTCTGAGATTAAAAATAGTTTTCGGTATAAACCGGGGAAACGGGACAAATCATTTCTTTAACTGGATTTAACGGAACTGAAGGTTAATGAGAAAGATTACTGCTTCACAAATCATCTCGAACATGATTGGGCTTCTCCATTTTTTTCCTTCTAAAGTCTAAACACAGAGCTTGGTTAGTTCTAAACCGGAAAAAAACCAGAGAAATTGTATTAGTACGAATATACCCTCATAAGAGTTGTGATAAAATTGGTGGGAAACTTTTCAATTTTCTTGTTTGGATCAAATTTTGTAGCATACTTCTTCCATAAGCCTCACCGGTGCATAAACTAAAGAAGAACAGAGAACAAATATTCAAAAAAATAACATTTATCAAAATTCGACATCTTCTGTGTAAGAATTGCAAAGCAGGAGAAGTTTCACTTCGCTAATTCCTTCGTAGTAGTTGTAACTTGTGTAGCCTTCCTTATAGATCATACGGAAAATAAGTACACTGTCGTAGCGCCGTGCCCGTACTATGTGAGTTTCCATTGCAGCTGCAAGTATCTTGTAAGCTCATAAAAGAATATTGACAACGTTTTTGATTTTGATATCAAAATTAAGAGAACATTAGAGAACAATGACAAAAACACGATCTTTGAATTGGGTCCGAAAATGAATGAAACGAGGACGGAGGAAGAAGAAGAAGAAGAAAAAAACGTGAGTACTTTGCTTATTATCCTCCTCTGGCGCATGTTAGCTTAATCACAGTAATGTGCACCGTCTCACTCACGCTATTCAGAAGGTGACTGCCGATTCAACGACCCACTCTTCTCCGTTTCTCTCTCTTCACCTCTGTCACACTTTCTCTCTCTAAATTTTTTCTTACCCAGAAAAAAAAAAATACAATTTTTGCTGCAAATTCTCCGTTTTTTCGACTAAAACAAATTTCTCCTGCATTCCCTTCCGGTTTCGTTATCCAAATCATAAGAAATGACGCATTTTTATTTGTAATTTTGTTTTTCTTTTCTTTCTGGATTTTATAGAAAGCGAGAGAAGTTAGGAACAGATCTCTCTCTCTCTCTCTCTCTCACTTTTCTCTTTCTGCTCATTCGTGCCAAACGTCTCTTCTAATTCTATCTTTCATTAAAATAAAAACATCTGCAATTCTGTGACTTTCCTTGTTTGATACGACGGGTCTGCGATTTCCAGCTCTGGGTCAGATAAGACGGAGCTCACGGAGCACTTTGACATCGGGAAATTTCGGAATTCAGGGATAGATTAGGGTTCGTGAGCGATTGAGGGGTTTTAGCTGCTGATTGTGGATTGAAACAGTAGATATTTGTTCGTGATGATGCTCTGATTGGTTTCTGGGGATTTGCAGAAGAGAATGATAATCAAACGGAAGCTTAAAACCCGATTGCCGAGTTTGAAACGGTGCAAACCCAGCAGCTCGGCGAGTGAGTGCGGTGGCTCAAGGAAGAAGAGAAAGGCGAACTTGGGAGGTTACTACCCGCTCAACCTCCTCGGAGAACTCGCCGCCGGGATTGTTCCAGGCGGAGGCCGGAATGGATTCCCTGCTTCGTGGTGCACTGAAGTTTCGTGCTCTCCTGCTGTTGAGGTAGAGTCGGTGTCCAACAGAAGATCCGATTCCGTCACTGCGCGGGATGCTCCGGCTGGTGCCTCCCGTCCACCGGTAATTCGAACATCAAGGGGACGAATTCAGGTGCTTCCTTCTCGATTCAACGACTCGGTGCTCGATAATTGGAGGAAAGACGGCGCTAATAACAGCGAACGCGACTGTGATGACGAGGAAGCAGAAGAATGCAGGAACGAGAAAGTTAGTTCTCGAAGTCTTAAAGCTATTAATTTGAAAAGCAAGCAGCTTGATAGGAGCCGCAAGTATAATGCATTGTATAAAGAAGAAACGTTTCGCGAGAAACATGGTGAGGCTCGTCCTCGTGTTGACAGGACGAGGGAAGATGAGAAGCTTCCGAGGAAAGATGGTTCTTACGGGCCAGAGAACTTCTATTCAGGTGACTTGGTTTGGGCTAAATCTGGGAGAAGTGAGCCGTTTTGGCCGGCCATTGTTATCGATCCGATGACGCAAGCACCGGAGCTTGTTTTGCGTTCTTGTATACCCGATGCAGCCTGCGTTGTGTTCTTCGGTCACTCTGGGAACGAGAATGAGAGGGTACGAAGACACAAATGGCTTCATTCGTATTCTAAAAGCTGCTGGATTCTGATTTCTGACTGTTGTTTTTAATGTAAACAGGACTATGCATGGGTGAGGAGAGGGATGATCTTCCCTTTTGTGGATTACGTTGCCAGGTGGGTCTCTTAAATTATCAAAAGAAAAATGTGTTCCATGTGGATTAGTGCTTTACAGCTACTTATTCAGGTTCCAGGAACAGTCTGAGCTGCAAGGGTGCAGCCCTGGGGATTTTCAGAAGGCACTTGAAGAAGCATTCACTGAGAAGTTGATGCATGATATTCACATGGCTGTTGGTAACTCGACTTTTAACGATTCTTTCTACAGATGGATTCAAGAAACCGCGGCCTCAAATCGGGATCTTACTAACAATGCTCCAAGCCAGGCAAGTGTCTCTGCCTGTGATGCAATTTTTTTGCAACATGTTCGTTATAGGATTTTGTTCTAGATCTCCAAACAACTCAATGCTGCTAAGATTTTACTTCCATGCCCTTGGTCCATATTTTTGTAAATTTCTTCCAGTTTGAGCAGTGTATCTAATTGACTTTATGCTTTGCAGGAGTTAATGAGATACAGAAATCCCTTAGCCTGTGTAGGATGTGGAACGGTCATTTCTTTTTGAGATGGCAAAAAAGATGAAAGCTCTGATTCCTGGAGATCAGTTGTTGTGTAAACCATGTTCAAGGGTATGTAGGGTCCCTTGTTCTGTGATAATGCTTGGTATAGTTTTCATTGATCGAGAAATGGTTGCATGAGAGTAAGCCTACGTTGGTTGTTGTTGCAGTTGACAAACTCTAAACACAATTGTGGTATATGCAAGAAGCTAAGGAACCCTGTGGGCAGTCAAACCTCGGTACGAAAACAATTAGACTCTATAGGGCTATAGCCTCAGGTTTTGGTTGTTTTTTTTGTATTTTGATTAATATCCGGGTAATGAATTAGGTGCGCTGTGATAGTTGTAAAGTATGGGTACACGCAGAGTGTGACCATATATCAGATAAGGATTTGAAGGTATGTTAATTTTGGAGTTCATTAAGGTTATCCTATACTCATCTGCTTGCACGTGTTGAGATCAAGTTCGTTTGATGATCTGAAGGGCTTGGAGGGAACAGATTACGATTGTCCTACTTGCAGAGCTAAATTTAACTTTGAGTTATCACATTCAGGAGAACCAGACTCAAAGTCAAAGTAGGACGCTTTTCCGTAACTTTGATTATTGTTTTCACAACAACTGTATTTTGATTGCCAAATGTATAAATTTGGGGATTTTCTGGTACAGACTTGGGAAAGGCGATGATCGGGTGGTTCTTCCTGACAAGGTTACGGTTGTATGCTGTGGAGTAGAAGGAGTATATTTCGCGAGTGACCATTTGTAAGCAGATACCTTTTTACCGTTTCCTTGCACAAGCAAGAAACTTTGGAGACTACCTTCCCTAGGTTTTCAGGTTTCTTTGCTGAATGATCTGCTGTTGTTTAACTACAGAGTCGTATGTAAGTGTGGCTCGTGTGGACCTCGAAAGAAACAATTAAGTGAATGGGAAAGGCATACTGGATCAAAGTCAAAAAACTGGAAGACCAGTGTGAAAGTCAAAAGCTCGAAGCTGCCACTAGAAGAATGGGTTTGTACAATAACTCTTCTTGTTTCTTTCAAAGATGTTGATTTTCTAAAAAGTAATCTGACATATTTATTTGCCGGACCTTTCCCTTACTCTACAGATGTTGAATTTAGCAGAGTTACATGCAAATGCTACAGAATCTAAAGTTCCTAAACGACCTTCCATAAAGCAGAGAAAGCAGAAGTTGCTTGCTTTTCTGTCAGGTATAATAGGAAATGGAATCCCGTAACATGTTGCAAAGTTTCAAGTGCCTGTGTAATGCTTTTGTTGGCTTTTCATTTTGTTGTTGGCAGAGCCATATGAGCCGGTCAATGCAAAGTGGACAACAGAACGATGTGCAGTTTGCAGATGGGTAGAAGATTGGGACTACAACAAGATTGTTATCTGCAACAGGTGCTGTTTATAATCTTGTTTTTGCTCGTCTTTTCTTAAAATCATGATTTCATCCAACTGAATAAGCCACGCGGATGCTAAATTTGACTTGCCAGTAAACACTTTTTTTTTCCGTTCAATATTTGGCTCACACGGACTCTGTAAGATAGGATTTTCTTGCTAGTTTCTGTGGATAAGATATATTAGCCAGAGCTTTCCGTTAACTTTTATGTCATCATGGGGAGCCTTTGGGAAGCAAAAGATGGTTGTTTTCTGTGGAATATATAATGGCGAGTTGTGAAGAATGATCCAATATCATTGTTTATTAATGTTTGTTCTTTCGCTTTCTTCCCCAGATGCCAAATAGCAGTGCATCAGGAATGCTATGGCGCTAGACATGTTCATGATTTCACCTCATGGGTCTGTAAAGCATGTGAGAAAACCCGGTATTAAGCGGGACTGCTGCCTCTGCCCTGTAAAAGGTACGCCTTTTCATTTTGTGGCGCCTGAATATTTCGTGTCAACCTATATTTTACACGGTCGTACTACTAGTGTAAAGCTTTTTCCGAAAGTAATTGCTTTTCCTGATGGCACTTTTGCATATTTCCTTCAAAGATGGTTTCATAAAGCATACTACGTTATCTGTTATCTGTTTCCCTTACAAGATATAGGCATTATCTAACATATGGCATTGCTGCCTACTGACTATATTCTTGTCCCGGTACTGTTCTGACTGATAATAGGAGGTGCATTGAAGCCAACTGATGTGGAAACAGTGTGGGTTCATGTTACATGTGCTTGGTTTCAGCCTGAAATGTGTTTTGCAAGTGATGGAAAAATGGAACCAGCTGTTGGGATATTGAGTATTCCATCAAGTAATTTTGTGAAGGTATATATTAATGTAATCTATTGTGTTCATTTTGGTTGGCACTCGAGAGTACTCTTTTCCAAACTGGTTGGTGAATTCCACTGTCAGCAGAGGGCTAATATAGTTTTCATTATTTCTTTGGCAAATTTCAGATTTTTCTAAACTAATTTTTAAGAAAAATTTGGTTTTGATGGATTCCAGATATGTGTAATATGCAAACAAATACACGGCTCGTGCACTCAGTGTTGCAAGTGTTCAACGTATTACCACGCCATGTGTGCCTCCCGAGCTGGTTGTAGAATGGAGGTATGCTTAGTGTTCCTTCATTTCAGTTTTATCTTGCCCTGCATATGAACAATATAAAACCAAATTGCTGTATACGTTTTGTAGTGGAACTGGTTTTCGATAGACAATGTGTTTTGCCTCTTCAATTTTATATTAACTTGACCGTTCTGCTTTCCTTTGCAATCTGTCATATACTCCATTTTTATATTTCCATGCGTTATGTATGCAGTTGCACTGCTTGGAGAAAAATGGTCGGCAGAATTCAAAGATGGTGTCCTATTGTTCCTATCACAGGCAACATTTCGCAATATTCTGCCTAAAGAAGCTTTGTATTATGATGAGCTCTGGTTATAAATGGTGTTTTCACTATTTTTGTTTTTGGTTTGTAGGGCTCCGAACCCAGATACTGGTCTTAGTTATACAAACTCCTTCAGGGGTCTTCTCTGCAAAGAAGTCTTGTCCAAAACAAGAAGAAAGGTGGTTCTCGCCTTATTTCATTAATCAGAGAAGACAACGAAGAGTCACCCGCAGAGGATACCGTTACATGTGATCCATTTTCTGCTGCTCGTTGTCGACCATTTAGAAGAAAGATCAATAGGAAGAAGGTATTATATTGGGTCTTATCCACACAACAAAAAAATGTCTGTATCTTCCATTGCACGTCCCCTTTGTCAACTAGACCGATCTTGGTTTTGTAGAGGAGTGAAGAAGAAGCCATTCCTCACCGCACAAGAGGACCACAGCATCATCCATCGGCAGCAATCCAAGCTCTAAACACATTCAGGGTAAGAAATTCTTCATGAAGTGCTTCTTCTACTCTGTTTCCAACTATTATTTGGATCTGACAGTTTTGGGTTGTTTTACGTGTAGCATGTGCCGGAAGAGCCCAAATCGTTTTCTTCTTTCAGGGAACGACTTCACCACTTACAGGCAAGCATTCTTAGAAAGAGATTGCAACACTGAGATGTTTCTCTTTTCTGGGGGTATTATCAAATGTAACAAGTGTATGTTTCATGCATCAGAGGACAGAAATGGATCGGGTCTGCTTTGGGAGATCTGGAATACATGGGTGGGGTCTTTTCGCGAGAAAAACTATTCAAGATGGAGAAATGGTACGTAGATTCACCCATTTATGAATTTTCTTTTGTTTATTCGGGACAAGAGTGAGTGTTGAGATGAAACTTTGTTTTAGGTTCTCGAATACAGAGGGGAACAAGTGAGAGGTATCATTGCAGACTTGAGAGAAGCACGGTATCGCAGAGAAGGGAAGGATTGCTATGTGAGTTTAAATTTTTGTATCCTTTTTTATCTCAACAATTTTCTCCTTCTCTCTCTGTCCCTAAGGGAAGGATTTTGTGTTACTTGCAGCTGTTCAAGATCAGTGAGGAAGTAGTGGTTGATGCTACAGAGAAAGGGAATATAGCTCGGCTCATTAACCATTCGGTAAGTAGCTTTGGATGGCCTTTTTCACGTTTTATATAGATTTAGAGACTCTGAAGCCTAAATCAAGATATGTGGTGCAGTGTTCGCCAAATTGCTACGCAAGGATAATGAGCGTAGGAGACGAGGAAAGCAGGATTGTCCTCATCGCCAAGGCCAATGTTGCTGTTGGAGAGGAGTTAACGTACACTACACATTGCTATATACAATTCTTCAATCCTAAAGCTTATGATGTCATAGTTTATGAAAATGTTATGTGTTGTTTGGCAGGTATGATTACTTATTTGATCCAGACGAGCCAGAGGAGTTCAAGGTTCCATGCTTATGTAAATCCGCCAGCTGCCGGAAATTTATGAATTAAATAGGAAACATTGCTGTTAGTGTTTGTTTACTTCACAAGCTACAATACGAAGAATAAGAAGAAGAAGAAGCCAAGCAAGAGTGTCTCTTTCTTTATATATTTTTGCTTCAGAACCAATAGAATCTATAGGTAGAGACAGAGCTAGGTGTGATCCAACTCTTCATCTTACTTTGTCTCTTTGTATAGACAAGTCATTCGTTTCAAGGTGAATCCAATTTCATTCATTTCTGATTTCTCTATTGCAAAATAGTTCTTGTAACAACTATAACCAAGACGAGACCAAAAAGCTGATGGAGGACATATTAATCAACCAAGAAGCTCTAGCGATTGAATCAGGTTCGAATAAAATTGAAGAGTTACTCAAATGCTTCGACTAAACCCGAATTGAACCGGGTACTGATTTCCATAAGCTGAATAAAATTGAACTGAAGATTGTAGGGCTTTACCCCAAAGGGAGCCCTTCCAGAAATTCTCGAAGGCCCAAGACAAGCTTAGGCCCAGGAGAGGGTTTGGAAATAGTTTTCAACCAGCAATGGACGCGCCTCGGTTAGTACCTCATTAGCTGCATCATTGCCCCAAGCGCAAAGATACTTTCCTACAAGAGAAAGGCCTTTGTTTTATAGTCAATCGAAACCAATCAACTTTACATAATGTTTCGATGTGGGATGTTTCACTCACACACACACCTTAGAGGGCTTTTAATTAACACCGTTAAGGATTTTTTAAAACCCAATTGACGCGCGAATATGTATGGCTTCTGTCCAGTTACCTCTATCTGTTGAGATTTTCTTTAACCCCACACCACACAGGCACACACACACGGTCCACACACACAAAGGTCAGAAATGCATGAAAGCTGAGACAGTTTGATAAAAAATAAAAATAAAGGAATATTTACAGTTTGTTTTAATCGAATTATTATTAGTTTTTTTGTTCAAACAGAACAAAAACATGCAGTTCTTAAAAATATAACCAAAAATAATTAAGAAAAAGCATCCTATAGGCCGACATGTTTAGTGGCAGTACCGTGTGATTATAGTAATCCCAACAAGTTGTTCTCTGAGTAAAAATATCAAAGGCGCAAAAATTGTTTAAAAATCATTTTTGTCCTATCAGGTTACGTTTAGATGCGTCCTTATAAGAATCCGTGTGCCTCACGAGGTGATTAATTTAAATTAAACAAAGTAGTGCTAGTTGGTTGGTGCGTTCAATTTCTCTCCTTCTCAAAAACGTCGACTAATCTAGCCGGCGATTATCTCGATCAGATCTCTCCGACGAACTCTATCGGCGGGAGACAAATAATTTCTGGATAGAACTGGATCTGTCCTTCTTTAGCGTATTTTCATTTCACTCTGTCGTTCCCGCCACGCTGGTTTAAGGATCAGGGAAGCGAGTTGGCCGGAAAAAGACGATGAACTCTGACGAGACAGATAACGTGATGAGCGAGTACATCAAGAGGCACCATAGACACGAGCTTCTGGAGAATCAGTGTAGCTCGACGCTCGTCAAACACATCAAATCTCCTCTTCATCTCGTAAGCTTCTCTCTTCGTGTGAAATTAGATCTGGAAGTTTCCATTTTTAAAAAAGGTTGTAGTGATTGTGGATTTTTTGTTGTTTTGTTTAAAAGGTGTGGTCTCTTGTGAGGAGATTCGACCAACCACAAAAATACAAGCCATTTATCAGTAACTGTGTGGTGAAAGGGAAGCTTGAGATTGGTACAGTGAGAGAAGTTGCTGTGAAATCTGGACTTCCAGCTACTAAAAGCACTGAGAGACTTGAGTATCTCGATGACAATCAACATATCCTCCAAATCAGAATCGTCGGTGGTGATCATAGACTCAAGGTAAATTTGAATCCTGCTTTTCAGAGGTACAAGATCATGTTTTTGTGCTCAGGATTTATCTAAGCGAAATGTGTTATTGTTTTGGTGGAAACAGAACTATTCATCCATCATTTCGTTACATCCTGAGATAATAGACGGAAGAACAGGGACGTTGGTGATCGAGTCGTTTGCGGTGGATGTGCCTGAAGGTAACACGAAGGAGGAGACTTGTGTCTTTGTGGAGGCTCTGATTCAATGCAATCTCAAATCTTTGGCAGATGTCTGTGAGCGTCTTGGATCAGAATCTATGATGGAGAGAGAGGAGAGTGATGACTAAGGAACTTTTTAAAAGGGAATGGATCAAGAAGCTTTCTAAAGATATTTTCACTTCTTCCTTTTTTCCGTTTTGTGAATTTTTGTATATTTTAGAATTTGAACTAAATATGATTTGAAATTTTTGTATATTTACAATTTCTATAAGATGCTTTTTCATCATCTTTTTTAATTTAGATATATCATGAGAAATAAAATTAAAATTTAGATATTTTTCATTTTGTTAGGTACTTTATATTGTTTTCTTGCAAAGTTTACGTAATTTACAGAAAAGAAAACATGTAATGGTCGGGTTTCGTATTAACATCTCAAATATTATGGTACACAAAATTTAGGAAATGAGTGACAGGTCAGAGGAGACTCAACTCTCGTTTTGGTTGTCTTTTTTAGAAGAGGTGTCCTACAAAGATTTCGTTTTCCTCTTTCCTTTTCGTTATTTCTACAAACCAATAGTCTTTTGTGTATGAAAGTCAAAAAACGGTAAAAGGAGCTTTGTGGACTTAGTATGATTAGGACTTGGAGAGATTTTGTGGTTTATATATGTGGAAGACTGGTGGCAGAAAGCAACCATGGCCAAATGTACAACTTTGTTGTGCTCCTTATTTTTTGGCGTTTTGTCCACTTATTGCTATTTCTAACCTATCATTTTTCCTAGATCGTGTGTTATAGAAAAAAAATACCACAAAAAAACTCTTACTGAACTTGTATAATCAACTAAACATAAAGGAAAGGGGTCTAAACATGATTTAAGATTACCATGGACATATATGCTCTACTATATTGTAATCAGTTCTGATTTACCTTTTTCCCTTGTAAAGTTCTAGTCTACTTTTTTCAACGTCATTTTATTAGATCATAAAGTGTTTACCAAATCATTAAACAAATAAACTATTAAGCATATCGAAGGTTGGTAATAAAATAGTGAAACAACAGTTTATCATTAATGTGCTAGTTAGGCCAGTTTGTCCGCTACTTGGTTGCACTATCTATACACCAGTTTAAAACGAGACTACAGCGAAGCAATCCACCCAACTACGGATATCAACGAGGAGAGGTTCTATTATATTGCTGCATCTTCTATCAATGATGAATAAGATCATACAGGGTCTTACGATCACTCTCCAAAATAACATTGCTGAAATCGGCAGCACCATATAGATTGCATAGTGAAGCTACTCCTTGTGCTTCCAATGGATATGACCTTTGTTTATGCCAAAACGCATGGCCAAAACTAGATACAATCTAAAACAAACTTCAAATCAGAAATAGTCGTCTTTCAAATGGTAAAAATAGAGTTTTTGATCATTAGAGTAGACTTGCATAACAGCTTTTCTAGAAAACACTAGCCTATTATCACCTGGTTTTTTAATTACCAATTAAAAAATACTAAACTATGTATATATTTTATTAATTGCGTGAATGAATGATTTAAATAAATTGAATTTTGTAGACACTTCTATATAAACACAAAAATCCTATATTATCATACCGACGTCTTCTTTGTCATGCAGCTTTCGTTTTTTTTTTTTAACGACTTCATGCAGCTTTCGTCAAAAACGAAAGTTCTACTTCTTCCCTCCTAAAAAGTTTGAGAATAACATTCTTTATTTGAATTTTGAGACAATATAATATTATCTCTAAAAATACATGAAAAGATATTTGTTGAAGATATTACTAGACATCAACTTTTAACCGAAGAAATAAAACAGAAAATGTGTGTACATGAAGTCTACATGGTATGAGTCGGCACACAAATGTATATTTGGTGGACTGTTTGACACGTGGGTTGCCACTCTTTCAGCCTCTTCACCACCAATATTAAATTTTGTCAAAAAGCATAGCAAAAGAGAGATGTATTATGTATATCGTGGAGCCCCTACAAAATCGGAAAATTCTATTTCAACAATGGCCTTTCCTTAGCCTAAAAGAGGACCGGCTTTGTTTTTGTCTACAGTTCGATTGACAACGTGCTATTACCGGTTCATATATCAATTGGTTAAACCAAAACCGAATTGATAAGAAGAGGACCGGCTTTGTAGAACCTTCGAAAACGTCGCGTAAAGCTTTTAGGGTTTCTTTCTGCTGTGTGGCTACCCACTGAAGTCTCCAGTGTTCTTTTGTGGCCTTGGTTTGCCCTATTCTCTCCTCCCTCTTGTTTTTTTTCCTCTTCTCCAAGGAATCTGGAAAAAACAATAAACCTTTTTTCCTTTCTCAATCCCTGAAAATCAGAATTTCTTATTGGAACAAGAGATTCGATCAAACCATTTTGATCAATCAGAATCTCTCGCCGAAATTTTCTGGCTTTTTCTCGGTAGATTCAGAAGAAGCCAATGGTTGGGGCAGAGCGACCGGAGAATCCTTGGGTTGCTTCCGAAATGCCGTCGTCTTCTCCGGCGTCAACAGAAGGCCGTGAATTTTCGATCATTGATTCAGCTACTGGAATAAGAGATGTGAGAGGATTTGAAAGTCTCGGAACGCAAATAGCTTCCCGGCCTCAATTGGAGAAGGTTTCGTCGGAGTATAAGCTAGGGTTCACGGAAAGAGTTTTATCAGCCGCCGGAGCTGCTTTTTTGTCCGCCGTTATCCTAAATCCTCTCGACGTTGTCAAGGTTGGTTTTTCTCTCTCCTTAAACCGCCGGAAAGTTATATGTTTTAGCGGCGAGAGAGAGACTTAATGTTTCTATTGTGATTTGTTTTATCAGACTCGTTTGCAAGCCCAAGCCGCCGGAGCTTCTTACTCTCACCCACTCAGCTGCTCCATTGGCCGCATGGCATTCTTTGGTCCAAACATGGTATGTCTCTGCTGAAATTCTGTTTCTTTGTGAGAGAGTTGTTTAAAGGAGAGCACTTTCGACATAACAATCTTCATTTCCATCACTCAATTATGTATGAGTCATGTGATTTCTTCTTTATTTGTTCAGATGTTTGCAGACTTGAGATGTTCTCCTTCATGTTCACGAGCTGGTGTTCAAGGTACTGTCTCTATTTGCCCGCCGGATTGTTTCCAGTACAAGGGAGCGTTCGATGTCTTCGGCAAGATCATACGACAGGTGAGTATCTTTTTAGACAAAAAGGACAATTGGAACAAACTTTCTTCATCTTGTTGGAAGTCTCGCATTTGAGTGTATTCTTGTATGTTGAAGAATGGATTTTAGCTAGATTGCTTCTATTTCTCTATTCCCTAACGCAAGAACTGATACAGGAAGGCATGGCACGCCTGTGGAGAGGGACTAATGCTGGTCTTGCCATAGCTGTGCCCATGGTATGCTCTCTTGTTTATACTTTTGGTGGATATTATTGTTTTTGGATAAACTATATGGATCAATGAACAATCAAGTTTGTGCACAGGTTGGGATTTATCTGCCATTTTATGATATGTTTCGCAACCGGTTGGAAGAATTATCTCGGGAGAAAGCGCCTTCTACGACAATAGCTGTGCCTCTTGTGGCAGGGGCATTGGCGCGATCCTTAGCTTGTACAGTCTGCTATCCTATTGAACTTGCAAGAACTCGTATGCAGGTAACTTTTGATACTCTGGAATGTGTGCTATGCTTCTCAATATGAGATTTTTTGTTTTTGTTTTTGGGGGTGTACCTTTTTTGTGCCTTGCTATTCATCTTCTATTCACTGTGTTTTTCTTACTAGGCATTTAAAGAAGCGAAAGCCGGTGTGAAGCCTCCGGGAGTTCTTAAAACACTAGTTGGTGTAGTCTCTGAAGTGAGGACAGCAAATAACCTCGAGAGTAGTTGTAAGTTGCTTCTTTCTTCTTCTTCTTAAGCCACAAGTATTGGCAATAATTTGACATCCTGAGGTCTTGTTTCTCTGGTTTCCAAGTCGAGTTTGCTTTCCCTTATGTATGCCTCTTCATTGGCAAGTGCAACCCCCAGATGCAATCATATGGACATTGACACTAAAAGCCGTGATTTTTTACTGACTTTGTTATACATGTTCCCTGTGGCAGTGCACAACTATCGTGTTCTCTGGAGAGGCTTAGGCGCACAGCTTGCCCGTGATGTTCCATTCTCAGCAATCTGCTGGGCGACTCTTGAGCCAGTAAGCTCTTTGACATGTTTTAGACATTGGTTTATGCCAAATACTTAATTCAAGAGGAAATGAATTGGTTTCGAGCTACTACTTTTGGTGCAGATGAGAAGAAGGCTTCTTGGAATTGTAAACAATGATACAAACGCTCTTGGGATTCTCGGTGCAAACTTTTCCGCTGGTTTTGTAGCTGGAAGTATCGCTGCTGCTACTACTTGCCCTCTTGACGTTGCAAGAACAAGAAGACAGATAGAGGTCCGTGTGTTTGATTTGCGGAAATCTTGTCTATTTGCTTATATTATTATAAAACAACACTTACGTTTAACATTTTGCATCAAATTTCAGAAGGACCCTTGTAGAGCAATGAGAATGACGACACGACAGACACTGATAGAGGTTTGGAGGTATGTATTAAAAATTTCCATTTTTTACTTGCTTGAAGATAAAAGCTCTGTGTTTGCATTAAAACAAGAGAACAACAAGAACAAACATGAAACACGCAGGGATGGAGGGATGAGAGGAATGTTCATGGGGATAGGACCAAGAGTGGCGCGTGCAGGACCATCGGTAGGGATAGTGGTTTCATTCTACGAAGTGGTCAAGTATGTTCTGCATCGCCATTACGCTTCATCATGACCCAACAAAAGTGACACTAATCACCTACCTACGCATGAATGTGGATACGTCACTTTAGGTTCTATGCAGCCTTTTTTTTTTAACTGAACAAAAATAAGTTAAACAGGCTCAAATCCTACGCCAACCTCTTTGTTTCCTACCGTTTTATGAGCCGGAATTTTGTCCAATTATTAAATACCCGGCTGTTTAACCCGGTTTTTGTCGGTTCGATGTTGCATCGACTTGGGTTTAGTTAAACCATTCGAAATAAAAAAAATCATAAGATAACTCAAGGCCAAATCCACCTGCTAATAGCTTACTCGCAATTTCCTCGTTTGTTTTTTAAACATCTGGAAGATAAAAAAGTAGAACACTCGGAAAATACATTCAATGAGACTAAGATTGGGGAAAGAAGTCGTTGTTTCTCATGATCCAATACCTCTCTATCTCCACTGCTTTTCTTCCTGGTACTCTTCCTGCTATTATATCCCACCTGTTATTTTTTTTTTGTAAAACATTTTAGTTGTTTCATCACCACAATTGCAAATTATTGACATCGAGTTAACTAAGTGTAGAAAGGCTTAAAGTCGTATGTCACAGATTATAATGTAACGTCATGACATTACATAAATGATTTTGGAAGAGAAGATGAGATGGAGATACCTGTCGCCGACGAGTTTGTACATTCTAAAGATGAGGTCCTCCTCTTGCTCGCTCATCTTGATCACGTTCCACTCCGCGCTACAAACTTCTGCATTTATCAAACATAGTTCTTCACTTTTCTTTTCTTTTTTCTTTGCAAATCAATATACGTAAATGTAATAGTCCTAGCTAGGTGATCATCTAGATTGATTTGGATTGACTTTTCCTTCTCTTGTCTTAAATACAATATACATGAATAATCAGTTAAGGCTAACAATCTGGTATATATGCCGAGAGACAAACACTCAAAAAAGAATATATCTATCCATATATTTGAACTTAATCTCTCAAAAAGAAAAACAAACGAAGAAAGATGCATATATATGTTAATCAAAAGGAGACACAAAATGGAATAGAATTGGGATTAGCAAAAGATGGACCATCAGAATCATGCACGGACGTCGGTAGGTTGTATCCATCAATGGACGTGGAAGAAGAAAATGTGAGAAACTGAAGTAACGAGTTTGGAGTATAAGACAATTTTTTTTTATAACAGAATAGAGCCAGAGAGAGAATGTGTAAGATCGATGCCAACGATTTTTTGTTTTTATATAAAATCTGTGTGGGGAGAGAGAGGAAACGCTTCTTCGTTGGAAGTTAGTAATTTTGTAACATTAGTGTGACTGGAATTAAAAAGATTGTAATGATCTTGAATAATACAACTTTGGGGTCCTCAAATGCCAGGATATTAATGGTGTTTGTATGTCTAGTAAGACATCTCGTAAATTAAAAGGTACTGAATGATTGTTACGGGTTATGGTGGTACGGTTCATGGTTGGTAAATACAATCGATGTTATGTAGATTGAGAGAGTGTGCAATCAGTTTGATGCGAAGCAAATAGTACAGCATAAAGGAGAGGCTTAAGGGAAGAAAATACGGAGGTGCGGTCATAGCCGAAATGATTAAGAGACTAATACTGTTTGTTTTAGTGGAAATGTTTTTGTATTTTAGGATTATGGTGAACATTAGTGGTACTTTGAAATGATTACACTATTGTGGATATTGGTCGTGTTTGTTTACATTCTCTTTTGGACAAATAAGTGTTCAACTTTTATTGTGTGAATAATTTTTTTTCGAAAACACGTTAATTGTGTTTCTATGTTAGAGTTAAGACCTATTTTGTATGTTGTCTATGCATGTACAATGAACCAATGCATTTGAGTAGTTCACTTGTTTGATATAGAAGAAAATGCATGAATAACGTACACATCTTCACCAAAGTCATATAAGATCATATAGAAACAATAATACATTTTCTGACTAATATTAATATATCTATATAAATAAACAAATTACGGTCACAAGTTACCTAGCTAGGTGTCTACAGCCAGGGTAGTATAAAGAATGTTTTTCTTTGCTGATACTTGTACACACTATAAATTGATATCTAAACAAAACTTCTGGTCTAACAAAATTTTAAGAAAGGATCGTTTCATAATTTACATTTTAGAAACAATAAATGTCTGACAAACACCACCCCATTCATCTTCCTATGTACTATGTTGCAAACGTTTCTGCAAAACATTTATGACCTCTACTCTCCACCTATCAAGAGATGTGTATCAGTAAAACTTAAGGTGGTGAAAGGTGTAGAGAAGTCGGATCTTGGCTTTCTAAGTTCCTTTGGGAAAAATTCAAATAGTGTAAGAACGAAGAAGAGATAGACAGCAAAACCTAAGCTTTTAAAAATTTGGGGCCACTTAATGTAGACAGCAATTGTAACCATAGCTTCATCTGTAGGCCCACTGCCTCACCTATACGAGACCTGCCACATATTAAGACCTTCCTCAGTCCTCACTCACTTCTACACTTCCCAATTATAAACATTTAGTCCTTTTTGCATGACCCCACTGACTTCAACTATGGTAAAAACAAAAAAAAAAACCTACATTATACTGATCACAGCGTTTCAACGAATAAAAATGAAAGAGAAAATAAAAGATATATTCAAAGGTAGAAAACTAGGAAAGTAAATCAGTACTCCCTATGTCCCAAATTATAAGCTGTTTGGGACAAAAGTGAGAAATTAAGAAAAGTAACTTTTTAAATAAAATATTATTTAAAAAATAAATAAAATACTATCTAACCAATGCTGAAAAAAACTGTGTAATTTAATTGGATACACAATATTTTATAAAGTAAACAGTTTATATTGTGGAACAATTTTTTTTCCCAAAACTGGTTATGGGACAGAGGGAGTATCATAGAGAGAGAGGACAGTAACTTTTGAAGACAAGAGTACTAAAAATGGAATGTACTGCGGCTAGAAATAAACTGTTTTGCGGTGAATAAACAAAGCTAATTAATTCTCTCTATGTTTCTTCCAACATCTGCCACAACAGAGAGAGAGAATGACAGCACATATGTACGTGCATCATGTTTATAGTGTCTTAAAGTGATAGTGATTCTCTAAGTACGAACTGTTCCAATATGAAAAATTATTAATTTTTATATTTCCAAAAAAAAATCTAGAGCTGAAAACTAAATAAGTATATTGAAGATCATTTATACATCATATATTTTCAAAATTAATCTAATTCTGTAAGTTTTGCCAAGTAAATATTTGTTTTTTACGAATCGTAGACCTAGCTTGTTCTCGCCCAAGTCAGAGGCCGGTCTGATTAAAAGTAGATAATTGAGTTGTGGAAAACGACGGATCGGTGTGATGAAGAAATAATTCATCCATCACAATATGTCTTTAGAAGTTATTTGGTTCTTTATACCGACATTCCTTGTAGTCTACTAAACTAACTATAGCCTATAGGTATATGATAAGTTTGACCAGAAAAATAATATTATACTGTATTTAAAAAGTCAAAGACTCGACAAATGTTCTTTACAAAAATTCTAAATTGCATTGGTTAAATTTGAGTCCAATGCCCGCGCCCGCCAGGAGAAAGTATATTAAGTAACGAACATTACTACGTCAGTATTTGACACATGTTTATGACTGTTAGAGATCTAGAAGAGTTTGTAAAAATCGTAAAGTCGATCGAACCAAGTAAAAAGGAGAAAAACAAATTGAGGACTGGTCTGGATCGATTAAATCCTATTGAGAAATTATAGTATTCTTCTCGTTAGGTCTTACTATGAGAGCCTTCTCAAATATAACCCGACACAATGTGTTAAAACGTCATTAATTCAAACTGTCCCAATCTCGTGATGAATTAAAGTCTTTGTTTGTCGAAAAATAAAGTCTGTTTTTCCACGTAGAAAATTCTTTGACGATGTCACCGACTTTTCTCCGACATTGACCTATTTTGTATTTTCTAAAAGATTTCTTCTACTTCTTTTATTAGTGTGATTTATAGATTTCATATCAATTTACCAACCGGCAAACATAAGAAAGAAAACAGACGACTTCCAATACCTTCTTATATGTTTAAGACCCCGAAAAGAGTTAGAAGGTACTTAAGACAAAAAGAAGTAGGAAAAAAATAGTAACATCTCAGTCAGTAACAATTTAAGTTGACGAATCATGATGTTCTGAATTTGAATTTTTGGTAAAATTTGCAATCATTACACACAACCATAGTGAAGACGTTCCAGAACATTTTTTATTTTAGATTTACGACAATTACATACTCCTGTTGTTAGATTAGAAAAGAGAGCAAAAAACCTCGTATCTTTCTTGTTTTGCTGTAAAATGTAACCTTGTAAATCTGTAAAATTAAACAAAAACTAAGTTTAAAGTTTTAAAACTAAATTGCAAAACAAATATAATTATTTATTTATGGAAGACAAACACCCAGCCGACCTAACTAATTGTTCTAACAGTTTACAAAGAAAAGAGGATTAGTCAACCTGCATGATTGCCAAAAGCTTTTTTTTCTTCTTTCTATTCACACTTTCCGCAGCAATTTTGAAAGTTAATGTGATTTCGATTTCACTTATCATACCGTGGAGTTATAAGTTATAACATATTCTCAAGAAAACAAGGGTTTGTTGTTCTCGTCTTTTTTAAACAAATTCTTTTTGTGTGTACTCAGTACTCACATACATGTCTTTCAATCAAAATAGTAACATTTTCATATATATAATCTTTTTAATCAATTGCTGGCTCTAGTTTTAGATTCAATGCATGGTGGTTATTCTGTATGACATTATGAGTTTGCGTTTCTTAGTCAAAAGCTATGTCCCGAGTTAACTGCGATCTCCTGAAGCTATTTCTGTCAAGGTTTCTACAGCGATTTGCAATAGGATTCCATTGAGACCAAGCTCTGAAGCTGGTGGTTCAATAAGGTCTATAAAACGCTTCCTCAAACAAGGATCAAATTGATCATTCACCTTCTCGGGCCAGGAGGCTCCTCCGTGCCCAACAGAGCTTATAAAAACTCTGTTTCCTACTTTGAAACACATCCTCCTTTTTGGAAGTTATTTTATGTGATCCGTTCGGAAACAATCTAATTAGGTTCCCTCTGTGAAAAGTTTGTTCCCATGATTTTCTATATTTTTACAATTAAATTCAATAGAAAAAGAAAGTTCAACTTTACAAATTTGTTGTATTCAGTACGAGCTCAAACATAATAATGATAATGTTATAAACCCAAAAAAAAAAAAAAAACATGTGGAGAGGCGCAGGCGCTTGAGATAATATTTCTTACACTAGTGCAACGTTTCATACTCATTCATCTTCTTACCTCGTAATATTAATGATCCCATATGGTTTGCGACATAATTATTTCTCCTTTTTCCATTTGTTATGACTTTTTTTTTTGTTGCCAGCGCATTTGTTATGACTTTAGTTGTTGATAGGAATGTACGTGAATAACAAAAAAAAAAAAAAATAATAAAAAAATAATATCTAGAGGACATGAATCATCTTGTAAGGAAATTGAGTTTCTATCTGTTCTTGAAAACGTTGACAAAATACCAAAGTTAAGCAGTTACAAAAGGTAACGAATTTGAAACAAAAATGATTCAAATTTGTAATATCTGAATTACAAATATTTAATCATTTAAACAGCTTTCAGCTATTGGAAAGCAACCGAAAATGTGTAAAGATATGGGCAAATATTTTAGTATCTATATTCTAATTGATTGAATCAGTCAACGATGATTTTATCATTTTTAGTAAAGAATATTTTAGTCAAACTTATATTCTTAGAAATTTCATATCTGAAAAGGATAGTTTCCAATTTCCATTACGGCCAGGGACAGCGTCAGAACTCAAAACACAAAATCCACTTTTTAATATAGAAAGACGAAAAGAAGACAGACTGAGACCTGACCCAACAGCCACTTGCTCCACCGGTCAATACCGTGATTTGCGCCTCCTCGTGTGGCATTGCCGAAGAGAATTTTAGTTTCTCTTTTAATAATTAAAACTCATTTCTAAAAAACAAAATAATACTAAGAAAAATTAAACACGTTCGTGCAACTCAAAAAAATTGACAAGAGCAACAAAACCAATTAATTAATCAGATATTCTTTTCCCAATATTTCTCCCAAAACTGTTTTACAAGCTCAACGACACAACATTAAATTACTTCTCAAAAAATAAAAATCATAAAAATACTAGAAAAAAAAAACAAAAACTTATCAAAACTCCCGACAAAATTTGACTCTCACACCGGCGATATATGCAACCGATGTTTTTGGGTAAAAATATCACACAACTAAACTAAAAGATCCGACATCAAAGAATCATCGAAATCGTTGAACATTGAGCCAATCTCTTGCATATCGGAAGAGTAGTTTTCTCCTCCTATGTTGGTGTTATCGAATACTAGAAGATCGTTAAAGAAATCATTCTCCGGAGACTGAATAGGAGACATTTGTTGATCGAAGATGGAGATGTCCGGTAATGATTCATTGAAATAGTTGTCTAGAAATGGAATGTCCAAAGGAAATGAATCATCAGCATTATCATCATTACCTTCTCCAAGGTGCCAGCTTAATGGTTCCGGTTCAATGAACTCTTGTTTGACCGGCTTAACCGGTTCATCGATTGGTTCAGAGATTTGAATCATTTGATAGTTGAGAACCGATGTTGGCGATGATAGATGATGAGAGTCGTCGTCCATTGATTCTGATGTCGAAACCGATAAGTTGCTCTCTGGTTCCGGTTCTGGTTCTGCTTCCGGTTCCGGTTCGGCTTGTACGGTGAAGTTGGTGAGAGCATCGGGTCCGCGAAGTCTGATTGCTGCGTTGTCGTAGACGACGGCAGCTTCCTCCGCCGTAGAAAAAGTACCGAGCCAGATCCTCCGGCGTTGCTCCGGATCACGAATCTCCGCCGCGTATTTGCCCCATGGTCTCCGTCTCACGCCGCGAAACTTTCTCTCGTTTTGGCCGTCGCCGGAAACAGAGACAGAGACCTTTTGAGGAGGAGGATCAACGGTTACCTTCGTCGGAGCCGCCGCGACTTCTTCCGAGGAGCTAGGCTCGACTCTGATCTCGTTGATCAATCTCTTGACCCGTCTTCGAGGGAACAGAAACTCGTCCTCGTCGCTTGATGAATCAGTGGCGTCTTGATCCATCACACACACACGAACCAACCTCGCCGAGTCACGATCACTCATCTTCTTCTTCTTCTTCTCCGCAGGCTGCTTTTTAGTGTACTTTCTGATAACTGTCTTGTGCTCCGTGTACTTCACTGGTCTGAAATCCATGTACTCCTCCATCATCGTCCTATTGGCTTCTAAATATTTAAGAAAAAACAGAGGAGATTCTGTGGTTTGGTGGTTAAAATTTTGAGGGATTTTGAGAGAGATTTATAGAGAGAATGTTTATAAAAAGAAAATGAAAAACTGCAGGTTTAACTTTAAAGTGAAGAAGATTCAGAAATTTACTCTTCATGAATCCAGTTTTATAGGATCTTTCGGGGGCTGGCTTTAGCCATAATTGGTAAATATAATAAGTAAAAAATAGGAACAAAATATTTAAAAAATATTAGCTGTTATTTATTGTACTTATTTCTTTTTTGGCTATAAAACATTTTCATTGCGTCTCTTCCCGGTGATATGCACCACTGATTTACTAGCACCCGGGACGCCGCATTCATGTAAGCAAATCGCATGGTGACACGTGTAAAATATGAGATATTTTTCCTTGTCCGGATGACTACTTTTAGTGCTGAGTCAGCGCGTGGCTACCAGACTCGAACTCCGCAATGTCAATCACGTGACCCCAAGATACCCGGCTCTGGTTTTATTTTATTTCTTTTGAAAAAAATCTTTCGTTTTTAAACATTTTTTATACTATATAATACTGGTTGGTCCATCACTATAAACAAAACCAACTAAAGTCATCAGAGATGAAACAATGCAACAAAAAAAGGCTTGGTCTCAAGTCTCAACTGGACTTCGTTTTTGTACTTTTGTCCGAATTTACATAAGAAAACAATATATTTGTTGAAGAGAAACTTATATGGTGAAGGTAAAAACATTTAACGACAAAAAAAAATAAGAAGGAAAGAACATTTTCCTAATTTTTTTATCATGACTACACTAGCTTTGACCGACATTTGAAGCCACTTCATTTAGCTGTTTCGTCCATGCATTCATTTCTTATGAACAACCTGTCACGTGCTGTGTTTTCCTAAAGTGCTACTTTCATTCAACAGTAAAATTGCTACTATTTGAGTAAATGCTATTTTTAAAAAAGAAACAAAGTACCAAATGAGTTGTATATGCACGGCAAAAAGGGAATCAAATTTATTTCCTGGTAAAGAAATATATTTGTTTCTGTTAGTATACGATTTTACTTCCCCTCTTGACAAATATTTTTAAGGAAAACGACTACAAATTATTCAGTAATATCTTGTCATTTACAGCGAGATAAGTAACGTGGCGGGCAACCTAGGGTTTGGCGCCATTTATATAATTCTCTTTCAAGACTTATTTTCAGTATTTGTACTCAATTCCAAAAAATAAATTGTATGACAATTAAGAAAGTAGCAAACTAGCAATGCAAGCACACGAAATATTTCGAATAATTTTGGACGAGTTTGATTTTTTTTTTTTTTTTTAATTATGATATGATCGGTAATTTCTTTCGTAACATGTTGTAAAAAAAATATAAACAGAGAGAGATCAGCTAAAAAGGGGCGCGTGAGAGAAGCTGTGGACGTTTTGATTCTGAAGATTTAAAGTGGGAAGAGAGAAAGAGACATGGAGAATCATTTGGATTGACAAAGACAAGCCCCGAGGTTTAGTGCAGTGTTCTTGGCCACTATCTTGAGTGTCCTCCATTGAACCAAGTGACAAATCTATGTATATATTATATGCGTCTATGTAGATACAAATAATACTATATAAACCGTAGTATAGTATATGTAAAAATAATCGGGTCATACGTATATGTGTATTACTACAAACCACAATTGATTGTGTGTACATTGAAATTTAGACGAAGTATAGGACTTGGCTTGAACGCGCGTTTTTCTTTATTTTGAAGTTTATCTTAACCAAAAATATCAGTAGTATCACTTGTTCTACAATTTTTACTTTATATATTTTTTTTAATCTCCATCTTCGAATTGTTTAGGTGGAGCATACGTCGCTCGTGGAAACATTGGTGTATGAACTCAGTTCCTCAGCAAGTAGCAAGCGAAAGTCCAAATTGAGGAACTAAATTCTTCGAAATGATCAGGGACAACTGAAACTAACGGTTTCTACAAAACTATAATCATACAGTTTTTATTGTATTTATAACTGAAATTCAACTATATCATCTATTTTCGTTTGGTTTGATATGTTTTTTTTAGCACTCCTAAAACTAAGTATATAATGTGTCGGTTATGAACGAAGAATCCAAATAGAAATAAGACAGGCTTGGTAAAAAAAAGAAAATTTAAGGACAAAGATCCATTCTTAAAAGGAGGGCCACCCCTCAAAATAGCAAAACGTTGAAAGCTTTATCACCATTAGTTATATATATTTGACGTACGTACGTTGGTCTCGGTGCAGAGCTTTAAACTAAGAACGAGCGCGAACTTGATAGACAAATAAAGACTAGAGAAGGTCACCGCTTGAGTAACTATTTGTCATAACCAAGTTAACGATAATATAAAAAACTACAGCATAACGTGCCATTTTCGAGTTTTCCCAAGTTAATGTGTGTCTTGGAGCAGAAGCTACATGGTCGCGACTCGTGAGTGCTACTCAAGTCATTCTCGTGGACAGTCTTAGTTTAGAAGCAAGAAATGTTGGTTTTTTAGTTATGCGTAAAATTTTATTTATCCGTAACTATATTACAAGTTTAACTATTTATCCGTAACTATACAATAATGCTAAAACGAAATATAATAACTATATCACAAGAACAATAGTGATGAGTTTACAAAAAATAACAACGTTAATTTGTGTTTGTGTATGCTGGATCCTATTATTTTGATGTATACAATTATTTACTTTTTATTTTTGTTGGTTTTATACTACCATATTTGTTTAGGGGAAAAAGTTTAAGCATTAATAATACTCGGAATGACAAGGTCATGAGCAATGTGGACTTGGGACCCAAACGAGATAATCGTTAAGGCGGAAGCGGAGTCCATCGCATGGAGGAATGCCCAAACACGGCTACAACAGACCCACATTGAAACATTTACTCTCCCACCAGTGACGGAGGACATCTGTCAAGTGGATGGAGCTTGGAAGGAAACAGATTGCAGAGCAGGTATGAGATGGTTTTATTTTCACACGGAAAATATGGACAAACTGATGGGTGCATCTAATCTCAGGAGGGGGATTTCACCGCTCCAGACGGAGTTGGAAGCTCTAATTTGGGCTATGCAGTGTATGTTAAGAAATAGCAAGTTAAATATAGTTTTTCAGACGGATTGTTCCGATGTGGTGAAGATGGTGTCTAAACTAGAGGAGTGGCCGGCTTTCTCACTATTACTTGACGAGGTGAATAGATGTAAGAGGGGTTTTACTTCTTTTATCATCATGCATATACCAAGGAAGGAAAATACGAAGGCAGACAGGTTAGCACGGAGTGCTCGAGTTCTACCTACTGATGTGTACTATGTAAACTTTGTTTCACCAGCTTGGATTTCCGAGTTGTTCTAGAAATAGAGGCTGTTGACAAAAAAAAAAAAAAAAAAAAAATACTCGGAGGAGATCGATCGGCAAAGAGATTATATGTTTTCTTTTCTTTTCTTTTTGGTTTTGACAATTATTTCATGGCGATAATTAATTTGGAAAACGTTTTTGTGAGGTTCTTAAACAAAAAAACGTTTTTTATACTAGTAGTACTTAGAAAGTAAGTTGGAATTATTGCTATAATTCAACCGGAAAAGTCTTAACTTTCTACGGTTTCAACTTTCAACAATAAATGAAATATATCACTCCTTAAACCGAGGTGTCAAATGGAGCCAACGGTAAGAAGAAATAAACCGTTTTCTTCCATTCGAAATAAAACTTTAGCCTTATGATTCAACAATTAACATTAATGAATCGTAATTAATGCCATTATTAGTGGAGGCCACCAAGGTATACGATTCTCTGATTAAGTAAAGACAAAAAACGGGAGATTAATGGCGATAGAAGACTGTCTCTAAGTTCAGGCTGCAATTAAGTTCCTTTTTTCAGTCACAATTTTTTTAATGAACCTGATATTCACCATCCTCTATTATGCACGACCTCTCTCTCCTTAAAGTTTTATAGAAAAATATTTCTTATTTGAAGTTATGGACCATGAACATAGATTTATAGTTAGTCCAATCACTGACACGTGTAGTTGGAATTGTTATATACTACTTTTATAAGTTTCCAGGGGTTTGCATGTTCGGATATTTAAAACCTTCGGTCGTCTAGACAGAAAAATAAAATAAAACTGATTCTTAGAAAATACTATATTCTTTATAAAGCGGTCCATGCTCGAAGTGATCGGGTAATGGTTATATGGGTTGGTTGCATCGGGAGGTCAGTCTGCCTTTTTCTTGAAAGCTGATATTTTGATCTTTTTATATTACTTTTTTCAGTGTTTTTAGTACATGAAGCCATTGCGGTTGGTGGGTTGATGGTTGATATAATTGATGTCTCAGTGAATTTAGTGTCTATATGAATAACCTTTTTTAAAAAGATAACTTTTAAACTAATGGGATATTTTTTAGATAGTCTGTAATGTAAAAAATCTCGAAAAACAACGATGTGGTGGTGTCTCATCATTGATAAACAAAAAAACTAGTGATCGAATTAGGATGGTGTCTAGTGGATAACAAGGGGGCCTTTATCTAATCGGGCTAAAGTAGTAGAAGTTTATGGTCTTTCCATGTCGAGCTAGATGGACTCTTATGAACGATGTCCAGTAGGCAAGATTCTTCAGTGCACTCTAAACGGATTGCTCCAGCTTGGCAAAGATGTTTGAGTACCAATTTAGACTTCTTTCTCTCTCAATCGGATCTTTGGTAGTTTTAACATTAGTGTTTAATATCATTTTCAGCTCAGCCTTTGTTCTACTCGGCTAGTATTCTTTTTTGATTCACATAATAAACAAGCAGCAGATGGATGATTTTTTAGATTATAGTTCCATGGAAAGGAATGAAAATGGAGATCATATAACTTCTTAATGGTGCTGTCTTCACATTTTTTTTTCCATAAGACAGACAGGTCTATAAAGATGATTACATAGAGAAATAAGAAGAGTTGAAATTATTAAGGTTCTTCATGAAGGACAGGTACTATAGTCAGCCCATTGCGTATTTCTGGGTCCAGGTACGAGCAGTTGACTCGTACTTGTTCTTGTCTGTCTTGTACATGTGAGCAATCTCCGGAACCAAAGGATCGTCCGGGTTTGGATCAGTCAACAAAGAACAGATCGATAGCAGCACCTGTTGCATCACACACATCACATACGAAATTTAAATTAACAACAGACTTTTAAACTTGGGAGCAAAATGATAAAAAAAAATGAGCAAGAACGAAAAGAAACCTTGGAAATTGTGAGCGCAGGACTCCACTGCTCCTTCAAGATGTCGAGACAGATGCTCCCATTGCTGTTGATGTTTGGATGGAACACCTTCGTCCTAAAAGCCACCTACATTATTTTGTCACACCATACATTAGAGCTATGATATCAAGCAGCAGCCACAGAGAATAACATCCAATGCAAAAACCATAGAACACATTTGAGCTAGAATTAAAAACGATAGCAAAAGATCGATGATAAAGTGTAAAGATTTTCTTTGGAAGACGCAGCGAACTGTAGAGAGTTGAATTACCTTAGGAGGTTTAAAGGGATAATCTGGAGGAAAATGGATGGTTACAAGGAACACTCCTCCAGAATAAGGACTGTCCGTTGGACCCATTATCGTGGCCTGCCAATGAAACATGTCTTCCGCGACAGGTCCTGTCAATATTTGCAAGGAACAACAAAGTTCAATATCAAACCAGAAGAGAAATCAAAAGGCAGATAAGAAACTGGTAAAGCGGCAGGCAACACACAAAAGAAGATCAAAGTTTTTAGTTAAGGTCTCATCACAGAAAATCACAATCTGTAACCAGATCCAGAAAGTAATGAAATCAAAAAAGTTTGAACCTTGACCTTCATGATTCAAAGCCAGAAAAATCACACACAAGGGTTATCATGAACCAATACGATAATTATGAAAAATCTCTGTCATTTGCAGCTGAACTACCCAAAATCAAAACTGTAGAGCTGGATTAAGGAGGAATCAAGTACGACAAACAGCTAATTAGATAATTAGATCTAAGCTAACAATAGATCAATAATCATCATCATCATCATCATCATCATCATCATAAGCCAGAGCAATCCCAAAATTCTGAATCAAAAGTTAATAATTTAGTCGAGATAAGCACCTGCGCTACATGAAGTAGGAGGATCCTTTTGCAGATCCTTCAATTCCTTCAAAATCCGTTTCGATGCCATATCCAAAACCTACGATCCAATCAAAAAAAAAAAAACGAATCCAAGGGTTATCACAGATGAACAAAAATCCCAGAATTATATAACGAAGGGAAGATTCAATTCAAAATAAATCATACCTCAAGTTACACGTTTTCGTCCTGCTTTTGGTTCTTTGAATTAGGAATCGAGGAGAAGAAAGGAAGGCGAAACGGAAGAGAAACAAGTTTTAATGCTGTGAGGTCGCGACCACTATAAATAGGGCTTGTCAAAATTTTCTGCTTCGTTGATTTAAGTGGATTTTGGAGAGATTCCATGTTTTTAAATATTGATTTAACTTTTATTTTTGGTGGGCCTTACTTAGCGTTGTACTTACGGCATGAAAAAAAACGCGCTTCTTCTTTTCTTATTCTTATCATCATCATCATCATATCATGTCCCCATTCGCCCCAAAAGCGACATCGTTTTAATCATTAGTCCATAAGTCGTATCATTTGGACGGCTGATAATTTTCTTACCTTTTGTAAAGACGAATCATTTGGCGCCATTTGCGTGATTTTCCCTTGCTTTCAAGATTCCCCATGGATTTAATATGATCTCAGCTGCTCTCGTTCAAAGATTGAAACTGAAATAGTGAAAGTTCATGATCGTTGATGTGACAATGAGCTTGTTTTGGTTTGGAGTACCTCATTGGAGAGTAGACTTGTTTCAGCTGTTCATGTGCATTTTTCTGATCAAATTGTCTTTTTCCCTTGCGTCTCATTAGTGAAGGAAATTTGGTTTGAATGAGCTCAAGGTAGTTGGGAAGAATAAGCTTGAAAAGTAGAATTGACTAACAAATACATTGTCCCAATGGTATATCAAAAGAGGAAAACATAGCAAAAGATTGTTAACAATACACCATACAAGATTCAACTATACCATATGTACCAAGACACATAAATGAACATACGACCGCCAACTATACCTCAGATGAATCATAATTGGGTAAAAACATTCTTCACATCAGTGCAAGATTATGCTCAGAGTAGAGCTTGAAGTGCTTAGTTGCTTACTTTCTAAATTCAGCAACCTAGAAAAATTAAAGTTTATGAAAGATCAACTGAAGCAAATTAAGAAGCCTAGTATTAGGCTGTAGGCGCACTCTACATCATGTAATATATTTTTTTTTAACTAAACTGTGAGACACTCTTTATTTAATAAAGGAGGGGCTTCTACATCGTCTAATTGTTCATCTTCCCGATCCAAAACCTTGAGACATCTCATATTACTTCCCAAACTTCCATTTGTGAGCTGTTTCAACCATCTCTTCTGCTTTGGTGGCTCTGCACTTATGGCAATGGCTACGTCGTTGGGGAAGAGATCACGTTGGACAAAAGCGTGCATCCCCGTCAGTACCAGCACACCTATCACCGTCAGAGTTGCTGCTCCCGACATCACAACAGACAAGACCTGAGTTGCAACTCCGCTTACTTCGCCTGAGTATTTGATCGTCGCTGTTGCCACCGCCGTCATCGGAAACGTGTAAGCCCACCAAGCTAGCGAAAATCTGACATTGAGAACAACAATTATGTCAGACAAATTCTATTTATATGGTCTCTAGATTCTGCTAGTTAGTTAGAGAAAGAACTTACTTGAATCCGCGGAAAAAATTAATCCGAACAACCTAAAACAAGAACACCATAAGTAAATTAGTTAACCTTTCTTGTGACGCAAGCAACTTAGCTCTGTAGTGGAAAAATTAAAGTTACCAGAGAGAAGTACAAGAACAAGGAGATGAAGTAAGCGAGGCGCGAACCGAGATTGAAAGACTCAGATATCGTGGTCCATGCCATGGAAGCGACGGCCGGAGCAGCCACAAAGAGGAAAAAAACAGGGTGAAGCTCTTTAGGTAAGGTTTCGTTTGTAGGAAGTCTCTGATAGAGAGTCACAAATAAGACCAAGTAATAAGCCAATCCGATGGCAAAGAAGAACATTGGTCCTTCTTTCAACCCCATCGACGCTCCAAGAACAGCTCCGGCGAAATTTCCGACGATAGAAAGATGATTTGTAGGGTTAGCGACTTTAGAGAGGCGTCTTTGTCCACCGGACATCCACTGTCCGTAAATCTTCATCTCAAGAAACAAGACCGGAGCCATAAGGAAGTACCAAAGTATAGAAGGGAGATGCGAGGTGATGGAGTGTGGGACTCCGAGTGCTAAGAAGAGGACTGATATGAGAGGAGCGAAGAAGAAGTTGACTCGGATCGGATGCCGGAACTCGCGGCGGACCGCCTCGAAGTAGAGGATGGTTTTGAGGAGGTAAGTGATTGAGACGGCGATGAGGAGGAGGAGAGAGATCCACCAGAGCACGTGGTTAACCACTTGAGTCACGTGCAAGAACTTCTCAGCGTCTGTGGTTGCTAAAGTCTTCCACATGATGGCTTGACTGCTAACTCCAAGACACATCCCGTACGATGTGATTGGAAACCGGAGAAGAAACGGCCACGTTTTGTCTTCAGGCAAAACTATCTTCTCCTTGTCCTGTTTCATCAAACGTACTATTTATAGAAAGTAACGAAAAATCAAGAATAAGTATTTAACAAGAAATGAATGATAAATAAATACCTTGAGAGTTTCAAGTTCAGGGCCTTGAAGAGCGTCGAAGTATCTATCAGCGGTTAAAGATTCAGTTATTTCTTTATCCTCGTGCAACGAACTTTCAGTTGGTTTCCCTCGTAGATTCGATATCTGACGTTCGAGCTTCCCTGACATGGTCCTGAACAAGTCATACCTCTTGTCGTGTGAGTTTCTAGAAGCTTCTTGCTCAAGAAACATGGAACCTCGAGGCATAGACTTGGAATGAAACGTCATCTTCCTCCCTCCGATCCGTTTCTCCAATCTTGAGAACTCTCCACAACTAGACTGACGTTGATCGTCTAACAGATCTGGGCTTTTTGGAGAAACGGATCTCGGATTATTCATCGTTTCCCTGATTTGGAACTACACACTCGTAAAGAACCAAATATATAAACATAAACATAAACCAAAATCAAAACGTCACATCCAAAAGATACAGAGACTACTATGTAAGTGGATTAGTTAGTTGTATTTAACATATAAACCAAAAATATATAAAAGATACTTACAGAAAACAAAGAGAAAGCGATGGAAACTGAAAATGAGATCTGATCGGTGTGTAGAAAAGAACAGAGGAGTTTAATTAGGTGTGGCCAGTGGCTGCCAAAAATATTTGAAGTCAAATAAGTCCACTCAAAAGACCACAGTGTATATGACTACACCTGAGGTTGATAGGGGTCTTCTGGTAAATTTGTCGCCCATAACGTAAGGTCGTTTGTTTTGGTCGTTTAGTGCTGTCCAGATAAAGTTTTCATGTCTTTACACTTTTGTTTCTATTTGAGCAGTTCTGTTTTGACCATTTAGCTGTTTGTCTACATTCACTTGCTTCATTGTTCTGTTTGGTCTGTACAGCTCATCAAAGCGGTGGTTTTTGGTCTGATGTTATTACTCCCACTATTGCTAAAAGAACATAACGACAGTAAGAATACACGGTGAACCGAATCGTAACAAAAAATTGGAAGAAAATATGCAAACATACCAAGTTAAGAAAACAAATGGAAATATAAAAAATAATGTGGGAATCAATGTCTTCATGACTCGAAAGGTCAAGCAAGCAGTCAAAGAAAGAAGCGGCTTTGCATTTTGCAGTCTCTTTTAGCCGCGTACGTGCTTTTTCATAATATTATCCGTACATTCCTCGAATAATATCCCAACTTTCATTACTATAATCTAGGTTGATGTCGCTTTGTGTATAAATGGTCTCTTTCTTTCAAGTTTCTAACACCAATTTTACCCAAAAAAAGAGTTTCAACACCAAAAAAGTCTGATAATTCTAAAAACTATCTTATCAATACAGAGAAATATGTCTATTTGCATCATATATAGTGGTAACAACAATAATTATACAGTTTCACACTATTAAACTAAGTTTTGTGCCATCATAAAATTTTCAAGATTTTGGTGGTAATTTTAGAAAATAAAATTGGTTGTGTGTATATAGTATAGTAGCTACAGTGAGATAGCTGGCTGGGTTCCAATTTTTCATAAACCTAAAATGGGCCGAATAATTCTTTGAAGCCCATTAGCTGATGCTTTTCACAGAACTCATGATGATTTGTTATCATCCAACGGATATATAATAAAACCCATTGTCTACAGGTTCAAGAGAAATCTGACGTCTGTGAGGTAAGATAGATAATCCAACGGCTTAAAAGTAATCCCATCGAATCGTCAGAAACAAAAGTCGTCCTTTTTAAGTATGAAAGAGAAATGCAGAACCATTTTCTCTTTCTCCCTCCATTTTCAGAGAGTGAGCATAATCCTTCTTTTCCAAAATTTCTGAGTCTAAAATAAATAAAGAAATCTCTTTTATCTTTCTTTTCTCTCTTTGTCTGAATCTTCTTTCTCCTCCTGCATAATCTCCAAGGCTCGGATTCGTACAGCGAAAGACAAGTATGATGAAACAACCGGAATGTTCACCATTTCCCGGAGGAGTCACGCCGGAGGAGAAACAGCCGCCGGCGTCAACTAAAGATGAATCTCAAGAGAGGTTTAGTTATCTTCCTCTTTTCTTCTGTACATTTCGTTTTTTTTCTACTGAAACATTATGATTTTCATGAAAAAAATTCCATCTTTACATGACCTATTGCCTTACTTTTGCTCTCTGTTAACTAAAAGTAGGGTTTACGGCTCAGATAACACGGAAACGGAAAGGGTTTCACACCAAAAGAGAGAGGAGATGTGCAAAATCCTAGACCAGGTTAAGGATCAAGCTTCATCACTTCTTAAATCCTCGCTTGAGCGGGAGAAAATCGATGGAAAGTTTGGTTACACGATAGAGTCGCTGGAGAAGAAGGATGAGCGTCTGAGAGTGGTTGAAGCGAGGGAGAAGGAAATTGGTTTGCTTGAGGAGACGATTTCTGTGAAGCTAAAGGAGAAAGAGACGGAATTTCATTTTAGACATGTCACTGAAGAGTCTCTCGTGAGATTTGTGGTTGAGAAGCAGATTGAAGAAGTAGTGAGACAACTTAAAGCAGAGGAGAACAAGCTCGTTTCGCTTCACCGTTCAACGAAGAAGAAATTTGAAGGTATAATGAGTGAGTTTGATGCGAAGAAAGCTGATGGACGCAGGCTTTTTGAGTCGATCCATGAGAAGTTGTCTGTGTTAGAGAAAGCAGAGAAGGGTTTTGATATGAAACAGAGAGCTGAGACGGAGAGATTGAAGGAGGAAAGTAAGAAGCTTGAAGCAAGGAGGAATGAGATTTGCTCACTTGAGGAAGGTATCAAAGAGAATTCTGCTGAGTTGAAGATAAAGGAGGAGACTTTTGAGCTGAAACAGAGAACTGAGACAGAGAGATTGAAGGAGGAAAGTAAGCAGCTTGAAGCAAGGAGGAATGAGCTTAGCTCACTTGAGGAAGGTATCAAAGAGAAGTATGCTGAGATGAAGATAAAGGAGGAGACTTTTGAGCTGAAACAGAAGGATCTTGAAGTTAAGGAGAAGAGACTGGAAAGAATGTTGAGAGAGCTTGAAGAGAAGCAGATGGAGTTTGAAGACGGATCAAAACAACAACTTGTAAAAGCAGAGACTCGAAAAAGATCCAACCTTGAAGTTGAGCCTCTTGTTCCTCTGCTGGTAGAGAGAGATAGTGATGCTGGTTCTCTTACACCTCTAGCGAAAAAACACAAAACTGAAGCTAATGATGGAGAGATTGGAGGAATTGTCTGCTGCACTGAGAAAAGTGATGAGTCTCCTAAGCCATTAGCTTGTCTTGAGGCAAAGTTTAATAATTTTAGCAAGTCAATGAGCTCTTTTGCTGTTGATCAAGTGTGGGCATTACATGATCCTAGAGATGATATGCCTAGGAGCTATGCTCAGATCAGGACAATCTTTAGCTCTCACTCGAGTCTGCAGGTGACATTGCTTGAACATGTTGAAATCCCAAAAGATGAGAAATTTATTCGCCAAGCTTGTGGGAGGTTTGAATATGGAGATACAGAGATCAAAAGCCATTTGATGTTTGCTCATGAGATGGATCACACCAAATGTGACAAAAGTGTCGTACTTTACCCAAGAGAAGGCGAGACATGGGCTCTTTTCAGAGATTGGAACGCAAGTTGGAAGAGTAACTCTGATCTTCACGAGTTTCCTCACAGATACGACGTTGTGGAAGTGATCTCCGAGTTCGACGATGAGATGGGCATTGCAGTGGCGTATATGGGGAGAGTTGAAGGATTTGCATCTGTTTTTAACCGTGCTGAGAGACATGGAATCATCCAGATGATGATCTCACCAGGGGAGATGCAGATGTTCTCTCATAAAGTTGAGTCGGTTAGGTTGAGAGGAGACGAGAAAGAGGGAGTCCCAGCTGGTGGGTTTGAGCTAGACCCTGCTGCTACGTTGAGATATGATCATTTGCTTGAGGATTGTGGTAGTGGTAAAGATCAAGATGGGTCTACAAAAAATCTGCCCATTGTAATAATAGTCTAATAGATTAATGAGGGACTTAAAGTCTATGTATAGTGCCATTGGTGATGGCTTTTGAGGTTTGCAGGAAGTAGTGAAACTGTAATCTTTTGGTTCTGTTCTGTTATCTCTTTGAACCTGTCTATGTTTTGAATTGAACCAACTTCTTTTGTTGAAAATGAAAGAGAATGCTTTAGTAGGACTTCATGGTGGATTCAGTCTTAACTTCATCTTTATTCTCTGCCTCTATGAAAGTGTCTCCATTGGGGAAATTCCAAAACTTGTTACAGGCAAAGACTAATAATAGTGTTATGCAAATCAGTATTTTATAACATAAAACATGGGGAATTTTTAAAACTACACTATATTTTCTCTATAAAACATTATATATACAACAAAAAGATTAGTGAAATAAGTAATAACTATTTGTTTCCTAACAAATTACTGTACATAGTTACCTACAATTCAACATCCTCCTAGTCTTTTTTTTCTTCATTTTTTTTTTATCGAATCCTAGTCATTTTTTTTCTCTCCTCAAAATGGATCACAAATCTAATCTTAAGCCTTGGGTGTAAATTAAATTGTTTATTTTTTCCAAATGGTCGTTTTTTTCCCGGCAAAGAGTTAACGACCATAAAAGAGTTAATGCTAAGAATAGAAGACGATCGTCCCACACCCATCAGAGCTATTTGTCTTCTCCGTCGTTCACTAAAATCTTATTTACCCAAAAAGAAAAATCGTCTACTACAAAAACTTGAGAGGAAAACAAAAAGGTTATGTTTTGGATTATTTGACAAGAAAACAAAAGGATCCATATTTTTTAAGGGAATGCTTTTGGGTTTGAATTGGCAGAAATGGAGCAGAAGAGCGTGTTGCTTTCAGCGTTAGGAGTTGGTGTTGGTTTAGGGATTGGGCTAGCGTCCGGTCAGGGTTTGGGTAAATGGGCAAACGGGTCTGTTTCTGCAGAGGATGGGCTCACCGGAGAAAAGATTGAGCAAGAGTTGGTGAGACAGATTGTTGATGGCAGAGAGAGTAGTGTCACTTTCGACGAGTTTCCTTATTTCCTAAGGTAAACGAGGACATTTCACATTACTTGTCTTAGTAAAGTTTTGAAAGCTATTTTCTTTGTTCTTTGTGTTAAAGAAAGGTGCATGTGTATGAAAATGTTGCATATAAATGGGACATTCATCATAATGTTTGATCTTTTTGATGTTGCAGCGAGAAAACTAGGCTTTTGTTGACAAGCGCTGCTTATGTTCACCTAAAGCAGTTTGATATCTCAAAGCACACACGTAATCTTGCACCTGCAAGTAAAGCCATTCTACTCTCTGGACCTGCTGGTAAACATCTCCCATCGTCTCTTTTGTTTTTAACCCTCAAAAACTCTTTGATCTTTTACTTTATAACCCATATTTTTGTGTAATTTTGTTGTGTTCCCTTAATCTGCAGAGTTTTATCAGCAAATGCTTGCAAAAGCATTGGCTCATTACTTTGAATCAAAACTCTTGCTACTAGATATAACCGATTTCTCTATTAAGGTGATTATTTGCATCAAATCTTAGTATTTGCCATGAAAAGATGATTTTTATTTGCTAAAGAACAGCTTGTAAAAGTTTTCTCTTTCTTACTCATTGATAACAGATACAGAGCAAGTACGGATGCGTCAAGAAGGAACCTGTACGTTACTTTGTGATCTTATGCTGTATAGCTTCATTATGTGTTTTGTGCAGAAACATGATTGTGTTTTTATTTGTTTTTATCTACTGTTTGCTAGTCTCACAAGAGGTCTATTTCTGAGATGACATTGGACAAAATGTCGAATTTGATGGGTTCTTTGTCAGCGCTCTCCCAAAGGGAAGAACCAAGAGGTACATTCTCAAATCCCTCACCTTTTCTTAAAGTTTATTCTACCTTCAAAAGAGCCTTAAGTGGTAGAATCCTTGTAAAATTTAGGGACCTTGCGTAGGCACACAAGTGGCAACGATCTTAGCTCAAGGTACATTGTGTTTTCTTCTTTCTTTTTCATATCTGGTTTTGTTTTTCTGTTGTCGTTTAAATACAGTATGCTCTATGTTGTATGTAAGCTCACTAGTTCCTTTTAAGTAACGCACCAGGGGCTTTGAGGGTTCAAACTTTCCTCCGCGACTCAAGCGAAATGCTTCTGCTGCTTCTGATATCAGTAGCCTATCTTCCCGTTCTTCATCATCTGTTTCAGGTGTGGAACCATTTGAAATGAATCACTTTAGGCCTAGATCCTCAGTGTAGTTGGATTCAGCTTCAGATTTCTAGACCTTTTGTGTTCATTTGTGTCTGTTTATACTTTTCTAGGTTCAAGCAGACGCAGTACAAACTTGTGCTTTGATGAGAGACTTTTCCTTCAGTCACTCTACAAGGTAAGATCAATTATTAAACCAGCAGAGGATGATTGTTAAGCTGAACGTTTGTTATCTTTACAGGTATTGGTTTCGGTTTCGGAAACCAATCCTATAATAATATACCTGAGGGACGTTGAGAAGCTTCTTCAGTCAGAAAGGTTCTACAAGCTGTTCCAAAGGCTCTTGTCTAAGCTCTCTGGCCCTGTTTTGCTTCTCGGCTCGAGACTGTTGGAACCTGAAGATGACTGCCAAGAAGTAGGAGACAGCATTTCTACTTTGTTTCCTTACAACATCGAGATCCGACCGCCAGAGGATGAAACGCAGCTCATGAGCTGGAAAAACCGATTTGAAGACGACATGAAACTGATACAGTTTCAGGACAACAAGAACCACATAGCTGAGGTTCTTGCGTCTAATGATCTCGAGTGTGATGACTTAGGTTCCATATGCCACGCGGATACCATGTTCCTAAGCAGTCACATTGAGGAGATTGTGGTTTCTGCAATCTCCTACCATCTGATGAACAACAAAGAACCCGAATACAAAAACGGGAGGCTTGTAATATCTTCCAACAGGTACTAAGAAGAACAATTATCTCTTCCACACAACAAGTGTTCACTTTTTTTAAAGCTAAACTGATTAACTGATTCTGCAACAGCTTGTCCCATGGACTGAGTATATTCCAGGGAGGTAGCAGAGGCCTTGAGGACTCCTTGAAGCTGGACAGAAACACTGACTCCAAGGTATTTTTACAGTTCTGAGTTCTGACCCTTGTGCTTCTGAATGTTAAAAGTGACTAAAATGTGAAATGGCTCTGGTGCAGGGAGAAGAAGGTGAAGGAATCATAACGAGCGAGCCAAAATCTGAGACAGCTGTTCCGGAAAACAAAAATGATTTGGGATCGATTCCTTCAGCCAAAAATGAATGTCCCCTGCCTCCAAAAGCACCTGTAAATGTAAACTATAACATACTATTCAACATTCATTATGTCAATGTGTTTGCCTTACCATAAGGTTTGATTTTGTTTTGCTTTATCTATCCTGTCAATGTAGGAGGTGGCTCCTGATAATGAATTCGAGAAGCGCATAAGACCAGAGGTTATCCCTGCAAATGAGATTGGTGTGACATTTGCTGATATAGGTTCACTGGATGAAACCAAAGAATCGCTTCAAGAGCTTGTTATGCTTCCTCTTCGTAGGCCTGACCTGTTCAAAGGTGGTCTTCTCAAGCCCTGCAGAGGAATCCTCCTCTTTGGACCACCTGGTACCGGGAAAACCATGATGGCAAAAGCCATTGCCAACGAAGCTGGAGCAAGTTTCATAAACGTGTCCATGTCCACAATCACTTCAAAATGGTTTGGAGAAGACGAGAAGAACGTGAGAGCTTTGTTCACGCTCGCGGCCAAAGTGTCTCCGACTATTATATTTGTGGATGAAGTGGATAGCATGCTGGGGCAGAGGACAAGAGTTGGAGAGCATGAAGCTATGAGGAAGATCAAGAATGAGTTCATGACACATTGGGATGGGCTTATGTCGAGTTCAGGTGATCGCATTCTCGTTCTTGCAGCAACAAACAGGCCGTTTGATCTTGATGAAGCCATCATTAGGAGGTTTGAGCGAAGGTAAGAGGGCTTGGTACTCCTTTCACTTGGATGAAATATTGAGCTTGAGCTGTACTAAACTCTAGCTTCTGATTTTGTTTTATTGGGAGGCAGAATCATGGTGGGTCTTCCATCGGTTGAGAGCAGAGAGAAGATCTTGAGAACCTTATTGTCAAAAGAGAAAACAGAGAATCTTGATTTCCATGAGCTTGCGCAGATGACAGATGGCTACAGTGGAAGTGATCTCAAGGTTTGACACAGTTCTCATCTCGCTTTACCAACACTCAAATTCCTCTTTTCATGGACTGACTATTGTGAATGTTATACAAACAGAACTTTTGCACAACAGCTGCATATCGACCAGTGAGGGAGCTGATAAAACAGGAGTGCTTGAAAGATCAGGTGAGAATATCTCAAGCCATTTCCTTTATTCCCTCACTCTATAGTGTGTGAAATTAATATCTCAATGGTGGTATCTCGCAAAAATCAGGAGAGGAAGAAGCAAGAGAAGCAAGAGGAAGCAGAGAAAGCAGAGAAGAGTAGTGAAGAGGTATCTGAAGCAAAAGAAGAAGTATCTGAGGAGAGAACCATAACGTTAAGAGCTTTGAGCATGGAAGACATGAGAGTAGCTAAAAGCCAAGTAAGTTAAAAGGAACTTAAGTTATATATGTTGATGATAGATCTTCTGCAAAAGCTAACTGGCTTGGACTTGCAGGTTGCTGCTAGTTTTGCAGCAGAAGGCGCAGGAATGAACGAACTAAAGCAGTGGAACGATTTGTATGGAGAAGGAGGCTCCAGGAAGAAGGAACAACTCTCTTACTTCCTTTAAAACACCACAATCCACTCTTATTCAACATCTTCTACAAAGTTTTCATCTTTTCTAAGTCTGATATTTACATTAATTCCAGAGATTCTGTAAATAAAACATGTACAGTTAATTTATCTTATGTATCCTATCATATAAACTTTTGACTGTTTATTTCTTGCTGAATGCTCTTGTCAACAGGAAGCATCGTTTTTCTATTTCAAAGATTGTTCAGATAAAATTTACCAAACATGTCTGGGAACATTATTTATTATTAGCATCAACATTGAGAACACACAACACAGAGAAACAGCAATTAAGAGAGATAAAGATTGAGACTTTACCCGCGCATACAACGGCATCACTTAAAAGAAAGCTACTCCTTCAACTGTGGCTCGCTCGAGCTAGCAGCTGGAATCTCTGTTTTGGATTCTGTGTGTAGAGCTTCAAAGGTCTTGTAAAACTCCACAGGAAGAGGCCCAGGACGGTGCTGCGGAACATGTTTCGGTATCGGTGCGTCGTTCTCAATGACTTCGCACTCGTAATCCTCTGGAACACCCCAAGGCTCCCATTCTGCATATACAAACAGAGTAGGCGCAGAAACAAATGATAAGTTAAGCAATACAACATGAAGATGCGAGTGTGATAAAAGCAATAGCTACAATTTCATCAAAGCAATGCACTAATACAAAGTATCATGAAAGTTGCAATTTCGACACATAACAACCGAGCAAGTGAGATCACAGAGCAGAAGCAAATTAAAAAAAAAAAAAACTTCTTTTTGTGCAAAATCTATAAATTCAAAGTTTTTTGCAATTGCAAAGGTGAAAAATGAAAAGAATTTGAGGAAAAGAGTGGACGAACCGATCATTTTGGCAATGAGAGTGAGCTCATCTTGAGCCTCTTCGATGAGCTCCTCGACCTGACCACAGCCGAGCTTCTTCTCAGTCGCTTCCCAATCTTCTTCTTCTTGGCACACATTGAGACGGTGGCGCGTGAAGCTCTCCACTGCCTTCCTGTAGCCTTCATCTTCCGGAACCGCCTGGATCTCCTTTAGCGCTTTGCTGTAGAGATCGATTAGCACCGCCCTCGCATTCGGCACCACGTCTAGCCCAACGATCCCAGTCGTCTGCTTCACCTTGGCCAACAATGGCCGCCCGATCGCACGCAGGAACATTTCAGCCGCTGGATCGCTTCTTTCCTCAACTCCGGCGAAATTAAACTGCCTTTCAGTTTCAGATCAAAGCTTCATACTTTAGGCCCATTATTGATTAGCCCAATTCTATTAAAGCGTTAAATGGGCCCATATCTCAATTAGCTTCACTGAACCAACAACAAAATGACACTTGAAATAGTTTTTTGAACATTTTTCCACTAAACCAACAACAAAATGAGGATTCCAGTTATTCAACAGCGAACACAAACCAAACATAAACGAAATTAGTGAATTACAAACTTCATGCGCTTGGTTTTGTATTGAATGTGAATCCAATTTTGTTCTTCTAGTGAGCCATTGTGTGTATCTCTTCTATTCATCCTCACTCCAAACTCAAGCAAGAATTGAATAAGCTCGAGACTGAGCTGCCATGGAACCATCATTTCATGTCCAGAGGATCCAATAAGAGTTAATACAAAGATCAGGTTGCTGCAACATCTTCTTCCAGGTTATTGGGAAGAGAAACATCTTGGACGAGAATGTTACTTTCATTATCTATCATGTAAGACACGTCTAGTCCCTCCAGAACCAAGTGATAAACGATGCTGCTGTCAGCATCTGACGTGTCTTGTGGCTTGTTCCGTTGTGACATTGATCGTATGTCCCATGACAGGACCTGCGTAATCAAGCTCTTGAACTCATCCGCTGAACTATATAGAGACTTCTTTTCCTGCCACACAAAGCAAATAAAACATTATGTCAAAATGGAAAATGGAGAAGAGATCCATCTAAAGGTCAAAAAGTCACTCACTATCAGCTTCCAGCAGCTGGTGATGGACGAAGAGAAGGTGTCTGAGAAAGTAACAGAAGCCACAGCCAATAAGCACTCCTCCTGAAATTCATTTTTTGATCTTAGAGTCTCACCAGTATTCAGTTACTCAGCTTAGAGAGATGAGGTCAATATATCATAACGTTCATACCTTTACCCAGTTTGGTACTGAGGCTCCTTGAATGCTGTCCGAGTACGGTAAATAAGGCTTGATGTCGAGCACAGGCTGTCCACAAACCGTTAAAACTTATAAATGAACTACGCAAGACGCTGATAAGCAAAAGGTAATCCAGCATGCAAAAGGAAAAGAGAAAATTACAGTCCCATCCACCAGATCAACACCAGAGAGCAGAATCCTATCCTTTTGGACTTCCTCCACCTATGGATTAGTTACCATTATCAACTTTTAGTAAAAGATGTTCATTGTCTTTGTTAACTACAGAACAATTTGGAATTTGTGTTGAGAGAACCTTAGCAACGGTGAGCCCAATGGGACAAGGTCGATGAGGGGAGCGAGTAGCAAAGACTCCCTTTCGTTCTCCATTTAGTCTTGGCACTCTCACCTGAATGAAATTGACAACACCCCTAAAAAAACTTAATCATCATAACATAGAAAACAAACAAAAGAAGCCATGTGCGTACCTTAGCCTTGAGCTTAGACTGAGATGGCTTTCTCCATAGCTTCTCAATATCAGTGTTGAGATGAAACACGTATATTATCCAGCAGTGAGAATACTCTTCAAGACCTTCAAGAGATGCAGGTGGAACCAAAGCTTGATCAAACTTCAAACAAGCCCTCGCAAGAGACACAAGCAATGGCTGCCTCGGTGTACCGTTCCTACAAAAGCCAAGAAGCAACAAACTTTAATTAAAAGCCAACATTTTTAGTACTCCCCTAAAACTAACAAGCTACAGAAAGCAATCATTTTTACCTTGTAGAGAAGCAAGACTGTATAGTGCCAATTGGTCGCATCGGGTATATAGTGTTGTGTAAATCATTCGACTCACTCTGTGATAATGCCTCCCGTAATGCCTAAATCCAGAGAATGAACACGAATTGCATAAATCCAGAATTTTAGTATCCTTGAATCAATTTCAATGTTCGAAAAATGTGTTTTTTGTTCATATGGTTTGAATCTAAAGCCATCGATTTCAAAGAGTATTAGAAGAAATAGAAGAAGACCTGCTGAGCCTTAACTCGACCTCTTCTCTCAGAAGCACTTTTCTCCCTGGTAGATCCCAAAGACTTCTCAAGTTCCTCAATTCGACATTCCAAATCTTCTCCTCGTCTCCTCCATCTATACACTTCACAAGAACTAGCTCAATATTCACGAATAGGTATGGGCAAGAAGGAAGTGACGACAAAGAGGTGGAGAAAGAGATTACGCGAGACGGTGGCGGATACAGATACTACGGCGAGTGTGAAGGCTAAAGCCGCCGTGGTGTAGCCGTTGGAGTGTCCTGCTATAGCCATGGATGAAGTTCTCTTCTTCTGTGCCGGCAAGTGGAACGTTCGACGGCGGCGGGAATTTGACGGTCCGGACGTAAATCTCTGTTTTGCGACGGCGGCGGGAAAGAGACAGTGTGTTGTTACTTCTTCACTATAGGGCCCACTTAAAAATCTGAAGCTTATTAGGCCACCCGAGTTGTTGGCCTAAAAACGGCCCACTGAACTTGTTGACTTTGACTTCAATTTACAGGGAAATTGGCACAAAGTGTGATTAGAGTGAGAGTTTCAGTTGTATGGAATCTGCTATTGATTGATGTAAAATACAAATTCATATACGAGCCGAAACGTGTAACCTTCTTAGGAGACACTGTTAACAACTTACATGAACAACATCAAATCTTAGTCACTATTATAGAGAGTAAGTAGTGTAAAACAAATGGAAAACTCAACAAGACATATTCAATGTTTTGTTTTTGTCTACTGAGGGAGATTCGGTGTTGATGGAATGAATACATTCAGAACCGCAGACCAATAACCAGCCAACTGCAGTTAACAATAGCAACAGAACTACAATCTTAGTAAAAGCTTTTCTTTTTTTGTCAACAACACTGAGAGAAGTAAGTAAGAGAATAAAAATACCTGAGCAAGAATCCCTTTTCCGGTTTGTGCTTCGATCACAAGACCTATCAGGAGTCCTATGACTGCCCAAGCTCCGTTTATAGCCTCTATTTCACGCCTTCTTTGTTGCCTCTCTCTGCCTTTAATCTCTTCCATTTGCTTTCCTGCTAACCTTTTAGCCTCAAGAGGGTCTACCATGAATACCTCTTTTTTCACCTTTGCTTTCCCTGGACCTGGAGGAGTTGCCTACAACAACATTCAGCATTGGCAGAAACTTCTAATCAACCAACAACAAGATTAATTTTACCATCCTACTATCACTAACAGAGATCTAGATCCTAGTTTTACCAAGTAAATTATTCTTCTTTTTGATTTTACTTATGGAAAAGATAACATATGACTACAAAAAGAGGATAAAGGTTATACATTGGGATTTGCTAGGACTCGAACTGCTCCACCTCTGGCTCTGCTTCCCACCAGCTTTGCATCTTGGTGTCTTCTTAGTCCCTTTCTGAGAAACCATACAAAGATATGATGAATATAGTGGCAGATATCTAATTATCATATTAATGATAGCATTTCATCAATGAATACTGAGTTGGACGAAACCCAGAAGAAAAGGCAAAGATGCAGAATAAGAGGAATGTTTATCTCGTGACAAAAAAATTATCGACAAATTCGGACTGCGACGCTTTTATTTGATCAATACGCCAAGAGTGTTAAGAGACGGGTACCAATAAGTTAACTTATCCCAAACGCAACAGCAAACATTCACATTACAACTATGACATGTGGAATAAAGTAGATCCAACTGCAATCAAACCGCTACCAGGACAATAAACTGTTCACTTGATTATACTTTGGATCTTCAACTTGATAATTTGAAAAAGAAAGGAAATGGATTTGAGGCAATACACACAGAACCAGTAAAAAGGTAAGAAATTCAAAATCAGTTACAGGAAATCAAATTCGCAGTTATCCAAAGTAGATTCTGTTTTTATAAATTCAGAGGAAAAACAGAGGAATTAGTGGCGCGTAACAACAGTAAATGAATACCCATAACATAAATTACGAAAAAATTCGAGGCAGAGCACTATATAACGCTGTTCATCCCGAAAATCAAAACCTTCAACCAAAATATGAGAACGGAGAAATGTAATTCAAAAAGGAGAGGAAACGGATTTCAGAGAGAAAGGGAGAGAGACTTACACGAGAAAGTAGGAAGATAAAGACGAGGGAATCGCGAAGCGGCCATTGGAAGAAGAAAGCTGAGGATCAGCTCCAAGGGAGAAGAAGATAGGCGGCGGTGAAGAGAAAGACGTCACCACCATTTCTAAGCCTTTCAATATTTTCGAAGCGCATTTCTCTGATTTTATATTGTCCGGACAATGAAACCAAAGGCCAAAGTCAAAACGTCGTCGTTCCCTTTACATCTTATCCAATAAAACTATAAAAGCTCCAAAAGTATGATCTGATTATAGAAGTTGGTTAACATTTGTAGACAGTTCTGAGTAACGAGAAGAAACAAATCACAAGCCTTAAAACAAATGTGATTCTGTTGCAAATGTTTTTTTTATTAATTACCAAGAATATGCTACAAATTGGATAAATGAAAAGATTTACAGATTGGACATGAATAATCAGGAGGTAGGAAGGGAGAGCCAGAGGAGGAGCCGTTGTGGTCTGTTGAGGTATCGAGCTTGCCACGCTGGCTCAGCGCTCTCTCGCTCGAACCCACTTTTCATGTATAGACTCTTCGCTGCTTCATTGTCCACCGTCACATGCACGTACAAATCCGTTATCCCTGAACCATTTTCACAACTCTTTTCTTTTAGAAAAAGTCCAGTTAAGAGAGTGTAATGAAACTCGTTTGATAATAACGTTTGCTTACCCCAATCTCTAGCAACCCCTTTAGACTTTTCAATGAGTTTGTAACCAACCCCGTTACGATGCAGCTCTTTCGCTACACATACGTTGCTCAAGTATGCCCTCCCAAAATCCACAGTAAACCCCTATACAAACAGAAAGGACTATACATAAAGCTTCTCAATTTATCCATTATCAGATTAATTTTTGTTTTGTTTTGTTTGGTTATATGCAAAGTTTAGCATTGTTGGCAATAAGAAAATACCTCTGGTTTAGTTCCAGCGATTTCATCAGGAAGCCAACGGCATTGGTTAAGGTCAAGGCTCCCCACAACAACTCTATCTTCTATGCCATCAGAGAACTGAGAAACACATGGCACAAATCCATATCAGAATCCAAAGCAACACCAAAATGACAAACTATAGATATCACATGATTAATATACGGACCTCTAAAGTATACAGGGAAAGTGTATTACACCAAATCCACAGTCTACAGAGAATGATGCATATATGTAATACAAGTGAATAGACAGACCTTACATGCAGAGCATAAATCCTCAGAGGAGGTTGATAGTTGCGACAACGGAAGAGTAGCATTTACGCAGGACACCTTGGTAAAACCTTCCCTCTTTCCTGAAATTCTCTCCTTAAGCGCCTCGAACTCACGCTCTGCCAAATATCTCCTGTGATCCTAATGAAACTTGAACAGCAAAATGTAAAAATCAGCATACCAACCAAGATAGATAAAGCCAAGCAGCTATAACGAGAAAACACTTCAAAGTTCAAACCAAAGAAACACTCAACACCATATCTCGTTAGAGATCTTATTGACTATGTACCTAATAGATCTTCCTACTATACATGCATGTTTCCAAAAATCAATTTTCATTTCCTTATGAGTTCCAGAAGAATTTTTCCAGCTATGAACTATTGGTTCAATTTCAAAGTTAAGGGAGTTGCATTCATGAGACGAATTGCTAAAATTTGTTTCAATTCACAGCTTAAGTTTTCTCAGAAAACAAAAATGGAGTAGAAAGAAGAACTGACTTGGATATTGTAAGAAGAAGGATCGAATTCGTTGAAGGTCCGTACACGGAGGCAAGCTGCAGCCCAGAGCTCATCCTCCGACGCCGTTTCGGATATGACGATCGTCGACCTGTCGATCGCTGGAGCACAAATGTTTGAGGCAGAAATCGGACGTAACCGGAATCTACAGGAAGAACTCGGAGGAGAGGACCGGAATCCATCTGTGTTTGAGTCGCTGAAAATGGCGATAGAGCATGATGAGCTTGGAAGAGACGAACAGAGAAACGCCATTTTCGCGGACTAACCACGTCCTCAGCTTCTTGCTAAGCTTCTAGCTCGATCATTTGGGCCTCTTTCATTTGGGCTCAATCTCAGCCCATAGTTTTCATTTGGGTTACATTTTTTTTTTTCGTCAAAATTATTTTGGTTAATTACATTTCTGAAAACTCTTGTCTGAAAAAATAATCCGAAAGGAAGAGCAGCCACACAATACGAAATCAATATCATTAACAAACAAACAAAACATAGTAACTAACAAAATATGAAAAACCTATATGTGTCACATCATCTTAGTTATTCTTCTTCAGAAAAATGGTGTTCTTATCGGCTTATCGCAACAAATACACGTCTGATTTTAATCATTTTAATGTACTTATAATCAACTTAATTATCACTTGTTAATAGTATCTATTATTTATCAAATGAATTTTGTTTGATATAGAGTAATGAGTTTGGAGTAGTTTTTATTACTTCATACAATAAAATAAGCCCTAAAATAAACACAAAAATGTTTACGTGTAATCAAAGTTGTATTAATGAATACTTTGCTAATATGGGCTAGTAGAGCTAGTTCATGCATATGATGATGGTTTAGAGTGTCCCAAATAAAGTATGGAAAGATTAGAATGAGGATGTGTATCATGAGTCAGAGTATTTGTCATTATCCTATGATTGTATCTTTTCTCTTATGCATCCAATTCTCATTGGTCCACAAACACCAATGGAAAATTAGAAATCATTTCAGCAATAATAGAAAGAAAACCTACTTTACTATCGGTGGCGAGACATAAGAAGACAAATTAACTATGACACGTTCAAGCATATGGTCGTTTATCTATATGTTTCCATAGTCCTGTTCTGTCATTTATGTGCCCTATAATACACCTTTATTTAACTATATAACATACATCAAAATATTCTGAATGAGACGTACACATGGGCGTCCTCATTGGCGATTTTTAGTTTTTTTTGCATTGTTGCGCAAAATCATGGAATGTATAATGTATTATATCACATAAATCGTGATTTCGATTATACACTGATTAACAAGATCTATTATAATCGGGAAGCTATTTGTAGGTTACACATCAGAATTGTAATTTGTTAGTGGTTTGCTAAATGAATAATAAATATTCTGCCAAAGAAACTAAGAAAAAAATCCAATGAAAGAGAGAAAGAAAAAAAACCTTCTATATATAAGACAGAAAGTTAATTAGTAAACCAAAACAAAACATTAGTAAACAAATGTCGGATATTATCATGTAATATTATTATGTACATGTGGTCATTAATTATAGTATACGTCCAGAGACCAACCGTCGACTTTCTAGAATTCAAAGCCTTCACAAGACCATGTTGGCATGTCGTATTCTGTATTATGTACTTCTTGCTTACTTTGTGATGCGGAACTTCGAAACCGAAACCACTCACTATATCTTTTTGTTCTTCTTTCGACGCATATATCTGGTTCCAGTTTACGCTTGCTAGCTCAAGTCTCTTAAAAGCTCCTAATCTCTTATCATTTCCATTTAGTTAATTTATTAGACTTTTCAAAATCTCATCCTGTAATTTTCTTTTCTTCCTTTTTTTTTTTGGGAGATTTATTTTCTTACATATTCTAGAGATTTAATACAATTGAATATTATCTCATAATACGCGGCTGCCAGTTTGTTTTATACTTCCTATCACATGATTCACACACACACGCTCCACACATAAATTGATTTGTATTTACACATTTAATATATAATTACAGCCAACAGCGTCTAATGAGAGATTAATTTGTGGTAATATTAGATCTGAACAGAAAAAGAAGAGAGCTAGGTGTGCAGGAGATGGAGATGGAGAAATACAAGCCGGTGATGGCGTTAGTGATGCTGCAGTTTACAACGGCAGGAGTTGCACTCTTCACCAAAGCTGCTTTCATGGAAGGACTCAATCCCACTGTTTACGTTGTTTACCGTCAAGCCATCGCCACTCTCTTCATCTTTCCCATCTCTTTCGTCTCCGCTTGGTAACTTTAAGTTTCATCCATCCATAAGAAAACATATCGATCAAGACTTGAAATAAAACATGTTTTTCTATAAAAAAGCACATCTGTAAGATTCATCTAGGAGCAATCATATTCACATACTGTTATTACATAACTAAACCTATTCCGGTTTGCAAATAGATTAACTCTTATCAACATATAATATAAGCAAGTAACATTTACATAGAGATCATCAAGACTTAAAATTAAAACCCATTTCCATGCGTTTTGTTGTGAATGGAAAATAGGAGGAAAGGAAGCATACCATCTCTTGGAGTAAGAGGCTTTTGGTGGGTGGCTTTCACGGCTGTCTTTGGTGTGACTGTGACTCAGAACGCTTATTTTGCAGGGATTGACTTTTCTTCTTCATCCATGGCTTGTGCCATGACCAATCTTATTCCTGCCGTCACCTTCATTATCTCCCTCATTGTTGGGTCCGTGATAAATTTATTATATCAATATGTTATATGTATACATAATTCTACATTGATGGATTGACTAATTATATTTGTATGTTTGTTTCAGATTCGAGAGGATGAGGACAAGTGTGAAAAGTTACGCCAAAATAATAGGAACATGTGTGTGTGTGGGAGGAGCCATGGCAATGACTTTTCTCAGAGGCCCTAAATTGCTCAACGCTCTGCTCCAACAAGACAGCAACACTTGGTTACTCGGCTGCTTCTTTCTTGTCATTAGCACGTTTGCTTGGTCCCTTTGGTTGATCCTTCAGGTTCCTATCTCCGCTCACTGTCCTGATCACTTGTACACTTCCTCCTGCACTTGCTTCATCGCTACCATAGCCTCTTTCCTCTTGGCTCTCTCCCTTGGCAACACTGACTTAACGTCTTGGAAGCTTGATTCCTCACTGAAGCTCTCTTGCTGCATCTACTCTGGAATCCAATTGGCAGTGTCTTTCTTCCTACAAGCTTGGTGCATTTCGAAGAAAGGACCTCTTTTCGCTGCTCTCTTCAATCCTCTTTCTACAATCATTGTCACTTTCTTCGGCGCTCTGTATTTACAAGAACAAACTTACCTTGGAAGGTACACCATATTGGTCTCTTCTCTTCGTTTTGAAGTTCATTTTACATTTTTTAATCTGTTTTGCTGTCTTTTCGCAGCCTGCTGGGCGCTTTGGCTGTCATCCTTGGTCTATACATTGTTCTCTGGGGCAAATCAGAAGACTATCAAGAAGAAGCCACAAACCTCAAACTGCAAAATGAACACAACTCTGCCTCTGAATCTGACTTTGTTCCCATTATGATTGGTGATAAGGCCATTCGTAGCTCAGAGCTCTTAGAACCTCTTCTCGTGTAAGTTGTCAAGTTCTAGATAACGTAAAGGGCAATACCGCAAAAACGAAATGCCACTTCTTTAACAAATCTTAATGTAGAAGCTACTCCACGCACAAAAAGACTCGAAATGGAAGCACAGAGCAAGTGCTGTTGTAAATCATTGAATCAATCATATGTTGCAACACACTTAAATAAAGAAAATACATTGAAATGAAATCTCACACACACAAGACAAGCGACCAATAAGTTGTCTTAAATAAGCATCTATGCTATTCCAAATGCATCAATGATCTAATAATAGCTGCGTTTTCTGTTGTTCCTGAAGGCGCAACAACCAACGGAGTAGACGACAATGAGGAATACGAGGAAGACAATGTTCACCTGAGCCACTTTTTTCCACGAGTTCCTGAGGTTGTCTAGCAGACCGGCTTTGCAGGCTTGGCAGTCGTAGCATAGAGTCCCCGGTTTGTTGTCCCACACGTTACAGTCCTCGTTCTTGTATGGACCAGCTGTCTTGGTCCAGTTAGTCGCGCTCACGTAGGTGAAGTTACATTCGTTCGACGGCTTACAGCAACCAGACTACACAATTGAGGCAAGAAAAAAAAAGAAAATAAGATTTGGTGAATATAATAAAATGAAATGTAACAACTCACATTATGTCTCCGGAGGTACAAAATTTTAAGACATAACAAGATGCATCACTATTGTTCTTACATTCCAATTGCTCCGAATCTAAAAGCAGCTTTTTCAGACTCATCTGAGATTCTGAAAAAGGGAATTTTCGAAAGACTAAAATCTTTTTTGAAAAAGGAATGTCTGTTTGTAATCCATGGGAACAAAATGAAGCTTTTGTTCTTAAAGCAAAAGTTATTTATGAGGAAAAAGCATTGTAAATCCAAAGAATCCGATCTCTAATTGAAAAAGGTAAATCAGCAAATATTTGAATCAAAATCGGATCAGATCGGAATGTGACCTGAAGAGCATTGAGATTAGAGTGGTAAAACTCGTTAACGGAGACGCTGGCGTAGCGGCTGCTGAAAGTGGAGCACACGTTGGAGTAAATCAAACAGCTCTTGATCCGGTTCCAATTCTTATCGCTGTTGACTCGCTTCTGCAGCCAATTCGAGTAATCGCCGACGTGGTACTCCTTATACCCTCTATCCGACAAAACCTCGCCGGCGCCGCGGTTAGTGACGGCGAATGCGAAGATGGTGAAGCAGAAGCCGAGGAGAATGAGGAGGAACATGGCGCAGAGGTAGAGCCAGAGGAGGCAGGAGACGCGGCAGCAAGCGCCGACGAGACCGGCGATGGAGACGAACATGAGGAAGATGCCGAGGACGACGATTGGCTTGTCGAGGAAACGCTCGCACTCGGTGGCTGCATTTTTGCCGAGCCAGATCCCGGCGGAGAGGATGGGGACTGAGAGGAGGAAGGTGAAGAAGTTGAGGATCCCGAGGAGGTTGTTGCTACACTGTACCATTTTTGTGTTTACGGCAGAGACAGAGAGAATATTTTGTCCGGCGGAAACTAAAAAAGGTTACTTTTTCACTTCAGATCTTTACGCAACACTTTTGTCTGTTACGAAATCTGTTGGGAATTTTTATACGGCTCAAATTGATTTTCGAGAGTTGTTGTATCAGTCAACGCCAGCTAGACACTTAAAAATAGGTAAACTGGTAAATAATTACTGAGATTAAATAAAGGGAAAAGAGGTTTTGCAAATTACACCCTCAAGTTGTAAGAAGTGACGAAATTGGCCCGAGAACTAAAAAAATAGTAAATCGAGGTCCAAGTTTGTGAGCTCTCTGAAAACGTAGACATGAAATCAAAAGAATGTCTTGCAATTTATTTATAAGATCAATCCGAAAAAATAGCTTAACAAAAGAGTAAACAGAGTTAGGTCTCAGTGATCATCCACAAGACCTTTAGGCCTCAAGCAATAAAATGACAAAGCGAGAGCTTATTTTGCCGGAATCAGAGAGGGCCAGGGAAAGTTCCGGTCTCCCTCTGCTCATTCCACTTGTCAACCTGTGGAAAAGTATAGCTCATAGTCAAGAATTTGGGTAGAGACAGATGAAAAATGATAATCAAGTAGCAAAGAGAGTAAACAAAGAAGGTACAAACCCATTCTCCAGGGCAGAGAGCGCGGTAGTACTTGGCGAACCTCTCGCATTCATTGGAGTCCTCACCCTTCGCACTTGTGCACCTGCAGAGAATGCATTGGAAATTGGAAACAAGAGTACCTGTGAAGTTCAGTGAATCATTAAACACGAGGTACCTGTGGAACTCAATGTAACGAGTGAAGCAGTGCCTCGTCTGGTTTGTTGTTGGAAAACGGAAATCAGCAGGAGCAGTTTTAAGTTCGATCTGATTCATTACAAAACATAGAGGTAAAATTAGACACCGAGATTACACTACCTAGTGTCTAGTGATTCACAACTGACAAACGAAACCAACTATAACAACAATATCTTTTATAATTTCAAAGCTTTTATCTTCCCTTCCTCTCAATTCTTAATCTAATCTACCATTGAAACAAACCACACATGAAAACAGAACTATTCGTTTGAGAAAATGATTACTTTGACAGAAAAAATTTCATCTCTATTCAACAACGTCTTTTAGAATACAAAGCTTCCTCTTCCTCTGCGTTTCAATTGCTAATCTAATTCTTAGCATATTGACCAAACCACGCGAGCAACAAAATTAAGTATTTGAGAAAATGATCTGACAGAAAATCTGAAATACCACCAATATACAATCTCAATGCAATCATATGTGTTTCTTCACTATCCAAAGGGAAAAAAAAAACAATCTCAGGGTGTTCTGTTCTCTACCAGGTCATCAATCGAAGAGAAAAAACGAGAGAAATGAGTGAAAAAGCCAGATCACTAAGTATCTAAAATTCATCAAATCGAATTTCATGCAAACAATATTACGAAATAACGAAGTTGACGTATGCATAAGTAGTGCTCAATCAGATCTCGAATTGATGTTGAATTTTCAAAACAAAAAAAAATAATTCCAAGTCCTTATTTACAATCTCCCGCGGAAAACAGAGCGAAATCGCATATACATCAAATAGATATGAAAAGATGAAAACTTACCTCGTCCTCCATGACTGATCGGAATACGAACGATGATGAGAAGCGTTTGGTTGGGTATGAGAAAGAGAGAAGACGCTCTCGATTGGGAAATGAAGTTTGCAAATCGCCAATTTTTCTCTCCGGTGACGACTAGAAGAAGCTAATGAGGCCGCTTTCAATGTTGGGCTCCCACACTATTACTATTATTAAATGGGCCTAATCATATCGTTATAATCGGTTTAGTTAACGATATGATTTGGTTTGGTTTGGTTTGACCAATTTCATTTTGGGTTGTTGGATCTCCTTCCTTTTCTGTTGTTGAGAGAGAGTGGAGGAGCAGTCGAGCAGCAGTGAGCCGGAGCGTCACTGCGACTCTGCTTCTTCATTAAATCCGCCAATCATCCGATTATCCAGAAATTACCGGTTATCTCTCTCCTTCTGATGCTCCCAAATTCCACACCACCATGCGATCACTTCTTCTCTCCCTTCGCCGCGTAACTCTGTTCTCGAGGCATCAACGATACGCTTGCGCTTCTGTTCAAAATTGTTTGATCCCAAGCAATCACACCTTGCTTTCTCCCCCATTTAATCGATCATTGCTCTCGGCTTATTCTTTCTCTTCTCCTGCTCATTCCAATGGAGAAGAGAAAGTTGCGGGGCCTTTAGTGGAGTATCAACGCAGAATCGTGGCTGGAGAGCTTTTGGATGGAGATTTATGTCAGGTAAGTCCTCTCCTCTCATCTTTCCTCTTCTCATTCGCTAGCAGAAATGTAGAATCAATGCTGAAGCTTTTTTCTTTGCTGCAGCTTGGTACCTTGAGAGAACTTCAGAGACTCTACGATGAGCTTGTTCAATCCGCCGATGCCTGTCGATTGGATCGTTATTCTGCAACCGCGAAATCCACTAGGTTTCATATCTTTTTTTTTCATTCATTCATTAGTATCTAATTAGTTTGTGTTGAACATTTTTGATATGATTTCATTTGTTATATGTCTTCAGGAGTAATTGGTTCTGGAACAAATTTGTGTCTCACTCTTCTGTCTCTCCCGTCAAAGGCTTATACTTATACGGAGGAGTTGGAACTGGGAAGACAATGCTCATGGATTTGTTTTTTCATCAATTGTAAGTAGATAGATCACACACATTCATATAATTTCTACATTACTCTTTAAAAATAAAATTCATCTGATCCTTGTTTAATCCGGTATAAGGCCATCAAGCTGGAGATCACAAAGGATTCACTTTCACAATTTCATGTTGAGTGTTCATAGCCGCCTCCAAGTAAGATTCCACTTTAAAAGTTTCCTTATTAAGCCAAGGGTTGATATTTAACCTCTGTCATTTGAAATATCTTCTGCAGAAGCACAAGGGTCTTGAAGATCCACTTGAAGTCGTTGGCCTGGAAATAGCCGACGAGGCTATATTACTATGCTTAGATGAGTTCATGGTATGTTATTATGTGATGATCACCTTCACTGTGTAGAAATTTGTTTAGGGTGACTCACATTTCTTTATTGCTTTGTTGTAAAAGGTCAATGATGTAGCTGATGCTCTGATACTAAACCGTCTTTTTAAACACTTGTTTAACAATGGCATTGTAAGTTATCTCTGCAACCTTCGTCTTTTTCATCTCTCGAAACCTACTACTGGACTTATACCTACAGTTTTTTGTAAAAGTTTATTCATGTCGGTAACTGGAGGCACGTGTAGTGTAGGTTCTTGTTGCTACATCAAACCGTGCTCCGGATAATCTCTATGAAAAGGGTTTACAGAGGGACCTATTCCTTCCGTTTATCGCCACACTAAAGGTTATGCAAATCCATGTTACTATCAATGCCCTGAACTCGTTGCCTGGGATCCATTATGCGGTGTGACTGATACTAAGAAGCCATTGTTGTAGGAAAGATGTGTGGTTCGTGAAATTGGTTCGTCGGTCGACTATCGGAAACTGACTTCTGTGCGTGATTTCGCTTCTCTCAGTAACTCAGTCGTTGCTTTTAATGTAACGTAAAAAGAAATCTTATAGGTCTCTTTTATTGAATGTAGGCTGAAGAGGGATTCTACTTCATTGGAACAGATATTTCTGGTCTTCTTAAACAGAAGTTTCAGCTGTTGGTTGGTAATGAACCGGCCGGTCCTCAAGTGGTTGAAGTAGTAATGGGAAGGAAATTGCAGGTATTCTCTTTTCTTTCACAGATGCATCAGGTCCTGTGCTGAAGAGTGCTTCACATGGATTCTGTTCAGATTATTTGATATTCCTTGATATTTTCTTCTTATTTTGTTGAATGTCAGGTTCCACTGGCTGCAGATGGGTGTGCCTACTTTCTTTTTGAAGAGCTGTGTGATAGACCCCTAGGCGCAGCCGATTATCTCGGATTATTCAGTAAGTGAACACCAGAACCATCATACTTTTGTCATTGCACTCGAGCTCTTTCATGCAGCTTAGTCTTGAGATGCAAATTTCACTGCAGAGAAATTCCATACGTTGGCTCTGGAAGGTGTACCCTTTTTCGGGCTCCACAATAGAACCGCAGCTTACCGCTTCGTGACACTGGTTGATGTATATCTCGCTTCACCTCTCTTTTCTACATTGAAGTTCAAGAAATCCTTTTTCTGAAAATGTGATCTCTCAACGATTGAGATTACTTACAGGTGATGTATGAGAACAAAGCCAGACTCCTGTGCACAGCAGGGGGTAGCCCTCTAGAACTGCTGGAGAGAATAGTAACAATCTCTGACGCGCAGCAAATAGCACCTAGAACCTCTGCAAGATCAAGGAAGAGTGATGATCTCGACTTATGCGTGGACAACGAGCTTGGTTTTGCTAAAGACCGTACCATTAGCAGGTACAATCTAAAGCGACTGTTGGCTTTTACCCTCTTTTATAATCTTGGACTGATCATCTCTGATGTGTGCCACAGATTAACGGAGATGAACAGCAAAGAATACTTGGAACAACATGCAAGAATGTTGCTAGAGAAGCAGCCTTCTTCTTAGTTTATTATAGTACACGATTGGAAATGCCATCAAAACCTGTTGTAACCATTGTTTACAGAACAAAGGGTTTCAGCTTATTCTTTGACATAAATAATCCCATAGTATATTCTCTGAAGAGAGAAATAGTCATGGCCTGGCACACTATTCTTACTTTATTAAAAGAAATAACAAAAGAAAGGGACAAATGTTTTTATTCATGACGCTCCTTGAGGAATTGAATGCTCTTTTCAGTTTTCAGCTATGGAAACCAATAACAGGAAACAGGAGAAAAGTTGTTAAAGCAGGTGTCGCGAGTCTTGGTCCTGCGCTGCAGCACAAAACATTCAAATGTAGAAAATTCTTTCCTCAACTTATCATGGGAACTATGGTGATTAATGTAACTCAAACTCATCCATGGAGCCAAATCTCTTTCTCTATCTCTCTCCACTTCTTTAGCCTCGATGTTAATACTTCAATGACAGAAAATCACTTCTTTCAACTTGCGACTTCAATTTGCTCAATCTCGTTGTCGCTGTAATCTCCCCAGCACTTTCCTTTATGTCCTTCTCCATTTTTCTTCTCAGATATCTCATGTCCATTTTCAAGAGTCTCTGTAGTTTCTTGCGCAACAATGGCTTCTTCATGCTCGGCTACCTTTTCCTCAGTGTTGCTCTCTTCTTCGCTTCCGGTCTTCTCCTCAGAGCTTTCGGTACCAGGTAATTCCTCCAAAGGCAGTGGTGCAGTTGTAATAATCCCATTCTCAGGCTGTATCATGTTACACGGATATCCACCAGCTACTGGCGACAGAGGGTACCCATTCTGCATTATTTCCACTCCATTTGGAGATGCCAAATAGCCGTTTGGTGACACTGGATAGCCATTAGGAACCACCCAAGGTTGACTCGGTATGAACTCAGCAGCATGAGGGTTCATTATTCTTGGACCGTTAGCTTCACCATTGGACTCGGTGCTATTTGAGAAGCTTGGTTTGTTACGCGGAACTCTGTTTCCGGATCGGTTGTAACCACCACCTGAGAGCCTTGGACCATAGGGGACTCGAGCTGTTACAGACTGATGAGGAGTCGACCTGCGGATATGGTTTACAGGAAGCATTGGAGGAATGTTCAATGGGGAAGGAAGGATACCACCATGCTCTTTGAATCCTGGAACTGCAATAGACCCGAATATTGGAATGGTCGTCGGGGTATAAGGCGGTGCAGAAGCAGAGAGCTTCTTGCTTATCTCTTTTTGTGCCTCGGATGCTTCTTGCTTTTCTCCATCTGCAGATGACTTCGGGCTATCTTCTGTTTCGCCATCTACTGCTTTCACTTCAGCATCAGAGGCATCCTTTTCTAACGTCACTCCGGTTGCCGCCGGTCCATTTCCATTTGTATTTGATTCCTCAGCCGTTTGTACACTCTCTGATTTTTCTTGTCTAGCATCTGATACGGTTGTCTCTGTTGAAACTGCCTCTTCTGCTGCCTCTTTGGTCTCCACATTCTTGATTTCCCCTGGTGAACTCTTTAACTCCAATCCACCAACAACCACCCCTCCTTGTTCATCAGTATCAGCATTTTTCGCTTCTGTTTCTGTAGCTACGTCCTTTTTCTCACTCTCAACTTCCTCAGCCTTAACTTTTATAGGAACATCATCTACTTCGACTTTTGCCGCATCTAAAGTCTCTGGGGCAGTCGTTTCTTCTGGCAACTTCTCTGCAACTAATTTCACAATGGTTCCAGGGGGTGCAAGTGCAACCTCCTTATAGGAAAACAGTTTTCCAGCTTGGACAGTCACAGGACTCACCATCGGTGGTGAAAGCTTGTTGACCTGTTCGGTGGAAGCTGATTTACTGTTGACTATCTTCTCTCCCACTACATTTGAGCTGTTTTGCTTTCTGTTCAAGCTCTGGCTCTTTCCAAGCAGCTTCTTGGCATGCTGGGAAGTAGAACCAGCAGCAGAGATTGATAGTTCATTTGGACTAGTCCTTGGGGATGCGAAGTTCGTGGATTTTCCCCTGCCTTTTGATGTCTGCTGGGTCACGTTCATGAAGTTTGTGTTCAGCTTTGCTAGGCTTGGCCGGGCTCTACGCCCAGAAGAACGGTTTTTCGGGACAGCTTCTTGCCATCCTTCGTCAGAGTCATCATCCTCTTGGGTCGCGGTTTCGGGCTTAACCAGCGTCAGCTGATCTTGAGGTTCCAAATCAAGTTTGTCAACAACCTTTGTTGTTTCTTCAGGTTTTGCTTCGGATTTGTTCTCTTTGTCACTTGATGAACTCTCCCCAGCGATATGAGTGGGAGTGAGAACTTCGTCATCTTTCTGACTTTCTTCTGACACGGGTCCTTGACTTTGCCCTGGCCTTCCCTTGACCTGAATGAACAACAATTCAATCAAAATATTTGTCATCCCTTAACAATGAGAGCAATTTTGTTAAGTCAGCGGAAAGCAAATATGTCACCTTGAGGCGAAATTTCTTTTGGGCGTCCCTTGCTTTAAGACCAGAATCCGGGGTTATATAATCCAACAGGTCTGATACACTGTTATTCGGAAGAAAGCTCATGTGTTACATACTCAGGACAAGAACTTACACACGATATCTAATAGTCGTCTAGCAAAAAGGTCTGCATTTTAAATTTCATATATGGTGGTCAGTTCTATTAAGGTGGTTAATTCTAGAAGTTATGATTTTTGTTAGATTTGTATAGAGTTTTGTTAAATTTTCATCAAACCAATAACAATGGATTCATAAAGAATCTTAAAATCCATAAACCAAATAACAGTCGAATCTTTAAATTCTAACAATCATTCAAAATCCAACTCCAACTAAAACAACTTTTGGCACCCATGCAAAAAAGTTTAAACAGTTCGACACATGTTTTTTATTACCTGAGATGGCCTTTGCTGGAAATAGAGGCGTCTGGCTTGGGAGTACCATTTCGTGCAGCTTCTTGCTGCTCCACAACTTTAGACTCAAAATACTCAAGCCACGCAGCCGCATCCTAACATAGTTCTACAGCGTAAGAAACTTTTAAAACTGAAACTCCCTGTAAACTGTAACTAATTAAGCACCTGTGTCCGAAGATCCTCAGGTCCTAGTTTTGCTTGTAGTATCTGTAGAGTGGTCTGCTCATGTTGGACGCTCAATGAGAATGCATCCATCAGAGAAAGTGCAATAGCAATGGCATGGTAGCTTGCAGCAGTCTGAAAACAAAACATTACATGTTATACCTCATCTTCACTAGTATGGTTCCAAAACATTACATGTTATACCTCATGTGAAAACAAAACAAAACAAAACATTCCATGTTATACCTTAGAGAAACACTAAGCTTTCAAAAATTCACTAATCAAGTCCTTGGTTAACAAAACCAACCTGGATATGATCAGCTCCAAGTAGTCTCTGGTTACATTTTAACGCTTCATGAAGGTATCTTAAAGCCACATGGACATTCCTTAGACCTTCTTCCATCATCGCTACGTTTATGTAAGTGGCAGCCGTATTTGGATGTGACGGTCCACACGTCAGATGCAGAAGGTACAATGCACGGTTGACATACCTACAACAAGAATAACAACATGTTAACAAAATGAAACAACTAAAATTTGTAGGCTTTGGCTTTGGAGAAAGGCAGAGAGCATACTTCAAGGCTAGTTCTGTGTGTTGAAGACGATAGTAGAAGACGGCCAGGTCGCCGTAGCTTTTCATTGTGTCTGGGTGATCAAGTCCAAGTTCCCTTTCATTTATGTCGAGTGCTTTCTGCTGATAAATGGTAGCCTGTAAAAAACCCAAAACTGGTTTAGTTGCAGCAGAGATATTCTTCTCCAAAGGAATTGAACGATGCCTTAGAGACAGTCCCAATTTTTTTCAAAGAGAATACCTGATTAAAGTCCCCGGTATGGTACAGCACAACAGCAAGAAGACTATATGCTCCGGCGGTCATTCTATGATATGGGCCGCACACTGCTACAAGCTTCGCCAACGCCTATAAGTTCATCACAAAATATCAGACTAGTCAAGAGAAAGCCTTCAGACTAGTCAAGAGAGAGCTTTCGTTACATGGTTTAGTATATTAAAGGAGAATGAGAAAGATATCAGTAATACCTTGGTGCCATAAGTGACAGCATCTTCCAGTTTGCCTTTATCTAAGGAAGTTTTGGATGATTCCAACAAAGTGCGACCATCAGCGGACGAGCATGCTACGTGCTGCACACAAGAGCAATGCTCTTAAGTCACTGTAAAATTCTCACTCTTTTTATGTCGCAGCTGATAACTAGAGTAAGATGGTACCTTATATACAGGAACCATACTAATAATATCCAACTTCTTGAAAGGATATGGCGTGTCCATCTCATAGTCTTTAGGAACAAGCTCCAGTCCAACCTAAAACCGATGAGTGAAGCAACATATGAGTTTCTAGGGTTCGATTGTCGAAGCAACTGAAAAGAAAAAATATGATCGACAGTCGCAAACCTTGTGTGAAAGTCCTCTAAGAATGGCGAATTTTCTAAGTTCCTCGCTACCTTCATGCTTCCAGTCCCACCCAAACCTCTTGGAAATGAAAGTTTCTACCCAGTTCCACTTTATCTTTTCATCATATTCACTCTCAGTATCAGACGGTGTTCCCAATAAGACATTCAAGCATGATGCTATTGAAGCGGCAACATCAGCTGTGTTTTCAACAGCTGCTACAACAGCCTGCAGTATATGCTTGTATGCCCGAACAATCATTTCATGAATACAGAGGGATTGCACATGAGGAAGCTTCTCAGCCAACTCGACCTAAGATGATACGAGAAAAGGATTCCTTAAAGAAATGAGCCATTTTGCTTTTCTTAGACAAAAAAAGCATATAATATCGTCTAGTTTAAAGTACTGAAGACTATGGAATGAAATGGTTACCACTTTCCCCAGTGAATGCATTTGCAATCCTCTGGTGTGCATAAAGTCTGTCAGAGTTCTCCCATCGACGGGTGAGAGTTCAAGAGATCCAAAGTCTGCCACCTGAAACATATCAAGTCGAAGTTTATGAGGAGCTGAGTATTATTCCTTAAGAGAACAATAAGATACAAGAAACTGACCAGTTTCGGCAGAGCAGTGTCATCGTAGTATTTGCGGGCCATTTCGATCAGCTCTTTTGGTGACTACGGGGCAGGTTCATGAAGAGAAAGAGAACACAAGGTAAGATTCATAAAAACAAACTAGGTTACATAGAATAGTGTATCTTATCATCTGCGGAAACAGACAAACCTTGAGATGAAAACCAGTTTCTGATTCTTTAAGACGCTGATATGCAGCTTCTGGCACCAGTTCTTTCCACATCTTCTCCATTTCATTTTGTTTTTCAAGTTCCTTCTGATCCTCAGTTTCTGATTTATTTTCAGTGTCAAGGGCCTCTTTTCCCTGTTCAGTCTTGTTAGCTTTCACATCGATCTTCCTTTTAATCTCCTTCAACAGTGCACCTTGCTTTCCAAGACCCTTAACAGGTGGCTCCGGCTTAGCATCTTCAGTTTTCTTAGACTCGCTTTTATTTGAAGCTTGATTTTGCAGATGTTGCACCCAACAAGCTCCTAATTCCCACCTTATAGGCTTGGCATTTCTTGATGGTTCAGCCTCCAAATTCTTTAGACTATCCTCAAATACTTTCCTCACAAGGGACTTAGCCACACGTATTTGTTCCGAGTCTGCATTTGGTGATCTCTGAGCAATGCTAGAAGGCGTTGACGACTTGTGCAACAGAGCTCTCAAGCTGAATAAGATATTCATATAAACTTGCTAAATACCATCTACTTCAAAATCCACATATCGTATGCCAAAAATGTCAATTTGAGTAACCAGTAAGACTAACATACAACACACAAAGATTTTTACCTATTCACATTCAGAGCATTTGCACCTCCTTCGGATTGGTCTTCGATGTCAATATCCTGTAGGCTTCGGCTACCATCCAACTTAAATTCAGCAGCAACCTTAACAATGGCTGTGAAACCACAGTGTCTGACAACCACCACCCCCAAGGTCGACGTATCCTATAACATGGAAGTAAGCCTCAGTAACAAAATCCAACAAAAGTAAGCTAAGAAAGAAAAAATCAACCCAAGCAAAACAAATTTACATGAACTGTCGCACTCTCATCAGCAGTGATTCCTTTAAGCAAATTCCTTTGAGAAAGATCTTCCTGAGAGATCTCTAGCACCCGAGTCCCATCACTCTTACGGTCAAGCTTAGCACTACCATCAGGATCATCTCTAGCCACTTTTATGATCAAATCACCAACTCTCTCTTCATGGAAAGACAATGCAGCAGCAGAATCCTTTGACGAGCGTTGATTACTACTACTCTCTACTACATTTTTGATTATTTCCACTGCTTTGAAAACTGAAACGTCGACAAATAAACTGTGGAGCAGGAAGGCCTTCCTATCTCGAACCTGTCTCTCTTCAGATGTTTTACAAGGCATCGCCGCCAAAATCGCAAACTCCTTCGCCCACTTTCTTTTGTCGTGCTTACCGGACCGGCCTACACCGCCGCCGTCCCCTCCCCAAGTCTCATCCTCCACCGGAAGTGACGGAAAAGTAGATGGACTATCTGCAACAACCGGAGGAACTACCCACGTGTTTGCCCGGAAACCATAAGGAAGGTTGCCAAACTGACCAAAGAATTAACAAATAATTATATGTTTTGAAGTCTCTCCTAAACAAGTTTAATTATTGAAGTAGAATTGCGTACTTTATTGTGCTCAATGAAAGCTTTCATAAGAGCGTCGTAAGCCTGTAGAGCAAAAATCAACATAATCAACAGCGATCAGAATGCAGAAATGAAAAGGATAAAGGTAAGCTTTTTTATCAGCAAACTCACCGCATCAAATGGCCTGCTTATCTGTTGAAGCAGCTCAACCAAGGAATGACACAGAAGTTGCTGTTTCCCAGCTGGGAAAAAACCTGCTCTTGACGCCACAACAGTGATCGGCTTCCCACTTGAAACTTTAATCTGCAATTTGATAACAATGGTGTAGCAACATTTTCTTAAATCCAATTCGAAATATCTCAACTGCAGAAGTATAAGAAATGAGAAGAGCCCCCTACATCGATTTGAAAGAAATCATCTAATCCTTTATCCTCGATTGATGGACGAACAGATCTTCTGATATCTGGAAAGCAAAGAGATGGGAATTAATTAATAAGCGAGATTTACCTCAGTAGTCGTCTAACAAGTGAAAAGGGAGCTCACATTGGATCGGAGGAGTGAGGTAGGAGAAGGAGAAGAAATCGTAAAACTGCCCGAGACGAATCGGTGGGCACATGTTGATTTCACCACCTTTGTCCCCGCCTTCCGCTGCTTGAGACTCACAGCCGCCGACGACGAGTTTCTTCTCTGGCTCATTAGGCTTAGGACTGAGACCGGAACCTGAATCGCCGGCATCCTTGTCAGCCCCCTCATTCGAACCTGACTCTTTAGCTGACGTGCGAGACACCGGCGGTTTCGACGAACCGAAGGCGGTGGTGCAGGCGACGATGTCAAGGAGCCGCCGTATGTGCGCGGTGGATTGCTCCTCCGTATAGTCCTCTGCAAATTTCAAAAATAAAAGAATCAGAATCACCTGTGGGTAATCCTACGGAAGTTAGTGCAATTGGAGAAATGTAGACCGTTAGATCAAAGAATATAACCTTCGACGATGGTGAGGTGGCAGGGCTTTAACGATGCGATGTCAACGGAGTCCTTGAGTCTAGTGCCACGCACCTGCAGCAGAAAGAATCCTTCTCCTTTTGTTAAGGCGGTAAATGTCAGAAATAGAGCTATGAAAACAGAAAACGTCACTATTTTGGGCCTAGATACCACTTTACTGGGCCCATTACCAAAAATAAGTTGTAAAAACGTATCATACTTTTTTCATCAAAATTTGCTAAAAAGGCGAAATAATATGTCCCAATATGCAAACGCCATGAACAAAAAAAAATCATCATCGATAATGTTGTGACAAAACGATTTGCATGAAGACGAAACCTGGTGAGAGAGAGAGAAGTTGGTGAAGTGGCATGTCTGAACATGGACCGCCAAGAGCTTCCTCACATCTAAGATTCTGTCCGTAGATATTCCCTTCACAAAAACAACGACATCAGAATCATATTCATTTGGCTTTTAATTAAAACAATTTTTTCTCAATTCTTTGTGTATTTAGTGTGTTAAGCTCAAACCTTAAGAGTCACTTGCGATTCGTCTGGTGTTTCGACACTTATCTCAATGACAGTGGGCAAAACTGCACAACCACACAATTTTCAGTTATAATTTTGTTTAAATAAAAAGAGCCAAACAAAGCAAAAATTGATTTGTCATTCTGCGTGGAGGAACCAAAGTGAATTGTAGTGAGAACCTTTCTCTTCCTTCTTCTTCTTCTCTCCTTTGCTCTTGTGTGGCTTTGTTTTCCCAGCTTTAGGAGCCATTGTTACCAATGGACATAAAAATTGAGGCTATGTTTGACTTACAAAACCCAATTGAATATGATCAAGAAACACACCCTGGATTGAATTATAGCTGCGAACTTTCCAAAGGGAGTGTGTATTTTGAATAAGTGGAGATGAAGGGTGAGAAAGAGAAAGAAGAAGAAGATAGAAGTAGAGAGAGAGTGTATAAAAAAGACTTTGTGGTGGTGGTGACAATGAGGAGGAAGTAAAAGGAAACAAGAGACGAGAGGGTCAAATAGTGATTTGAGGAAATAGAGATTTAGAGAGAGAAAGAGAGGATAGGATAAGGTGGTGCGAGAGCTCTTCTTCTCTATTCCCTCTTAAGAGTGTTTTGAGGCTAAGTAAATTTGAGACCTCTCATTTCTTTGTTTGCTTCTTTAACACCTCATCACAAACTTCATCTTTTCTTCTCTCTCTCTCTATTTTTTTTTTCTCTTTTTTAAAAATACGGATAATAATATATGGGATTCAGATTTTCACCTAAGCCTTTAGTATATTTGATTATCACAATCTATTTGCGTTTTTTTACATCTTTGATTCAACTAGAGACTGTCTCAAAATTATTAAGTATCATCGTGTAAACAAATTGTTTGGCTATATTGGGCCTTTTTCAGACCACATGTTTATAAAGTATAAACTCTGAGGTTTTAGGAAAGAAATCTAAACAAGATTACAAAAGTTCTTTATATGGTTTTCAGTTTTGGTTACAGAAACAAACAGACAAAAGAAGAAAATAAATAGACTTGACAGAACGTATACATGGGCTTGAGCAAATCCTGAATTGGCGGCCTGTGAAGCATTGGGCTCTTATTTGTATGTCAGCTTTATTAATTTCATTGAAAATCAGACTTTTCTTTCCAAGTCCAGGGACCATGCATATGTATGAATTGTATGGTTACTCAAACTTTCCTTTATCCCTTCGTCAACATAAAAAACTTGTTGCTTTATATAACTTCTATGAACAAAATCACCTTTCGTGCCTGAAATGGTTTTTCGTTTGACTTCTGACGCTTTCTGTTTCTATGTTGGTCAATATTGCAACATTTTAAAACAAAAAAAAATATTGCAAAGTTGGCTGGCTGGCCCACTCAGGCCACTAGCCTGTATCGCGTAAGTTAATTTTATATCTAACACGCCTAATAAGACCTGATCACCATATTAATACTTTAATATCAAGAATTATTCTGCCTTTATCTTCTTTATATAAATCACATGATTCACAAATTTGACATCCATCGGAATTAAGCAAAAGACATAGTCAAAGAGATGGGCGAGATCAAAGCCAGACGCATATTCCTCCTCTCCATCATCTTGATCTTCTTCTTCTCTCAAACCCTTATTCTGTGTTCAGCTAACGATCATCATGGCTCAAGGAATCTTGCAGTGGTCATGAGGAAAAAGGTGAAAGTCAGAGGACCTCGAAACACGACGTCGTCCGCAGCTTCAACTATGATGTTGCCAAGTTCTTTCCATGTGGGTGCTGCTTCCTCTTTCCTCCTCGCTCTTCTTTTGTAAATTCTGTTTTTTAGCTATTGTGATTCACGGTTCAAAGTGATTTCTTTTAATGGTTTTATTTTGTATTTCGAATCAATCTTTTTGAGTATTACAATTGTCTCAAACTCTGTGTTTGTTTGTTACATATTCCATTATAAAGAGTTATTTCTTGTCTTTAAGAAAAATGAAAGTATATATAGTCACTTGTCACTATACATGTTACATTCCTTTAACCAGTCACAAAGATCTTGTTTCCTAAAATCATTTGGATCTTGTTGAGACAGCCGTTGCATCTACCGTTAACTAGCATGGTGATCATCGAGCTAGAATGACTCGAACCATCACTCAAATGTCAAAACATACCATGCATTAATTGAATGTTACCGAGGACAAATATCCGGTTTGTCTCTTTCAACAAATTCGGTCTCATGTGAGAGAAAAGAGCGTTTAAGTTGGAGATCTCTTTGTTAACTATACTTTGTCTACTATTTGTGGAGAGTTTGTCGCACAAGATTCTCTTACACGTACCATTTGACCTTGACTTGTGGACCGATTCAATAGTTTTGCTTACCGAGTTATTTGTTTTTTTTTATTCTGATCAACCAAACAAAATCATGCAGGCAAAATCGAGCGTGGCAAAAAAATAACAAAACAAGTTGTTTAAAAAGGAAATAAACAAATATCTTAAAATATGAAACTGTAATCAATGGAATAGCTGGATAATTAACAGACAAGAAAAAAAGACAAGATCAAAGGCATGATTAAATCAAGGTGAGTGGGCGTAGAAGAGTGGACGACGGTACTCGTCGAAGAACTGGTCACGATCCACGTATACGATTGCATAGAGTGCGTAGATGATGCCCGGTACGTATCCAAGAAGCGTTAGGATCAGACATATCATGAACTCCGTCTGCACATTCGTTTTTAACATTTTACATATTGATGAGCTCAAGATCTAGAAAACAAACATAATCAAGAGAGGGTGGGAGAACGACATACAGTGCAACAGCCATGCCTTAGACAAACGCCGAGTGGAGGGAGTAATATGGCGATCATTATTTCACAGCAAATCTCGCATCCGTTCGCCATTTCTCAATGTTTTTATTCCTTCTCTAGTTTTCTGTTGGATCGCAAGCCTTTCTATAGAGGGAAGAGAGTGAGAGACAGAGCCTTTTAAGTTTTAACTGAGACAACTAACATGTGGACATGTAATTAACTCTAGAGTACTTAAAATAGAAACAAACCAAACCAAAATCACTTTATCAACGAATAAACTAGAGTTTGGTTCGCTTAAATATACAAACAAATAAAAGTAAATCTAAATTAAATTGAAACTCTTAAACTGATTTGAAATAAAATATTTTTGATAAACAATTAAAGTTGAACCCAAAGAGGTTAGTAATGCTTTGGCACTCTAAAATCCATCCTATTTTTTTCTCTATCCTTTTTTTCTCTGTCTTGCTCTGTTCCTTCCTTTACCATTGTATTAGGCATTCGGCTTGATCTCTTGTTGTAGATGCAATGCAGGCTTCTCAACAGCATGTTTGCTAGAGACTAATTAGAAGGTTAGTTTGAGGCAAAAAAAATTCATCAATAAGGTTTGGTTCCCTATATCTTTCTTTATTTAAGAATAAGAGAACAAATGCACATTCAAATTGTTAAGAGGTAATTATTTTAATCACTAGCGGAAAGGGTGAGAGCCTTTTGGATTTGACTTTGGGGGAATACATTTGAATTAGTAGAGACGACCAACATGCTTAGTTAGTAGTCCTTGGGATTCGACTACTTAAATCCTTATATTCTTTTTAAAAAATTAAGTTGCACATGGTATGGAACTATGGATCTTATATAGTCCAATATGACAACTTTCTAGCCTCAAGATGATTTTAAATTCCAAGACCTCGGACAAAGGATCTAATTGGACACAACACAGTTAAAAACCAAAAAAGAGGGTTAGAGACACAGAGCCAAAAAAAGAGCACAGCATTTACATACACAATACAAAATCTGTCTTGTAGCTTCACGTGACTCTCTCTTTCCCTCCGTCCGACCAAAAGAAATTAAAAAAAATCACAGAAATAAAAAGATGCAGCTAAGGATTAGGGGCAGAAGCGGAAACAGAGAAAAATGAGAGGAAGAAGAGAGGCTCTTCTGGAACTGAAGAGAGTCAACGGCTAAAGGCATGTTCTCTTGGTCAGGACTACACTTGTTGAGGTGAGGAGGGTGTGGACTATACATAATGGCTCGTAACACAGCCGAAACGGTGGGTATGTATGCCGTTTTGTTACGAGCCAGAAGCCATGTGAGTCCCATGAGCTGGCAGTCTTTGCTCATCATCTTACTCGCTCTCTCCGTTGTTGTCTTCTTGCTTCCTCCTCTTCCTTTTAGCTGTATCCCATCAACAAAATTTGAAAACAAACAAGATTTTTAGAAAACAAAAATTAAAATGGTTAAAAGATTGCGTGTGAATGGTCAGTGTTTCAGAGTGATTCAGTGCTTTGGGCTATACGAAAAAAGAAAGTTTCTGAAAAAGCACATCTTCAATTGTTTGCAACCTAAACGGATAGCCCAAAGAAAAACAAACAATGTGTGTCTCTTTCACCTAAAGCCAGTAACATAAACCCTAAATTAACAAACTAAAAAACTTGAAATTTCCGAGTTTTGTATAACAGATTTCTCATGGAAAGAGAGTGACATTTATTGAAACATTCTTTTCGATTAGAGTCACGGAGATGAAAACGAAACATTTATTAGCCTCTTTTAAGGATAGCATAAATTTCAATAAATGCTACTTGAGAGACATAAAGGATGAGAATTTAATGAAATGGAAAAATAAAAATCGAACCTTTTGAAGAGCGCCGAGGCATCTGGTACAACCAGAGTAAGTCGAATTCCGACATTCCTTCTCGAGATTCTTCACGGCGGCGGTCGGAGTCGCGTTTCGGAATCCGGTGGAGACATTGAAAGCGGCGGGGCAAGAGAGCGAGCTTATCTGGTGAAGACGAATGCCGCAGAAGCACAAGATCGCGTCGCATGTCGAATTAGGCTGCGGGATCTTGACGTGTTTGGTCAGAAGCGCACTCTGCATCGTGTTGACGCACTTCTGGGAGTCGTCGGGCTTCATGGGCTCGTCGGGGTCGGAGGATTCCGGCGTCGGAGCAGGAGCAGGTAACTGTAGAGCAGAACGAGCGTGAGCTGCGAAGAGCCAAGCGGCGAGAACAGGGCAACACCGACTCCGGTCAAGGTTTCTTCCGCAAGCTTCATTGACGCCGCCGAAGAGCTCGTCGGAGAGGTCAAGTCGGCAGCTTTGAGCTTGGGTCTCGACGGGGAAGGCCGGGACGGTGTTGGGTTGGACCGGTTCGACGAGGAAATCGCTTAAGGCGATGGGGAAGAGGAGAGAACAGAGGATTACGAGTAAAATGAGACTTCTCTTCATTCTAAAAGGCTCAAGTGTGGTAGAGATAGAGAGAGAGAGAAAAAGGAAGAAGAGATAGAGAAAAGCTTTCTCAAATCTCAGTCTTTTAGATTCACGAAGAAAAACAGCCTTCCATTATTCACCATCTTCTCTCTCTTTTGTTCTTTCCAAAGGACTAATGTGAAGAGAGAGAGTGAGACAGAGATGTGATTGAAAAGAGATTCCCAACTTTGTCAGCTTCTGGTTTGTTTTAGTCTTTTAGACTGTATAATCTCTTTGTTAATATTGATAAGCTCTGGAAATTATGTGGCTTCTGTCTTTTGGCTTGGACTAACTAGTCACTAAAGATCCTTAACTACATTGGGAGAAACACTGTATAATTCATAACAAGAAGGCTTTTAATTTGGTAAAACACTCGCAAAGATTATGTGAAAAGGACAAAAGAATTAAAGTTATTATGAGCTACAAAATGAAAAGAATTTATGTGTATGGTGGAGAAAGAGATTGAGCCCTTTGCGACGTGGGATGAGATGCGAAAGGAGTGTAGTCACAGGAAGAAAAGGGTCAATTTCTAAAGGACAATCACAAAACACAAAACTCCTTACAATCATATATTAAATCATTGATTCGCTTTTTTGAGCTTTGACAAAACAAAAATAATAAACCATTTTTTTCAAACGGGTATGAAGAGAGACTAGAGAGGATCCGGAGCCCGCCTAGGGAAGCGTGGCCGTCAGAAAAAGTGAGACTCCAAAAAGGCGAGAAAAAAGGAGTCTTTCACTAATACTCCTCTTATTAAGTTCCTAATCCCACCAATTAAAGCATTTTCACACGTTCTTTGTTTACTTATTGGCTATTGTCCATACCAATTACCAAGTACCTAAATCCATCAAATTCAAATTCTCTATTCGACTTTAGATTCAGCTGTTCCATATTTATGTATTGCTTGGAATTGAAAAAAAATTAACGTTATTTCTATAGACGATATTTAAACTAATCCACTCATATTAACAAAGTGGGTTTAGAAGCATACATAAACTCTAGAGACTAGAATGACCATGTTCCTAATTCAACCGTTTAGATTTATACTTACCTAAATGGAAACGGAAGTAATCTATACTATATAAAAGTTGAGGCTATAAGCCTCTGAGAGCGTCCACATAGGATTTAAAGACGCGATTTCATTGGTTCACGTAAGCATCTTAAAGATTAAGAAAGTTTCCGAAATTTAAAAGACCAATAGTATAATTCCACATCACCATATAAAATAAGGTAATTTCTTTTTTCTTTTTCAAGAAGTTTCCTAATTCAAAAATAATATAGACTTTTTGTATTAAAGAGTTTATAAAATAAAATATATGTTTTTCATACCAAGCAAAATGAAACTAACTTAACATGTTTATTTTTTTTATTAATTTTAATATATATATAATAACAATCAAAATATAACAAGATTGGAATTAAAAACATCACAAATAAAATCCAAAGATTAAACAAAATTCTTTGATTTTTGTTAAAAGTTGACGTTGATTTAATAACTAAATTTGAAATATTTATATAAAAACATTTGGAGAACTACAAAATTAGTTATGAAGAATTATATAGATCATGAGTTAGTTTTTTTAATCACAAAAACGAGAGTTACACCATAATAAGGAGAATTGTTCATAGCGAACTTAACAAATTTTGTAAGTGGATCACATTACATAGTCTAAAAATAAATTAAAAGAAAATAAAAAATGTCTCATGTCATGTAGAAGACATTTTAGCTCATATGTAGTTTTTTTAGATGATGAGAGAGATCAACTTTGAGAGTGTCATTATTACATTAATGGAAGTAAAACATGCATCTAGCCCACTAGATAACACTTTGTTCATCGCAAAAGTTTCAACAATAATGGCCAAAGAAGTAAACATTATACTTGCATTGCTTTGGAGAATAGTAGATTTGATCATTCAGTTCATACCATATGTTTATGAGGAAACATTTCAAGTTGCATGATCAAAACAAAAGTTTTGTTCGAATTATTTATGCCTAATTTATAAATAACATAAATTATTTATGTTTTATTTATTAACATTGAATCAAAGTTTATAAACTAAACACATGTGTTAAGTTAAAATTATTGATAAATTAAACAAAAGAGCATTTGAAGTTTCAATACATATAAAAGTTCATTTTAATAATTTAAAATAATAAATATGTTAAATACAACTATTTACTGATATCTAAACATTCATACAAAAAAAAACGCTTTCACGATATTTAATTTTAAAGATTTCTCTATACAAATTTAAAGAAAATATTTGCTAATATTTAATAAATTTCTATATACAAACTTAAAGAAAATATTTTCTTTTTATAATAAAATTGACACTGTTAAAACAGCACACAACTTATTCCGCAAGAAATATTCATCAAAGAAATTAAAGAACAAGAAGAAAGATGAACATATAGGAGAAGTATAGTAAGAGAATGAAACCGAAAAATGATTTTATTTCGGATGATCATTACGGAGAACTATCATGATCATTTTTCAAGTAACATATAGATTCATGATAGTTCTCGAACTATCATGATCATTTTTCACCTTTAGGAGAAGTACATAAGAGGATTAAACCGAAAAACAGGGAAGATGGAGATACTAAAGTAGGAAGAAAAAAAGAAAGCCAAAGAAGAACATCGATGAAGACAGAAAAACCGAATAAAAAACAATGAAGATGAAACTGAAAAAGAAAAAAAAAAATCAAATAAGAACGAAAGAGAAGAAACCAGACAAGAAAAAAAATAGGATGCAATACGAGTGGAAGAAAAATAGCAAAGTAGAAGACAAGTAGATCAGTGAATATGAAGAATAAATCGAATAAGAATGACGCAAAGAAAAAGAAGACACCGACTAAAAAAAACAAAAAAGAAAAGAACTTCAAGCATAAAGAAATCAAATAAGAAAAAAAAATAGATTAAAGAAGAAAGCAAGACGGATGAATAAATTGAATTTCAAGAATGTGTATTTGTTTTTGCTTTTCTTCAAATGAAATTCTATTTAAAGTATATTCGAGATCTATCACCGAATATAGTAATTTCAAATAAATAAAGATGATTATTTTATAAAAAGTGATGCTACTAGGGTATCAGATTCTATACTAAAAACATTTAAAAATAAATTATGAAACAAATTGAAGTTGATGTGGTCTAAAGAATAATTTATTTTTTGTCATAAACAATACAAATTAATTGAATAGGTTATTCTCAAACAAAGTTAAAGGATGTTATAATCTACAATATTAAAATTTTATTGGTTTAGTAAAAACAAGACAAACTACAAATTTGTTGTTCACAACTTTCTAATTCAGTTCATTAAAAAGTAATGTTTGTTTAGGCCGATCATGTTGTCATATTGTTGAAAGATCAAAGTTTATGCAATGTTCTTATGCCAAATTTTGTGAAGCAATGGACAAAACATAAAAAATATTTATGAAAATGTATGTCGAGTCATGTCTAATGAAGACATCTAAGATTTATACATCCAATTTTATGATGAGTTTTGTCAAACGACGATATCTAGGATTCTAATCATAAAACAAAACTGATTATGGATTTTTGTACGAAAGTTTAACACAAGATAACAATATATTAAGGTTTTAAATCAGTATGTTGTGTTAAAGATATCCGCTTGCCCCAAAATGACCCGGCCAAATATGGGAAATCCCAATTCATTAGGCCCATTTTCAAAATTCGAATTGAAATATACTAATTTTTATGCAGATAGTTGACAATTATGAAAGTAACTATCAAATTTTTTTTAAAGATTTCAGAGGTTCCTACAAATCTCCATAGAATATTACAGAAATCAACAAAGATTCTTTACTGAAATTAAGTAAATTAGTATTTTAGTGAGGTAAAATTATTGGAAAGTTGCTAAAATGATCTATGAATTGAACTCAAAATCAAATGTAACCTACATTTATCCCTTTCAATTGCTTTATTATTATTATTCTTAAAAATATCTATAATCTTATAAAAGAATAAAAGGAGGATGAAATAATCAATTCTTTTTAAGTACATTAAAAAAAATGCACAAGATTTGATTATTTTTAAGTTATTAGTTGATTAAATAAAATTATTAACCGAGACCCGCGCGTGCGCGGGTTAAAAACCTGGTTTTTTCAAGGTTTCAGACTTTCAGTCTTAGATTTGGCTAGATTAACGAGGCTTCGAAATGTCTTGTATTGGGCCTAATTAACCTAACATACCTGAGTAACGACTTTTGACTCACCAACATGAACTTTACACTAGTGCATTACCGAGGAAAATGCCAATGTGTTTGTTTTCTTTCTGGTTTTAATGTTAAGAAGATCATGCCAACGTGTTATGCTAGAACACAGATTCACGTCTTTATTTTAAAACAAAAACAATATGTCATGCGTTGCTCATTTCATTCGTTCGCAAGGCTAGACAACGCCAACCATTAATTTTTAGCCCAAACATAAATAAAAAAATTAAATACGTTACACCTTCATGAAAAAGAAATAGTAACATATCTAACTTTTAACGATATAAAACAACCAGTTTATACATCAAACAATAAAAAGAATGCAACAAAGAATCATATAGGTGTGGGAAAAAAAAGACACGCGTAGAAAATAAGGATATAGAAGATATGATGTTGTTTAGGTGAACATAAAGTCATCAAAGATGAAATTGTCCGGAAAACCAAAGTCGAAGAAACCGCTGGAGTTGGCTTCTGCGTCGATGCTATTTTGTTGTGGAGAAGAATTTGGCGTCGACAAGAGTGAGTCTAAGTCCAAATTATCCTTCAGAGGTGGTAAACTTTCATCGAGTGTTGCGTTCACAGGCTTGAAAGATGAAGTTTCATTATCTGTCGGGGTTATACTCTCGGTTTGTGGTTGAGACGAAACTGATGTAACCGGAGTTTGAAGCTCTTGGTCCAGGTTCGATGCGTAAAATGGATTAGGGTTTTGAAGTGCTTGTTGAGGGGGCATGAGTAGAGAGGCCAACCTCAATATATCAGGATTAAGCAGAGACGACGCATGAGTTGCAACTGATGCTAAGTTTGGTTGATTGAAAATTGCGGCTAAAAGTGAGGACAAATCAAGAAGATCAAGGCGTGGGGAGTGAGTCACAGGGTCGATGCCACTCCTTACGAGTCTCTTACGGATATGAGTGTTCCAATAGTTTTTTATTTCGTTATCGGTCCTTCCTGGTAGACGAGCTGCTATTGCGGACCACCTATATATTCCATCAATATAATTAATTAGTATATAACTCATGATCTTATATTGTATTGATAGGTCAATATGTACGAAATAAAATAGTTTAGTGGAGTTGATGGCCTAAATATTGACATGTACGCTCCTCATGCATACGCACACTCTCGCTTTTTTCATTGATCAACGTACAAAAGTTGTAGCTGATGAGAATTGTAAATGAATAAATTGTGATATCAATGAGGCTTACTTGTTTCCCATAACGCTGTGCAACTGAATGATACTTTCTTCTTCCTCGAAGGTGAATCTTCCTCTCTTTATGTCCGGTCTTAGATAATTGGTCCATCGAAGACGACAGCTTTTTCCGCACCTTTGGAGTCCTATAATTTGTACAATAATGACTAATTAGTGTATGATCCAATATGAAATATAGTCATATTATCATATAGATAATACAATCTATTAGAACCACACAAAAACAAAAACAAAAAGACTATCGGATGTATAGTTTACCAGCATTTTTAGGGAGAATACGCCAATTGCCCGGACCATGAAATCGAATATAATCGATGAGTTTCTGATCCTCCTCAGGCGTCCATGGTCCCTTCTTCACTCCATTCTTGTCACAACAAGGTGATCTTCCCATCTTTGTTTTGTAATTTGCACAAGATATATATATACAGTCCGACGTTTGTTCTCTTGTGTAGATAAAAGGATCGAAGAGCCGAAGATAATTTCTTAACTTTCCAAAAGAGGAGTTGAGTTTTAGAAATGTCAATCGGTGGGTGCACTCTTATCTTCTCCATTTCATTTGTATATATAGGGATGTGAATGCGAAGAACTTAACTTACTAACGTAAAAGAGCCAAGGTCAATTCCATTTGGCATTAGCTTTATATGCCACGTATCCTTTTGAGCCATAATATTATATACATAAGCAAAAGAAAAACAAGCCTGGCCTATATGTAGACCGCATATTGTCTGTCGTCTTTTAACTGTATATTCTAGAAAGGATCCACGTGATAGTATCTTACTCTGCACTGTGTTTTTTATTTATGTAACTTGGATTCTGTTAGCATATAATAATATATTGTGAAGTGAATGCATGTGATGAACTCTTCACTCTTGTATATAGAAAAGTAATGGAACTGATCATGAGAGATTAAAATAGACCTTGTTGGGGGTAACTATTCGGTTGCGAGAGTAATTCTTTCACCATATGGTGGTGAGAGTCAGCGTGAAGCATATTGTTGACTTTACATGTACTAATAGGGCAGTTGACTTTACATGCATTTTTGGTTTAAAAAAAACCTGAGATAATAACTTTTGAGAATATATGTTGCGTTGAATTTTGTAACCCAATGCGTAGAGTTTCAATGGCTAAGAGAGTGAGGACGGTAAAGTTGTTGGGAACTCTCATCAAATACGCATAAAAATATAACGTGTTAATGTCATCTGCCTTGTGCCTATGAAATTGATGATAAGGCAAATTTACAAATTGCCTTCTTTTTTTCTTTTTACTTAAGCAACAAGTTCAAAAGTATTAGTTCGTAAAAAGAACAAGTTCAAAAGTAGAGATTGCTTGTGGAAGGTACTCTCCAAACAATCCATCCACGTCGGTATTATTAAGACGATTTGAAAATGCATATAAAATTAACCAACAAAAGGAATATTATGCAAAATAATCGAGGCTTTATTTTGTTTGTTAAATTGTTGGTGAAAAGCTGTACAACAAACTTTGAATTCCATAATCCCTTTACCACAAGAATCACAGGTTTCTCCGAAGTTCACACCGAAGCTATATGTTTAGATTAGTTTAAACTCTCCTAAATCACAATTAATATGTGGATTCATGCAGAAAGAGACACGTGGAAATAAATGTGTTGTGAGGTTGTCATTTCACTTCTTTTTTGCATCATATTCCATCTACTCTTAGGTTAGGTTTCTGGATTGGTCAGCGTCAGAGATAGATGTTGATGATTAAGATGATGATGTCAAGTCAAAGATTGTGTCAAGTCATCGCCTTGGGAGCTTCTCGAGAAAGGCCTGCGTCTTTACTTGATTGGCCACTAATTGACTTACGCCTCACATCTTGATGGGCTTCAACACGTTAAAATAAGCCCACTTCTAACGTTTGGCAACAATGGTCTGGCAGTGCCTAATTTAGAAACAATCTAAGCAAAAAAACACACTGATACTGATTTAGCAACAATCTAAGGGAATATATCAAACCAATTAATATAAATGTATAAAGTGTATCAAACTAAATAATAAAAAATAGTATTATCCTATTTTTGTTTTTTTATCAGTTAACACTCCATGCCAATGAACTCTTGTCAGCAGCAATTAGATGTCCATGCCAATGAATGACGTTTTCATGTGCACAAAGACCATTAATAGTACCTATTAGAGAAAAAAGTTGAACATTGTGCCTTTTAAATCTTGTCCTAAATCGTAATTAATCTTACGGCATAGGCATAGCATTAAAACAAAACAAAAAAATTTAAGGATAAACAAAACAAAAAATCTTAAGGATCTCCATTATTTATTATTTTTTTTTTTTTTTGTCAACGAGGATCTCCATGATTTAAACCTTGCTCTTTCTTTCAAGATTCCTGATTAATTATATCCTTCCAAACAAAATAATATAATAAACCATATTTCTTTCAACGTGTCTAGAGATCTAATTCAATGGTATGATGCTCTTTTCGATCGTCTTTTGCATGATGAAAGTTGTTGATTATTATATACTGATATTTGGATCTTAAATTTAATTAATACTGCTGATACTTGTATGAATAGGTCCAGTCAGAGACGATGATGGAAAAATACAATAAATTATCAGATTTTCTCAAGAAATTCTACATTCCTTCGTACGTTCTCTCGCCTGATGATGAAGCCGATGATGCTGAGGCGGTGCCAAGTAGTCCACCTGAGAGCCCAATCATCGTATTCATCAACTCAAGAAGCGGTGGTCAACTTGGTGGAGAACTCATTCTTACCTACCGCACTCTGCTCAACGACAAGCAGGTCTCTATAAAAGCTAAGCTAATGATTCATTGATTTTATTTTTAGCATGTCTATAAAACTATCGTCTCTCAAATCTCAGTTGATTTCTATGTAAATTTTGCGGAAACTAGAAAACGTGGTGAATCTCCTTGAATACCAACATCATGCATGTTCTTGTGATCCTTAATTAAAACTTAAAAGACAAAACTCTTAACTTTACTAGTAATAATTAACTCTGAAAACCTAGGAGCCCTAAAAATTAAACCTAGTTAAACTATTACTACAACAATAAATAATTATATTAAATATATAGTATCAAATTACATTATGTTTTGGAGTTTCTCTTGATTACGTTTGGTGCTCAGGTTTTTGATCTTGGGGTAGAGACTCCAGATAAAGTGCTGCGGAGAACCTATCTTAATCTAGAGAGGCTAAAAGATGATGCTTTAGCTTGCAAGATTCGGGAGAAGTTGAAAATAATTGTGAGTTTATTATTCTTCTCTCTATGGAGAAGCTGTGTAGATGTTAAAGGTCATTAAGTTGAGTTGTGTCTACTTAATTAGGTTGCAGGGGGAGATGGAACAGCTGGTTGGCTCCTTGGAGTTATATCTGATCTTAAGTTATCCAATCCACCTCCAATTGCAACCATCCCATTGGGTACAGGAAATAACCTTCCATTTGCATTTGGATGGGTATGTATGTGTATTTTTACATAACTGATATCACATTAAATATTTTATCATACAGTAGATTGTTTTCTTCTAACTGATCCCATCAGCTGATTGATCTTCAGGGTAAGAAAAATCCTGGAACAGATAGGTCTTCTGTGGAGTCTTTTTTGGAAAAGGTGATCAAGGCAAAAGAGATGAAGATAGACAAGTACATATCTATTATCCACACAAATATCATCATTCTTTTAGTTATCAAATATACACTGGTTGAATCTTGTGTTAATATGAATGCATTTTATGTCTTAATTAAGCTGGCACATACTTATGAGGATGAAGGCTCCTAAAAAAGGGTCTTGTGATCCTATTGAGCTACCACCTTCTCTCCATGCATTTCATCGTGTTTCTCCATCAGATCAAGTAATTTTTGCCAAAGAAATTTACTTATCACTATATCATCCTTTTCTTCGTATATGATCAACAATGTTTTTCACTTTATCCAGGAAGGTTACCAAACATTTCGTGGCGGATTCTGGAATTACTTTAGCTTGGGTAAGAATTTTGCTCTTTGACCAGTCAAAAATTCTCATTTCTCCTCTAAACAGCATTGCTCGGTATATTCCTTCACGAATAAAAATGTACTACAGGTATGGATGCTCAAGTATCTCATGAATTTCATTCCCAGAGAAAATCGCACCCTGAAAATTTTAAAAATTAGCTGTCTAATCAGGTTTATACACCTTTCTCTCTTAAACTTTGTTTTGATGTTTTCTTCAAGTGATGTAGTTCTAATATTTTTTATTAATTTAGTCGGACTATTTGGAGGAATTGCTTCTCTCTAGCTACTGCTGATTAATTAAACTAACAGTAAGTTTGCCATTGGTTTCATGACGTTGCAGAGCACATATTTAAAGCTTGCTTGCACACAAGGATGGTTTTATGCCTCTCTTATTCACCCTTTCTCACAGTGAGTATATTTATATTTGTTTCTAGTCTTATTTCTTTTATATGAGTTATTGATCTCCACTTTTGCTCTGTCTACTTGGGATCTAAAGCCCTGTAAATTTGAAAAAAAGCACTAATAATTATATGGCGTTTGCTGCAGAAACATAGCTCAGCTTGCAAAAGTTAAGATTTGTGATAAAAGTGGCCAATGGAATGATCTCCACATTCCCCAAAGGTAACTAATCAAAATATATATCACATTCGTGTATACGTCCCACATGTTGAGTTGAGCTCAGATTTTTATTCTTCTTTATGATGGACCTCTTTTGCTGATCACTTCTTTACATTGAGATTCTAGTCGAACTGATAATTAATAATTATTTTTGTTCTGGCAGAATCAGGTCAATCGTATGTTTGAATCTTCCTAGCTTCTCTGGAGGGCTAAATCCTTGGGGAACACCAAATCCCAGGAAAAAACTTGACGTATGGTTTTAACATTCTCTTCACATTTCTTCAATAAGCTAGTAATTTTTCTTATTTTTTTCCTTTCTTTGTGATGTCTCAACAGAGAAGCCTAACTGTACCATTCGTTGATGATGGACTCATCGAAATCGTTGGGTTTAGAAATGCTTGGCATGGTCTTGTTCTGCTCGCTCCAAATGGTCATGGAACAAACTTGCTCAGGTAAATTTAAAGTCACAGAAAACAAACAAATTAAAATCTGAGTAAGTGCACATTTTAACTCGTGTGTGTGTGTGTATAGGCAAATCGAATTCGGTTTGAATTTACGAAAGGTTCAGCGAAGCATGCGTACATGAGAATGGACGGAGAGCCATGGAAACAGCCACTGCCACTTGACGATGAAACTGTGACGGTAGAGATCTCACATCATGGACAAGTGAACATGCTTACAACCCAAAATTGCAAGTCCAAAAGCATGTATGATCAGTCTTCTTCCACAAACCGGTTTAGTGATGATGAAGATGAAGATGACGACTCATCAGTGGATAAATGTGAGGAGGAGTTCAGAAAGTTTGGTGCAGCTGACACATTTAAGATTTCCAATGATCTTTGATATTTCTTACCTTAATTAGACATTCATTTATGTTTGTTTGACTTCCAAGTCTTAAACACATATTTCCTCCTTTTTTATTCTTGTTAACATATAGAGATGCTGTGAGATTTAGATTATGAATCTTTAATTTACGTTAAGCTCTTTCTTGAGCTGGTGCTGTAACAACTAGTGATCAACCGAACTCCCAAACTCACCTAACCTCTGTTTCTTGTCCCCTGTTCTTTCTCTTTATTGTTTAGCATACATAGGAAAATGACTAAATGACACATTGTTACAACACCGGACTAAGGGTTGGGGTTAAGACTATTGAGCCTTGCTCAAAACTTATAGTTCTCATGGAGGTGTCACTTGCCTTACCTTCTCCAAAGACACATTCACAGATGCACAAATATCTTGCATGAGAGGCAGAGATCAATATAAAGTTATAAACTATGGATAATATGTGACGGTCCCAACTTGTCAAAGCAATGATAACAAACTTTGCTCAATGCAATGAGAGAAACTAGATGAACAAATAGGACATCTATATATGTAGCTATAATCACACATGCACACACACTATGATTAATTATAATGATGGAAAATAAGGGAGAAGAAACTAGACTGGTAGAGATACATGATCACTGATGTGTGAAGTGGGAGATCACAAAAACTGTCTCCATCCAAATGCCAATGATCAGCAAAACCCTAAACTAAAACCTACAATGTGGACTATAACTAAAGAAACCTTTTTTCAAAAGAAAGGCCTCATGGGACAAGATGCAGAGGAAGAAGATGAGCTTTCTGAAAACTGATGAGAACTGTCCAAATCATCCCAAAGGGCACTCTCAGGACCCCATCCAGATGTAATCGCATTGTACCACGCTTCAGCCATCATCCCTTCCTCTCTCCCACAATCATCACTCACCGCTACTTCCTTGTTCTCCACGTTAACCTCGCTTGGCTTAGGCAACGTTGTTTCAGGTTGTTCCTGATGCGACGACGAGTTTAACACTTCACTTGGATCTTTCACCTCATTAACCTTATTCACAAAATGCTCCGGGAAATTAAGTGTTGCATTTTGTCCCCTCAGCTTGAAGGCTTGACGGTCGTAGGCCATGGCAGCTTCCTCAGCTGTATCAAAGGTACCGAGCCAGAGACGTGCTCTGCTCCGTGGCTTACGAATCTCTGCGACCCATTTTCCCCACTGACGTTGTCTCACTCCTCTGTAAAGCTTGGTTGCGCTGTACGGCTGAACACTTTCTTGGTTCGTCATCAACATCATTCTTCCTCTGGGGCTTAAGTTCAGTGTGTCGCTCCAATACTTGGTCAGATACTGCTGCTGCTGCTGAGGACTAAACGAGATCATTTGCCTGTGGCTTTGCATTGTCGGGTCGTGTTGTTGGTTAACCGGAAAGTATCCGAGTTCTTGTTGATGTTGAATCGCTGGATCGAGGGAAAAAGGGAAAGCCACCAAGGAGTGAGGTGAAGGGGAGGATCGGAGATAAGGTTTAGGTCGATGATCAGGATTTCTCATCTTCTTCGTAGATTTTGGTGACATCGTTGACGTGGACGAAGCTTCTCCAAAAGAAGGATCGGTATTTTTACCTTTGGTGATACAAAGATTGAGCTCCTCGTCAAAGTCCATCTCTGCTTAACTGGTGCCGTACACTTCACGGTTTCTATATATTTAAAAAAAAAATACGAAAAACAGAGAGAGCAATGGAAGGAAGAAAGAGAAGCTTGAGAGAAGAAGCTGAAGGAAAAAGAGAGAATATTGTGTATGTTTGTTTTTTTTAATATTTTTGTTAAGAGAGAGACAACTCCATGGGGCTTTTATATATGAGAGCAGGATTAGATTTGGGGCAGCACCGCTTTTTGTATCTAGTTATAAATATCTCATTCTTTTCAATTGACTTATTCAAATACTAACTTTTTGGGGTTACAGAAAAATTATTCCTTTGCTTCCACTCTAATTCATTCCCCGGTCCAGTCTATTTGGAAGTTAAAGCATATAAAATATTAGAGACGTTGACACCATTGAAAAGACAACGCGGAGATACAACCATTAACGTCCGTACGACTACGTGGCACTCTCTGTTCTTTTGGACGGTGAACACAACTCGTTCATGCTTTCTAAATGCGACAAGTCATAAGCTCAAATGATAAGGTTAGACTGTCAAAATATCTATAACTAAAGAGATTACGACGGTTTGTGCAAATTGAATGATGATGGTATGTTGGTTTTGGTAGTGGTAATGGTCGGCTAACAGCGGCTAAGGATAACATTCGATAATTTAAGAGTTACCATTTGATGACAACCTAACGAATGTATATTAATTAGGGCTATATAAGTCTAGGGTTTATTATATTACATACTTGATTATAGTATTTTAATCTTCTGGGTCGGTGATTGGTCAAACTCAGCTTTCACTTTTATGATATTTTGTTTTTTTCTCCACCTATAGAAAGATACTCGCAAGACCGACCAAGTTCTTTGTTTTCGCTTTTTCGGTTTTAAAGACCGACCAAGTTGAACAACTATGAGTTATTATTGTATTTTCTCAGACAAAATCATTTTTTGTACGTAACTAATTTCAACATATTATCTCACGTGCATATATATGCATGATGCTATTTTCCATATCTTCTTCTATTTCACATTTTTTTGCAAGATATAAAGTCAAAATCAGAACTACTTATTGGAATCATGTAAATTTTGTCAATAATGAGCTTTGGCAGGTTTGGGCGGCTTATAGCAAGAATATGTCCACTATTGGCTTTGCAATTCAATACAAATGTATAGTTTCTTTAAAATTTTACCACAACTAAAACAATTGATAGCAAAAAAAAAGCAACTAAAGCAATTTCTGTAAAAATATACAAATTTATAGAACCTTATTCTAAGTTTTCTTGAGAAATTTTTTTAACCAATCAGCATCTTTAATTTTTGTTAAACGTTTTTTTTTCCCCCGACAACACACTCCAATTTATCCTCTCTTGGTCTATCAGAACGTGCTAACAAGTAGGCATGTTTATACAAGCAGAAAGGCCACAAACATTTGAAGAGAATAAATGTATTGAGCCCCCGTCATGAATCAAACCAATCTATGATATTAAAAAAAAAAGAAATTGAAGAAAAATTCAGTGCATGTCCTTTCCAAATTAAGACTACCAATTGAAAATCCAGCATTATTGATATGTACTACTCTTAATCAAACACAAAACTAAACAGATTGTTAACCAAGTATGGATCTAAAAACACTAAGTTATATTATCAGAGATGATAAGGAGTAGTGGTGAAGTAGGTGAAGTCATGGTGGTGGACCCTTAGCTGCTTTAGCCAAGAATCTGCTACGCTCAAAAGGCAAAGCAATCTATCATTGTCCCATAGCCTCCCTTGCGTTTTGTAAGTGGCCATCCCAAATGCACCAACACTTATCCTCTCCTTCTTCTCCTTCTGCACATCTGTTCCAATGGCACAACAACACTAAAAGACTTTAGACATGATTTAATCATTAATGTACTATATAATATACACATCAAGAGGAAATTACCTTGGAAAGATGAAGAAAGTGTGTGGTAAGTGAGGAAACAAGTAGACAAATCCTTTATGCTTCTATTCATGGGGATGTGATAGATTGGATACCTATAACATCATCACCATTCTTACTACATTAGCCTTATTTTTGGTTTATGAAACCACAAACACAAAATAAGACATTTGCTAAAGAAGGCAGACCAAGCAACAGCCATCCAACTTGCAGGAGACAGATCAACACTCCTCAACGATCTCAATCCTGCATGTCTTTCTCCCAACCCTCTGATCTGAAAGCAGACAAGAATATATGATCACATCATTTCTAAAATAATAAAGAAAGTGCCAAACTTTTACAAGCCACTAGAAAATAAATAAATAAAACTATAAAAGACACGAGACACATGATGCTTCAAGAATGAAGAATCACAAGCTCAAAGGAAGAATTGGGAAAAGACTCAAAGAGCAAACCTTATCCATGAGAGGGACTCGAGAATAAGGTGTACATCTCTCAAAATACTGCAAGTAAGAGTAACCGAGGCGATCAAGAGGTTCTTGATGATCAAATCCTTCCTCTGATGAAGAACATCCTTCCCATCTCCACTCATCGCTACACGACTCGCTCCCTGAATCTCCAGATTCCGTCTCCTCCCTCAATCATCATTAACATCGCAGCAACATCTTAGATTCAAAGACGTGTTAATGTTTCTCAAAATGTCAAGAAATGGTTACCTTAGAGTATTGAGAGCAGAATGAGAGGTGAAAATCTGGATAGCAGAGAGGTAAGGAACGTAGTATTGGACCAATGTCTCTCCGGTTTCCGACAAGATGGGGACACCTGCACCGTATGCGCTCCACTCATCGTAACAATCCCAAAAATCGCTCAGCCTGAAATACTCAACGCTCTCGCTCTCCAACGGGTACCATAGACGATTCAGGTTCTTGATCTGTGTCTGCCAAACATCAAAATATTCAGATCCCACAAAAACAGAGGATTGTTTTGAGAAACGAAGATATAACCATGAAACGTAAAAGCGTGAAAACCTTTGGGAGGGAATGTGAAGGGACGATTGGTGTAGTGCAGCGGAGGAATCGGTCCAGGTTGGATTCATTTTCAAAAAACATTATTATTAAAATCCCAACAAAGAAACCAAAAAAAAAGAAACTCGACGGCACAGAGAAAAACAGAGAGGAAGAAGGAGAGAGTTTTGCGGGATTCTCTTTTCTCTGACGTCGTTTTCAAAAAAAGAGCTGAATTTTCGGACAAAAGTGTGTTCTTTTGCTTTATTGGACAAGCATTTGAGACTTTCACGGCAATGTCAGAAACCCGAGAGATCTCGGGAAAGACTGTAATGAAAAAGGGACAACTTTTTAAGGAAAACTCCAACGAATATACTCTGTTTTTGAGAGAAAGGTAAGAAGGAAATGGGGGAAAAACAAGTAATGTAAAATGTAACTACTTTGAGAGAAAAATAGAGTTGGGAAATAGGTGTTTATATATATACAAACCAAACTCTCCATCTCCATGCGACTCATTCTTCTGAGGCAGGAGAAAATTGGTAGATTCACCTGTCTCTCTCACAACTCTCCACCTTCCTCATTTATTTATTTAAAAAAGTATATTTTCGGATAAGACTGAGTTTGTTTGGGTGAATTAAAACCTTTTGTATATAGTCCGTGAAGATAACAAGAAAAAACAGAGCTTTTTATTCTTTGTATGATATTATTTCTTCTTTTGGATATACATATTGAAAGAGGAACTGGCTCAATGACTCAATAATACTCTGTTTTTTTTCAATTCATATAGAGAAAAAGAATGATTTAACATAAAAGGACATGTGTGATAGGATCAGTCGGCAATTGCTTGAAACCAATTACAAAACAAGTTTTTTGACCTATTCATAGATATAGTACGAGTACGACATGGGGATATAGTAAATAGAGCGGAAAGACTTTGACTTTTGTGTGGCCTTCTTTCTTTAATTTAATTGTTCTATCAAACAACTGAAGAATATGCCGCGAGTCACCTTAATGTAGTAATAAAAAAGATTGGAGAAGGAAAGCATAGAAAGGGTCAAAATTGAAGGGTGCAGTCACTTTTCCTTGTTTTACCAACTTTGAAAGAAGACAAGAAAGAAAGAGATGAAACTCTTTCAAAGTGGAAGCCGTCGTATCGCTGACTCCTTCTTCTTCGTTTTTCATTTTCTGCTTTGGTGTTAAAGCCAAGAAAAATATGTGAAGCTCAGGCCTTGCACATGATAAGAAGAAAACGACCTGGTTGCATACAGTTATACTGATTAAATTTGGGTCTGCGCAACCAAAACTTTAACTGAGGTAAACTAATAACGTTTCTGCTAAAGCCTGCTTCTTGGATGTCAAGAGAGAATAACCGAAATGTGTTACACTCCCAGCTCCTCCAACGACTCTGATATCAAACATTCGGACTTTCTTGTAAACAGTGTGATCTGGTCTCATTCCTGGTCGAGGATGATGGTTCTTGCTGCCACCAAATCCCTAAGAAGTCATTCTACTCTTACAAAGCCCACTTGCTGCTACTCCAACCACTTCTTATGGAATCCCTAGTAGTTTTGCTCCAAACCCTGGATCGGATATGAAGCTTCCGGTCCGAGAGCTCTGGAGAAGATCCAAGTTCCACCAGTGCTAAAACCAATGACTTTTCCTCAACCTGTTCACACGAGCATTTTCTAGAATGCAAAAGGGACTACGATCTTGGTATCATTAGATACCTAAACAAGCCTACTAGTCATTTCATCAGAGTCATATCTTAGTGATCTCTCTATCTCTAAGATAAAATGCATTGCATGAATCCAGAGAATTTGCTTACTTGTTATTCTAAAAATAATAAGAATGTTCCCTAATAAACAAATAAAGAATCCACAATGCCTGCAAATTTCTCTAATCAAACCATTCTTGTCAAGATCGTTCCATCTACCTAATATAAGCATCAGCATTATCAAAAGTCAAAAACAGTAACAATTGAGCATTGTTGGGAAACACATAAAACAATTTGATTGTCAACAAGAGATATGTCTTGTCTTGGAAAAGCCTTTACATAGCCGTCAAACGAAATAAATGGCGATTCCGCCCAAAAAAAAATATTGATTGACGATGATTTGCAAATACGATGTAATAATAATACTAAAGCAGTGTAGGCTCACGCAACCAATATCTTGAAGATGATGAAACAAACGAAACAGAAAAATATACAAAGGAATAGATAATCAACGAACACGAAGATTTTTGTGGATCCATGGTTTCGGTTTTTCATCTTCTTCTTCTTCTCCTCCTCCTCCTTCTCGTCGATGGGCTCAATCTTCGCCATTGTTGACAAAATTACGCAGAGAATATTTGTTAGTTTTCGCGGGATTCGCAGATTTCTCTTCTCCTGCAGTCGATTCGACTCGATCGTGTTCTTCTACCATTTTTCTTGTACACAATAGATGGGCCTATGTCTTCAGGCCCACAAATAGCGAAGCCCATAACAATAATTTATTGTTGACTTGTCAACTACTACAAATGAGAGTTGGCGATTAAACTAACTTCCTCTGCTTCTTCCTCTGTTAAAGTGTTAATCCATCTCCTTGCTTATTATAGTTACAAATGAGCGGAGATGAACACCGAAAGTGGGGAACGGCGGCTCCTCTAGCAGCAGAGGAGGAAGGAGAAGGACGTTTTGAGAGCTCGGTGAATGCGGTGCCGTTTTGTTTGGTGGCGACCGCGGTTTTAATCTCCATCTTCCTCTTATTGGCTCTTTTTGAGAGGTTCATGTTCATTCGACCGACTTCATCTACAGCTTCCGACCAAAAGCTTCCTCATTTTGCTTCCCCAAAGGTTCGTTATCTCTTCTCTCTATTTGCATTTACACTTTTGTCAATGTTTTTGGTTGTGTTGGCTTTTACTTAGCAAAGTAGACCAAAAAAAAACGCCTGATTCGTTTGAAATTTACATGATCTAATAATAAGGTTGTGATCATACCAAATTTGCGAACATAACTATGATAGTTTTGTTGGATGGTGAGATTGAGATACGTTTTCTTTTAGTTCCTGCAATCCTGCTATATGTTTAATGATGAGTCTATAGTCAGGCTTGCGTGATTTGTCCATAATGTAGTTCGCGGTTTACCAAGTTTATGCTAGAGGAAGCTCTTTTTGTCGTATCTTTGAAATGTTGCAAAGTCCAAAACAGGATTAAATTAAACGTATTCTATATTTTATGGGGATACAAAAACCCCTTGATTCATGCAACGAGGTTTGAATATACGCAAGAGTAGAAGAAAAGACTTTCACTTATTTGTCTACTAACTACTTGTCTTTTGTAAGGATGATGTCATAATCATATACATATATAATCTTCTGTTTTGTGTGTTATCTGTTATGTAGATGGGTGTTTGTGATAGAGAAATATCAGTGTTGATGCCCGGAGAAAAGGTTCCAACGTTCATTGCTCAGCCATGTCCTCCTTTGTCATCAAGATCATTCTAAAAACTTTCTTTGATTGATTTCAAATTCTGTAATATTCATTAGGACTTCTTTGTTTTTCATATATGGAAAAAAAAAGAGACAAGTTTTATTTATGTAGTGGAGTGTTATAACAGAAACAGAACAGTGTCTTCTGTCTGCTTATCCAAGAGCAAAAGAGCAGCAATCTCCATGAATAAAGCTATTGTATCTGTGAAGCGTTTGTGCGTAGGCTTTGCTTTATACTTTAAAGTCAATAAACAAAAAATCCGCAAAAGATTTGGTTATATTATACAATCCGCAATTTACAAATCAAAAAAAGGGAAAATCAAAATCAATCAATCTAACATCAGTTAATGAAAGTAGAGAGATTTTTAGAGAAAGATGAAGCATTCCATAGACACTTCAGGGTCCCTCACAGCAACATCTTCTTCCTTCTTCACCTCAACAGCTACTTTCGTCTCTTCCTTCTTCTGAATCACCTCTGCTACATCCTTCTCCGGAGCTGCTTCACGCTTCTTCATCGGACTCCTTCTTGCGGAACTCGGGGCACGAGTGGCCGGAGACCGAGAACGACGCCTTGGACCTTCTTGTAACCCGCTTCGTGGAAGAGGACCTGAATCTACATTTCGCCGGTTTAGTGTAGGGTTTGGTGGATTGGTTGGTCTCTCTCGGACTAACCTGGGACGGAGCTTCCCCTGAGGAGAGTTTCGTCCTCCCGGCGACCTCGAGATTCTCTCAGGCCTGCTGCGGCGAGAGGAGGAAGAAGAAGGAGGAGGAGGTCGGTGGGGTTTGCTGAGAGCATCGTCTTCGAGGATGGAAGCAGCGGTGGCAGTAGTGGCGGTGGAGAAACTGTTGGAGACGCTGCAAATGTCGGACTTGTCGTGAGAGATCTCTGGAGTTGGGAGTGAGGGAGGTGGCTGAGTTTCTGAATCTGAGACTTCCGGTGCGGAGGGAACGATGTCCGGGACGGAGACGGTAGTGGGGACCGGTATGGGAACGGAGACGGAGACTGACTGGACTACGACTTCCTTGACGGATTCTTCTTCAATGGGAGGAGGGATTCTGGCTTCGGCATCGGCGGCGGAGACAGGCGGGGCTGTGACTTTTCCGGCGCTGAAGCAGCATCCCATTTCTTTCTTGCTTTCTCTATTGCTCTCACACTCTCTCTCTCTCTACTCTCACGAGTGAGACAGAGGATCCGTGATATACACTTGTTCTCCTTGATGGGCCTATTATCAAGTGGCCCATACCCACTCTGTTTTTCGAATATTATTTCTCACGTACAGTATATTATAATATTTTTAATCCACTCTGACAAATTAAGCACGAATCCGATATTTGTCTTATTGTTACTTTTTATACAGAAAAAGGCAGTGCTTTTTTTCTCTTTGTAAAAGCGCTTGAAAGAAATTCAAAATTTCATGCCGATGAACAAAATCTCGCTTGATAGTGACTCATCATCGCTGTGACAGTTGCAACAAAACAAGGACATGCCTATTGCCTTTTGGAGGGGAAAATACAGAGACGTGTAAACAAATGTAACAAAACTCTCTTGATTGATTAGAAAATTAAGTAAACAAGAAGATGTATCATTGTAACTAACAACGTGACACATGCATGGTTCCTTGTGAAAGTGAAATGCTCATGCTTCGTTATATATCATCGTCCTTTTGGAACTTGAGATTCATTTATCCGTCGCTGGTTTCTTAGCTGTCAAATTTTGAATTGGGAATGGTGTAACATTGTTTTTTTCCTTTAGCAAAAAAGGAACATTGCTTTCTCTTAACTCAGGAGATTATAAAGGAACAAGGCTCACAGTTGTAAAACCCAAGCCCATTATTTTGTTGAAACCAAACCCAAGAAAGGAAATAATTGTTTTGAATCCATAACTTCACTGCCCATCCTCAACTATTTTTGGGATCAACTAGGAGGAAAGAGAGTGTCAAGACTTTTGAGTAAAGATGGTCACTATATCATTTAATTTTCTTCCAATTTTTTCATTTTTGGCTAAAAAAAGCCTACCAATCTTTTCTTTCAACAATATGAATTCATTTCTGTTTGATTTCCATCCGGATAATAAGATATCAATGGTACTAATCTAACACGAATATTTGCAAAGATGTTGACATTATTATTTCATTTTTTTCCATTTCTATCTATCTGTTACATAACAACAACATATACAATTCATATGGTCTACAAACAAGGCTACACTAGTCTACTCTAGTCTATTTATGTATTTAAGAAATGAGTTCATATAGATATGACATTGGGGTCAGAGCGCATTGCAGAATGCCTAACAAACATAGATGTCAATGACGTCGTCGTCATGTACTTGGTTACTACTCCCTCCATTTTAGAATGTTTGATGTTTTAGCTTTTCTTCTTGTTTCATAATATATGATGTTTTAGAATTTTTAAGGTACTTTTATCAATTAATGCTAACAAATTACAAACTTCAAAGACTATTAATTAAAAGTAATTGGATTCTTGAATTTCTATTGGTTAATATTTAGTAAAAAGTGGTTTATGTAAGAGAAAGATACATTAATTGTTAAACAATAAATGTTTCTTAATTTGTGTAAAAATTCTAAAACATCATACCTTCTGAAAGAGAGGGAGTAGTTGTTTTATTAGATAACTAGTTTGGTTAAACTTGTTTTTCAATTAAAGAACCATACTTTTCTCTGATTAATAATCTTTATATCCCTACAAAAATAGTCATTGGGGGAGAAATGACTCGGTAACCGATGAGTCCTGAGGAAAGGGAAGAGCCCAAGAATTTGCAGAACCTCCAAGAGAAGGAAAGAAGAGAAAGTAAAAAAAAAAAAAAACAGACTTAAAAATCAAGAAGTGTGAAGAAGTACAAAATCAGAAAAGGAGTTATGACATTAAAAAATCAAAGAGGACCTGAAACACTTGACACACCCTATTCCTCAACTTCTTCTCCTCTCTTGTGTCTTGTCAAAGCTCTCTCTCTCTCACCCACACCCACCGCCTCTGTTCTGCTCATATCGGCCATAGACATTCTCTCTACAATCTACATCTCTCATCCCTACACTGTTATGTAGGTTATATATGTGTATTGATGATATTAATACAGTCCCAATATTATATTCAGTATATAGTATAATCCAAAGGTCCTATATGCCCCACGAGTCTTGTTTTGTTGGCCAGCTAATTTCGCATCCGCCAAATAAAAAGTCTCTTCTTTTTGTATAATAGTTTCTTCCTTTCTTACTAACCCCAAAATCCAAAGGCCAAAGGCGTTCTCTTTCTACTTATTTCTCTCTCTCTCTCTCTCTATCTCTCTCTTCTCTTCTCCCGAAAAGCCCCTTAATAAGCTTTTGCTTTGATACCAGATCTCTCTCCGCTTTTGAGATGCGTGCTCCTTTAGGGCTTTCCTTTTATACCCCAAAACGAAGCCTTTCCTTCTCTCATCTAACCCTTTCCTTCTCTCTCTCCCCTTTCTCTCATACGCTATAAGGAAGGAGGAGGAATCCAGAGAGGAGAAAGAGAGAGTGTTGAGATATGGCGAATGTGGAAGAGATGCAATGTGGGTCGATGCTGTTCAAGCAAGAGGAGCTGCAGGAGATGTGTGGGGTCAATGTTGGTGGCGATTACGTTGAGGTGATGTGTGGCTGTACCAGTCATCGCTACGGCGATGCCGTTGCCAGGCTTAGGGTTTTCCCAAGCGGCGATCTCGAAATCACCTGCGAATGCACGCCCGGCTGCGACGAAGGTCTCTCTCTTTCTCTCTCCCCAGTCTGTTTCCCTCACGTCTTTCTGAATGCTTTTTTTTGGCCAAAATGGGTTTTTGATTTTATATGCATGTTACATGTGAATGTGAATGTGTGTGAAAGATTAAACTTTTGCTACCTCTCGCTTTCATTTGCTCAACTCTCGAGATTTCTTCCATTATACAAGGCAAAAGGAGGGTTTTTTTAGCCCTTCTCTTTTCATCTTCACACGGATCCTTTGGTTTAATGGTTGATCTCTACCTAGCTAATATGTGCTTTGGGCAAGTAAAGATATGACCTTTAGCTGCATCTTGTTAACAAGACTGCTCTTTTATTTCGTACCTGTGAAACTAGCTACCTCGTATTTGGATATTGAATGACATTCACTGTCACATGGCTCATAAAGTATGGATAGATGCGTATTTGCAGAAAATGGACTGACTTTTGGTTTGCTACATTGTAACGTTTAGGCAGTCTGTATTTTGTCATGATAATGCGTCTCTGTGTGAGTGACTAAAGTGGTAGGCTTTATTGACATATGATATTCCTCACTTAGTGGTACGTGTATATATATACCCTTGATGTCAATGTTTAATGCAACCTCATTTCTTCTAGTCCTTGAAGCATACCAATACGACACATTTGATGGATATGCACATTTTGGGCTCTATTTTGGAAAATGATCTGACTTGAACAGTTTTTGATTGTAGACAAGTTAACACCAGCTGCGTTCGAGAAGCATTCAGGGAGAGAAACAGCAAGGAAATGGAAAAACAATGTGTGGGTCATCATCGGAGGAGAAAAGGTTCCATTGTCAAAGACTGTCTTGCTCAAATACTACAACAAAGCATCGAAGAAGTATAACAAATCACAAGGCACCAAAGTTTCCCATAGAGATGAGTTTGTTGAGTGCAACGAGTGTGGTAAGGAGAGGAGGTTCAGGCTGAGGAGCAGAGACGAGTGCCTCTTGCATCACAACGCAATGGCGGATCAAAACTGGAAATGCTCGGACTTTGCATACGACAAGTAGGTTCTTCTTTGTCTTTCTGTTGATGTAGTTGAGGAAGATTGATATCGTATTTGATTTAGCTTAATGGTGGTTGCAGGATAACATGTGAGGCAGAGGAAGAGAGAGGAAGCAGGAAAGTTTACAGAGGATGCACACGCTCACCATCTTGCAAAGGCTGCACTACTTGCGTCTGCTTTGGCTGCGAGTTATGCCGTTTCTCTGACTGTTCTTGCCAGACTTGTGTCGACTTCACCAGCAATGTCAAAGCTTGAAGAAGAAGAGTCCTCTACTAAGGAAAAATGTCCTGAGACTTGGTTGCATTTATTACTTTATTCTAAAATTCCACAAACTGTTATCTTTATAGTATCTATGTGGGTCGTTGAATGGAGCATATTAATTAAAAAAGTTTTAAAAACAAAAAAGAAAAGTTGATTTCCTAGAAGAACATGCAGACGAGCATGCCTCAGTTAGTGCATGTTTAGATTTTTGGCTGGTGGCAGAGACAAAATAAAAAAGTATTTATTGGTATCAAGTAAAAAAGCTTGTTTGTTTAATTTATTAGCTGTGGACAGCTTTGAGAGAGACGAAGATGTCAATGGCACAGCTACGATGGATGGTCTGTGATTTAGGAGATGGGACACGGATAGAGACATTTTCTTAGTACCCAAAAAGCCCTCGGGCTCTTTACTTGAACACTGTTTATATAAATGGAGATGCATACAGAAAAGGTTTGTTTTTTTTAAACACAAAGACCAAGTCGTCGGGCGATAAAAGGGATATAAACTTATAAATAAGATTAATCTGCATGTGTACCAATCATGTATCAATCTTACTTCGTATTTGAACAAAGGAATAATATAGTACTCACGTGAAAGGTGAAACCAGGGAACATGTTTTGAATCAAAAATGTTGAAATCACAAAACAGCACATCATCTCTTACTCTAAAACCAAAATTCATTTCTTATGGATCAAATTACTCAAAAGCAACAACATCCACAAATGAGGGTGTGTTTCCTCCATATTAAACTACAATTTAATCAGATCCAACTATGAAATCCGCCGACTCATTCAGAGTCTTTCTCGCGCGCCAATACACACCATTGGCTGTCTCTGACGTTCCCATCTGCAATAATCACCAGGAAAACATATAGTCAGTAGAGCACTTTGACATTAAGTTCCTAGTTTGGTTATGTTTAGCGAATGGTTTCAACAATCCTCCTTACCTTTATCTCCAACGAGTAATAATCCTTCCACAGCTCCACGTCTTGACTGTAACTTGCAACAGCAGAATCGTATAGCTTCCGGGCATTCCTGAGACTATCTTTATCACCTAGTGATGTCTCTATTTCAATGCAATCTTTGTATAGAGCAAGACCGGGACGGGGAAGAGCCAAGAACCTACAGATTCAGAGAAAACTAAGTGGTGAGAACAAAGTGGCATGTGTGTGACTCTTTAGGGAAAATGAGTAGTGATTCACCTCTTGTATATCTCCCTCGCACTTTGGCTCCCTTTTGTTTGGAGAACAAATTTCACCACTGCGGAAGCGAGAGAAAACGCATGGTCGCTCCCTTTATTGCCTTTGGCTACCGATAGGATGGACATCTCTACAAGCTTGTCAAAATAAGTTCTTTGCTGACCAAAGAACTCAAACGCCTGTGATGCAATACGCTTTTTATTAGTTATGCCTTATATCAACAAAATATGGTATTGTATAGAAAAGATGTTAGTCACATACCATAAGCCACAAGCTCTCAGATTCTGAGATCGGTACTTTCTTCAAAGCATTTGAAAGGAGCTCAAAGACTGACTTCAACTCTGCTTTACTAGGAGTGGAGTTCTTTGAAAGTGATCTTGTTTCAATGGTAACTCTTGAAAACCATAACTTAGCTGATCCCGCAAATCTTCCAGAGCAAAGCTTTTCTGCTAGCTTCTCAGCTTCATCTGTCCTTCCCAGTTTCAAGTACAGAGACACATATTCATTAGCAAGCTCCTCCGTCAAACACTCAGTTTCGTCAGCCTTTTCGTACACATTTATCAGATGGGAAATGCACTCCCCGGTCGGATTAGACGCAGGGGAAGTTTCATCAGCGTCGTCATTCGACTCTGCAATAGCCTCCATCAAAAACTTTATATACATATCAAACATAGAACTTGAAGTAACAGTTTGTACGCCCTCTTCAAAAACCTGCATTCAAGAGACAAGATATAAAACCTATTAGACATTGTAGTACATTCATTGAACTCTCTACTAGTAGGCTAACCAAAATGTTCAAAAGTAAGATAGGACAGTCCTATAAACAGATCCCTCATAAGGCAATAACCAAGTTCCTATCGTCCTCCAACATTTGTTTAGCAGACTAAGAAAATGAATATCTACGCCCTAGTTATAAGCATATACATACGTCAAAGGTGAGTTATACCTGAATAGCCTTTTGCATTTGAGGACTTGCAAACTCTACGCTCGTCTCTTTGCTCATTTCATGTCTTGCAAGCCAATTCCAGTATTCAGGGTCCTTGGAAAATTCACGCTTCAGGTCACTTAAAATCGTATTGCGGATTTCATCTGAATGAGCCAACTCTGTCGCCTCCAGAATCTCCAGAAAACGCTTCCTCAACTCAAAGCTAGATGGAAGAGCCTCAGTGGCTCCACTATAAATAGCCTGAAGAACATTAGACCCCTTTTCCCGAAAGATATCATCTTCCTCATTCGCATCCTCACCATCTTCAACATCAGAGTCGCCGCCATTCTCTACTTTCTCATCTAGCGACATAAACAGCTCTTTATTCTCACCCTTCCATTTCTCTTCCTCCACGGTTTTCTCGTCACGCACCAAACTTCCTTTACCTTCACCAAGAGCAACTCTACGAGTTTTCAGCTTATTTAGATAAGTCAGCTCCATTCGCAGATACTCAACCCACAAATCCTCAGAGTTTGGACACACTCTCAAGCCATTCTGCATAAGAGCACGAGCTGCAGCAACATTCAAGTTCTTATCAAATTCCCAAGCCGCAGCATATATCCACACCGCAGCCACTTTCGGGTGAAATCTTATAACTTGAGCCAATACCTACAAAATGTCAATCAATCATATGATAACTCAATTCAAACATCGAAAACACACCCAACAAAAGGAATCAATTCGAAAGCTTTACCTTTTTCATTCTCCCATTCCTCTTCTCTCTGCAGAACTCGAGATACCTAAACCACAAATTGATATCCCCTTTAAACCTCATCGTCGCTAACCTATAAATCTCCACAATCTTAGCCACACCGGCGAAATCGGAAACCGATTTCTTCTTCTTAGTCTTCTTCTCATCAGACTGAACCGACGTCGCCTTCTTCCGTAAGCGCCGGAGCTCATCGAGCTGAGACTCGTAGTCGACATAGGCTATAAAATCCTGTTTGAGCGGGCTCGGACGCTTTAGCCGGTACTCGAACTTGCGCCGCTGCTTCACAATCTCTGCAATCTCTGAACGCGTGAAGATTCCTTTACGTTCTAGATCGTCAAGCTCATCAACCATCCGCTCGAGGCGGTACTGAACGACGTCGGCCATTTTTGCTTGCTGCTCGTTATCGGCGGGGACTGTAACAACCGTAGGGCAACAACGCTCAAGAGAAACCTTTATTTTCGGTTATGTATATATATTAATGGGCCGTAAATCAGAAAGCCCAACTTGTTCTAAAGGCCCAATGTTAACTGAAGCTATTTGTTTGTTATCGGAAAAGCTTCAGGGACGACGATGACGATGGCGTTCTTCGCTCTCTCTTCATCTCTCTCTTCTTCTGCTTCTTCTTCTCTGTTCTGCCGCAATTATCGCATTCCTTCTATCCGTTCGTCTTCCGTGTCCCGTGTTTCTTATCTTAACGGCGGGAAGCTCACACTAGCTCCGCCGCAGGTTTTAAATGCCGGCGCGACTCTCCGTGGTTTTGGGGTTCCGGGTAAGTTTCCGAGTGTGAGACTTGGGGTCTCGACGAGGTGCGAGAAAGAGGATGCGCCGAATGATGGCGTAAAGGATGAGGATGAAGCGGAGCGATTCGCGAGGCGAGAGAGCACCATGCCTGATAGATTCAGATACTTGACCAAAGAAGCTCCGGATAGTCCAATCATATGGCCATGGTTTGTTGGTACGTCTCCGTCTTATACTTTTAGCTAAGCATTTCAGTGAGTTTGGTAAAGTAATTTTTGGTCTTACTTAACAAAGCAAATGAACATAAAGATCGAATTTTGGAATTCGAATTCCGTTTAGATGCTATTTCTGTTCTCAGTCACTAAGGTGCGTCTGAGTTAGGATTTGATTGATTTTAGTTTCCCCTCCTGAGATTGTGAATGGGTTTAGCATTTCAGCTAGTAAATTTAGTGACTTGAGGTTGTTTCAGCTGTGCGTTAGGAGAATATATCTATACACTATACAGTAAAATGATGAATCATCTGTTTGCAGCGCTTGGATTTCTCGTGTATGCGTGGAGAGCAGTCTTGTTTGAGCTAACCAACTGGAGAAAAGCCGCTTTCGCTATCATTGGATTTCTTGGAGACCTTTCGAAGTTCGCATTAGCGCTCGTCTTCCATTTCATAGGCGATCCCATCACGTCTCTCATCGCTCTGTTAGAGACAGCAATCTACAGTTTGCGAGCGTTCTACTCCGGGATTGTGGCTTACACGCCTGTGAGAGAGTTAACCACAGTGATCCTTCTTGCATCATCCGTTCTTGCGATAGGAGAAGCAGTAGCGCCGAACTCGATCAGCAAGCAGCCGTATGTGGTGACTCTCGCGGGTCTCTTGGGGTACGCAGCTGTGCAGAGTTATATCTCTGAGCCGTTCTTCTGGACTGTTTTGGTTGGTCTGTATGGTTATTCTCGGTTGGTGAGGAAGAGAGACGATGTGACCGCGGCGCTTCCTTCTGCAGCTGTTTTGGCAGGAGTTGGTGAGCCGTGGGTGAGAGTTGTGGCTATCGCAGGGTATTTGGCTCTAGCTATGTATCACAATTCGACTAAGACGGCCTCAGAAGATGAAGAGAGACAGAACTTGAGGAAGGCACCACCAATGCCGTTGTTAGCTGCAGCATTAGCCATTGGCGTCAGGCTTGCTGCGAAATGGGCTGGTTACAGACACTTGACTTGGATGATCGTTTAAATTCTCTGCTGTGATTTTTGTGAAACAAAGAAAACTAGAGACAAACAAAAAGTAGTTTTGTGTACTTGTACCCCTCTCGGCTCTGCCTAATGTTTTGAGTGAAATTTCTGATCATACAAAAAATGGTTATTACTTAATTACGGCCCACTGGTACTAAAGCAGCCCATTTTGGGAAGTTAATGGGCTCGAAGTTGTGCAAATGAAATCAGGCCATTTCAGTTGACACAGCAATTAGGGCTTTGCAAGGATTTATATATAAAGGAGTCATCTCCCTCTTCTTCATATCTCAAGCTTCTGCATTTCCTTTGCTTTTTCCGATTAGCTCGTTTTAGTACTAGTGATAATTCTCTGTTTGGGTTTTGCGTTCGTTGTTTGTTTGTATTTGGGAAGGAAGGATACGTTTTTATTATTGCCTCACATCACCTTTAGCTTGTTTTCAAGAACAATCCACGAAAACAAATGCTAGTCATCGAGGCATATAGAGAATTGCGGTGTTAAAACGTGGAGGCATACTTGTTTATCATAGTTTAGCCTCTAAAATCATCCGCTAAACCACTCAATTGTTTGTTATCTCTATCCTAATGTTTTTTTTGTCCAGATCTGGCTTTGTTTCATATTAGTGATTAGTAATTGAATTTTGTGGACCCGTGAATCACATAATTATTCATGTTTGAAAGTTGATTGAAAAGGATGTTCAGTCTGATAAGAAATGGGGGTTGCCTTTGATGGATAAATGAACAACAGAGACGACACATTGAATTTTGTTGGATAAACAGTTGCGACTCTTTTTAGCTGGTGGTAGAAATTGTGATCACTAATTAAATGACCCTATTATGAAAATATCGCTGGTGGTAAAATTTTGAATTTGTATCCTTGTTCTTAGTCAATTTGATGTTACTGAAAGGATGATGAATCAAGGATTTAAGTAAATCAGTTCTTCAAACAATATACAAACGACAAACATGTTGCCAAGCTTTTTATCTTGTGCACCTGCTAAACCAATCCATATTGTGGGGATAATTTACAATTAGTATCGATTTCAACATGGCACATGCTAACAATTAAACAATTTTTGAGTTACATCAATCAGCAGGTACAAATTGACTAGTATCTTGCACATCTGGCGACACTAAAATACTAAGAAAGAAAAATACTACTAGTCTTTTTTTTTTATCCACAAGAAAAGTATCTCGAAAAGCTCAGTTCTTGTACTCGGTCATAGATTTTTCCCAAAAGTCTCCTGGATCTTGTACTTTGTTCTCCCAGAATCAACTCTCTTTTTCTTCAGGCTTTAAACCAAAATGACAATACTTTCTTCTCTCGGAAGAGCCTCTCGATCTGCCCCACTTGCCTCTAAGATCCTCCTCCTCGGCACTCTCAGGTTTCACTGTGTCCGATGCTTACTTTTCAATCCTTTCCCAAAAAGTCCGGACCTTTATAAGCTTTATGGTTTCATTTTCTAATCCTTTGTATCTCAAAATTGTGACCTTTACCGCTTTTTATCCATAATATTCATTTCTCTTCTGTTTCTGATTAGCTTGTTGAGTAAATAATTCCATAGCTTTTGCATAACTTGGCGTGGACGAAACAATCTTGCTAAGCTCATGGAGATTTGTTGTATTGTTTATAAATTTGCAGCGGTGGAGGTAAAGTGGCCTACTCAGATTCTTCAAACGCAGAAGCTAACAAAAACGAGCAGCTGGAGAAGAAGAAGAAGAAGAAAGTAGTTGTGCTTGGCACTGGATGGGCTGGTATAAGCTTCCTTAAAGACCTTGACATAACTTCCTACGATGTTCAAGTTGTTTCTCCGCAGAACTACTTTGCCTTCACGCCATTGTTACCTAGTGTCACTTGTGGAACTGTTGAAGCTAGAAGCATTGTTGAATCTGTCCGGAACATAACAAAGAAGGTATCTTTCAAACTGTATATGAAGGCATGATATCAATCATCACCTGCTAAGTTTATTGTTGTTGGCAGAAAAATGGGGAAATTGAATTGTGGGAAGCAGATTGTTTCAAGATCGATCCAATTAACAGAAAGGTTCACTGCCGGCCAGTTTTCAAGGATGATCCTGAAGCAAGCCAAGAGTTTTCTCTGGAATATGATTACTTGATCGTAGCAGTGGGAGCACAAGTTAACACATTTGGAACTCCTGGTGTTCTTGAGAACTGCCATTTTCTCAAGGTAACTAATTTCATTGTTTAATGATCTCAGCTGTGAGTAGTATTCTCCAAGTTTCTTACTTTAAAAAACACTGCAGGAAGTAGAGGATGCACAGAGGATTCGTAGAGGAGTGATTGATTGCTTTGAGAAAGCACTGCTTCCTGGTCTCACTGAGGAACAAAGAAGAAGAAAGCTTCATTTTGTTATTGTGGGAGGAGGTCCTACTGGTGTGGAGTTTGCAGCTGAGCTACATGACTTTATCGAAGAAGATATCACCAAGATATACCCTTCAGTCAAACACCTCGTGAAAATAACACTCATTCAATCAGGAGATCATATTTTGAACTCGTAAGTCATAAAACACTTGAGGAAAGTTTCGCCGTTTTCTTGATTTTGGAGTTTGACAAGTGTTTGTTCTTGTTTGTAGGTTTGATGAAAGAATCAGTTCATTTGCAGAAGAAAAGTTCTTGAGAGATGGTATCGATGTTCAGGTGGGAATGCGTGTGATGTCTGTAACTGATAAAGACATCTCTGTGAAAATCAAATCATGTGGAGAAGTTGTTAATATTCCTCATGGATTGGTATTGTGGTCTACTGGAGTTGGAACTCGTCCAGTGATCAGTGACTTCATGAAGCAAGTTGACCAAGGAGGCAGACGAGCGTTGGCAACCAACGAGTGGTTACAGGTGAAAGGATGTGAGAATGTGTATGCAGTTGGAGATTGTGCTTCCATAGCTCAACGCAAAATCATGGTATGTTGTGAATAAAACCCATTCCTAGACATTTTGATATATGTTCACTGGTGAGTCTTGATATGTTTTGTGATTTTCTTTAGGAGGATATTGCAAATATATTTAAAGCTGCAGATGTGGACAATTCAGGAACCTTGACCGTGGAAGAGTTACACGATGTGGTTGATGATATTCTTGTGAGGTATCCGCAAGTTGAGCTCTATCTGAAGAGCAAGCATATGAGGAGTATAAAAGATCTGCTGACAGATTCAGAAGGAAATGGAAAGAAAGAAGTAGACATTGAGGAATTCAAATCGGCTCTCGCCGGGGTTGACTCCCAGATGAAGAGCCTGCCTGCAACTGCTCAGGTACTTCTTGGCTTCACCAATGCATAAAATCATGAGGTTTTGTTGAAGAACTTAGGCTCAATGGTCTCTTTCTTTGTTATTGTATAGGTTGCTGCACAGCAAGGTTCTTATCTTGCACAATGCTTCAACAGGATGGAGCATTGTAAAGAGAATCCTGAAGGTCCTAAGCGATTCAGGACTGGCGGGCATCACCAGTTTCGTCCCTTCCAGTATGTGAAAAATCAAATAAACTCTCATAGACTCCCTTGAAATGGAGAGATGAAACCTCTTTTGTGGTTTTGATGGCAGGTACAAACACTTTGGACAGTTTGCTCCGTTGGGAGGGGACCAAGCAGCTGCTGAGCTACCAGGAGACTGGGTTTCAGCAGGAAGAAGCACCCAGTGGCTCTGGTATTCTGTTTACGCCAGGTAAATGCTGAGAAAACTCTGTTATTCATAATAGCAAATGCATAGAAGTTATGAGTAAAAAGAAAAAAGATGAGAAAACACAAATGATGTGATGATTGCAGCAAGCAAGTTAGCTGGCGAACGAGGGCTCTGGTGGTGTCGGACTGGACAAGAAGGTACATATTCGGGAGGGACTCAAGTCGTATCTGAGCCTATACTGCATTTTCAGACTCAAACCAAGATTCAGTCTCTCTCCTTGTTGTGTTTGTGTGTAAATCCCACAAAGCTGTGGACTCCTTGTGATTATATAATATAACCTTCTTGATTGTGTGAATGAAGAAGCAACTCCTTTTATGAAAACCATTATATTAACAGAAAGATTTCAAAACTCACAATCTTAATGTGTGTATTTAAGGCATTAAGCAAACACAACAAAGATGCACAAATCCATTCTTGCTTGCTCTACAGTCCAGATGCAAGCAAAAGCAACAAAAATAAACAGATTCACAATCAATTGACCACAACAAGAGTTGTGGTTTCCTTACTCAAATTGATAAACTGATCATTCTTCAAACCTCAGAATCTGGCAAAAGGTGAAATTACGGTTCTTGCGTTCCAATTCCGAAACTCTTTTGGCAGCACCTGAATCACGAGGGCTCTCTCCCGCACGGCGAAGCGTTCTGATCTTAGGAAGCTCCTTGCCTATAGGAGTCTGAGTCTCATCGTTCTCACCACTGCTATACAGATCAACCTCACTCGGAATCTCCCATCTCTTCTTCACTCTCCCTTCACTCTTGCAATTTTCATCAGAAGCTCTTCTCTTCTCCGACCTGTGATTCTCTTTCTCCTCGTTATCAGGCAACGAGCGTTTCCTCGCATCTTTCTCCACCGTCGTCTGCGTTTTGCTCACCAGGCTGTACCTACTAGCCACCACTCTTCCTGGCTTCAACGGTTTCCTCAAAGCAGTGTTCTTCTCATCTTCTTTGAATAGCCTCTTAGGCTGGATCGATAACAATACGCCGTCTTCTTTCTTCACAGCTCTCTTTGATCCCACAGTCGTCGCTGCTTGCTTCTGACCCGCCGTGATCTTCGATGCAGCTCTCCGAGATCTCGGGCTCAGGCTCAAACTCGTTCGTGCTCCTCTAGCTTTCGTCACTACTTTGCCTTCCTCGATTCCGGGAAGCTTGAAGAAACAAGACTTGCGTCGATTCTGAGCCGATTGAAGAGGAGTCACCGATTCGGATTTCTTCGAAGCTGAGAAAATCTCCCCTGGTCCCAGACTAACGCCTCTACGAGTGGTGGTGGTGATTCTCGATTTGGATCCTGGAAATGAGGATTCGTCGAACTTAACCGTCGGTTTCTGAGATTCCATGAACTTCGCCGGAACGACTCTTCCTCGTATAGTAATGCTTCTCGCGGTTTGCTCGGCTTTCTCTAATCGGAGCGATTCCAATCTCGTCGATAAACGGCTCATTTCCTTCTCTACCTCTTCGATATCCGCATCGATATCTCGTTCTTCACGCTTTTTCATCTGATCTGCGACGTATTTGGTCTTCGCTGTTTCGGATTTTGCTGACGGAGCTTCACACCAATTTCTCGGTGGCTTCTCTTGAACGTTGCCGGAGCTAAGCGAATCGGTGGTGAAGGAGACTGAGGATTTGATGGAAGAGGACACCGAAAGTTGAATCTGATTCTCCTTGCTGCAATCGGAATCGAATGATTGGTTGACGAAATCGGGAGGGAGGTTAGACCAAGAAGAAGTTTCGATGGCGGAAGTGACATTGGAATCTCCATCGTCGAAGGCGGCGTTGTTCCAGATCTGAAGCTTCGGAGCGTTTAGCGTTTCTGTAGATTCAATTGAAGCCATTTTGAGAGTGATCGATCTTCTTTTACAAGAAACTGGGATTTCGGAAATGAATCTGGAAATGAGGAGGAAGAAGAAGAAGAGAGGGAGAAGGAGTATTTCTTGAGGATTATTTGACCGTTGGAACAGAAGACGTTACTCAATTGAGGGAGCGTCGTTAGATATGGACCGTTGGATGAAGCAGCCACGCTCCGATTTCATTCAAAGCGAAGCTTTGACAAATAAATGGGCCTTGGGCTCAACATAGACCAAAGTCTCTATCGTTTCTCAAAGGTTTCAAGACCAAATATTGGGGCCTGACTTGGGCCTACGAATATATAATCTCGGATTATTCATTGCATACCGACCTAACTCAATAATGAGACCATACATAAATAATAATAACTTTATGGAGTGACTGACTTGTCTGTCCCAATGGATAATGATAGTTTTGGAATCTTTGGTGATTATTTATTTAACTGAGAATCAAATTCACTGTGGATAAAGTTGAATTAGTGGTAATCACAGCTGAAGAGGGGGACCGATGTTCATATAATGAAACAGAAACAGAGTTCTCATAAACGAACGCTTGCTTTGATCCTTTTCAACATCCTTCAATATTCACAAGAGATGTGACTAGAATACACAAAACTATATACAGTTATCATCAGAAAATCTGACTCGCCTTCTTCTTCGACTCAGCGAGTGCATCATGATAGGGTCACCATCATCTGTGGATGGAATTAGTACTTAGAATTAGCCTTGGCTCCAGCAGTTGAGGTACATGACTTGGCGAATAGATTCATCGGGAGTGGAAGACGAGGTACGACGTCTTTCTTCAGAGGGGATACCGTCGCCGGCAAGATCCGCGGCGGCGAGAGGGCGGAGATCGGAGGAAAGCCTGCGTTGAAGGCGGTGAGCTGAGCTGAGGCCGGTTTTCAACTTGACGCCGTGATCGGCGTTTCCTTGAACAGCCACGAACGATGCTGCCATCCAAACCTTGTTCAAATAACTCATGTTTTCGTAATTGCTTTTGTTTCTTAACCTTCGGAGATGGAAGCTTTATAAAGACTTTGAAGGTCTGTGTAAACTGGAGAGATTAGCAGAGTTTGTAGGAAGATGAATGAAAGCTGAAGTGTGTACTTATAGCAGAGGGATATTGGAGTGAGGGCAAAATGGTAACTTAGAAAAGATCTAAAATAAGCGATACCGTGGAATGGATCAGTGGGATCCAGGTTTGGGAAAGCGATACGAGTCATTGAGATTATCGTTAAAATATCGGGAGAAATGGAGGTGGCTGTGTAAGGAGATACAGAGGAAACAAGTGGCGGGCTTAGAGGGTCCTATCCTCAAGATGAGTCACCCTCTTCTTCAATTATGGAGTCCACCATGTGGGGGCCACCTCTATTGTTTTCATTTGGTTTATTTATGTAGAGCTAAATTCACATTTGTCTCTTATCTGTTTTGGTTTTTTATACAAGTGAATCGATATGACAAAACAAAAAACTGAAATGTTAATTTGGAAGCATTGTGTGGGCTAAGAGTTGATAGAAGCCCACGAGGGGTTTGGTGACGTGTAAGCTGGTTATTGGGTGAACACGTGCGTCCTCACGTGGTATTACCGCTCATCAATGCTTCTTGTCTCTTTGCTTCCGGTTATTTTAGCTAGTTTAATTTCTAAGTGCTCTTTAACTCTAACCCAATCAATCAGTACTTTTTTTTGTATATTACAGAAGAGAATGTAATAGGATTATGCTTCGAGAATGCATGAAGGAAGCTTCACAATCCGGTGAGGTAAGAAGATTATAAAATGGATTGCCATCTAAAGAATTATAACATCTCCTAAGAGGGAAAGAAACACAAGAAGCCCAATCAACTAGGCCCAAGAATCTAAATTGGTTCAGTCAAAATGCCATTCACCTTGAGGAGAAGGAGAAGGAGATGGGTAATAACAAAAAAGGTTTCTATGAGAAAATGAAAAAGAACATGGTCACCAACAAAGCTAATAACCGTAAAGGTAGAAGGTAAGTAAACTGGCACAGTCCTCTGGCTTCACTTGCTTTTTTTGGGTTCTGTGTATTGAGAACTTGTGTGGATTTTGTTGTCTCTTGCCTCTTTACTTGGCTAACCAAAAGAAGTTGACAAAAAAGAGACTTTGAAGTGTGCCTTTCGATAAAGATACGTAACATAATTGTGTTCACTCCACTAAGATTTTTCCTCTGTTTTCTTTAGTATAAATTATACTCCTATAAAAGAGACTTTGAAGTGGAAGAGACTCGACTAAGTAAGTGACTTTGTGCTTGTGGTAAGAGAAAGGGACATTAAAGTCTAAAGAGGTGAAAAGAGTTTGATTTACACAGATTATATGGCTGAGAAAAAAGCTCAGGAGAATATACTGCTGGAGCGAGAAGCCAAGAGTTCTGATTCAGGAATATGAAGGTCACAAACAGAATATGTGAATCAACAACAATCATGTAGTACGGTGCAGGGCTACTTGGCATCCTCTAATGGACCATATATGTCACTGATCTGATGATTGACTGAGCTGGTTAATCTCTTCAGTAGGAGAAATTTGAGTCTAACTTTGATGCTGATGTCTTTAGTAACAATTTAACGCAATTAAAAAGATTGATGATGATGTTTTCTTGGCAAGACTGTATAGAGATGCGCACGGCAATTCACATACTATAAAGATCTGTGTATGCAGTGCAGACAGAAGAGACATGGCTCCATGTATCCCAATTTGCTTGATCAAATAAGAGAGAGCCTCTGCAAAAAATTTAAATCCTGTGTGATTCCCATTGACGTTGGTCATTATTTTTATGCTGATTACAATTTTCATTTTCCAGCATCATATGCTGTAACGTCAATAAATATGCTATACATCCTCACAAACCTGAATGTTTGTAACGTTTTTTATATATTCTTGTTTTTCTTTTCTTTTGACAACTATATTCTTGGGTTTGAGACGAGATTTAAGAAGAAATTACTCTGTTCTGGTAGAGTTTCAATGTTTTCGTTGAATTTAGTGGACAAATTGTGTAATATCCCACAATAGAAAGAGAAAGTGACAAATACTTATATGGAATATTATGTAATGTCCCATAATAGAAAGAGAAAGTGACAAGAAATACATAAAAACAAATGACTTGACACCACCAAAAACTACTCCTAGCTCTATCTCCCCTTTGGAGATGGCTACAAATGACTCCTACGCACTCACCGACACAACACAGTCACACACAAATCCACAACACGCGGAGGAAAAGGAGAGAACGCAAGAGCCGTTGTTTGAACTAGGATGAACTATACTTAGTATTGCCATCCTACGGCCAGCAGTCACTCTCTCTATCTCTCTCTTCAAAAAGAAAAAAGATCACACAAATATATAGTAGTAGGAATATTAGTCTTTCAGAGGACAGGGGAGAAGTTGAGGCGGGAAGAGTAAGTTGCTTTGGGAGCCCAGTTTCTTGGGACAACGTCGGTGGCCGAGAGTGTTCTACCGGCGGACAAAGTGGTGATCTTGACGGAGAATGGTCCTTTGAGGGGTCCTCCAATGATGCACCAGTTGGCTCCCCACACGTGCTTCATCTCTAACCATTCTCTTGCTCCTGCCTGCACCATTAAACATTCAACACAAGATTAAAAAAAAGATAAAGCCCATCTTTAAATCTCTGAAAAAAGGGCCAATTGTTACTTTAGTAGTGTGCCTTTCTAGTTGGTCAACAAGGAACCATGAGTGTGCTCACTCCACTAATAAGACTTTTGTACCTTTTTGTTTAGTGTATACTAATATAAAGAAAAAAGTACACTTTGAGATGGAAGTGACTCATTAAGTGACTTTGTGGTAAGAAAAAGGAACATTAAAGTAAAAAGAGGTGAAAGTGTTCGGTTGTAAAGGAAAAGAGAGTGTACTTGGCGAATATGCATGGAGCCAATGTCGCCTTCTCCGTCTTCGAACTCAACAAGTAGTGACAGCCAAAAATCAGTTGATCCTTCGTTCACATGGAACGCTATGTTCTTCCCTCTGTATTTGCATGCCGTCCTTTATTATGCAGAAAAAGCAAAAAAAAAAAAAAAAAGTGACCAGTGAGAAACAGAGAGAAGTGATGAAATGTTCAACGGTCAAATATGGGAGGGACCATAAAAACGAGATCGCCGTTAATGTTCCCTCTTTTGTTTAATCCATTCACACAGAAAATCTAATAATTTTCTAACCTTCTCAGTCTGTTACCATTTTTTACTACAAAACTATATAATTCCTATTTTTTAAATTGCTCGTGCACTGTCACGAGTTAGTTATAAACTAAAAGAAAGAGAATATAAACATTTAATAAAGGGAAGCAAAAAAATTACATTTAAGGTTGAAAATAATAAAAAATAGGTACCGGCGATAAATGACGGGAATGAGGCCACGGTTGCGGAGTGGGCCGGCCTCTCCGGAGATAGCCAAGCGGCCAAAGACGGCTCCACTGAGATCAAAGTGAGTGCTCGTTTTAGAGCAGCCGGGACACTCGTCGGTGATGATGACGGTGACGGCTCTCCGGGAACAGATGCTCCTGTCCAAACACCGAACCTTGTAACAAGCTCCACATCCTTCGCCGTTCTTGAAGAGAATTGGATTCACCGCACCAACCCTCGCATGGAGCGGCTTCACATCCACCAACGTACCGTACCCACACGCTCCTCCTACATTTCAACAAAATTCCACTAAACACTTTCCTTTTTTTATCACTAGTGTAAGGGGAGGTTGGTTTTTATAATGTAATTACCGTCGCTGCCGTCGCCGTTGGCGCTTCCGTACCAGGTGGCGACCGCGGGAAGCCAACGAGCGTTTGACACGTGGCGGTTGGTCGTCGCCAAAGCAGAGGAGGTTGCAAGAAGCTGCAGGACAATGCAGAGGGTGGCGAGGATGACCGGAGTGAGCTGCATTTCTGCCGGAGATTATCACCTGTCCTGTCTCGGTTCCTGACCAAAACCAGAGAAGTTAGTTTTTGCCGACAGTGAGAGAGAGTGTGAGAGTGTGTGAGTTATGAGCAAATTGATATTGATATGTCAGTGTTGTTTGTTATATAGAGAAAAAAGAAGCAAACTGCTTTTCTGTGGTTTCTCTTTTTGTTTAAAGTTATTACCGGTTTAGTCCCTTTGCCGTTGCTCTTATTTACGGGGATATGCCACTCGAAATGGGACCCACCGACAGTTAAGGCGTCGATTTCGCACGATCCAGAGTGTAATTGTCAGGGGACCTAAAGGGGTGGTTTTGTCAATTTACGAGATTCGACCGTTGAAATCTCTCGCCAGATTCTGTGGAGGAGATGAGGAATCCGTTAAAAGACACTGACTTGCCCTTGCCCAATCTCTCTCGACTCTTATCTTTTTATTTTTCTGTTTTTTTCATAGTGAAATGTTTTTTAGAATATATATAGAGTTCTCAATGTACCGTAATATGCTTCATATTTTATGATTTCTCTACATATATGGTGCTATTTTTTAGTTACTTAGTTGTTTGTCGTAAAAAGTAGGCAAAAAATTTTCATTACAGTTCATACAACTAGTCTACTACTGTTTATATGGAGCATAGTCTATGAATGATGAATGAATGTATTGTACTATTGTTATTGAGGAACTGATATCTTACGCAAACGAAAACTTGGTGGCCAATCTCGTGCGGACAACGCAGAAATCATTGCATTGTGAATATAAAAAAAAATAGTATTGGAAACGGTTTTCGCGCTAATTTGTATGCTGTAACTGTAACGAACAACTACCTTTTAGCTTACTAATGACATATTAGGTTGATTTTTTTGTTATCATTAACTCTGGTGGGACAATTGATAATAACTATGGAATGCTCTCACTCGGGACCCAAATCTTAAAAAGTGGATCCACGATTTGTTTTATTTTATAACAAACCACATGTGACATGACCAACTTTCTACTTTGTATTATACGACGACCCTACGTTTCTGTGACGTTACGTTCTTAAAGCTTTGAGCACCAAACGGAAAAAAATTGTATAAACGATATATTTCTAGCGTCAATTACGGTTGGTATTATTTGAAAGTATGATTATGTAGAGGGTCACGTTGGTATTTAAAGCGTTAGCGCCAAACAATATATATATAGACAGGACTGATTTGTGTATGTATGTATAATAATGTACTCCAATGGTGCTTGCAAATTTTTTCACTGCATCCGTTAACTTTTTCATCAAATACTTCAGTCATTGGATACTAGTACTACAGAACAATTATTTTCAAACGGCTCGTCAATTGTACCTTATTAATGTTCTCTGTTCATAGTTTCAAATTCTTGTTAATTAGGTGGGCGATATAATAGAACGTGTGAAAACAGTGGCGGGTAAAGTCAAAAATGTCCAGCACTCCCGTTCACATGAAAATAAATGCATAATTAATTAGTTGAGCTCAAACTTAAAACATTCGAATCCTACACAGTTCATGTTAAAATCAGGTAATTATTCGTCCCACCAACTAAGCTCTCTCTCTCCCTTTCTTACCATTCACACATCTCACTATCTTATGCAAGTTTCCATTTTACACAATTTATAGACTTGGGAAATCATAATTATAAACTCCCTAAACTAAATGTAGTAGAACTTAGTTTCAAACCAGTGGCTGAAGAGTTGATTACAACTCCCATGTGCAGCTACAAATCAACAAGTAGTTGTGTTCCTATTCGATCCTAGTTTCAAAAAGTCTCTCACTTTTTGTTTCCCGTCTCTTATTTCTAAAGCTTACTACATGTGAAAACGGTACTTTGTCTGATGCTATACTTATTGATTAACAAAAAGAGACCGTTCATTGTGCAATGAAAGCGGAAATGGAACAATTTAAATCTGTCATAAGAATTTAAACAAAAAATTTGTAATAAACCAAAAAGAGGCTTATACCTAACAACTTGCTAATCAGGTCAACATCAAGTGACGACTGACGAGTATGATCTCTCTCTGAATGTAAAATTATTTCCGATCGATCGATCTATATTAAGAAATCACAAGTAATTTTGATCTAGGCACAAACGTAAAGAAGAAAGACTATTTTTCAAGTTGCCGGCAAAAATAGGTACGTCTTAGCAGGATTAATCCTGTCTTTTCATTATGAGTGTTTCATTAGATTACAAAGAGAGAGTTTGATTGTCGCAGATCTGATTTATATACAGAATCAGAAATAAGGTTGGACACGATGCAATGCTTCTTCTCTCGTTTTGTTCTTGTTACAAGCCGTTAAAATAACTTCCCATCTGGGCTCTTCTCTGTTTGGGCTTATCAACTACTTTCAGCCCAAGTCAAATCCTCGTCCCAGCCCCACTCTGTTGGAATTGAACCAGATGCAACAAACTGATCCGCTTGTAATTAGCTTTGCCTATTAGTCTATTACTAATCGCCAAATTTGAATTTGAATGCAGACTAATTTTCAAATATGATCATGACATATATGTATCTATATGATTGATGACTTAATGTATATAAACCAGTACAAAGATAAGTAGATAATAGATCTCCATTTGAAAAAGATAGAAAGTGATAAACTCCTCCCTTTGGACACCTTTACAATATTAATCTACTAGAATTTTGCTTCATAATTGATTAATGTATAGGTACCATGTATTTATAAGTCTAAAGTCTAAACTGAAGTGCAACCTTGAAAGCGTCAAGTCAACAAGAAAACAAGGTTGCGTGTGTTACTCATATAAGATTAGCGGGTTACATTTTGAAGATTGTTAAAGTTAAGGAGTCGAATTGAAAAAATTGAGGAATTAGTTTCTCATTTATTGTTTATTTAATAAAGCTAAAATATGTTGAAGTTTATCCCTCTCGCCACGAGGCATCTCCATGTAAAAAATTCGATATCTCTCCACACCTATAATAAAGCTCAAGAGTAGATCTTGACCGTTCATTACTTTATCATCTATAATCCAACGGTTAAACGTCGATGCACACCTCCTTTCCGTGAATGCTAAATATATAATCCAAGAATTAAATTAAATTTTCACGAGTAGAGGACAAGCTTTCTTCAATTTCGGTGGTTATACTCATCTTCTTTTTCTCTTTCTCCACCGCTCTGAAACTTTTCTCGTCGTCTTCTTCTCAATTTCCTGTCAATTCGGATTCCTCAGAGAGATTTCTGTTCGCGAGTTTCGCGTGAAAGACATGAAAATGTTGGCCATGGACTCGCGCTCTTCTCTCCATCTTCATCGCTCCGTGGCTCGCGTTGACCATTTTGCCGGTGTACGAATGAAACAACGATTCCCGTCTAGTCCTGCTCCGATTACGCCTCGAATATGTGGAAATATAATCTGCTGATTCGTCTCTTCTCTGCTTGGTATACCTCTGCGAATTTGTTTTTACTTTGCATCTGAATTTCGAGATCCAATCGAAGCCGTGATACTCGTAAGCGTCCTGTGTAGTGTTTTTCTAGGTCAGTGCTCTCTCTGGTGAAGAAATTACCTGGAATTTGTTGCGTTTTGGTGTTAACCGCTTCGGATTTCGTGAATTCTCTAGTTACAGTGGAATTGTGAATTATTAGGGTTTGTTGCTGGTTTGAGAAATTGTGGATTTTAGGGGATTTTTTAGTAGTGAAGTTATTTGCGTTTTGCTGGATCTCTGAATGGCTGAGAGGAAGGAATTAGCGTTACCAAAGACTTCAATTAGTTTGAAGGAGCAATTAGCGAGAACTACTCTAAGGAATTTGAAGTTACAAGGGCACACGTACGTTGAGCTACGTGAAGATGGGAAACGGTTCGTATTCTTCTGCACTCTGTGTCTAGCTCCTTGCTACAGCGACACGATTTTGCTTGGGCACTTGAACGGGAGCCTTCACAAGGAGAGATTGTCATGTGCTAGGATCACACTCCTTGGACCGAATCCTTGGCCTTTCAGTGACGGTGTCCTTTTCTTCGATAGCTCAACCGGAGAAGAAGAGAAAACTCTAATCTCTGACTGTGAAGTTGTTCACAGTCCGTTGCAGCATTGCAGCGACGATGATAGATTGGCTATTGTCAAGTATGATGGAAACGGGACGAGTGAATTACATGGAGATAACCAATCTGCTGTGGATACGGGTGATGTACCTAGTCACTGTGGAGATAATCTGTTAATCTCGAATGTTCTGATCAAGGAGAGAACTCTTGATGTGGAAGCAAAGTTCATTGGGTTTGGCCGTATAGCTGCTAGGTTGTTTGAAGTGAAACGACGCTCTACTTGGATTGATAAACTATGGTGCGAGTGGTTAGGAGAGGAGGGTCCTTCAGATGAGGAGAAGGCTACAGTCCCAGAGCATGACTTTGCTATTGTCACATTCTCCTACTTCTACAATTTGGGTAGGCTGGGTTTGCTCGACGATGCGAGCCGTCTTCTCACATCTGGTCAGTCAGCAGAATCAGGGAACGGCGAGGACAGTGGCAGGAAGAGAAAGAAGTCATTTTCGGATCCAGAGGACACTAGCGACTCTCTGTGTAATCAGTATGACTCTTCCGAGGAGGTTTCTTCAGCTCGTAATTCGAGCTCTTCGAGAGCTCTAATGACTGATGATGATCTTGTGGTGAACAAAAGAGTCATCAAGAACAAAACGTTAAGACGGGAGCTTCGTAAGCAGCAGAGGATATTCTCTGAAAGGATATGCGAAGTGTGTAAGCAAAAGATGCTTCCAGGGAAAGATGCCGCAACGATACTAAACATGAAGACTGGGAAACTTGTTTGCGGCAGCAGAAACCTCCTTGGGGCGTTTCACCTATTTCACGTGTCTTGCGTCGTGCACTGGTTTCTCTTCTGCGAGACTGAGATACTTGGGAGCAAGATTAAGTATGGAAAAGGGAAAAGGAGATGCACGAAGCAGAGTGGTGTGAAGTCGAATGAGTTAAACAATGTGAGCTGGGAGATATTTTCGGTCTTCTGTCCAGAATGTCAAGGCACAGGCATAGATATTGAAGGAGGTGTGATTGAGAGAGACACGTTTCCGCTTTCTCAGGTATGTATGTGATTTAGTGATTCACTCACTCACTCAATCAAACAGCGTTTGAATCTAACATTACTTATGTGCGATATGTGGTGTAGACTTGGAGGTTCCAGGTGAAAGTAAGTGAAGGTCGAAAAGCATGGGTGAAGAATCCGGAAAGGTTGGAGAATTGCTCAACAGGTTTTCATTTCCCGCAGCAGGAAGAAGAGGCGGTTAAGGGTCAGGTAAATATTGTTACACTGCATATCTAATTTTGTATGTCTTGTAATAACTTTGGTGGTAATTGGGAAAGGTAAAATTTTGGAATGCAGGAGGAAAGAGTGCAGAACATGAAACTGGTTCGTTTCTACCGAGTGGAGATGTAATGTAGGAGGAGAAACAAACAAAGCAGATACACTCATTGTATGTGATTTGTGAGTAAATAAGGGCTTCGTCTAGCATTTTACTGTTCTCTGTAAATCCGTTAATTACCTTTGCTGTGTTTACTGTCTGATTGATTACTTCTGAGGCCCAATTTATTATTACTCTTTTGTCTTCCCTTTCTTGTCTTGAGATTTATGATTGGACACCGTACCGACAATGGAAATCTGAAAATCGTACTTTTAAAACATATTATCAATATAGGTTTAAAGTTGAGAAAATGGATCTCATAAATGAGGGGGTTGTCTCCTGACTCTCATCCGGACCCATCACTCACCTTCAGACTTCTCTATGCTTTTAATGAAACAGCTCACTTCAATTTATTCACTGGAACCATCTTGTTTACAAAATACAGAAAGACCCCGTACCAAAAACAATAAATTTATGGTTTTAATGTTTACACATCTTATATGTAACACTGTCTTATTCGCTAGTATTATCAATCAAACGTAGGTCCCCTGTTTTATGAATAAAAGTTGTTTTTTCTTCTACACGATTGTAATCCGACATAAGCAAACACCATTTGCGTCGCATTCTAGTGCCACTATCACCCTTTTGCCTTTTGGTGTACAAAACGATTGAGTTGAAGATAAGCCTTCCTTTTACCCATCTCCTCACATTATCACATATTATTATTAGATCAAGTATATACAAAAGCCAGTTGGTGCCGTTTCTTGTTTTTTTTGACTTTTTATTGATATTCTGTTCTCATTATACAATTTCAGGATTAAACACTCTTCATACACATATACACTGTTCCTTAAAATCCACATACGCACTCATTCCAATACATGTATATTTATACGCCAAGAGGACATTATAGTTAGAAAAGAAGTAGACACATAGCCATGAAGCAAAGCAAGAACAAGTAGACTCTGCTTAGTGACTCCTCCGCCCGCATTTCCTGCCTTCTTATCCGGAGACTCGGGTCACGCTCGTTCCGGTACGGTGGTGCAACGTTGCTGGACGATTCTCCAAACAGTCTCCGGTATACCATTTCGCATACCACACCCATAACCGGATCAGGCATCCTATACATGTACCGTTGTTGACTCTCTCCTTCTCCTGAACGTTGACCGACTCTTCTCAAGTCATAAACCGGACCGGGTGGTCTGTTGGGTACGAATGAACCGGACTGGGGAGTTTTCTGTCCTCGGCCGTAGATCGGGACAAGCGTAGCGTCAGAGACGTCGGATTTGCAGACCGGACATTTTGGGGATTCTTTCTTATCGTATTGGTCGACGGGTCGTCTTGAATTGTTGGTGGAATAAGTCCACTTGTAAATGCAGGGCCAACAGAACAAGTGGCCACATAAAGTCACGACCGGGTCTCGAACCTGATCCAAACATATGTTGCAGTCGAAGTCTCCTCCATAGTCACCACCCATTGTTGGAGGATTGTCTTCGTCGTTCTCTATTTCCATTTTACTGAAACATACAAGACACAACCCATTCACTTGACTAGTCTTTGGTTATTAAATGAGCTTGCCTAATTAGTAAATTCAAAGTCTTCATTCCTTAAACCAAAACAAAGTCTAATTCAAATGAGAAATTAGGAAACAAGAAATATCATATAACAATACATATATGAAGGTAAATACAGATCTTACAAACTTAATTACAATCGTATAAAAAGACACGATTAAGAGGATTTATACATGGGGGCCCTGAAATACGATTTTCTAGGGAATAGAAAGAAGATAAGAAATATAAAAAAAGTAGGGATCTTTTAACAAGTTGGAGTTACGAAGACTTGACCTAATCACTTTCGGTTTCGACACTTTGCTCTGTTTTCACTTGATCTCAAAGCACGTTAATATCTCATAAACTATACCATTAACGAAGAAAAAGCTAAACATAATTAAAGAACGGAGTGGTGACAAATAGAAAGCTAATCAAATCGCATCACAAGAAGTTGATACTGTGTAGATCTATTGACTCGATGCCTTAATATACACACATACAAAGGCAACAACATATATGATAGATTTACAAAACAGTGATGATTCCAGGAAAGAAAAAGAGACGTACTCTTTGGAGATATTGTAACCTGTAAGTACGGATAGATCTCTTTCGTCTTTACTGCTTATTAAAGCCTTTGGAGCATTCTCAGAGCATGAGAATGGTGGAAGAAGATAGAGGAAGATTATTATTTTTGGGGTTTTGGAGAAAGCAGAATGGGCAAGAAGAATAATAGATCGAGGGAGGTGCAGAAGCACGAGACCCTATTATACACACACACACAAAAATAATATTTTTATTTCTTAAGGTGCAAAATTAAAATCAGGAGAAGTTATGATTTTAAAGAAGAAACGTCTCTGCCTGGTTAAAACAAAGTTGATAAAGTAACGAAACTCTATCCTTTTTTTTTGAGTTTTCTCCTTTTATAGAAAAAAAAATTTGTAACCTTTTTTTCATGAAAAGGTCAGCAACGGATCAGCATCGTTTTAAAAAAGCAAGCAAGATAATATAAAACATTTATATTTACACCTAATTAATAACACTCATACAATAATTATCCAGTTGATAAAAGGCCTTGATAAAACAATGTTTACAACAACAAAAAAAAAATCAGAAATTGGAAATGCCCATGACTTTAATAGTAAGACTTTATACCCCTGTAACATATTCATTTTTTTGGATTCAAATCCCTCTAACATATTCATAAGATAAGAATTTGGCTCTGACAAAAAAAGATAAGAAAATTGGCAGCTTCTGTTTCTGGCAACACCATAGATACTCCCCAAAGTTTGATGACATGTCACTCCATGGCTGCACCGTTACGCCATTATTCCTCTTTAAACAAATCCCTAGTAGTAGTTGCTTTATCATTTTCAATTTAAAAAGTTTGAAAAATCCTGCTTATGAATTGTTGTGCCTTTTTCGGAATTTGTAGTTATTATGTGTTGAGTGAATAACAATGGCACAATTTGGTAAGTTATTTGATCAAAGTTGAAATCGGAGAATACTAAACTTTCATTTAAAGCCTTAATTTAAGGGCCTTATCAACCAATGGTCATATAGTTTAAAAACCACAACGATAATTAGGTTGCACGTCACGGAAGCAAAAGAGCCATTGGTGTTCACCAGACCTTATTTAATTGAATTTATTAATTGGAGTAGGCAACCCGAAATTCACTCCTTGAAATGATAAAACACTACCTTAAATTCAGATTTGTTGTGTAGTCACTCGTCACCTTTATGTCCGAATCTGATTACGAACAACAAGGTTTTACACGATTCATGTTGTCTCCGAATCTACGATCAACCAACTTTATCAACTTGGTATTTGTCACCCTAATGCACGAAGGATTAGTCAAAATTACATTTACAATAGCTACACGTTGACTTTGACTATAGCGATTACTTCCAAACATAACTTAATTACATTGCATGTATTTTATTTTATTTTATTTTATCTATATTTGCATTATTGTTAGCCTACTATTATATATCACCAGAATCTTCTTTCTAATATTATCCTAACATAGTAGCAAGGGGAACTGTAGAATATTCACGCAAATAAAACAATATTATCATATATATATATATATGTGTGTGTTCAACGCGTATTATCAATTTAACTGTCAAATCAAATATACGCAGTCCAGAAAAAAGACCAAAAAGTATCTATGTGTAATAAATAATAATTATAGAGAACATCACACAGTTGCCATGGTTATGAGTTATGAGTCTTATGAGTTATGACTATGACGACTCATAATTCATAAATGATGAAAATAATAGCGGATGAAATGGATAGCGTCGAGAAACTACGTTTAGATGCACACAGCCACACACACACACACCACACCACACGCTTCCTTTAAATTTTCATCCGATATATCAAAGTGAATCAGGTTTTGTGGCTCATTTCTTAACATCAAACACAATATTATAGAGGTGGAAGATTCATCCTAAACAATAAATGTTTTCTTATTCGTATTTGCCTATAACTCATATACGACAATACTACTTCTAGATACGACAAGTCGTTTGACTACAAACCTCGATCATATATTATCATTTTAAAAGGGCTTTCTGATACCCATAGATCAACAACATCAATATTATCCATGGACCTGTGAAGACTATATAATGTGGTCTCGGAGTGTGCAAACGAGTGACTAAAAGACGTGTACATATTTTAAACTTAACCCGAGCCAACTACTGTCTGATCCATGCCATATAACATATTCTTATAGATTTCATTTCACAAACTTCTGTAATAGAAAATGTACCTCTATTTCATTTTAGGTTCTCTTCGAATATCAGAAGCTAGATCTCGAAATCTGAAAAGCAAAACCAAAATCTTTGAGTGTGAAAAATTTCAACGTGATTTTACGTGATAACCAAATACCTTTTGGGTTTAGCCGTTTAGGGCCTTTAGCGTTAGGCATCCGATCCAACGTTTATCCCCTACACGCTTCATCATAAATTTTAATTTTTAAACAATAAATAACAGAATGGGGGGATACAGTTGTAAGTTTGTAACCTCTATATATAATTTTTTTTTTAAATGTACATATATATGTGATAATGTTTCCAAATTCTCATATGAAATTATTGGAGCAAGTTGCATTAACGATTCGGAGAAGTGAGCCAAGAAATGGGCGTTTCCCAATTGATACGAACCAGTGGTAGATTAATATATTCATTTTCTCTATAAGATATTGGTTAAGTTGAGGGTTTCTCCTCTATAGATTAAAATAGTAAATAGTAGTTGTTTTTTGTTTTAACATGTCACTGATATTGTTTCTTCTGCTTAATTATCCGGTGTAATCGCAGCATTTCCCTCTCCTCCTATAACTCCAAAACACGAGAAAAGAAAAAACTAAAATGAAAAATCAAATGTGACAAAAGAGAAATAAAAAAAGAAGAAGAAGGAGGAAACATAAGCATGGAGATTTCTCCTCGTTGTTTGGTTTCTCTTCTTCCAATCCTCCTTTTGTTTGGATTCGCCTCATCTCTCCATATCTCTCGTAAGTACAATTATTCAAATTTTACTCTTGTTTATAAATTTTTTTTTCGTCTTTTACTTTTTGGTTTACGAAAGTATTTGGGATTTCTATGTGCAGTTGATGAATTTGAGTCACATCCAGCCACAAGCCGAGCGCTTCTTCAGGCAAAAACAAGTAAGAAATATAAATGTCCCAAATTTAAACCATTGATCGTAATAAGAGCTCATGCTCCGAATTCTAATAACCAAGAGATTCATTGATTGTAATGTAACATTTTAACAGCGTGCAAAGAAGATTTTGCGAGCAAGAACTACACAATCATAACGAGTAAATGCAAAGGACCAAATTATCCGGCCAAGATATGTTGCTCGGCTTTCAAGGACTTTGCATGCCCATTCGCGGAAATTCTTAACGACGAAAAGTCAGAATGTGCCTCCACAATGTTCAGCTACATCAACATCTACGGTCGTTATCCTCCCGGAATATTCGCAAACATGTGCAAAGAAGGCAAAGAGGGGCTCGACTGCACCAACGTTACCGCTGCTGCAACTTCTCATGCGCATGCATCGATCCCTCTCGTCCCCACATACGCATTGGTGATAGTCACCGTTTTCTTCTTTTCCCTCTTCTAAAAGACATAAATATGTTACAACATATGAGTTATATATACACATTCCGTTTTGTTAGTTGGTGTGCAAGCCATTAGTTTTTAGATTCTCAGTGAACATTTCGTTTTTTTCTTCTTCTAATTGTCAATAATATGCAATATGCGGAATTGAATCCAACTAGTGACACAACACGACATTAGTACAAAACACAAACCACTACAAATCCGGGTCATGAATTTTTTTTTACACACCACCACAATGTTGAGTGGTTTCAAGAACATTTTGGTAATTAATGGGCTAAGTTGATCCCCCGAGGCCTTATAGGGTCAGTCGAAAATTTATGAGCATACCGTAGATTCATTGCATGCAAAACATGCCTGTTGGTGGATATAATAAAGTTTTCCAAGTGTTACATTTTAATCAACAATGACTAATATGAGAGAGAGAAAAACGAAACTTAAAAATCAGTAAAAATGTTCGTTGTTGATCGATCAATTTGGCTAAACAATAGGAAACCTCCCAATACCAATTGGTTATTGGTGGTTATCGGTGAGCAGTAACAAGCGTCTCGATGAATCGCAACCCATCAAACCTTGGAGCAAACTTTTCATCTCCTCCATCCTCCGAACCCTTCTTCTTCCTCTGTTTTTCCTTTGCATCCTAATCAAAAGTATTCACACAAAAATGATACTAAATATGGCAGTTTATGAGACATCCGAATCCATAAAAAAAAAATTATTTTTTTCCTTTTCTCATATCCAATCTGCTCACTTGATAAATTTGACTTTTTTTGTTTATGACAGTTTACAATAGCTTTAAACAGAGCATAAACAGAGGAACCTAATGCTATTGAGAAAAAACCAGAAATGAAAGCTTGCTTTTGTATTTACCTGACGAGAAAGATTGGATTGCGGCGAAGAGAATGATACGGAGGTTTCGGTGGAGATGGCGGTCACAGAAGCGGCGGCAGATATGGAGGCTGCGAGGATTCCAGATTTCTTCATGTCTCTCAATCTTCTTCAAATTTCCCAAAATTCTTGGACTCTTTTATTCTCCTTTGTTAAATAATAAAACTCTGCAACCGTAGACAGATGATAGAAAATGTGGGAAAATTGAGGGAGTTAATTTCGATAACCGACGGCTTATATACGCAACGGGAAATAAAGTGCAATTATGCTAGTTGACCATTTTGTGCATCTATTTAAATTAAATATTCCCGTTTTGCCCTTTCTCTAAATTTGAGATTACAAGATTTATCTTCTAGAAGATTTATAATTGGAGCAAGAATGGGGGAAGAAGGGTAATATGGTCAAAGAATTATAAAGGGAAATTAGACTTTGGACCTTAAAGTTAGAACCACACAAAGAGTTACATGATTGGTTTTGATGTTTTAAATGAAAATGGGTCCATCATTGGTTGTTAAGCCACCCACGTGTCCGGACAGTTTGAGTTAGTGTTTTCAGAACGTAAAGTCAGCTTCTACGTTGGACAATTACACCCCTCTCATTTTCCGTTATTACTGTTGGATTTTATGCTCATAAGATAAGGTTTTTCTCATAAAAAAAAAGAAACAAGATCATAAGATAAGCTTGTAAACACCATAAAGAATGGCAATGAACAAGTGGATCTGATTATTTTCTGTGTTGAGAAAATCTCAAATGTAAACTGATGTAGCCTGTTTGTTTGTGACCTTAACAAATCCAACTCCATATGGTTTTCTGGTGAGATTTCTCTACGTCGAATTTAATGTTCAACAAATTTATTCTTTGATAAAGACAATACAATCTCGTAAAATATTCACCCCTCAATAATTTACTCAAAATTAGTTCTTGGAAACACGATATATTAATAAACACGGTAAAAGAACATAATCGTACAACTAAAGCATCTTGTGGTGACGTATAAGATCCGACTTAATTACTGATTTTATTATTGAGTTTATGATTAGAGATGTATGGATACAAATGAAAGCATGAGCTTTGCGGCTATCTTCTTTATGGGTTCCTTAATAATTAAATTTGCTTTTGAAGGGCTTTATCGATTGCGCAATATCATAATCGTGTCCACAATTTTTTCACCGGCCAAAACATATTCGGTCACCCATATCCGTATCTCAACGTGAATCACTGATCATGTCGAAAACAAAGAAGCCAACGACTTATTTTACTTTTGAACGTACAGAAGTTTTACCACCAAAGTGATTATGGATCATATATACTCAAATAGTACAAAGCGAATTCGGTATGTTAAAAACAAATCTTACAAAGGGTCAAGAGAAGAAGATGAAGCAATATAATGGGTCTATGTTGGAGTCATTGTAAGTAACCCAACACAACAAGGCCATCTTGAGAACCGGTTTCATTACAACACCCCCAACAAGTTTCAGATTCTTGAATCGTAGCAAAAGAAGAGGAAACCATATGGGAATAGTTGCATGTCTTCACTTCATTAGTGTTATTGTAGAAGATAAAAGTTCCTTACATACAGACCGGGTAATTAAGACTAGTGTGGAACTAGGAGATGGTGTGTTCCATCAACAAGTTTCAAATAAGCATCACTTTTAATGTAACTCACCAAAACCTCACATGATCCAATCTGTAACTACCACAACCGGTTCATATACATTGTGCAACTATAAAATGTTCGGAGAAATTTAGCTGACCATAGTCACTAATTACTCCCTAGAAGAACAGCTTCATTCAATTTGTTATCCGATCTCTAGCATCTTGAGAAACACCCTAAAGAAGAACATTATCAATGTTGAGAAGCTGATTTCTTCATAGACAATAGGGATATAAGGAGCACCAAAACTAAGACTAATGACTAAGAGATCAAAAAAGACACACAAGATCAAAACCATATCTTAATAGTCTTTATCCTATACAACAAACTAATTACCACTCCGGCAGTCCCATCAAGATTTTCAGGCCGAAACCGATGTGATCTTGTTAGAGAACCGAGTCCATGATTTAATCTTGTAATAATATCACAATGTTACATCAAAAAGTGTATGTAAGAGTCAATGACTTTAGTTTGGTAGTAATTCGATTATGAAAAGTCACATACCATTTACGAACGGTTCCGTTTGATCATGTAAGATCACTATTTAAGAGAGAAATAAACTTCGATGGTTTAGGGACAGAAACAAATATGAGATTCGCTCCAAGCTCAAATACACTTAACGACACGCAATATTATCGGCTCTACGTCTAGAGGACAAGTTATGATGATCAGATTAAGACATGACCTAGCTGTCCTTTCTCCTCCTAACTGCCTAAGCAAGATAACCACAGCGCCATTATTTTGAAGATGTCTTTAGAAAATTCAAAGGCTGTAACAAACGTGGAAAAATCAAAATAATCAATACTTTAGGGACAAACGTGCAAATATGAATATTTAAAGAAGAGGAAGGTCGGTTTGGCTATTTCCTCTCTTCATCCTTATCTCAAGTCTGAACTAGAAAACCTCCATTTTTCTCCACTTGACATTTTAGAATTAAGGGAAAAAAAATAAAAAAATAGATAGAGAAAACGTTTTTCATCTGCTTCTTCTGCTTGCGTTTTCTCAAAGGCTTGATTGAAGAGAACGAGAACCAGCTTTGCTTTTCTCCCAAGACTAATCTTAAGCGATTTCCTTTTTGTTTCCTTCTTTTGATTGTTTCGAAAATCGATCTCAGTCTTCGCCGGATCAATGGCGTCTGGATCGTCGGGTCGGGTCAACTCGGGATCCAAGGGGTTCGATTTTGGGTCCGATGATATCCTCTGCTCTTACGACGACTACACCAACCAGGACTCTGCTAATGGTCCCAACTCCGATCCTGCCATCGCTGCTACCAACTCCAACAAGGTAATCATTGATTTCTCGCCTTCCGGATTCGGCTATTTGTGTTGATTGTTGATTTTAGGGTTTCGATTTGGGAAAATTCACGTGTTTACGATTCATCTGCTGGAGTGTTGTGGTTTAGGCGTTCACAAAAAATCTTCCAATTCGCGTGATCGTTTCAGTGATGTAGCTAAAACAGTTTCTAGGAGTCAATAGTCGAACTTTTCGTCTTAGTTGTTTAGCTTCTGCTTCCATAAACAGCTCAATGTTCTTTTTGATTGACTGTTTCTGAATCTGAAGTGTGATGATACGGCTTGGCGATTAATCCAGTGCTCTTGATATCATGTTCAGCTTATAAATTGGAAGAATGTTTCACCCACTTGATCATGGTATTGAGCTAGTTCTTGTGTAATTGTTTCATTTCTCCTGCAGGAATTCCACAAAACCAGGATGGCAAGGTCTTCGGTGTTCCCTACAAGCTCTTACAGTCCACCAGAGGACTCCTTGAGCCAAGACCTTACTGCCACAGTCGAAAGAACCATGAAGAAGTATGCGGATAACATGATGCGCTTTCTCGAAGGCATCAGCTCACGCTTGTCTCAGCTAGAACTCTACTGTTACAACCTTGATAAGACGATTGGAGAGATGAGAACGGATTTGACTCGTGAACACGAGGAGGCTGATGTGAAGCTTAGATCTATGGACAAACATCTTCAAGAGGTATGTTAATATGTTATGCAATGTTTAAGTCCTTTTTTTGGTAATTCTGGTTTGTAAAAACTCTGATTAGCAAATGGTATGTTGTGATGTAGGTGCATAGGTCAGTGCAGATTCTCAGAGACAAACAAGAGCTAGCAGATACTCAGAAAGAGCTAGCGAGGCTTCAACTTGTGCAGAAAGATTCATCTTCCTCGTCTCACTCTCAACACGGCGAGGAACGGGCCCCAACTCCCGTTCCGGAGCCTAAGAAGAGCGAGAACACCTCAGAACCACACAACCAGCAGCTTGCACTTGCTTTGCCTCACCAAATAGCCCCACAGCCACCAGCGCAGCAGCCACAACAGTATTACATGCCTCCTCCTCCTCCTCCACAGCTTCAAAACACACCTGCACCAGCGCCTGTTCCTGCTCCACCATCACAACCTCAAGCACCACCACCGCAGGGTCAGTTCATGCCCCAACCTCCTGCTCCATCTCACCCCAGCTCAGCCCAAACTCAGTCATTCTCCCAGTACCAGCCACAGCAGAACTGGCCTCCCCAGCCACAGGCCAGACCGCAGTCCAGTGGAGCCTACTCAACATACTCGCCTGCACCACCACCAAGCAACCAACCCCCAGCAGAACCGTTGGCAAGCAGCATGCAGATGCAATCACCATACTCTGGACCTCCACCACAGTCTATGCAAGCTTACGGATACGGTGCACCGCCACAAGCTCCTCCTCAGCAGGCAAAGATGTCTTATAACCCTCAAACAGGCGATGGTTATATACCCTCAGGACCTCCTCCTACCGGCTATGCCAACGCCATGTATGAAACCGGGCGGATGCAATACCCACCTCCTCCGCCTCAGCCGCAGCAGCAGCAGGGCCATTACTTACAAGGTCCACAAGGTGGTGGGTACGCTCCCCAGCAGCAGCACCAGGCAGGTGGCGGAAACACAGGGGCACCACCTGTCTTGAGATCATCAAAGTACGGTGAGCTGATAGAGAAGCTAGTGAGCATGGGTTTCAGAGGAGACCATGTCATGGCCGTGATTCAGCGGATGGAGGAGAGTGGCCAGCCCATCGACTTTAACGGACTCCTTGACAGATTGAGTGTGCAGTCCTCAGGAGGACCTCCCAGAGGATGGTGAAGCCATGAATGACGACGTCTCCTGTACTTTGTATCTTTCACAATAAAATACTGCTCCCTTGCTTCTCTATAGGCCCTAGTTTTATTGGGCCCAATAGATTGTGTCCCGTTGTGTATTCTTGTGGGGACTCAATCTATGTTTCCTTAAAGCCTATTTATTTGTGTTTTTAAACTTTCACTGTTCTTCGGTTCTCTTATCTTAAATTTTACTGTTCTTTTGCTCAATCAGTGTGTATCGTGGAGTTTCTTTACTTGTTTTGTATACGATCGCCTGGCTGTTTTATTTCAAATACTGGTTATAATAACGTACTGAATCGCAAGCTTCTACATTTGCATAGAAAATTACAACGAAATTCTTCTAAGTTTTGTATAACAAAAGTCAAGCATATCAAATAAAAGTAGGAAATAAATCCGTACTTGAATAGAAAAAACGTCTTAAAAAGTTAAAATATAAGCCCGCGTTAGAATAAGGCCACGCGTGTATGGTTCCCGCACAAAAAAACGAATAAATTGAAAAAATCGCGGGGAAGCAAAATTGAAGAGGCGCCAAAGACTTTATTTCAAGCAGCGCGGCAGAGTCTCGCGCCATTAAATCGCACCCGCCAAATCTCCTCCATATAAACCCTACTCTCCGATATCCATTTCTCACCCTCAATCTCTCTTTCACATTCTCAATATCTCTAACTCTCTCTCTGAAATCACACAATGATGGCGCCGGTGAAGAAACATTTAGCCATTAGGCCAGTGGAATTCTACGGAAACGGGCTTCCCCGACCTTACGTCTTTGATAGTCCTCAGTTCAATTCCCACCGCGTAGATCCGCCTCTCTCTGCGCTAGATCCGCTTCTCTCATGGGCAAGAGACGCTCACTGGACCATGGGTGGTCTCAACTTCACGCGTCTCCGTCTCCAGGGCCGAATCGAAGGAAATTGCAACAAACTCCGAGCCCAGCTCGAGAAATCTACTCCTGTCAAACTCGAATCTGGACATTCCGAGAAGAAGAAGAAGAGATCCGGTTACGATTCTCCCCCGGCGGCTCCGATTGCGGTGAAAAGAAGGAGGTTCATAGATCTGAACGATGAGGACGATGAGGAGGAGATCGGATCTGAGGATGAAGGTGTGGCGAGAATCAGGAGAAAACTCTCAGATGACTTTGATCGAGTCGCTGTTGAGAGCAAGAGCATCCCGGTTAAAGTCAATAAGAAACCGATTGAACCGGTGTCAATTGGGAAGAGATTGGAATCGGTGGCGAAACGTTTGAAGGAGAAGAAGAAGACCCAAAAGGTCGAAGAGACGACGAGTTTGACGAGGACATCTCCACGATTGGCGAATCGTAGATCGAGTTAGTTTTCATTTTAGACCTAATGGTACAGTTCATGAAATGCAATTTAGTTTTTGGATCTCTCTTTAACAAATCTCTGCTTATAAATTAAATGAATTTCTCTGGTTTTTTCTATGAAATTTATCATGATATCTTTGCGAGCTTCAACGAAGTAACCTGAATACATCAATTTTATTGTATATAGAAGTTACAAAAATGAGAATCATATTTCACACTGTATTGGAAAAAAACAGTGTAAATGTGATTCTCTCAATCTCTATGTGAACAAATTTTTTTCAAATGATGTTCATTACGACGTCCTGTGACACGACCTAATCTGCAAGATTGTTCGATCATCAATCTATACATTGTATCGTCTTTGTGAGGAACAATCCCAAACTCGTCGTGAAAGCCTTCCATGCCTTCCATGAACAGCTGCCACACCAATGTCCCTGCTCCTGGCTTCTTCCGTTTGGCCGATTTGTAAACCACGTCGAAGATGGTTCTGTAGAACCGTTCTCGCTGCGGCAGCTCGAAGTCCTTGTTCAGGTTCGAGAGCCCGAACTCTGTGAACAGAACCGGTTTGTTGAGTTCCTTCATCCCATCTTCGATGTGTGATTGCATCCATTTCACCACAAATTTCAGCTTCTCCTCAAAGCTCTGATTTTTAAACCTGGCAAGTAAGTGTCTCTACCCAAATTAGCCAAACAAGAGCTCATGGCAATCAAATTTTGATTCTTTTTTACTTACCAGTGATCAGGGTAGATATGAACGGATGCAAAATCGATGTGTGATGAATTAGAGTTTCGAACGAAGTCTGTTCCAAGCTCAGATGGCCACTGTTCTGGATTAACCGTCAGTCGTTTCGGGCTCTTGGGACCATAGAAGCCTTCCAGGCCAACTGTGAGGAGATGCTTGTCGTCAATCGATTTGACAAATCCGGTCATTTCCTCTATCCACTCCTATGAACACACTGAATAAGAAACAATCTGAATGACTCAAAGTGATAACTTAAATAGAGAGGACTTACTTGGAGAATGTCGCCAGAGACATCAGAAGTGCATCGAGGCTCGTTTATCAACTCCCAAGCGAAGATCGTCGGGTCGTTTCTGTACTCTATTCCGGTCACCGAGTTCTTGCGAGTAAGCAGAGCCTGCAGATCAAGAAAATACAATCAATCCAAGATCTTCTACTATGTTCAATGATCTTGGCAAGTGACAAAAACCATTACCGTGAGATAGTTCTTGAAGTATTTTCGAATAGACGGATCAAAGAAGAATGAATCGTTAGAGGAGCTGAGTCCAACACCTTCTTGCCAAGCCCATTTCACATACTGCTCCTTCCCTCCATACGCTTGCAAGTTGTTCACTAAGCTAAGCAGCAACCTAACTTCATGCTTTCTCGCCTCTGCAATCACATGATCCAAAGCCTAAAAACCAAAACAATTACACAAACTCCATTATCACTCAAGTAATCCAACAGAAAAATGTTTAACGTCAGGTAACAAAAATAAATTGTACCTTGAAGACTCGTTCGTCGAATCGGCCAGGGGAGATCTGGAGAGCGTTGTAGCCACCGTCATTGAAAGCCCAGGTTCTGCAGACAGTGAGACCCATTTTGGATCCAGCTTCAAGCATGTCGCTCACGAGGTATCTGCTGTGTTCGTTCACCGCGTGGTCCATGAACCAATACGAGTTCCAGCCATTTACATAGAGAGGCTTGCCGTCGACCACGAACTGAGTCCCGTTCCGTTTCACGAACCCTAACTCGGTTCTCCATTTGTGGGTGAGCCACAGATCACGGAATGAGAGGTAGATGAAAGCTGCACATATCACGAACCCTAGGATTGGTAGCACTGCCCTGTTCCTCGCCGGAATCATGTGTAATCTTGGAAATGGAGAAACAGGCTTTTGTCGGTCGAACGCGGAGAGACAAAAGGTTTGTCCGAATTCGGTGAATGTCACTCAAATTCGGAATTTTTCTGAGAGCCCAGACGGAAAAATTATCCCTTTATTACACAATTAACGAGATTTGAAAAAAAAAAGGCGCTCCCTTTAACGCTTTAGGCAAAATGGAGATGCAGACTAGCAGAAAAATGTGAGCTTCATGAATACTCTCAGTTACTCACAAACACAGATCTCTATGTTTTTATTTATTAATTGTTTGATTATATATGTATCTCAGAAACCCGATGTCAATAAAAAAACAGGAGAAATAACTTAATTTTTTTTTTTTTTTTTTTTGGCTCAAACATCAAACTTTTCATTAACCTCAAACTAGCAACTACATAGAATGACCACCAAAGGAGAAATAACTTAATTAGTCTCGTATCCTAAACCGTAATTACAAATTTCTTGTGCTGTAATAAAGATTTGTCTTTAAAAAAAAAAGGCTAACTTGGCTTCCAACAGTTTGTAGCCATTTGTTATATTGCTCTTGTTTTTTTTTATTTTGGTAAGTATATTGCTGATCGGTTTGAAGAGAAAGAAAACACAGAACTTGACCATTTGAGAGGATTTTAATTTCAATTTGAAGCATAGAGGAAAAAGACACATTTGGATATTACAGCATTTGTAATTAACCTTTCCTTTTGGTAACATATTTACATTTGTCAAAGAAAAAAGACACATTTGGATAACTTTTAATGACGGGGTTTTAAAAATTAATTTGAAGCATATTTGAAAGATAAAAAGTTGAATTTTTAAGAAAGGAAAGAAAAAAAAACAGGCCACATGCGTTGGAGTGTCATCAAATTCAGATATTTGAGAAATGTTCATTGTTCAATCATGTGATACAATATTATGAATTGTGATTTGTGAGCCCTACAACAATGTAACCTTTTAATTTTCATGTTTGAAACGAGCAAGTCCGTTTCCATGATTGTTCCCTTAATCTTTATAAAAAAATCCTGAAAAATGTATCACATAATTACATTTTACATCGAAAATATTTGGCTTTTGCATAAACTCAACATTCAATAGCATTTTTTTGTTGCTCTCTTGATGTAGATGTAAAATGCTGAGTATCACTTCTAGGTGTTGTCCACGCTGTTTTTTTTTTTCGTCCACGCTGTTATGATTGATAAAAATGGCAAAGATAGCTTTGACAATCACATTTGTGGTTAGATCCTTCTAACCTTTGTAGTTTAGTAACAAATATAGAAATTATAATGATATAATTTAAATATGTGAACCTGTTCAGAGCAATCGTCTCCATCGGCCATCGCTGTATTTTTCCAATGTTTGTTGACTACGTAGAGGTTAAAAAATTCAAAACAAAATCTGAAAATCAGCTAGAATCTTTAGTAATATTTGTTTTTCTTGGTCGACATCTAGGTACCATCTATTGTACAAAACCGACAGGGTAAAATACTTTAAATGTTGTCGGTGACGCTCTTTTTGGTTGGGGTCAACCGGTGATGCTTTTCTTCACACCCGAAGAATCAGTGATAATATAGTATCTGTTTCTGTAAATGCAAGTAATCGAAGTGCAAAGTTTGTTAAGCCATCAAAGATCTTGCAAAACAAACTAGTGTAGAGAAAAAGGTGGACATATAAGTGTGATTATAATAACTTTTAATAATAATAATTATTATATATAAAGCAAAAATAACACTTGAGACCAATTATTCTTTTCAACCATGATGTACAACCACCAACCAATGATATTTTACGACAGTTTAAGGAAATTAAAGTTATACTATGTGAGAACTGAGAACTATATTGACCATGGATCAAGAGCATGGGAAAATGTCTGAACATTGTTTTTTAATCTAATATCCATACTATTTCTTCAAATGATCTCATATACTATGTGCATTGACTGGGATTGAGCACCTTCTTACCTTAACTATCAATGTTACATGATGAAGAATGTGTGAAGGGGAAGATTTATCTCACTCATCACCTCTTAAGCTTTTACTTGACAACATCGATTCGACCTTACCTAATCACATGCACTTCCTCCTCCTAACACAACCTTTCATTTCTTTTTTTGTCATTACAATCTATCTACTGTATATTTCATAATTCTCTGGCCAATATCATACTTTAATTCAAACGTAATCAGTAAAATTAGACGTCTTAACTCTTTACATGTCAATAACAGATTTTGGCAGTGAACCAATTCTTGTTATAAGCGAAAAATTAATCAAAGCTAGTGTTTGTCTTTTCACAATTTTAAAGAAAATTTCAATCATCAAAAACTAATACATACGCTGTCATTTAATAAAATCGAGGTTTATGAAGTTTCCAAAACAAAACAAGATTTGTCAAACCATATATCTAACGTTTTTTTCACTAACCTATCTTCATCAAATTCATGAGAAGTTACACAGAGTGGGCTATATCGATGGTACATTGTAAGCCCAATGGGCTCTCAAACCCGTATTATGCCTCAAAAGCTTTTTCACTGAGGGAGCAGGACAGAGTGACCGACAACAAACAGAGGGACCAAAAGAAGAATCTGTACAAGAAATAACAAATGAAAAGACAACAAACTTCACGTGTCGAAATTGTGATGTAATCGATCTGACATTAAAAGAAATACATCCATCCAACAACAAAGAAGAACGATGATCAGATTCAAGAAATCAAATCTTGTTAAAATTAAGCACAATATTAGTTGTAAACGTTTTTGTTTATGACAAATTGGTTAAACTGAATCAAGAGGAGGAAGAGAAAGAGTAAGAATTGAAGAAGACGAAGTAAGCAAGAAGAGCACAAAGAAGAGCAACAAAGTTTCCTTCTTTAAGAAGAACCCTAAACACAAACCCAGCGATCTCTTTCGTCACTTTCCTCCCTTCAACCACCACTCTCCTCCTCGATTTCCCGGCGAAAGCCATCGTTACCACCACCGATATCCATATCACCACGATCGCCGGCACAGCTATGAACAGCGCCGCCGACATCGACAGAACTCCGAACACAGCCCCAAGAAGCACCGACGCGTAAACCGCAGGCCAACCAGATGACGTCTGGTGGTTATCTCCGTACCAGTTGACAATCGAATTCAGCGAATTCCACGAACAAGACAAGAGGATCGCGTAGACGACAAGAAAGAGACAGGCCCATGTTCTTCTCTTGCTTATTACACTCAAAAACAGCTTGTACGAGGTCATCGTCTCTTGCTCTTCCTTGTCCGCCATTAAAAACAACTAGATCTGATGATTCTGTCTGCTGGTAAATTTATGGTAAGTATATAGTAGTAAATATCTAAAATTTTCTTCTTCTTCTTCTTCTTCTTATTCCTTTTTTTGGGGTGAGTGTTTGCGGTGAAGAATTGTGAGAAAAGGAAAGTTGGCCGTACGCACTTTAGTTTCTAATAAAGCCCAGTCGAATCTGACGTAGCGTGAGGAACACGCTCTCTCTGGTGAACTCAGTGATTGGGCAGTGTTTGTCACGTGCTTTGTCTCAGCGGTCCAGTTAAAGTAAAGTCTTTGCCTTTTCCTGCCAAACTGACAGTTGGAGAGCTCTGTTTCCATTTTTTCTTTTCGCTCTATTCTCCTTTTTTGGCTCTTCTCTCAAAAACGCACCGTTTCTTGAACCAAGTGTTCACACCGAATATGGTGCTTATTACACACACACCGAATATCGACTCCAATGTTTTACTGTATAGCTGTTGAACATACAGTTAAGAGTACGAGACTTTCCAAGAAAGCTATTAGGGCTTTGACGTGTGATCTCATGATTAGCACTATGATTCTTTCTTACAGCTAACGAATAAGTTTGAGCAATGTACGATAAGCGACATGTTTGAAAAGACTTGGAAAGAATGAGAAGAAGATAAACATTTGACATTTCAAGAGCTGACTTCTTTGACCAAACCCCATATATGTGGATCTTTCCGAGCCAATTGGAACCAAAACAGTCTCCACATTTCAAAGTTCAAACACATAAACACTACTCGTTAATGATATTATCTCGTTACTTTAATTAATTATCGAATGCGATCCTTCCAAGTTGCAGACAATATATTTGAATAATCTGATTCTTTTCTGTTCGAACAGAGAAGACACTGCCACAAAAACCAATCAACTCTCTCAATTGACAAAACTTGTTCCTTTTTTTCTAATAAAACTTCAAGACAACACATTTCCACGCTAAAGTTGTCTGCTCACAAATTCTTCTATCATGTTTCCTAAAGCTTCCATCTTTCTCTTCTTGGCCGCATCCCAATTCTTGCTCCGATCAGTTTCATCCGTCGATTTCGTCTACAACACCAATTTCACCAGCACCAACACTCTTCTCTTCGGCGCCACCGTAGATTCCCCTTCCTCGATCCTCACACTCACCAACCAAACAGCTCGCTCCATCGGACGTGGTCTCTTTCCTTCCAGAATCTCCGTCTCCTCCTCCTCCTCCGCCTCGCCGCTCCCTTTCGCAACATCCTTCATCTTCTCCATAGCTCCTTACAAAAACATGCTCCCCGGCCACGGCTTCGCCTTCGTCTTCCTCCCTTCCTCCGCAACATCCGCCGCGAGCTCAGCTCAGCATCTCGGAATCGTCAATTTCACCAACAACGGCGATCCCAACAACCGAATCTTCGCCGTCGAATTCGACGTCTTCGCTAATCAAGAATTCAACGACATCAACGACAACCACGTCGGCGTTGACGTCAACTCCCTCACTTCCGTTTCGTCGGCCGTGGCCGGTTTCTGGCAAGGCGAGAGATTCAAGGAGCTGAGGCTTAACAACGGCGATAACTATCAGACGTGGATCGAGTTCAATGTTTCAGCGATCAATGTAACGATGGCTAGAGCTGGCTCTAGGAAACCAGTAAGACCACTCATAAGCATTCCGTTGAATCTCACCGGAGTTTTAGTCGATGATATGTTCGTGGGTTTCACGGCAGCTACGGGACAGCTAGTGCAGAGCCATAGGATCCTCTCTTGGAGCTTCAGCAACTCCAACTTCTCCATTGGCGATGCTTTAATCACTGAGAATCTTCCATCGTTTAAATTGCAAGATGACTCTGTTTTGAAGTCTAAAGGCTTCATCGCTGGGGTCTCTGTTGGTGCTTTTGTGTTAATAGTCTCTGTTCTTGGCCTCCTCTTTTACGTGGTAAGGCGGCCAAGGCGGAGAGTAGAGGAAGACGTGGAAGACTGGGAAACGGAGTATTGGCCTCACAGAGTTAAATACAGAAACGTTTTGGATGCAACAAAAGGGTTCTCCGAGGAGAATATGATTGGTTACGGAGGAAACTCAAAGGTGTATAGAGGAGTGTTGGAAGGTAGAGAAGTGGCGGTGAAGAGAATCATGATAAGCCCTCGAGAGAGCGTGGCTGGGACGAGCGAGTTCTTGGCCGAGGTTTCAAGCTTAGGGAGGCTAAGGCACAAGAACATAGTGGGACTAAGGGGTTGGTGCAAGAAAGGAGGAGAGAGTTTGATATTGGTTTACGAGTATATGGAGAATGGAAGCGTAGATAAGCGGATGTTTGATTGTAATCATGAGATGTTGAGTTGGGAGGAGAGAATGAGAGTGATCAGAGACGTGGCCTCAGGGATGTTGTATCTGCATGAAGGGTGGGAGTCAAAAGTGTTGCATAGAGACATAAAGTCGAGCAACGTGTTGCTTGACAAGGATATGAACGCGAGGGTAGGTGATTTCGGGTTGGCTAAGTTGCAGAATGCTATGAAAGAGATGGTTAGTACGACGCATGTGGTTGGAACAGCGGGTTATATGGCGCCTGAGCTGGTTAAGACAGGGAGAGCATCGGCGGAGACGGATGTGTATAGCTTTGGAGTGTTTGTGTTGGAGGTAGTGTGTGGAAGGAGGCCGATAGAGGAAGGAAGAGAAGGGATAGTGGAATGGATGTGGGGACTAATGGAGAAAGATAAGGTGGTTGATGGGTTGGACGAGAGGATTAAGGAGAAAGGAAGCTTTGAGGTGGAGAGAGTAGAGATGGCTTTGAGGCTTGGCATGTTTTGTGTGCATCATGATCCTAAGGTGCGTCCCACAACGAGACAAGTAGTACAGATATTGGAGCAAGGGAGATTGAGTGATGATGGTGATGAGAGGGAAAGAGAAGGAATGGAAGTGAGTTTGTTGGAGAGAATGAAGAGTTCTTACTTGTTGGGTACTAGTGAAGGAAGACAGCAACAAGAACAGCATCCCACCTTCCAAGATGTTTGGAACACTTATTCTCATTCCAAGTCCTTTGAGAGTTCTGATTCAATCTTTCAGGGAAGATGAGAAGCTATTGTGTGGGTGTGTACTGTATTTATACGATATAGTAAATATACAGAATCTATTATTCTTCTGTAGACAACTATGCATGAATTTTTGGTTTTGTTTGAAGTTGTGATGCCGTAGTTTCATTTAGTATATTGTTTATGAAATTGTTTAAACGTTTATAGTTGTACATCGAAGCACCAGTGGTCTAGTGGTAGAATAGTACCCTGCCACGGTACAGACCCGGGTTCGATTCCCGGCTGGTGCACACTATATTTTTTAAAGGGCCTTCAGACTTTTTGAAATAAGTGGAGAGATAACCAAAGAGTGGAGAGAGTTTAGAATCAAAATGCTTGGAATTGGGCTCTGTTTATTCAGCCCTGGTAGTGCTAAAAAGTTGGCCAAGATTGTTCGTGGTGTTCTGGTTTGGGTTTAACAAATAAAGAGTGGAGGAGTTTACAATCCTTTTTTGTTTCACGGAGATCGATTCGACTAAAATGAGCATAGGCCAAATCTAAGAAACTCTATGAATGTATATGTATAGATAGGGATATACTAGCTAGTTAAACTGAAATCTTATATATAATAGGAGAGTTGCTCTCTCCTCCTAGGCTATCCACATCAGCAAAAAAATTATTAAATTGTATTTAAGATATTTAATACATGACTATTCACATTTTCTTACTTATATTTATATTTTAAATATAAATAAAACTAAGAAAAATACATAAATAAATTTCTTAATTAATAGAAAGTATGTGATAACTTGATGTTAAAAATTATCAAAAAATTTGAATATAAAATGGAGATGGAATAAAGAAATATTCAACTTGAAATGATATATACTTACCTTTTCATATAAAGGATTTATCCTATTTCAAACTATTCTAATGTGTTTACAAGTTAAAAACTTGAATATAAATAAATTAAGATAATAGAAAATTAATGAGAAATTAGAGTTAGAGCTTTTTAAATATAAAATAAACAAAAGTCGAGTTTTTATATATAAATTTGTTTGCAATGAAAAACATTTTCTTTTTTTTTTCATCTTATTTTGGATGCAAATGCGATTTTACATTATGTTTACAAATTTTAACTTTGAACCAAATGCATATGCATGTTTATAGTCTAAAAGAAGTAAACAAACATAATATTTATAACATGTTCAAATTTTAGAACTACAAAACTCGAGATAAATGTTAATGATAAAAGTCCCACATTGATAGTTAGAGAAATAATTAAATAATATATAAAGGGTTAGGGCCTCTCCACCTATTGCCAATTGGTTTTAGGTTGGATGCACATGTTTAATCCTAATTTGACATGGTATCAGAGCGGTTGATTCTGGGCCACCCCGTGAGGTGGGGTGTTAATGATGAAAGTCCCACATTCGGGGCCACTTCGTGGATGTTGTTCCCACAATTGCCCACGCTTCAGATGATGACCTCTGAGCGTGAGGGGGAGTGTTAATGATGAAAGTCCCACATTGATAGTTAGAGAAATAATTAAGGTGATGATTGGTTCTCCCGCTACCACCCGCAAACGCAGCGTTTGCGGTTCGTAGCGGTTCTTAGCGTTTTATAACAATCACGACAACCGCTTTCAACCGCTCTATACCACTCTGTACCGCTCTATATCGCTGAAAATCAAAAGCTCCTTTCCGCAAGCGTTTGCGGTTGCGGGCGGTTGCGGTTTGAAAAAAAAAAAAAAAAAACATAATATCTCCAAATTTGGAATAAGGGTATATTTTTTTGAAAAATACCATAATTATGTTTAAAAATTTCGAAAATACCCTAAATTTTTTCTGTTTTGAAAAATACACTTTTAAAATGTAAAAAGTATGTTTTGACGTGATTTAAACAAAAAAATAATAAATAATTACAAATTATAAACGAAAATTTAAAAAAATAATAAACTAATAAGTTTTTTTTCAAATAAATATAGTATATGTTAAACTGAAACAAATTTTAATATTTTGGATCTTTATATAAACAACTTAACCTCATACACATTCAAACCAAATGAAACTTTAAATAAATTAAAACTTTACATATATTTAAAGTTTATAAATTATTAAAAATTTAAAAGTGGAGAAATATATCTTTCATTTTTAATGTTTATCTTTTGAAAAATTTAAATATTTTTGAAACTTTGCATAAACAACTTTAATCTCACCCCATTTAAACTTTATATAAACAATCTTATATTTTTATTAAATTGTTTAAAAAAAACTAAACAGGTAATTAGGATGTTAAAATGATACAAAATTATTATCAAATATTAATATTTTATATTTCTTATTTGAATTTCGTTTTTATTAAATTAGGAATAATCATTTTACATATAAAAAATTTTTCAAAACCAAAAAAAAGGGTAGTTTTCAAATTAAAAATTCATCAAAAAATATATTTCAAAAAAAAAATTATTAATATGGTTATAAATGTTTTGAATAATTATATATTATTTTTATTTTAGTAACTTTTGGTTAAACCGCTCTTGCACCCGCTGGCTAACCAGTCAAAAATATCCCGCAAACGCAACCGCTATGAATTGCTATACCAGTCGTACAAACAGCTTTTAATCGCAAACTCCCGCTTCCGCAAACTCCCGCAGCCGCAAACTCCCGCAACCGCAACCGCAGCGGTTAAACCAGTCAGACCCTAAGTAATATATAAAGGGTTATGGCTTCTCCACCTATTGCCAATTGGTTTTAGGTTGGATGCACATGTTTAATCCTAATTTGACAATAAAATAGGGTGTTAGTATCCTAATTAAATAAAATAAAAAACAAATTGTTTATATTTTTAGTGTTAGTGTTTGTGTTAGCTCAAAATATAACAAAACATGAAAGTTAATACAAAACCATCATAATTCAAAACAAATAATACAAATAAAACTACTGCAAACAACCCCGCGCTTGCGCGGGGCTTCAAACCTAATTATATTAATCCTGTGATGACACCAATTGTGGAAAAGGGAGTTTAATTTAATCCCTTGGATCAAGTGTACTATGAAATGATAATCTTGTTAAACAAAAAGAAATTGTATCTTTACTATATATGAATTGGATTCCGGCTTTATAACTTATTTTAAGAAATAACTAACACTACTTGAAAGTTGAAAGGCATGCTTTTGTCTGCTTATGATTAGTTAACTCAAAAGTTACTATTAAGTATTGTCTCAAGTTGTAAATGTTAATTTGAGGTTAAAATCTGATGATTTCAGAAAACCTCAAACCTTATGTTCCCACAATCTTACCAAAGCATTTTAAACAGTCTTTGTCCAGCTCTAAACAACTTTTAATTAAGATTAGGTTGAAGAGATTATCATGTAGGTACTTGGTTTGATATATATTTTTGTTTGGTGGGATTTTAGATCACGACCCATATGGCCATATCCTATAATTACTTTTTCTATACCTTGAAGTCGTCGTCGTACAGGGAAAATACGAAGCAGATAACATAAATATAGTATAATTTTCTACTAACATCATCATCCATTATTGTATTTATGTAACTAGGAAGTGGGTCTAAAGTTTAGTCCCACGTAACTTGGTGAGTTCATAATTTGTTTTCCAAATAGTTCCCTACAATGTTATAACTCACAACTCAAGAGTCAAAACTCACAACTATAAATATACGAGCTTTTTTTTTTATTCTAGAGTTATTCGGTTCGGTTAAGTGGTTAATGACTTAATGGTTCGCATATATATGTGACTGTATGAGCTTGTCTCCGAATTAATGTTTTGAATTTTGAACAGTAAAACAGTATTAGCTTAATTGACTATGTTAAACACAAGCTAAATTAAACTCATTGGAATAAATTTTGGTATCGCAGTGGCCAGTGGGTACTTAAGAACCATTTGAAGTCAGACCTTCTTGAATTTAAAACTACCGTGAAATTGATATTTTTACGTATTCGCCAATTATGCAACAGCCGCCTCTGCTTGTTTTATTACAGATAAAGTTCATATTTTAAGCCTAAATTTTGTACGACCTCTGCTTGAGAAACTGATGTCTAATTATACTGATAGATAAATGTTATATTTATTTTAAGATTTGATTCTTACACTTTACACAAAATTCCAATTCCTAAGTGTTTGATAGTGAGATTAATATAAGTGTGACATTGAACAATGTACTAAATTTTTATAATTAATGCAAATTGACTTAATCTATTAATATAAATAACACCTTTTTAGATAATTTGTCTTTGAGAATAGCTTAAGAAATGGAACTTTATCAGCAGTTCAACACTTTAATTGTTTTTGGTTGGACAATAGATTGATAGTGGATTTTGATATGATTATTATTTATTTTCAAAAACAAACTAAATATCTTCAGGTTTTGTTTGATACAGTGTTTAAGATACTTAATTCTTAGATGGGTATATCCCATCAGTCCTAATGCTGAGAGACAAACGAATTTGTGAAAAAGTACTTTAACTTCGATTCCTTCTTTATCCCAATCTATTAAATCCACGAACGTTGTTTATAAGAAAAGAAAATAAAAATGTCAAAATCACAAGAAGTTTGTAGTTTATTAAAGTAAACACGATACTTGGGTTATATGTTAATATTGCGTTGGGAAAAACTTGTGAACTTGTGATCTATTAGAATTTGTGGACAACACTAATAATAATCTGCTGAAGAACAGAAGGAGCACCAAGTCTGTGACCACTTTGTTATTCAGTAATCTAAAGTTATTATTGTTTGGCGAAATTTGGTGTTTTTCTTAAAGCATATCCGTAAGACCGTAACCGTAACTACCAAATGATTTTCCTGTACCTAGTGTTTTTAACATATCCACAAGACCGTAACTACCAAATGATTGGAGATTGGAAACGTTCCTTTTCCAAAGCTTTGATAAATCCACGTTTATATATTTTTCAGTTTCAACCACTAATGTGAAAAATTATAAAATTGATCTTTCTACAAACTTACTTTCTTTTGTCTCTTCGGATCCACTCCCAGCCAGGGTCCTATATATCCCACGAACTCGAATAACTAGAATAATATAACTGATGATGGTGACAAAAAAAAATGATGTATAGCAGTAGATGATGCTGTACACAGTTCTAATGGAAAAGAAATGTATTTTGATATGGTAACGAGTATGTATAAACTTCCAAATTAAATATGATCAGGTTGTGTTGTTTAAACAATGAGTCCAATATACCCTAATTTAATTTGTAACCAGTGTTTTGAAAACCGGACCGATCCGGTGGTCGAACCGGGTTCGACCATGAACCGGACATGTGACCGGGTTGGGTCTCCGGTCTGGTTAAAAACAATTAATACGATCAATTAATTAATTATTTTATTTTATTTATTTTCACTTTTGATATTTTTTGAGATTATATATGTTTATACTATAAATAATTAATTAAAACAATGAAAATATAAGTTTATAATATTATTATATTTATATTTATACTTATATATATCAATTTTTAACTATTTATATTTTTATTTTAAAAATTATATATTTAAAAATAAATATAATTTAAATGTTTTGAACCGGGTTCAAACCGGTCGAACCAGATTGAACTATGACTCGAATGCTTATCTGGTTCGCTTTCCGATCCGGTTTTAAAAACACACTGTAACTGATATACAAAGATCACAAAACACTAACATATACTATAGAGATAGCACATGTGACAGCTTTTAACAGCCTTGATTCGATCTAATTCAACATGTACACATTTATTTGACTCTCATATTATACGTACACTATAGTAACATGTCGTCCACGACTGATAGAATCATGTTATTATATTAACACTGTGTGCAAAACGAGTAAAATATCATAAGTACTAATTTGTATACTTTTTCTTCATGTTTAAATCAGGTTTAAGAGAATAAAATCAACCGGCTATATGTACTGCATATACATATGTAGGTATTTTTTAAGCCTGATATATATATATATATATATATAAATAATCCTATGTGTATATCTTCCGGATACATATTCATGTAGGTCTCGGATGCTTACTATATATTTTGTTTTTTTTGTTAAAATGGTTTGGAATTTTTTTATTTTTATTTTCTCTGTGGATTTCAAACTAATAACTGAAATAGTAGGAATTGAAGTTTCAGTTCTAATTAACAGAGTATAATATTTAATTCGGTGGGAAGTTCCTTTTAAAAAAAATTCTGAATAAAACAAAAACAATTCAGTAAAATAAAAGAATCCACCAATGGGCGGAAAAAAACACATGAGAGTCGAGAGTCGAGACCCCGTCGACTTGAGAAGAAATGACGACATTCCTCCAACATGTGTAGAAGGGAAGTGCCAAAACGAGTTTACTCGAGGTTTTTTTTGTACATTTGTGATCACATTTTATGTATAAAGACATACAGCTTTAAAGATGTGTGTCTTCGTATGATCCACATATTCGTTATTTACAAAAATGTTTGGCAAAACCGATTTTCAAAAAATACTTCACTTTTTTGGTAAAAAACTAGTTCAATTTTACATAACTTTCGTTATCCAACAAAGATAACCACCGGTATCAAAAGTTGTTACTTCCGATAGATTTACCTAGTCGTAAATAGTCAATTTTGAAAAATTTCAGAAAGTGGTACCAACTTATATCTACTAAGTAACGGACAATATGCATGATTGCGTTATTTGCACATTTTATTTATGTCAGATTGTCAGTGTACATACAACAAATGTTCTGACTGTGTTGAGTGTTTTCCTCATCTCAACTACAGCTGGTCCACATGCTGCCACCACGTGACCCTTGTTCAAGAATATTCCCAGCCTCCCAAAATCCTCTTTGGAAAAATGCCGGATATTCTACTAATTCAATTTTTTTTCCAGCTTTTGTTTTAATTCTTTGATGATATGATCTGTTCGACATTTTCATGTGAGCGTTCGAGAGAAAACATATGTTTCGAACTATACATTAAATTGCGTCTATGGTTTGATAGACATCTGAATATAAACAAAAACTGTGGTTTAATTCTATTACCACATTTGCCAATCCTTCTTGCCAAACTAAAATAAATGTAAATACCATTTGTTTTGTTGTATAATACGCAAGACATATCCAAAAACTGATATATTATTATTATCATAGTCAATTAAATGGTCGTAGTAGATGCAAAAAGAAAAAGGAGTAGAGTAGTGATTTACTTTGCTCTATCTTATCGCTTTCTTCTATAGTATCAACTTAGTAGTTAGTACCATGTCCATAATTAAGTATAGATACACTTACACTACATGATCTATAACTACATGATCTGTCATCTGCATAGCTTAAATAAGAAAAAAAACGTATTTCTGAAACATATGTCACGCTATACTTAGATTAGCGTAAATTTGATCGGTCAAAGAAACAATATCGAATCGAATCGATGTATATACTATTTTTTTGTTTGCCGGCATATTTCCTAATATGAGTTCTAACTTTCAGCTAAATACATCTAATTAGATGGGTAGGACAAGGAGGCCCCATGTAAGTAGCCGGGATAAGGCGTCTAGGACAGAAAAAGACACGTGTATGGCTATCCTCCACGTAGATGTCTTTGTCCGCGTCTGATTGTTGGCACGTTGGGTCCCGTTTTTCCAAGATCAGGACGATTCTAGCGAGTGCTTTTCATAATTAATAATTGCATGATTCGTATCCTTTCCAAAATTGCATTGCAATAAATATATATCTAATTTACGACGAAAGTTTCCAATACTATGGACGATAGATAATTAGATATACTCCATACATATTCAATCATACAAAATATGAAAATACTTTTATGCCAAGGAACAGATCTCCTTTGAAAAAAATAAGATGCCGTGTAATTATTAACTAATTAACAAATAAAAAATGGTTAACACATTTCTTAAACATGTAACGTTCTAGAGTTTCGTGTGAAATACTCGGGACAGATCTCATATCTGTATAGTAGCTTCTAAAACGTGTCAGCTAGTTGCTAATGCATTTAGCAACGAGACATACCATGATACTAGAAAAAGTCGTTGTAATTATCTATAATCAAACTCGACACGCTTTATCTAGTTTTTCGCTCAAAATGTATATCGGAAAATCGAATTATTAAAAATGGATTTACTAATTTAATTTAGAGAAAATAAATTTAAAACGTTCTTTTTAATTATCGAGTATATCCGAATCTGTGATGCGCAGTCCTCGTGATTGGCTATGCTGACATAGGAACTAGCTGTCTTAAGCCCTCAGATCTGACTCAATTTCCAATCACATTCTGACACGTCATTTTCTTCCAAACTCAAACAGTGCATCAAAGCACTTGGTCGCGGCGCCTTGTATCAGTTTCTTCTCCCACCCTTCGGGTAGGTCCCATCTCTTCTGTGGGACCCAACACTTATCCGGGTCCCACGTATGTCTAAAGTTTCTGACTATAAATATCCTTCTAGTTTAATCCTATTTTTCTTCACACAAACAAAAAAAAGAAGAATTAAGAGAAAGAAGCAAAAAAACATTTTCCCTCTCTCTCTCTCCTCTCTAAACCAATGGATCGGCAAAATTCCGATGATATCATGAAGTTTCTTGACGGCATGGCTAGCTCCGATGATGTTCTATTTGGTTTTCTCGACGAAGGAAACAAGTCACCGGAAGATTACTCCGGTAACTTAGCCGCCGGCGAAGAATCTGATGCTGACAATGACACCCCTGGTTGCAATTCTGAAGAGAACAGAACATTTTGGCATGAACAAGAACAACTCCTCCAGGTAATTTTTTATTTTTTTATAGTTAAAAAAAACTCTAAAACTATTATTCTTTCTTCTTTGATAAAAGGTCCAATAATGTTTGTGTGGGGTCTCATTAATTTTGTTTTGGACAAAATCTGTAATGTGTAGGCGACACTGTATAGGACAAGTTCAATTGAGACAAAGATTCGACAAGCAACTAAAGAAGCGTTGAAAGAAGTTAGATCAAAGGGTTTGCAATGTGTCTGCCGGACACCGGTGACCGGCGGTTGCCGTAGCTGTTTGCGCAGCGAAGTATGTCACCGCCTCCGAGACGCCGGCTATGATTGCGTCATCTCTAAATCGAAATGGAGAAGCTCTCATGAGATCCCTGCAGGTATAAATCAACACCATTTTACTCTTTATCTATAAATTCTCAATACTCTCTAAATAAGGGAAAGATGATTTGTGATTCAACTTTTTTTTTTTTTTTTTTTTTTTTTAAATTTCAACTTATTTTTAAACAAGTTGTTTGAAAATGGACTTGTATTGAAACTTTCAGCCATTTTTTTTACCATGATGTATTGGAAAACCACGTCAACGAAATTATATTATTTAAAAAAATAAAAATATATGTATGTTGAACGTTTTTGCTAATTTTTCGTGTATCAAGCAAGTTGTCATTAATTATAATAGTTGGTCTAACCATGATGTTTTGTTTATTTAAAACATTAGGTGAACATGAATATCTTGAAATCGTGGACAAATCGGGTTCGAAGAAAGGAGAGATCCGGGTGGTGATCGAGCTATCTTTTAGGGCAGAGTTTGAGATGGCAAGAGGCAGTGAAGAGTACAAGCGACTCGTCGGAATATTACCGGAAGTGTACGTCGGAAAAACGGAGAGACTAAAGTCATTGATAAAGATGTTGTGCGCGGCGGCAAAAAAGTGTATGAAAGACAAGAAAATGCACATGGGTCCTTGGAGAAAACACAAGTACATGCAGGCCAAGTGGTTTGGCACTTGCGAGAGAAAATCTGTTACGCCGGTCTCGGAAACGGAGATGGAGACGGATATGCCTCCGAAGGCAAAGCAGAGGGTTTCTATGCTGAATTATGGTCTTTTTGGTAGTTTATCTGCCGGAATAGGCCGTCCGGCCGCCGTAGCGGTCGTGTAATTATATATATAGACTAATAGACGTACGAGTACAATAAGTTAGAGGGAAAAATAAGTGTAATGAGTTTTTGCATTGAGAGTTTTTTCGTGAAATTGTCTTAGCGATGATTTTGTGTGTGTCCTAAACAGGGCAACTTCGTGGACCCATTATATATACACAGCTTTTATTTAGTTATGATAAATTGAAGTTTCCCTGGTTAGGTAAAAATTGAAATGGCCATGTGATTATTAATTCTCTAGAGTCAACACGGTTTTCCAAGAGTCACTTAAATCGTTTTTATTTAGCAAATGAACAAAACGTGAATAAAAATCAAGTAAACAGGGCAACTTGTTATAATAAAACACACCGGCTCTGACTACTATTCTACTAACAATCCAGAGGAGAAAAATGGAATTTGAAGAAATAAACAAGAGTCCTCCATTCTCTTCATAAGTATTCTGAAGTTAAATAAAAATGGTTTGTAGTAACTCGATTTGTCTACTTTTTCAGCAAAACAACAAGCTAGAAATTAAATGTATCCTCTCTTTTATTTTGGTTGCCAAAAAAGCAAAGAATAAAACCCAACTATTACGACAAAGTAATCACCATCTTAGCAAGTTATATTATACGCATTTTTGTTTGCTCACTGTTGATTTTTCCCCAGTTATTATCAGATGGTCGTTAACACTTTTGAAGTTTTAGAAAAAGATTACGAAAGAAAGTAATATGCAATACTGCAAGTTGAAAACAGCGTTATGTAAAAAATGGAGTAAACTAGAAACTGAGTAGACGTGCAAGTACCACCTTTTTCAGACAGAGCACTAGGAATCAGAATCAAGGATTACTTCAAAAACAAAGATATATCGAATATTGCGCATGACAAACATGTTCAATACTAAAATAATTTCGACAGAGCATTAAGAATCTGAGTCAAGAGTGGGGCAATTTGCGTATTATGATCACGTTCAATACTAAGAAGGTTAATGAGTGGTTATTACGATTAGGTTCAAAACTAATCGTCAAAGCCGTCTTAGCTCAGTGGTAGAGCGCGTGACTTTTAATCCCGTGGTCGAGGGTTCGATCCCCTCAGACGGCGTTCTTATCTTTACTTTTTTTTTTCTCTCCTTCAGCACTTTTTTTTCTCTCCTTCAGCTTCCTACTATTTTGTTCCTACATTGAATTCTTTGATAGCCTCAGTCAGAGTGTTTTCAACCTTTTATAAGAGTCAAATCCAAGAGTACAAAATGAAAAACACCAAAGAAAGAAAATGTATATATATGAGCATTATAAATTCGGGTCATCTTTAAATTATTCTCTAAGAATACTACTGAACTTGGTCGCTAAGTGCTTGGCGTTCTTATCTTTACTTTTTTTTTTCTCTCCTTCAGCACTTTTTTTTTCTCTCCTTCAGCTTCCTACTATTTTGTTCCTACATTGAATTCTTTGATAACCTCAGTCAGAGTGTTTTCAACCTTTTATAAGAGTCAAATCCAAGAATACAAAATGAAAAACACCAAAGAAAGAAAATGTATATATATGAGCATTATAAATTCGGGTCATCTTTAAATTATTCTCTAAGAATACTACTGAACTTGGTCGCTAAGTGCTTGATAGCAGGTAATTCGCATAATCAAGCTGCCAAAAAAACCATTCCTTTTAAAAATTATGAAAGTAAGATCTACTGAAAAGTTTTCACAAATATCAATATCGTCCCAATATTTAATTATACGAAGAAGTTTTGCATGAGCTATATATGTGAATATACTATACACTACACATGCAGGAGGTACGCATTAGCATGATCATTATAGTTCATTACTAAGCAAAAAAAAAAAAAAGCAGACTCATTTGATATAGAAATAATAATTAAATACTCTGATTATCAAGGACAAATAGGAGACATGAAAAACACAACGAGCTACAGAATTACAGACGCTTCAAAGTTCAGACATAACAAGTAAATATATAAGCCCTAAACAATGAGACTTATGATAACCACAAGAACCAAGCATAGAGAAACCACTCCCGGACCAACCAAACCAGCCGAATTGCGAGCTGACACGGGCCCTGGAGCCGGAGCAAGAGCTGCTGAATCAGAAGGAACCACTCCCGGAGAAGGCGCCGGAGACGACAAAACCTGATGGACCGGAGACATCGAAGGTGACGGAGAGGGAGATGGCTGACGAGGGCTGTGGTGGTGGACGGCGGACATGACCTTGACGCCTAGCTTCTGGCCTTTGTGACAGTTTTCCGAGTTGCCGCTGACGAAAAAGAACGGACCTGAGCGGTCAAGAACAAAGAGAGAGTCTCCGTCTGAGAGGGAAGTTATGGGGTGAGTCGTGTTGCATGTGTTGTACTCTTCTTCACTCACCTCCAACACCGAATCTTTTCCCTTCGCGTACTTGAAATCTTGCAAAACCAAAATCGCACCGATTGATATTGTCATGCATTATATTCACAATATGACACATTAATGTGTATATACAAGAGACGAGAGAGAGAGACTTACAAAGAGTGTCGTTGATTTGAAACCGGTTTCGGTGAGACCAATGAGTATAATCCTCGGAAGGAGTAGGGACCCAACCATCTTTCCCACCAACATAGAACTTGTAACCATTTGATAACCCTATCGTAAACCCCAAACCCATCAACGTCACAATCATCAAGTAAACATCAAACCTTTTGATCAAACCCATCTCTCCCAAAACTTTTTTGTTTCTCACTTTTCTTCTTGAATTGTGTGTGTTTTGATTTGCAACTTCTTGGGGTGCTTTGTATGTGTATTTATGGTGAAAGTAGAGAAGTCATAGCCGTTGGGTGAAGCTTTTTTGGCTGCATCTATTCTCTAGAGAAAATGCAAAATTAATTAGAAGCGTTTCGTTTTTTTTTAGCTCCTCTTCTTTTTTTACACGTTTCGACATGCAATGGACTTGTCTTAACGGCTATCTTCTCTTTCACGCTCTTTCTCCACTCCCCTTAGAAACAATCATTATTTTAACCAGATCTTGTCATTTGTTAGTCATCAATTACAAATTTGAAATCAATCTTTTATTTTACTTACGTAACGTATTCTTTTATAAAAAAAACATATGATATTAGTCCTGGACAGAAAATGTGAAAATTTGTTCCTAAAATGAATTATTAGCAAAAGGGACAATAAAGTGTTTGTGGGCTTTTTTCAAATGGATCATGTACATTTCTCCTCTACATTTAAAGCCCAGCTAGTTGGACAATCTTTAGAAAACAAAAACTTTATTTTCTATATTAGTGGGATATGCGTGCTTATATTGAGAAATTAAGAATTATACACATTTTCTCCCAAGAATTTTAAATCACAACTAGTTAGAAGAATTTTAAGTGGATGTGCTCAACTTAATCAGGCTCAAATTAAATATTGATCGTTCCTAAAACGTGAAATCGTAGCCCAATTTTCTACTTATGTTTTAAGTCAAAAGACATTAATTTTAGCATTAAGTTTTTTCAGGCAACTGTTTTGGGAAACAAGAAGTTTTAAGGCGTAAGCAAGACCTTGAGAATGCGAGGTTTCAACAAAAAAAAAGAAAGCTTAAACTAACAAATCACGCTTAGTCCTCAATCCAACATTGAACCTTCGTTTACCAAAAAAAGAACAAATATTTTTTTATTTTTTTTAAAAAGCAGAGAGAAACGAAGTATCGACTTGTTCAACAAATGGGTAATTAGAGAGGAGTTGATTGTGAAGCTTCAACGACCGCGGAACAAATTTCTAAATTCAATTGGGAGTTTGTAAAAGATTGGCAGATAGACAATCTTCAATCATGTCTCTTTAAGTTGTTTATCTGTAAATCATTCTGTTCTGTCTGCTGTCTGATACATCCACCAATCTTCTTGCAAAACCAAAACCTAGATTGTTTGACTTCACTCGGAGCAAAACTCTTCTCTCCATCTTCTTCTCCGTGCGTCTTCTATTCCATAGCAATGGATTGTTCTCTTCAGTGACGTGGGGTTCGAAGCAAAACTCAAATCAGTTCTGATCCGGTCAAAATTTTCCGTTTAATCAATAAAAATGGGATTTTGGAGCTGTGGTATGAAGAAGCGAGAACATTTGGGGGTTTTGGGATTAGGGTTCGAATGGCAGCTTATCTTCTCGTTGTCGATTTTGTTGGCGGTTTCGCAACAAGCGGAGGGACTTAGACCCATAAGGGAGAAAACTCGATCATGGAGCGATGAGGTTTGTTGTGTTTCACTCGAAAGTTTCTTCATTTTGGTCAAACCGATGAATTCCCAGATTATTAGCTGTTCGAAGATAATGCAATATTGAGCTGATCATAGTAAAATGAAAATCCAGGAGTAGACTAGTTTCAAGTCTAATCTATTGATTTGATTGATCAAGCTCAAAATGTTTAAATTTATATAGTTTAGTAACGGAGTCTCGTGTAGAGACCGGTTCGTCGTTTACAGAAGTAGAACATATGTTTAGTGTGGAATTTAAGATGAGATTTGCAATTTGAGTATGAATTTGCAAGCTGGATGTGGGATGTGAAAAGTGAACAAGATATTAGACTAAGCAGACTAATTTTGGGTAAATGGTTTAATTTTGTGTGATCTTGCAGTGGCTCTTTGGTAGAAAACAAGTAACTGAAGGAGGTCCGTTTTCAGCATGGAATATAACAGGAACATATAGAGGTTTGTGGACATGTAGCAATAACCCTGAACGCTCTCATGGGTTTTGGGTATATTATATGTCTATTGCTTTATGTTCTTAGACAAGTTATCAAACTTAAAGTGGGTATTTTTCAGGAAATTGGAAGTTTCTGGACTCTGTAAATAGCTCTTCAAAAGTTCAGGACTTCCAGAAAGAAAATGGTAATTCTGTGGTGGAGTTAGTGGCTGTTCCAACGAAGATAACTGGTGTGCATTATGTTCAGGTGAACAATTCAGCTGCTAAACTCTGTATCAAGGGATCCTCCTTGATCTTATATCATGCTAATATTGAACTTCTTCAAATGTTTAATGGAACAGGGTGTAGGTGTTTTCCATGACGTGTTTGACAATGAACAGAATTTGGGTGGTACCCAAATTAATCTTGAAGGTGTATATATATGGCCCTTTAGACAACTCCGCCTTGTTGCTAACAGGTACTAACGTTTGATTTATTTTGAAGATTTATTATCGAGTCTTAACTCTAAGGTTTGTCTGTGCTTTACTTGACTTAACACAGCGGCAAGGAGAGGGATTCAGGGCAAGAAGACAACAATCTTCTCTCAAATCCCTATCATCTGGTAATGCTTTAGACCTTTGTTTAATCCACTTAAGCAATGATTGCTCCAAGAGCTTACTAGTGTCAACTTTCTGCTGTTGGGACAGCTCGGAATCTTCTCTTCTCAAGTGTTTCAAGAATCTCCAAGAGACAGAATACTGAAACGGAAAATTTGTAAGCAGTATCCTAATGTTTCAGTACAGGTTACCTTACAGTGACTCTCTGATCTTCAATTGTCTTGTATACTTCAGCTCCATTAAATGAGATGGAGAAGCACTGTAATGTCGAAATAGCTGCTCGGATATCTCGTGTGGCTTCTAGTGAAAACAGTATGCATTCTAACTTTAAACATTGTGGGGGATTCTGGCGTTGCCTTGGTCTCCTTAGTCACATTTTAATCGTATGTTGATGGACTTTTTCCATATTTTTGGTTAGATGGAGACAGAAACTATTATCACATGGAAGGACTGATGGAAAGTCCCGGTGTAGGCGATGACGGTGATTGTTTCTCTCCTTTGTTACTGAATGCGACCTCTGTGAATGTCGAAGTCTACTACAACAAAGCTGTGAACTATACACTGATGGTCACTTTTGTATCCTTTTGCTCAAAAGTCGTTTACCCTTTCATAACAGAATGCTGAGTACTTGTGCAGTTCCTTAACTTTGTATTGGACTAGGTCTCTTTCCTCCAGGTTCTTCTGTTGATACGGCAGATGGAGCACGGTAACACACAATCTGTAAGCTTCTGATGTAAACCAGATGGTCTGATATCGTTATTCTTGTACAGAATGAAGAAAAGATACTAACTTTCGAAAGCTCTTGTGTATACAAGGGTGCTGCCAAGGTCTCCATCGTCATGATTGGGCAACAAGCGATCATGGATGCTTATTTATGCCTTTTACATCTCACGGCCGGGATATTAGTTGGTATGCATTACTCGTTCATTGTGTTTGGAGTCTGCTACTTGGCATTGTAATGTTTTTTTCTCACATCTCTCAATCGCTGTTAAACCTAAAAGCTTACAACTTTCTCATGCAGAGTCTCTGTTCAATGCATTTGCAACCGCTGCGTTCTTCAAATTCGTAGTCTTTTCGATTTTTGAGATGAGATATCTTCTGGCCATATGGAAAGCAACCCGGCCTTCGAACAGCGGAGAGGGTTGGGAAACAATGAGGCGTGAGCTGTCCTTTCTCTACAGCCGTTTCTGTGAGTAACTTAGCTTCTTTGGTGTTTGTTTTATCGATTGAGAACTAGACTGACGTTTCATCATTAACAGATGGGATCCTTCTTGGAGGCATACTGATTATGTACCAGTTCCACAACTACATGCGGCCGATTCTTCTTCTCATGCACTCATTTTGGATACCACAGATAGTCACCAACGTCGTCCGGGATTCAAGAAAGCCTCTGCACCCGTATTACATCTTAGGCATGACGGTTACACGGTTAGCTATACCGTTGTATGTTTTTGGATGCCCTCACAACTTCATGCGTGTAGACACCAGCAAGCTCTGGTGCGTATGCTTCTGCACTTTCATGTGGTTGCAAGCTATCATTCTTCTTCTTCAGCACTATTTTGGTTCACGTTGCTTTGTGCCTCGTCAGGTTAGTAGGTTTACATATGAAACGTTCAATCTAATAAAGTGAACTCATGAAGATTTTAGTGCTAATCAATCTCTTTCTTCATCGTTGTTTGCGCCTACATGCAGATGCTACCAGAGAAATACAACTACCACAGAAGATGTAATCAGGAAGCAAGCCGCAATACTGATTGCGTCATCTGCATGACAGCCATTGATCGCAGACAGCGTACCAGTGATTGCATGGTACAGCAGTTTCTTCACCCGGAAGCTAAATCTCAGCTTATCTTAACTACATTTTTGTAACCTTAATAGACAGAATCATGAGCGTGCTTGTTCTGAAAATAGGTTACTCCATGTGAACATTTCTTCCACTCGGGATGCTTACAGAGATGGATGGATATAAAAATGGAGTGCCCTACTTGTCGGCGTTCGCTTCCTCCAGCTTAGAGGATGTTTCTTGGTTTGTTAGGATGTAATGACTTCACTCAGTTTAATTGCAGGTAACAGCTCAAATCTAACTTTCTAACCTTTTTTCTTTCCATTTTTAGACGATTCTTTGATTTAATTAGCTGGCTCTTTGATTTTGATTTCAGGTCCTTGGAGAGGTGTAGAAGACTTTTAGATGAAAGCAGAGCAAAGACGAAACTGTAACTGCGGCTAGAAACCGCGGATATACATTGTGTTCTGTATAAACTGTATAATGTTACAATCTTAGTGCATATTCTTTCACCCCACAACCCAATCTTTCGCATATATTTCTTGTTCTTCCATCTTTCTTTTTCGCATACAAGTGAATCCTTAATGCTCACGCTGGACCAGGAGCAGTGGCAGGTCCAGCTGTCGACGCTGCAACCGAAGGAGCCATGTCCGAGCATTTGTAGTCGTTGCAGTCTACAGGGTGGTCAAGTACAGGTTTACAGACTTTTTGGCTCCGCTGGAGCGGTTTGTCAGGCAGACAGTTGTTGCGATCATCGAAGGCTATTCCTCTGGAAGTCAGGTTCTTGCAGATGCCTTCTTCTTCATTGAAATAGTTGTCGGAGATGGTAAGGTTCATCAGGCTAGGCAGAACGCAGACTCCAAGATGGAGAGTGCCAGTGAACATGTTGTGTTCCAGATTCATTAGCTCGAGACGGCCTAGTCCTGCGAGACTGTAAGGTACAGGACCGACTAAACTGTTGTCGCTCACGTCAAGGACTCTTAACTTGTAGAGATATCCGACTTCAGGGGGTAGACATCCAGACAAGCTCGAGTTGATTAGGAGAAGCTCTTCCAAGGTATCTGCAAAGCGAGATATGGTTGGAGGCAGACAACCGCTGAAATCGTTGTTGGCAAAGACTACAACAGAGGCGGTAGTTCCATTGAAATTCCGAGGTATGAGGCTTGTTAACCGATTGTTGTTCACGAAAATGGCGTCGAGAGGATTGCTGAAGAGTTGTGGAGGCAAGGGGCCTTCAAACTCATTGTAACGAAGGTCAAGGAACTTTAGAGAAGGGAGTGAGAGGACAACGTCTGGAAAGGGACCTACGAAGCGGTTGTTGCTGAGGTCGAGCTCATAGAGTAAGGAGAGATTGGCTAATGAACGAGGAAGGATGCCGCAGAAGCGGTTGCTATTGAGATGGATGAGAGCAAGGTCAGAGAGAAGGCCAATGGCTTCAGGCAGGAAACCAGCGATGTCTCCGTGGTTGAGATCGATTCCGGCAACAACTAGAGTGCTTGGATCGGAAGGAGATGGTGCACAGAAGATGCCAGTGTAGCTACAGACTAAGGGACCAAACCAGTCTCCAGTCAAGTTCTTTGGATCGGAATAGATGACCTTTTTCCATGCTTTAAGCGCACGGTACGCTTGCTGAAGATGCTGGTTATGGTTTGGGGAGGGACTTGTGTGGTGGTGAAGGCTATGCTTTGCGGTTGATACTAAAGAGACATGAAAGAGAAGAACTGAGATAAGGGTGTGAAATGTGAGAGAGAAAGCCATTGAAAGACAAGTTATGGATCCTTTGTTATATGTGTTATGGATCTTATATAGAGAGAGTTTGAAGTTTCAGTCTTTAGAGCAAGGAATGCAGAGGCTGAATTAAGTGGTGGCAATATGTTCAAGGAAAAGGACTCGGCTCCTTACTTGTTGCTGTCTGAAGTTGTTTAAGTGGGATCTGAGTCTGACACTTCAAGACCAAAATCTTTTAAGTTGGATTTAGATCACTCAATCCTAATTATACAAACTTTTGCATAACTTTGCATACAATTTCTTTGGATCTCTCGGCTTATGATATTATCAAGTTATTATAATATAAAGTTTTCATGTGTATCAAGTGGTGCCTCAATATTCTAAAAGCAACCTTTAAACAAACGCACACGGATTCATTCACTCATAGACCTCTTTAAGGACTTTTCCTCTCTTCTTCTTTTAGCCATCGTTTAGCCACTACCAGAGCCATATTTCTTGCCCAAGAAAATGAGTTGGAGCTGGTCATAGCCAGCGAGCACACCGGCGCCTGCAACGGCACGGAGGATGTTGGCCCCAGCACCTTTGAAAAGTGACTTGGCACCTTCCTTCTTGACGATCTGAGAGAAGGCCTCAAGAGAACTCTTGTACTTGACCGCTTCACCTGATGTCATCATCATTCTTCTACGCACCGTGTCGATCGGGTAAGACGCCAGTCCAGCTCCAACGGTGATTCCCCATCCCAGCAAGAAACTCGCCAAGAAACTATCCTATTAACACCTTAAAAACCCCAATGAGTAAAAACAGAAACAGAGGACTCTTAAATAACATGTTGCAATGATAAAGAGTTTCTTTAACCTGGAGACCATCGACAAGAACCACAGGCTTCAAGGAATCATACAGTCCAAAGTAGAGCGCACGGTACACGACAATCCCGACACACGAGATGCTGAAACCTCGGTACAGCCCGGCGACGCCATCAGAGGCTAAGGTCTTGCTGTACACGTCAACCATGCCGTTAAACTGCCTCTGGCCACCCATCTTGGCCACCACTTTCGCATCGTTGGCCAAACGGGTACGTGCGTAATCCAAAGAGTAGACGAAAAGCAGAGACGACGCACCAGCTGCACCACCTGACGCCAAGTTCCCTGCAAACCACTTCCAATACCCATCTTTGTCTTTCTTGACGTTGAAGATACTCTTAAAGTAATCTCTAAACGCAAAGTTCAACGCCTGCAAGAAACAGAAACAATCTTTGCTTTCAACACACGTCACCACAAACACCAATTCAGAAGAAGAAGAAGAAGAAAGAGCTAATTAACCTGAGTGGGGAAGTATCTGATAACATTGGCAGTGTTGCCTCTCCAAAGTGAAACCATGCCTTCTTCTTGGATTGTTCGGCCGAAACAATCACTGATTCCTTTGTATGGTCTAGAGAGACGACCGGATTTGATCATCTCATCTTGGTTCTGAATCAAGAGCTTCACACGCTCGATCGGCGCTGCTGCTGTCTTGGAAACAGCAGCTGAGACTCCTCCCATGAGGAAATCGATCCAGAAACCATTAATAGATTTCTCGTTAGGAGCTTGTGCAGATACTGGCAATAAACCATGTGGTAGAAGAGAAGAAGAGCCAATGCCATGATTAGACAGACTCTGCAAACCTCCATTAACATAAGCACCAGAGACACTGTGATTAAGTGTTTGCACACTCGGAGAAAGTCTGTTTTTCAAGGTGGATTGTCCATGAAGCTTCTGAAACACCGATGAATGTGTTGATCCATCCATTTTCTTCTTCTGTAAAACTCAGCAAAGGAAAAAAAATACAAATTAAACAACTATTTCTCGCTCTCTCTCAACATTTCTATTCTTGCATGCTTAAAACGACGAGGACAGAGAACAGAGAAGCCATCATCAAACACTTTCCATAGGACCATACCGATCCATTCATTGCAACATATAAGAAAGCTAACTATATTCGTACACAGTTTCATTAAAGTTAAACTAAGAGAAGTGTCAATGATTAAAGCTAAAATATGTGGAGCCAAGAGTAAAAATCCATGGAAGCTTACCGAAAGATTTCTCTCCGAAGCGTGGAGAAGAGACAAAAAATCTTGAGAGAAGACGGAAACGGTGGAGTAGGGCCGGTTCGGTTTTAAAGGTAGTAAGCGAAAAGACGGAAATGGACACAAGATAATCGAAAATTACGAAAATGTATCTTTAGTCCTTTGACGTATGGGCCCATTTTAAGGGACCCGAGTCGTCCTGAAGATTATTTTGTACTTATCTTTATCTACTTTGATTTTTTGTCTTTTCGTACTTACTTATTTTTATTAACTTGGATAATTAATTTCCTAGTAATAAGCTTACAGATATACTATAAGATAAATATAAGAAAACACGAAGATAATATTAAGAAATTCAAGATAAGTGAAAGAGAACTTGGCTAGAATCAATCCGATTAAGAAGGAAGCATGAGACTTACATGTGTTCATAAAACTAACCATGCATAATAATCTCCACCTTATAAACTTTATTTGACTACTATATATATATTATAGAGAAGAGAGAATATTATGTATTGAGATAATTTGTATTACACTTGAGAGCTTTACATTTATACAAGAAAGCTATGGTGTAAACTAAGGAAAGACAATATTTACACATAAAGAAGAATGATATGAGCCGATGATGAAGGCAATCATATCACGATTATTGACTATCACATATCAATCATATTGATTGTATATTTCTAATATGCCCCCTCAAGATGGAGGGGCTTGCGAAACTCCAATCTTGCGTCGTAGAAGAGTGAACTGTGAAGTCGTTAGAGGTTTGGTTAGACCATCTGCTAACTGATCATGCGTGGAAACATGTGCGACCCGTAACGTGCCTCCCTGAACTTGTTCTCGAATAAAATGATAATCCAAAGCAATATGTTTCATTCGAGAATGAAACACTGGATTAGCACACAGATAAGTTGCTCCTATGTTATCACAATATATGACCGGAGGGGTAGTGCTGCCGAAACCAAGTTCTGAGAGTAAAGAACATACCCATCTGATTTCTGAAGCTGTATTGGCTACTGCTCGGTATTCTGCTTCGGTTGAAGATCTTGCAACCCCCTTTTGCTTCTTTGAGGACCACGAGACAGGCTGGTCTCCGAGATAGACGATGTACCCATTGGTGGAAACGTAGTCGTCTGAATCACCAGCCCAATCGGCATCCGTGAAGGCATGAACAGTGAGATTATCAGACTTGCTGATGAAGAGACCGTGAGTTGATGTTCCTGCCAAGTATCGTAAGACTCGTTTTGCCGCTTGCCAATGATCTGTAGTTGGAGACTGCATATACTGTGACAATTTGTTGACAGCGTATGCAATGTCGGGGCGTGTGAAAGCTAAGTATTGGAGACTTCCGATCAAGGTGCGGTACTCTGTTGGATTAGAGTGAAGGATCCCTGATTTCGTGAGCTTTGGAGATGTAGCCATTGGAGAAGCAACCGGTTTTGCATCGTGCATATTCATTTTGGCAAGAAGATCATGAATATACTTTCTTTGGTTGAGATGTAGTCCTTGTGGGGTTCTTAGTGCTTCAATTCCAAGGAAATACGAGAGTTCACCTTGGTCTTTGACAGAAAAACGGGTGGATAGGTCTGTGATGACTTTCTCCACCGCATCGTTGTTGTTTCCGGTAACGATGATATCGTCAACGTAGACAAGAACGTAGACAAAAACTTTGTGATGCTGCAAGATAAAAAGACATGTATCTGCAAGAGAGTTCTTGAAACCAACATCAACAAGATACCTCTTAAGCTCCAAATACCAGGCTCGGGGAGCTTGCTTTAAGCCATACAAGGCTTTTCGTAATTTGCACACGTAATCTGGCCTGTCAGGATCCACAAATCCAGGTGGTTGTTTAACATATACTTCCTCATCAAGTGTCCCCTGTAGAAAGGCGTTATTGACATCTAATTGTCTTAGACGCCAATTTTTGCAAACCGCAATCTTGAGAACCATTCGTGTTGAGGTGGATTTGATGACAGGGCTGTATGTCTCCTCAAAGTCGACTCCTTCTTGTTGATTGAAGCCACGAGCAACCAGGCGGGACTTGTATTTATCAAGTAAGCCATCAGAGAAATACTTGATACGGTAAATCCATTTTGTGTCGATTACGTTCTGAGTTGGTGAAGGAGGGACCAAATCCCATGAACGATGAGCGATTTGAGCATCATACTCTGAGGACATCGACTTTCTCCAGTATTTGGATTTAAGAGCTTGCTTAAGGGTTCTGGGTTCTTTTTCTTTGTCGGTAGAGAGAAGAAGGCTGAATTTGTGTTTGGGTTTTGAGATATTATTTTTGGATCGGGTTATCATTTGGTGGGTATTTTCGGTTTGGTTTGGTTGATTTTGCTGGTTTGAATCGTCGGTTTGATTTGAGTGATTTGGCTGAGCTATGTTTTCTTGTTGGGCCTGATTTGAGGTTGGGCTTGGCTGGGTTTGGTCTGTGTTTAGAGAAGGATTTGGGTTATGTTCACGAGAGGTAGAAGAAGCCGATGTCGACGGTGAAATTGAGGAATCATCCTCCGGGATTGGATTTTCCGGCGGTGACGGTGGTGAAGAGGACGACGATTCGTCGTCGGAGGAATGTGGTTGAGCCGGTGGTGACGCGAATCCCGACTGGGCAGAGGCGGAGCTATCATCCGCCTGAGGACTTTGATGATTTGCATTGTCGTTGGGTGAAGAATCTGAGCTGGGAGCCACGGCTGATGACGCTGGCGGGACCGGAGGCTGAGCATCGATGAGTGGTAAGTTTGAAATAGAGGTGACTGTGGGAGTCCACGGAAGAGAAGTTTCAGAGGGAGTGGTGGAAATGGAGCGAGAAAGAGAGAGAAATGGATATTGTGTTTCATCGAAACGCACATGGCGTGAGATGTACAAACGATTTTGGGTGGGATCTAGACAGAGATAAGCGCTTTGTGTTAAGGAGTAGCCTAGAAAAACACAAGGCTTGGAGCGATTTTGAAGTTTGTTGGTGGTATAGGGACGAAGCCAAGGGAAGCAAAGACATCCAAAGATACGAAGTTTATTGTAGTTTGGTTCAATTTTGAAGAGCGTTTGAAGAGGAGAGTTGAGAGAAAGGGTTGGAGTGGGCATTCTGTTTATGAGATAGACAGCAGCAGCGAAAGCATAAGTCCAATATGTGTTTGGAATAGAAGCTTTGGTGAGAAGAGTTAAGCCAGTTTCGACAATATGACGATGTCGACGTTCAGCTAACCCATTGTGTTCCGGGGTATGAGGAGGAGAAGTGAGATGAGTGATACCTTTAGATGCAAGAAAATCACGGAGGGCAAGAAATTCACCTCCGTTATCTGAGAATAAGGTACCTATTTTTGTTTGAAAGCGGTTTTCAACTAGATGAGTGAAACGAACGAATGTTTCACGTACTTGAGACTTGAGTTTAAGTGGATAGAGCCAAATATATCTGGAATATTGATCAACGATAATTAAATAATATTTATAATTATCGATAGAGACTATGGGAGAGATCCATACGTCTGTAAAAAGAATTTGAAGTGGGCGAGTGGCAACAAGAGATGTTTGAGAAAAAGATAACTTATGACTTTTATTAGAAAGGCAATCACTGCAACATGTAATTTGAGATAAAGAAGAATCGGAAATAGGTAAAGAAAACTTTGTAAGAGTAGTTTTTAGGATAGAGTGAGACGGATGGCCTAAACGGGAATGCCAATCTGCCGCTGTCGTTTTATTATTGGTAGAGGAGGTAAAAAGAATTTTAGGAAGTGAACTTGGCCACTCATAGAGCTCATCCTTGGTGCGTCCTTGGAGTAATTGGGCCCCCGTGCTGAGATCCCTCACCTGAAAATAAGAAGGATAGAACTGAACCGTTACTTGGTTTGCATTGCATAGTTTATAAACTGAGATGAGGTTCTTTTTGATTGCAGGGACACAAAGCACATTATTCAAAGATAATGGACGTTGAGAGGAAGATAAGAATGTGGAACCAGTGTTTGTAATGGCCAAACCATTTCCATCGCCGATAATGACTTCTTCACCTCCGGTGTAAGGCTGGTGCAACGCAAGGTTTGCGAGATCAGAAGTAACATGATGTGTAGCACCGGAGTCTAGAAGCCACGGTGGGGTCACTTGAGAACCACTGGCTAAGTAATTTGCTCTTGGCTGCCACGGCTGAGGAGATGGGAGAACACCAGTGTTCTGTCGGGAAAGTTGTGGGCAACGACGAGCGCTGTGTCCTTGAACACCGCAAATTTGACACTTTCCAAGGTAAGGACGTGGCTGCCATGTGGTGTTGTTGGTGTTCGTTTGTTGCTGCCAAGGCTGATTGCGATTGTTGTTCTTGTGGTGTGGCTTGAAGCGGTTGGTGACAACATTGGCAGAAACAGGAAGCGATTGAGCTGGTTCAGAGGTGATGAGCTTGGCTTCATGGTTGATGAGTTTTTCATGCAACTCTGTTAGCGTTGGAGGTGCATCACGTCCTTCAACCTGATCAATGACGGATTTGTAATCCTCCGGCAGACCTTCGAGAACAAACTCAATTTGATCTTCAAGATCAATGACTTTGCCGAGAAGCGCGAGTTGATCAAAACGTGTGATAAGCCCTTGAAGGTACTCATCCACTGTTTTGGTTCCTTTTCTCCATTGTTTGAGTTGATGTTTCAACTGCTTAATGTGACCACGACTGGGTTTCGCGTATGTGGAAGCGAGTGTGTCCCAGATTTCAGTTGTGGTCGTTGCTTTTGAGAGAATGGGCTGGATGGAGAGGGAGATAGCACCGAGAATGGCGCTATAGAGGAGCTTGTCCTGTCGCTTGTAGAGAGCGTGAGCTGGATTGTTAGTGGCAGATCCGTTAATAGTAATGGTTGGATCTGGCGATGGTTTGGAACCATCGAGAAAGTGAGCCAATTCGTACCCGTCAAAGAGAGCGTGAACTTGGCGACTCCACATGATGTAGTTTGTGGCATTCAACTTGGTAACATTGGTCATGTTAACATGAAGAAGAGAGCCTTGCACAGTGGGGGTTTGAAGGGTGGGATCAGCGACACCATTGTTAATTGGTGGAGAAGTCATTTTTGAGCAGAAAAGAAGAGGAGAAAAACGAGAAGAAGGAAGAAGAAAAGAGGAGTTTTGAGCTAGGTATTGATAGCCTGCTCTGATACCATATAGAGAAGAGAGAATATTATGTATTGAGATAATTTGTATTACACTTGAGAGCTTTACATTTATACAAGAAAGCTATGGTGTAAACTAAGGAAAGACAATATTTACACATAAAGAAGAATGATATGAGCCGATGATGAAGGCAATCATATCACGATTATTGACTATCACATATCAATCATATTGATTGTATATTTCTAATATATATATCGATATGTAGTGATCACACACGAACCATCTTACCTTAATTAGCTAGTGTACGTGATCAGTTAAACATATCAATGAAGATGCACCGTGGCATATTGCTCGTGATCACACTCTTGGCCCTGATCAAGACCGCGGTTTCCTACCGTTATCCGATAGAGCAGTGCCGTGACGTGTTCGAGAGTTTCATGCCGTGCATGGGATTCGTCGAGGGAATATTCCAGGAACCTTCTCCTGAATGCTGCAGAGGCGTGACTCGCTTGAACAACATCGTCAAGTTCACGTCTCCAGTTACTATACTCTTTCTTGATCTTTCGGCTTCGGTTTCTTCTCACCATTGATTATTAGTTACCGGTATAGATATATATATATATATATATATATATATATATATATATATAGCCTAATTAACGGACGTTAATATATATGACGCAGAGATCGTACCGAGGGAGTGGAGAATTAGAGAGAGTGTGTGAATGCATAGAGATAATGGGAAGAGCAGATCATCCTCCTTTTCAGCCTCTTGCCATTAACAATCTTCCTCTCCGTTGTTCTCTTACTCTCAGCTTTCCTGTCTCCGTTGGAATGGACTGTTCTCAGTTATATTTCCATTATCCTCTCCATATCTTATTTTTTTATTTCCTATTCTTTATCCTAAAAATGTCAGTTTATTACATTTTTCCGTATGTGTAAAGGAGCTAATCAAGTTGTATTTTTCTGGTTACAGGTTTAGAAACACGAAGGATCCCGACGCTGGTAAATTAAATTAGTTTAAAAGTATATATGAATGTATGTTGGAAAGGGAAGATTTGTAATAGCTATGTTACTTATATGAATAGTCGAGTTTATTGTATTAGTGACTCGTGTTACAAAAGCAATCAAAGTTTTCTTTAAACGATTATGTATATTAATCAGCTGTCTTCTACTTCTTAATTCTTAGTAGTTAATATAACCATTATTGATAAGATAAAAAAGGAGTACAATATTGTTTCAAGAAAGAAAACCATAACTTGTAGTTAAACGACCAAATTTCTTGCTCTCTCAACATTTATACACACTACGCTATAAAGAATGGTATTTGTAATGCATATATCAATCATAGAAGAAGAAAAGCTTTTAGTTTTCTCCAAAGCTCTCCCTTGAAAAAGATTATAGTGATAGCAGATGATAACACATCAAAAACCTTAATTTGAGAAGCATCCTTAGGAAAGAAAAAATGGGAACAAAACTTTCACTTAATTTGCTCCATTGATGAATCTCAATTTGCCAATTGAAGATGTAATCCAACAATCGACTAAAATGGAAAGATATCAGTAATTAAGCAGACTAAACCTAAACAGCAGGAGGATTAATTTTACTTTGATCCAGAGATCCAGAGAGTGAAAACCCTTAAGACTTGTGAAAGAGTAAAAAAAGTTTAGGACATGACCGTTGTGGAGATTGGAGACATTTAAAGGAATTTAAAAGCATTCTTCTTTTCTTTTTCTAATGTATGTATTTTCTGTAAGTAAATTTCAAAAGGTTTCAGGTCCAAAATGGAAAAAACACATATTGGGAAAATTACGAAAATACTACTACATTCCACTGGCACGTTTCCTTCTGGGGGCCATTTTAAGGAACCGAATCGTTGTATCATGAATCCATGATGGCTGTTTTGAATAATTAAGTTATTTATTTTTGTTTATCAATTTTAGACCATATCGGTCGTTGTTGCAAGTGGCTAGGACAGTACAAGCACACACTCACTCACACCTACCAAAAAAAAAGGGAGATATATCACGCCTGACGCAGTTTAGAGACAGCTTAATTAAGCATTATGTCCCGGTACCAGTTAAAAATAGTGAGAAAATAAAATAAAGACTGGTTAGGTCTAACAAATTAACATATACAAATTGCATGATGACTTACGAAGGATACACGAGAGTTACATGTTTCTGTAAACTAGCCATCGTCTACTCCATATATAAACTAGTTAGTTAATATATATTTAAAATTTTAAAGGATATATATAGATTTGTGATGCAACACGGATCATCTAACTACCTTCGCTAATACCCATCAGTCGTCATAATCAGTAAGTTACTGATTAATTTACGATGCATCGTGCTCTATTGCTCATGACCCTTATAATCACATCCGCGGTTTCCTCGAACGACGAAGAGCAGTGTAGGGACATGTTCAAGAGCTTCACTGAAGGAATGTCTCTACAACCCTCTCCACAGTATTGCAGAGGAGTGAGCCACTTGAATAACGTCCTCAAGCTCACGTCTCCAATTACTGTAATTAATCGTTTCTTCTCCTTTTACTATTTATACGTTTTCTTTTCAACGTGACTAACCGGAGTTGCGATATGTAGTTGCAAGATTTGAAGAAAAATAATAAAGGGAAGGAAGGGCTAGGGAAACGGTGTGAATGCATGCAGTTAGAAGTCATTTGGAAAATAAGATGTGTAAGATGCGAACAAGACCCTAACACGAATGTAACCGAATATGAATCGCATGTGAATGTTTTATAGATCTCTATATATACCGAGATGCATCTTGTGAAAGATTATAGTATATATCTCTTAGTTGTTTCCTTTTATCTTATAGTTTCGTTTATACTTAGTCCTCTATTTCGATTGGGACTAAATCCATTAAAAGTTTTTCACAATGTTCTCTGTCTCTCCCCGACTAAAAATTCTAGCGACATAATAAATTTAATGTCTACTTATAACTGCCAAACAACGAGGTTCTGCTTTCCATATTTAATGATAAATTCAGTTTTGTCTTTGATTTGTAAAACGACAACTTACCTACCGCCACCACTTCTCTTGAACGTTTCCACTATATGTATACAATTTCATTGAGCTAAATACGTTTATTTTTATTCGAACCAAGTTGATCCTTTAATTAGTCGTCCAAATTGACAAGGCTTGACTCGAAGAAAACAAAAGAATAATCGGTCCATACAATAAGGATGCATCCGATTGATCGCCAGAGAGGGTAAGAGGTTTTCATACGTAAAACATAATGGTAAAAGATGACAAAATGTGTAGATGTAATTTATATAAATTTATAAATTGACTTTATAATTTCGATTAATATATTGAAATCACTAAAATACTATCATTACTATCACTTAGTTTGATTAGTTTTCGCACAAGTACTCATCAAACAAAAACTCTTGAATTAATCAAGAAAGGGTGGTTAAAAAGTGATCACTAAACCTCGGCTAGACAAATCACCAACTCTTTGGCCCCTCGTATATGTGTTTGATTGTTAATTAGTGCGATCTTTATCTTCTTGATGATCAAATGGAAGAAACTCTTAGGATAATTGTGTTTCTATAACATTGAACTACATGATGGTTTACCAAATGATTCTATTTTTATCCGCTTGACTAAACTAACTAAGCTTTTAAGTAGCTCTGGGCATTTCGGGACGGAAATCCCATTCCCACCTTTACCCGTTTAAAATTTCCTGAACTTTTCGGGAATAGGAATTTGCATTTTCCCGTTTGGGAACATTTATCTAATTCAAATGGATAAAGGAAGGGTAAGGGAAGGGTAAGAGATTTCCTGATTTTCCCGTTTACAAAATAAAAAATTGAAAATTAGATATTTTCTTCTTAAATATCCCAATTTTTCCCATATTTTCCCGAATTTTCCCATATTTTCCCGTATTTTTCCCGTAATTTTCCATATTATCTTCAATTTTCCCGATTTATTAAGACTTCGGGTATTATTTTTTGATTCCCAAAATTCCCATTCCCTTCCCATTCCCGTGGTTTCCCGTCCCGTTATAATAAGGGAATGCTTCGGGAATCATATTTGGTTTCCCGAATTTTCCATTCCCGTCCCATACCCGTCAATTCCCATACCAAAACCCGAAATGCCCAGGGCTACTTTTAAGATTTGGAAAAATCGGACGACTTGCAATTGGAAGGGACGAAGAAGACTCTTAATTTGAAAGTGAATCTATTATTAGTTCTGCCGACAAGAATATGTGGAGAATAATAAAATGAAAAAAAAAAACTATTATAGTACTTGGCTGTTACATTTAATTTAGAGATGGGAAACAACTTGTACACAATAATGTCGTAACAAAATACTATAAGGAAACCGACATCTTCACTAAACAAAGATCAAATAAGGACAGCTACGAATATTGATTTACAGGAAAAAAAAACTAAAGTTATAAATCAATGCTTAACTTAATATTCTGATAAACCTATAAAATTATAAGGACTTACTGTAATTCTTTACATATTAAATCTTAGAGAGTTGTTTAAAACGATTACGATAAACAAAGGGATTAAAATGAGAAAGAGGAAAAGTCGTGGGGAGAGAACGCGTTCGCATTGGACGACGCAGCCGATAGGCGATGATATGATTATGTTACAGTCACCCAGCAGTTCACATTTCCTTACATTCAAAGTCAAAATCACTTCATAAAACCCATCTCCTCTCTCTCTCTCTCTCTCTCTTGACTCTCTCCATTATTGTCTACTTCATTCATCCATCACACAACATTCATTCACACGCCGACGAAGCGTCGTCTTCTCAAGCTTTTCTCGGAATGGCAGGCAGAGAAATTCTCCATAAGATGAAGGTACGCCTAATCACTCTTTGATCTTTCACGGTGTTACTGTTAGATCTCCTTGATCTGATATGTCCTCACTCCATGTGCTCTGTTTCAAGCAGCTTCCTGATTTGTTTGAAGTGTTTATGGGCCTGGCTCTGTTGTCAGATAGTTACCCTTTGTTGTTTGTTCATGGTTTGATTCGTTTTCGTTCGTCTCTGCTTGGACCTGGAATCAGTTTGTCTGATGTCAGCAATTTCTCTTTTAGCTGAACTTTGAAATTCCTTTTTAGAGTGTTGACCCTTTGGAAAGTTATGATTTTTAGCTGATCCAATCGAAAATTTCACGAGCTTTTGCTTTTCCTGCTCACGGGTATGAAAGAATTTGACGAAATTCGACAGACTTGTTACTTTATTAGGCTATACTGAAAAAAAAACTGCTACTTGTGATAGTTTGTCTGTGGTTATGATAGTGTTCTGTGGTTAAAAGTCTAAAACTTTGCAAAGATGGTAGTTTTATATTCCTTTGTTGTGTTTATGATAGTGTTCTGTGGTTAAAAGTCTGAAACTTTTTGTTCATGGGTGTGAAGATTCTGTGAGTAGACACTGTTTCTGGATCTTTGATCTTGTGTGGTTGCAGAATTAAGTAACTCTATTGTTTTGCTCTGAATTATTTGTTTAAAGGCCGGGCTCTGTGGATCCACACCTGAAACGGGAAGAGGCAAAAGCAAGATGTGGAAGAACATCACACACGGTTTCCACTTTGTCAAAGGCAAATCATGCCATCCCATGGAGGACTATGTAGTATCCGAATTCAAGAAAGTCGAAGGACATGAATTAGGCTTGTTTGCAATCTTTGATGGTCACTTGGGTCATGATGTGGCCAAATACTTGCAGACTAATCTCTTTGACAACATTCTTAAAGAGGTAAAGTAAAATCTTTAACTTGACTCAAAAGAAAATCTAAAAAAGGCGAATCCTTTTGTTGAATTTCAACTTTGTTTTTGTTTTTTTCCTCAGAAGGAGTTTTGGAGTGATACGGAGAGTGCTATAAGGAATGCGTACAGATCAACAGATGCAGTGATATTGCAGCAATACCTCAAGCTTGGTAAAGGCGGATCAACGGCTGTGACTGGGATACTAATCGATGGTCAGAAGCTAGTGGTTGCTAATGTTGGTGACTCAAGAGCAGTGATGTGTAAGAACGGCGTTGCGCATCAGCTCTCTGTTGATCATGAGCCAAGCAAGGAGAGAAAAGAGATTGAGAGCAGAGGTGGCTTCGTATCAAACATTCCAGGTAAAGAGCTAACTAGTTATGGTGTCTTTCTTGCTCCTTGGATAAGCTGATGTTAACGATGTTTAAGTGTTGCAGGGGATGTTCCACGAGTGGATGGACAGTTGGCGGTTGCGAGAGCGTTTGGAGATAAGAGCTTAAAGATACATTTGAGCTCAGAGCCAGACATTACACACCAGGCTATTGATGATCAGACTGAGTTCATTGTTTTCGCCAGCGATGGTATTTGGAAGGTAAGTCTAATGAGTCTGTATTATGATCTTGCTTTGATTTAAGCAAAGTTTCTGATGATGTGTCGATGTTTGTAACTTGCAGGTAATGTCGAACCAAGAAGCGGTTGATGCGATAAAGAGCATCAAAGATCCACAGGCAGCGGCAAAGCATTTGATAGAGGAAGCTATTTCTAGGAAGAGCAAAGATGACATCTCATGTATCGTTGTAAAGTTCCACTAATCATTTATTCTTATTTTCTTTATCAGAATGCTTTTGTTTATTTGTCATCAAGTTTGCAAGATAGAGATATATATTTTCAAGTTGTGTGTAAAATCAGTTAATGAGATTTTCCAAAAGATGTAACATATTGAGTCTGTTTAGCATGTTTTTTTTTTTTTTTAATTTTCTTTTCACAAAAATCAATGGAATAAGAAATTGTGACAAGCTTAAGATACATAACAACAACATAAGAAATGTGTCTTCTTCTCTAACTCTTCTCTCATCTTCAAGTCTCCAATGCTCTGCAAAAATAGGAAAAAAAACAAGAGACAAAGTGATCCGGTTATGCTCAATCAAAACCATACCGAAAAATCCGATCCAAAAAGAGAAAGACAAAAGTAATAAACCGAACAAGAATGAAGAGATAAAGCCTAAACCGGATTAAGCATCAAAGAAATTGCGATTGGTTTGCAGAATGAAAACTTACAAGCGCATGTGTGGTCTTTAGCCATGGGGAAGCCACCACCGAAATGGCACTGATCGGAGAGAGCCAAAACGTCTGACCTGAGTGATACGACGGCTGTGGTCAGAAACTCCATACATCGGCAAAGCCTCCGTCTCTCCTTCGCCTGATCACGGCGGCTACTGAACCAGTGGCAGCACTCGGCGGTTGGCGGCGACTCCTCTTGGACGAAAAACGACCTGCACTCTTCCACCATCACGCTCGCGACGTCTACGCACTCCGGCGGCCAAGGACGGTACACTGCGTCGGTGGTTGTGACCGCAACGAGAAGGCATGTCATCGCAAAAGCTACTTTCATCATCATCCTTACCATGTACTAAATGTTTTTCTTTTGATGTTGGTGGGCTTATATCTACGTAAAACACGTTATCCTGACGCTGTCTTAAATACTTTTACCAGAAAATTTAATTCAGTAACGCATGCGTGAATTTAAATATTTAAAAAACAAAACGGTGATTAAAGATAAAACGAATTAATTATTTTGTGTAGATTTAACTTTCTTAACAAAAATTTTGGGTTAATATGTTGAATAAGGATGCCATGGTTAACGAAACAACATAAATTGGAAATTTGGGAGTTGACCAGTTTGTAGGATACTTTGACCAAATTTAAATTCGATAATGCATGCTAATTTCCATATTTTTTTTTGTGAATAATCTTTAGTAGAATTAAGATTGGTAATCTCTTAGAATTTCTTAAAAATTGGTAATAGAAAAACTTGGTAGGTTATTTGACAGCTGCAGCTAAAACTTTAACAAGACCATTTGGTCCATCGGCCAGTACTGGCCAAAGCGACCTATCATCGAATATGGACAATATATTCTGGCATCTGATCACCGACCACGTTGATTTGTCATCTATTAAATTTTTATATCATAATTTAAGTTATTCCATTAATAAAGTTTAATCACAAGATAATATTTTCGCATTTTATCACCAACTACATTCGTTGTCGTACATTTTTTTATGATGAAAAGGCCAAGAATAATTTTTGAAAAGATAAATCATTGTTCCCCGTAACATTTATTTATTCAGCTCCCTATATTTTTTCCGCAAGATACATAGGGGACATACATTTTATTCAGAATCCATAACTGTTTTTTAGTATGGCCATGTAGAGATTTAACATTTATTTTAACCAATACTGTCAAATTTTATAAAAAAAAACTTTGGGTGTCACTTGAACCCATAAAGCCTCAAGTGGCCTCACCAGACACATACCCTATAAAATAGTATTTGTTGTGTATATAAATGTAGCATTGAACTTAGTATCCATAAGTTCATAAATACCTTCTCTTATTTTGAAACTTTGTCTAAGTAGTCCAACTCGGAACCATGAGCATGAACCTGTTCGTTCCTTCGTTTGCAACGGACCAAGATGAAGAAGTTGAACGCAACATGGAGCCGCAGACGCTGCCCGCTGGTGGCGCCTGGAGGTTCAAAGGCAACAATGCGGCCAAAGAAGCGGCCAGCGTCTCAATGAAAGGTACCTTAACCAGGTTATTCGACAACTGCAGCCACGACCTTAACAAGACCATTTTGCCCCTGGGTCACGGCGACCCTACCATTTACCCTTGCTTCCAGACTTCCGTTGAGGCTGAGGATGCGGTCGTTGAGTCGTTACGTTCTGGCGGCGCCGCCAACTCCTACGCCCCCGGGATCGGTATTTTACCGGCCAGAAGGTAACTAATAAGATACTAGTTGCATATACTATTGTGAGATTATATATGTATACGTATGCATAGTTTTAAAATTAGGTGTACACTTAAACAACTTGTTTCTCGTGTTTGTGAATCTACACAGATAGACGTTTAAATCAGTCCTAATGAATCAATGAGTGCAGTTCTTAATAGTTTTTGGAAATTGGTCATAGAGCTTTACAGAATTCGACTTTACTTTGTCAAATAATTCCATAAACTATTAGTGGGGTGAACAAACCACATGAGCCTAGTTATCACTTATCCACACTGTTAGTGGGGTGAACAAACCACATGAGCTAATAATTCGTTTTTTTCTTTTTCTTTTGTGATTGTTAGTTACTTTCGAAAAAAAAAAATATATATATATATATATATATATATATATATAAAATATCAAAATAACTATATAACTTAATACATATTCTTAATCTGTGACTGTTCTTTTACAACATCACTAAAAGTAAGATATTACATCATATATTTGAAAAATCCATATTAAATCATTTAAAAGAAAAGATATATATCAAAAAACTACCAGTAAAATATATTGTTGGATTTTCCAAAAGGGAATAATGTTAGTTTAGTCTTATACGATATGATCTCTAATTAAGACTATTAATAAACTCCTATAAATCTAGGGCGGTGGCGACATATCTTAACCGGGACCTTCCAAATAAGATAAAATCAGATGATATATTTCTGACGGTCGGGTGTTGCCAAGGGATAGAGACCATGATTCATGCTCTCTCCGGACCAAAGGCCAATATCCTGCTCCCAAGTCTTGTATATCCTCTATACCATAGTCACGCAATACATAGCTTAGTCGAGATTCGAAAGTACGATCTCCTACCTGAACAAGACTGGGAGATCGATCTTCAATGCATTGAAGCCATTGCAGATGAGAACACCATCGCCATTGCGATAACTAACCCGCACAACCCATGTGGAAATGTCTACACACATGATCATTTAAAGAAGGTGAAATTTAAGTGTCTTCACTTTAAAATATACTTTCTTTGAACTTCACTCTCGTGTTTATGTTACACTTTGTTATGATATATATAGGTGGCCGAGACAGCAAGGAATTTAGGGATCATGGTTATTTCTGATGAAGTTTATAATAAAACTATATATGGAGAGAATCCATTTGTCCCGATGGGGATATTCTCATCGATTGTTCCTGTGGTTACACTCGATTCCATTTCCAAGGGATGGCTCGTCCCTGGATGGCGAATAGGTTGGATTGCGATGAATGATCCCTATAATGTTCTCAAAACCACCGGGGTTAGTTTTCAATCTTTAAATTATCTTTAGTTATTATTAAGTTCTCACCATCTTAGCTTATTGGTTTAGACCAAAAGCATGTGACATTTTGAACATAAAATGTGATATATTTGTTGTGGATAGGTCGTTGAATCCATCAAAGAGCATCTCGACATAAGTCCTGATCCATCGACTATTCTACAGGTTTGTTGATACTTTATGTTTCATAACACATGCAAAAATGCAATGAGTTACATGTAAATAAAATAGCTAATGTGCCGTCCTTTCTAATTCGAAGTTTGCACTTCCAAACATCTTGGAGAATACAAGGAAGGACTTCTTCGAGAAGAATAACTCGGTACTCAGTCAAAACGTAGACTTGACGTTTAATGCCCTCAAAGATATCCCTTGCCTCGTTTGCCCCAAGAAGCCCGAGTCGTGTACTTACTTAGTGGTACCAATTTCTCTTTGATTTTTACCAACATGTTTTTATTTTAATTTTTAACTTCATCAACATATCGTTATTTAAAAGTTAAAAACAAAATACAGATAATTTATGCAAACTAACTATATACATATTATATAAACTATTCAATTTTTAGGAAACTGTCATAATAAAAAACATACTTACTAATGAATAGTACGTATACTTGGTAAAAATCCTAATGTAATCTATATACAATATCGCAGGCGAAACTGGACTTATCACTCTTGGAGGACATCACAAGTGACGTTGATTTCTGCATGAAACTGGCCCGAGAGGAGAATCTTGTCCTTTTACCTGGTAATTAACCATCATAATTTACATTATCTAATCTTTTCAAGTAAATATGTTTTTTAATAGAATATAAAATGATATAGATATGGACTCATTTGAAATACAAATGCAGGAGAGGTATTAGGACTGAAGAATTGGGTGAGATTTTCGATCGGAGTTGAGAGATCGATGATAGAAGAGGCTTTCGTGAGGCTCAAAGGCTTCTTCGCTCGCCATATTAAATCACAACCCACTTAAAAACTCAGCTTCATTGTCGGAAACTAAAAAACCCTTTATCTTTCTATTCTGTTCATTTTCATTTCGATTATGTTAAACTTTGGTTTACTGTGTTTGCGTATGCTTTTCCGTCGGTTAAAACGTGGTTTTAGTCGAGTCAAAGCATGATGGCGCGAGATTATATCCTTAAGCCATTTTGGACTTAATATAATATGACGAGTTGAGGGAATAAAGAATACACGACGGCGACCACTTTGTTAAAGAATATTACATTGTTTTAGAATTCAAGGCGCTATTCATCTACTTTACATAGCTTATTTCTGAATTTCTACTCTTTACTGGTTAATATGTAATGAATAATACGTTAGTAGTTTATTAAAAATTATGACGTGCCGTGGACAATTTCGATTGTCTAATTACTTATAAAATGTTTCTTTTTAAGTTGATACATGTGTTATAACTTATTATAAGTCTAAGATGTGATGTGCATGTATGAGTTGTAGATCATATGTATGTATAAGTCTAATTCATGTCATTTGAACTAGGTGTCTGTCACCAATACTCACACGTTTCATGAATCAACTGAGGGCATATTGCTCTGGAAAAAATCAAAGCATTAGCAAAGTAACATATAACGGAATTTTCACGTCAACCAAATAACTTTTGTTAACTTATGGGTCAAGCCCGTCACCGATGATACCATTATATATAATCCAAAGTCTATAATTCAAAAGTGTAGAAAGTCTGCGATTGAATGTTAAAATTTGATCCAAAGACTTTCAACTGTTCTCTCTTCTTCTATAAATACTTTCTTTTAACCTCTTCATATAAGCATTCAGCTTCAATAATCTACAAGACTCCTAGCGAACAAGTTCAAAAAAAAGACAAAAAAGTACAAAATGAGCCACCACAGCCTCCTCGTAGTTCCTGCCCAAACCGAGGAAGAAGCTGAGACGCAGACGCTGGACGCCTCCGACAACAGCGTTTGGCGTTTCAGGGGAAGCGACACGGCAGCGAAAGCCTCCAGAGTCACGATGAGAGTCGTCGTCTACAAGCTCTTCGACCTCTGCACCCTGGACGTCAAAAAGCCTCTTTTACCCCTCGCACACGGTGACCCTTCTGTGTACCCTTGCTACCGTGCCTCCATCCACGTTGAGAACGCCCTCGTCGACGTCATCCGCTCCGGCAAGGGTAACTCTTACGGCCCCGCCGCAGGAATTCTCCCCGCCAGACAGTAATATATATTCCCTCTTACTTTTTCTTACACTTTAATTTGTTATAAAATTTGATAAACTAAACATTCATTGAATGTGTTGTTATTTAATCAGGGCGGTCGCGGATTACGTGAACCGTGACTTGACGAACAAGGTAACGGCTAGTGATGTATTTATGACGGTCGGATGCAACCAAGGGATAGAATTGGTGATTCAATCGCTAGCTCGACCAAACGCAAACATCCTTCTCCCACGGCCTAGTTACGGTCACTACGAGGGTCGTGCCATCTACAGTGGACTCGAGGTCCGCAAGTACGATCTCCTTCCAGAGAACGAATGGGAGATTGATCTCCAAGGCATCGAAGCCATGGCAGATGAGAACACTGTCGCAATGGTTATTATAAACCCTAACAACCCCTGTGGAAATGTCTACTCTTACGAGCATCTCAAAAAGGTGGCGGAGACGGCTCGGAGGCTGGGAATAATGGTGATCACCGACGAAGTTTATAGCCAGACAATCTTCGGAGACAATCTATTTGTTCCAATGGGGATGTTTTCTTCGATAGCTCCGGTTATCACGTTGAGCGGTATATCGAAAGGATGGATTGTTCCTGGTTGGAGAATTGGCTGGATCGTTTTCAATGATCCACAAGGCATTCTCAAGTCCACTGGGGTCTGTTATTTATCTCCGATCATCATCTTTCTCATTTTTGTTTTGAAGCTTGTGTTACAAGTAATCACTCTGTTTTTGTTTTCAAACCTTGATAGGTGGCTCAATCCCTCCAGCAGAATCTTGACATATCTCCAGACGCTACCACAATGGTTCAGCTAGCGCTTCCCGAGATTCTGTTGAAGTCGAACAAAGAGATGTTTGCGAAAAAGAATTCGATACTGAAACAGAACGTGGAGTTAGTCTGTGATAAGCTCAAGGACATTCCTTGTGTCGTCTGCACCAAGAAACCTGAGTCATGCACTTACTTATTGGTACCAACAACAACCTCAATTTTTTTGACTCTTGATGATTCTTGGATGGTTTCGAATGATTCTTAACCCCAAGAAAAAAAAACTTGCAGGCGAAGTTGGAGCTTCATTTGATGGAGGACATAAAAGACGATATGGATTTCTGTATGAAGCTAGCCACTGAAACAAACCTCGTCCTTTTACCAGGTACTACTAACCACATTTAAAGAAATGCACATAAAAGTGAAATGATTAGTTTCAAAATTTTCAAGATTTTAACTTTTTCTTGGTTTTTGCAGGAGTGGCTTTGGGATCCAAGAACTGGATAAGGATAACAATCGGAGTAGAAGCTCAGATGCTTGAGGATGCAATGGAGAGGCTCAGCGGCTTCTGTCAACGCCATCTCAAGAAAACAGAGACTTCTTTCCAAGCTCTGAAGCTGAGTGAGAATGGCGAAACCTAAACAACCACTTACCTATGAACTATATTATACACAACTAAATAAAGATGTTATTACCTTACCATGGCATTTCAATTACAAAAGTCTGTTTTTTTGTGAGTGTTAAATCTGATTAATTTGTTTGTTTCAAGTCATTAATTACCTAAAAATCCAATAAATAATATCCTTGATTGAACATGAAATTTTTAAGAAATGAAAAGATATATATCTTTACCGTTAAAAGAGACGGGCCGGTCCCACTTTACCGCCGTCAACATTTGAAAATTAGGAAAGATTGTCTTTTTCCTTTTCGTCATCAACGGCTCTCTGATCCACAGTAGCCGGAAACAAAGCAGAGAGACACACTCCAACAGACATGAAAAGAATCAGATTGTCGGAGTAGAAGAAGAATCCCCAAATCACATCTTCAAAAAACCCTAATAAATTCAATAAGATTCCTCTCATTTAACCACCTCAGATTCGAAAATTTGTTCCCATTTCCAGCAAAAATCCCAAATACACACATATAATGGACTCCACAACACCTCCTTCCCTCCGTTCGAACCCTAGATCCGCGTCGCGACTCGCTCGAGTCAACAACACTCTCATCAAATCCGACCGAGAATCGCCGATTCCGTCTCTCGATTTGGTTCTATCGTCTCCGAAGAAATACGATACTCCTTACCCATCACCCGCTTCCCTCATCAATTCCCCGTCTTCTCCTGTCACTCTTCGAGAGATCCTCCTCTTATCTCCTTCCCCTCTCCGTAAATCGAGAACTCGTTTATCTAATCGCTTCGACATGGAAGCTGCGGATGCGGTTGCGCGAAGGTACAAGACGAAGGGAGGGCAAAATGGTCTTTTGGGATCTGCTTCGCCGAGGAGCTGCCGGAGATCGAGACGAAGGTCGGAGATTGTGGTGGAAACGAAGGAAGAGAAGGAGCTTCCTATTGTTGCCTTGACCGATGAAAAACCACAAAAACCGAGAAAGCAGAAGAAGACTGGTCGATCTAAGAAGGAGAAGCACATTTCGATTCCTTCGTTACCATCTGATCAAAGTAAAGTCCTTCAATGATTCTGCTCAATTTTTTTCATAGTGATGCATTGTGCTCAATAATTCTGGTATGGTTATGTAATCAGATGAAGAGGTATGTCAAGGCGATTTGGAGAGGATCAGAGAGAATCTCAGCGATTTGATCATGTGGAGAGATGTTGCGAAATCGACGCTCTGGTTTGGTTTTGGATGTATATGTTTCTTATCTTCTTGCTTTGCTAAAGGATTTCACTTTAGGTACTTTGATTCATTTCACTATCAAGATTTTAGCTTCATTCATTTGATCACATTTTGATAAATTCATGATGAGACTTTTGTGTGTTTTGAAGTGTTTTCTCAGCGATCTCTCATCTTGGACTTTTGTTTCTTGGTGTATCGTTTTTGTCAAACACTCTACGCCAAAGGTACTAATCTTTTAGCTCCTGGTACATACAAAAACCATCTTGTAAGTCTTAATTGAAGTGTTGATACATTTGTTTCTTCTTGAAGGTTAACTGAAGAAGCAGTGCGGAGAGAGCTTAAACTGAGTGAAGAGGATGTGTTACGAGTAGCTAGACGAATGCTTCCATTCACCAATTTAGCGATTTCAAAGACGAGCGAGCTTTTCTCTGGCGAACCAGCAATGACACTCAAAGTAGAATTTACAAACATTTCGCCATTCTCATATTCTCTGATGAGTGTGAATCACCGTTGAATTTGTTTTTCTTATGGTGTTTTTATTTTGATTTCAGGTTGCACCATTTGTTCTACTCGGAGCTGAGTATGGTTACCTCATAACATTGTGGAGGTTGTGTGCATTTGGTATGATTGTTTGGAACACTAAATGTCAACAAAGTGAATCTTTTGTGTTCTTGTAGTTGTGTATCTAGTAGAAATGACACAAAGTATGGTTTTGTTGGCTGAAACAGGTTTTTTCCTCAGCTTCACCGTTCCAAAGCTATATTCTTGTTATGCGAGTCAGATTAACCAAAAAGGTAAACTCTTTTAATAGATGTTAGATTCTCTGTGATGAATCCGATGACCCTAAAGTAAGAATCTTTGGATCTTTGCTTTTGTGTAGTTGAAAGTGCACAAAAGAGAATAGTTGAAGCATGGGCGATTTGCACACACAAGAAGTTCGTGGCAGGCTCTTTGATTACTGCCTTCTGGAACCTGACTAGTCTCAAGATCCGTGTTTTCACAGGTAACAACATCACTGTTTTTTCGTATCTGAGATTGTTGACAGTAGTGAATAAGTTTCCAAAACTGATCTCTTTAGACATTTCGATTTTGCAGTGTTTATCATTGTGGTAGTAATCAGATACAGGCGGCAGAATCTTCAGTTAGATTCCAAGGAAGAGGAGAAGCATCAAGAACAACAAACTCTCCCGGAGCAACAAGAAAAATCACCGGAGGAAAAGTCACCGTCGCCACCACCGCAGCCAATAGAGGAAGAGCAAGCATTAGCGGTGGTCGCAGAACCAAAGAAGCTGTAGTGTCTTTTGTGTTTTTGCACCTATGAGATGCTTTCACATTTATGTAGTATAAAACAAAAAATAAATAGCTTCATTAATGAGTGTGATTTGTAACGATGAAACGTGATAAATAAATACCAAATTAGACTATGACACGTGGCAAGCTCATGGATACCGCAAAGCAGGTGATAACTACACTCAGTCAGTCCGTCTTGGGAGAGAGAGCATCATCGTCTTTCTTTATAAACCCTAAATTCCCATTTCCCAAACCTCTATCGATTCCACAATTAGGGCGAACGTGAAACCTGGTTTAGTAGATTTGCGAGCGTTGATAGCGATGGCGACGACAGGGACTGCAGCGGTTGCGACCGGAACGTCGGCGGCGAAGAGGAAACCGGTGTTTGTGAAGGTGGAGCAGCTCAAGCCTGGAACGAAAGGTCACACATTGACTGTTAAGGTCATTGATGCCAATACGGTGGTTCCCGTTACCCGGAAGCCTCGCCCGGCGAATTCTCTGAGTCGTCCTTCTCAGCCCAGCCGAATCGTTGAGTGTCTCATCGGCGACGAAACCGGGTGTATCCTTTTCACTGCTCGTAACGATCAAGGTTACTCACATTCTTCACTTTTTGCTTATCAAGGATATAGAAATGGTGTCTTCGTATTGATAAAGTCTGGTCCTTTTGTTAGTCTCTCGTTTATCTCCGTCGATTTCTGTTCCCATTTTTCTTTCTATTTTGAGAAATTGGTGGAAATGTGTTGATGCAAGTCTTATTTGATGAATGAAGCTAAACTAGGGATGAGTCTATGTGAATAATGTGCCATTGAATCTGGAGTTATGTTGAGTTTAATGTTCCATAGGATTCAAAAAAACATTCACTGCTTAGCTGAATCTGTAGGACAGTTAGTATTGATGATGGTACTGATTAATTCTTCTTTGTGTATAGTTGATCTGATGAAGCCAGGCGAGACGGTGATACTGCGCAACTCGAGGATAGACATGTTCAAGGGTACAATGAGGATTGGGGTTGATAAATGGGGACGCATCGAAGCCACTGAGCCAGCAGCTTTCACTGTCAAAGAGGATAACAATCTGTCTCTCGTGGAATATGAACTGATTAACGTTGGTGGTGATCAGTGAATCTTCCTTAGTATGTTTATGGCAAGTTAACACCTGAGAGGACTTTGAATTAGTTGATGACTGGTGGCAGAGATGCTTGTAGGAATGCTTTCTTTTTCCTTTTACCCTAAAACACGAAGTCGTGATCTCTGTTTGCAGAATTGTCGAGTCAGTGGTAATGCGAATTGTTGCTTTTTAATTTGGGTTGATGTAAGTTAAAGACCTTGAGAGCTTTGTTCCCTATCTAATACAGTATCAAGTTTTTCATTCTTAAACTTGCTTTTATATCTTTCTGCTTTGGTACATTTGCTTGCCAAAGATCTAATCTCAGTCAAATCTTGTGTTTACTTATTTTGTGAAGTATAAAATCCATCTATATTCTATGGCTCGTACTCGTAGATTCATCAGCTTAAGATCACCCAATAAGAGCCATGAACACGATGACAAGTGATGTTCAAAAAAACCAAAACCCGAAATAGGCATATTACTTGTAGCATATAGAGAGGTTTACAAGAGAGCAAAAGTATTCATGTTCCTAATATAGTAATATTACCCTCACTATAACATCATTCTTTAGTGTATGGGAATAAGAACAAAATCGAGACAGAGTAAGCTCACTCCACTTCTTTGATGATCCTGCTTCGACGATAAGGTTTGGCGATAACTTTTCCTGGAGCACTGTGAGCTTTAACTCGGGCCTGTTTCCTCCTCTTTGAATCGTTAACGGCTTGAATAATCCCTCTTGCTTTGTATATTGGTTTCGGCAAGTGCCTGTGCCTGAATTTCACAATATCCAATAAAAAAATCACCATGTTAACTATGATCTCCAAAGTTTAGAAACATCGGAAAAACAGTCTTTGGGTCCTGGTCGTGTACCTGACAATACGCTTGATCTCAGGAAGATGTTTGTACCGGTTCTTCACAGCCTCATTGTACTCATGCTTCTTCTGTTCCCTTGGAAGTATCTGCAACACACCACACCAAATCAACATATGAGACTTTACCTTCAGAGCTGGAGCGTCTCACAATCAAATGCTAGTGTAACAAAAGAAAAGGCACGGAATCTTACGACTCCCAACTGCTCTGATGCTTTGGCCTTCCATAGCCTGAGATTAGTGTCATCACTGCCTGATATAATGTAGGTAGCATCGCAGCTGTACTTGACACAGAATACTCTACAAGAAAAAATAAACACGTTAAGATACAGAAATTGCGTAGACTAAACAGAGTTTGTTGAAGTATAAGTAGAGTTAATTACTAGATTTTTACCTCTGCATTCTCTTTGTGTGGTAGATTTCCCTGCTGTGTCCTCCATTGTATGGGAAGATTCTCACCGATCGATCATAAGAACCCGTAACAAATTCACGACCAGTAGGTGAAAAATCAATATCCATCCTGGAAAATGATGAAATAAGAAAAATCATATAATGCAATAGGATAATATATTTTGTTGAATTTGTAGGAGCTACTTGGGATTTAACATTCTTACACTGCAGAAACATGATCTTTATGCACACACTTGGCTTCGTCCAACTTCCTACCGTCAAAGCTATAGCAATTGCCATCTTCATTAGCCTATTCAGTTTCACCATATGATAACATATGACACATAAGCAAACGTTAAAATGCAGAATCCCTCCAGTTAGCAAAGACCATCAGAGAAATTTCTCTTTATGATTATCACTTACAGCTGTCAGGTTCATCGGCTCCATAGGGTTCCATGCGATTGAATTTGTTTTCGTCTGCCCAAAAGATAAGCAATTCACAGGTCAAGGTTGTTACATGAAGAATTGAAAATAGTTACATATGAAGAGAATGAGCGAACGAATTTCGACAATACCATCATGATAATTTTCCTTGCCGCATTGGCCATGCGAATATCATAAATGGTTATGCTACGATCACTGGACAAAGCGAAAGTCACTTAAAGTGTTAGAGAAGGCTTGTGGAATGTCTAGCTCAGATAATTACATAAGATATACAAGTATAAAGTAAATAATACCTAGCAGATGTTGCCAATATATCAGGCTCTCCAGGATTAAACCGGACAGATATTACAGAGTCATTTCCCCATTGGAAACTCTGAACTGGCTGAGACCTAATTGCAAAAAGATAGAACGATAAGGACTTGGTTAAGTTCAAGTAGAAATAAATATCAGAGATATCTTTTAGCAGGAGTCTGAGTACCTATTATGATTCCATATGTCTAGTTGAGCTCCAGCCGTAGCAAAAAGTTCACCTTCAAACTGATGATCAACAGCCCTAGAAATGAAAGAAAGCGTAACAGCTCAAGCTTGGTAGACCGAAAGAAACATGACAATTGAATGAAAATGGTAAGAGGTCTACCAGAACGCATTCTTCCAGACATAGACCTCAGATGGCTGAAATAATAAATGGAGTAATAAGCTTTGTTAGTCAGATGAAACGTTACAATTCTTCAAAAGTCTCTTTACGATAAAATGTTATAAGAAAGTTGACAAAGAACAACCTCAACGGCGTTTTCAGATGAACTGCTAGAATCTTCAAGCGAAGGACGGGGAACATTCCACAAACGAACACTGCATAATTACCATTCATCTTAGTTCGACAGCGTGTAATCCGGCCAAGGATAGAAAGACATAAAACAATCAATTCTTATATCTTACGTGGAATCAACTCCGCAAGAAACCAATACTTTGCCATCAGTTGATGCTGTAAGTCCACGCACAGCACCTTGATGACCAGGAAAGTGGCATACTGTGCGCCTGCTCGTTCCAAGTTCAAATTAGTTAACCGGAAGCACAGAACATAGAACTTAACACAATAAATACATAAATACTGAATGAACTTCAAATTAGTTTCAGAATAGTAGAGATCTAGTTTTCAAGATTCTAACCTGGTAGCAATATCCCAAAGGCGAATATCTGCAGAGAAGAAACATCGTATAAGTTCCAGTTGAAGGATAAAAATAGCCAACTAACATAAATTTCTACACTAGTAACAAACTTAGAAACCAAACTTTGAGCAAAATCACGATGCGCTTAAGCTGTATAACCTTGTAAAATTGTGGCATTGGCAATTCATTATGTATTGATGATCCATTTCCACATATCATATCATCATCTAAGTTTACATTAGAGTTATAGACTTCCAGAGAACAAGAGGTAGATGTTTACCTCCATCCATAGAAGCAGAGAAGATTCCTTTCAGGTAATTAGGGTTCTTCGCCATACAAGAGATTCCATCTCGATGCCCATCCATTGCATCAATAAACGGTCTTGCAAATATCTAGAGAAGAGCAGCAAAGACAAAAAAAAACATAGGCAACTTTGAGAAAATTTTCTAAAAGCTAACTAACACTAAAACAGAAGAATAAAGGCAGCTAATTTCAGCTACCTTCTCTAATTTGGCAGCTGTGAGAGCTCTCTGGTATTCAACGGCCTTCTCCATTGGTCGAAGACTGGGGTCGAAGTTGTGAAAGACGCGCTGCAATCACCACAAGTTTCAAAATTGATAAGATTGTGGGGGAGAAATTGAGGTAAGAGTGTAGACTGATCCCTAATTTTGTGATATGCGGTCGAATTGGGTATGCAAATTACCTGAAGATCCTGACTTCTTTCTCGGGTGAATTCATCAACCGATCTCGATATCACCTTAATCTTCATTGCTTGCGATTACGTTCACGGCGAAGACAAACGGGGAGAGAAAGAGTGTATAACAGAGGTTCCAGACAGATAAACCCTAGAGGTTTTTTGGAAGGAGACGAAGCAGACGAATCTTATGGGCCTGAATCAACAATAATTTCAATGGGCCGTGTATATTTTTTTTGTATTTATATATATTTGAAATTACATATTGTTTTTTGTTTGAAGAAAATAACTTTTTGTGAATTTCTTTGTTTTCAAATAGTGGATATATCTTTAAAGTCAAGAACTGATATATATCAATACTAATATGTTCTGATTTTACGGCAAGAAGTCCAAATTTTTCTGGTTAACAAAAATAAAATAAAATAAAAATGTGCATGAGCTTTGAAGAGTTCAATAGCGTAGCACAATCATATCCCTTGGCATTTGGACAAGTCAAATTCTCATGGTTTGAATTTCAAGCTTTCTTCAGATTAAATAGTCTTAGATGCACACATTGAAAAAAAAAAAAAAAAAACTGAAAACAACGCTCTTTGAAGTTGAATAGATATGCTTATGTGACTACAAAGCTAATATTTTTCTACTGAACAACAAACACACATTCAAACTTCAAAGCACATGAGAGAGAGCTTTGCAAGTATTTAAAAAGGAAAAAAGCCACCAACCAAACACTTTGTTCTTTTTTTGTTTGTATTTTAATTAATGATCCAATCTCATTTACCTTTACCTACTAACACATTATGGGTTTTTTGACAATGTTTCTCCCCCCCCAACCTAAAGTGGTGAGAGAATTGTGTAGGTGAAACTGTGAACTGGTCTTCTTGCAGTACCTTTAGTAGTCAATTCGTGACTTCCGCGTTAAGTTTCAAAACTCAAACCATGACTTTTCAGAACAAAATAAGCATGTGTTTTCTTTTGTGATATAAATCTGCTAAATCATCGTAATCGAAATATTTTATTGGTATGTAATATATCTTGTAAGAATTAGATAAATTTGAAAAAAAAATATATAATAAATAGATAGAATTAAAAAAAAAAAATTGTAATCAGAATTCAGAACTCGAGCGACAAAATTGTAATCAGATATGTATGGGTATAAATGTAATTACACAAATCGCAAAGTGTAATTAGCTAGAGCGACTCGTTCAAGTCACAATACTTGGTCAACACGCAATTCGTTAGATGGCGCCGGTAAAATCCGACCTAAGTGATGAACTCGTGTGTCACGACCGCTTCCTAGTAACTTAAGCATATATATACACATTCTCCCTCTCATTTATCTGATCCAACATAACCCATAACTTGTAATTTTCTTTGCCAAGCAAACTAAAAAAGAAACCTTTTTTTTTTCCTCTTGGGAAAAAATTCCTGATTACTTCGAAGCCCTTAACATACAAAAATAGAGTAAAATCAAAAAGATGATGAGAGTTAGTAGGTCGACTGTTTTGATTGTGGTGTTGGTGTTGGCGTTGTTGGTGGTAGAACACGTGGTGGTTCCAGCCGCGGCGGGGAGAGTTTTAACGGAGAAGTTGGGAGAGGGAAGAGTGACGGTGATGAGTGTGGAGAAGATGAAGTCGACGGTGGATTCCTGGTTTCAGCGTTTGGCGTCGGGTCCGAGCCCGAGAGGTCGCGGTCATTAGATTACCTTCTTCATCTTTTTATTCATTTTTTCTTTATGGCTGTAGGAGATTGATTAATCTCTCGATATACCATAGGTATACCAAAACAAACGGTCAAAAACTGTAATCCATTCATTTATTTCTTTGTTCGTTTTCGTCGGGAACTAAACCCTCAATATTGAGATAGATGTATATAAATTTACTTTTGCTGGTTGTTAATTTCAATAAGAAGATTTTCTATTCACTGGCTTTTAATTTGTGGTAGTTGGTAACGAAGATATGGGAAGTTTGTAAACGAGTGAGTCGTGCACGCCATATATGAATAATACGTAGCAGGCCAGGTCACTCTCTGCATTTTATAATACTTAGTTTTTTGCCAATTCATCAAGACATCGAGAAGAAGCCTTTGCATGTCTCAGATCGAAGTTGGAGTGCGAATAAAGCATGAGCAGGTTTCATAAAAACGGGAAATTTGAAACTTGTTCAACTTTAGAATATGATAAAATGCACAAAAAGTTGCTACACAGTGCAGTCAAGCGATTTTGTTTTCTAAACGGTGAATTGTAAAGCTAACCACAATTCCTGGGAACAACAACGACAGAAAAAACTAGAAGAAAATTAAAACCATAAGTCATCCTGAAAGTAATCAAAGCCTCTTTTTCTTCAGATGACCTCTCCCTTCAAACTTGTGCACTCATTCCTCTCTGTAGTCTGGATTTTCTTTCAATATGATGAATCCTTCTAAGATGGGCGACAATGGAATGTACCTGCCACGCAAAAAAACCCCAAAATTCTTAGATTCCAAGATGTTGAACAGATATATGCTTCGAGTAGGAATATGGTTAAGAGGAACAACATACTTGTCTGTTGCAAGTTCAGCTCTTTCCCCAGCAGCAAGGAGAACGGGAGTCGAATGGGTTTGGAACCCAGTGATCGTCTTGGGACGACCTGCCTGTCCAACAACGTCAACGGCTTGTCCGATTCGCACAGGCACCGAGATTGGCTTCAGGTTCTCGTCCACCGTAAGCATCATCCTCGGCTACACAATAAAACCAAATAGTGTTAGTAGAAAATCATTGCTTAGACTCAATTACAAAAACCCATCCGATAAGTGCACTCACCTGCATCGCCAAAACCAGGAAGTAGAGAACATAGTGGTATTTCCCAAGTATGATGGATTTCATGTCGAGGCAAGCGTGCAACAATGTCACGATACCAGCAAGCGCAGTTCTGATTACAAAATACAACACACATGTTAAGGACTTACAACGGTGAAGCAGCTTTGAAAGCCAAGTATTCATAATTTAGACTGTAAAACTTACGGAGATAACAGAAGCCTCTCGGAGTGGAAGGGAGTGAGAGTTAAGAGACCCTTTCCCATATGCACTAGGCCTTGAGCAATACGCACCTGCATTAGTAGGAGTTAACACAATGAGAACAAGCCTATCAGTAGAAACTGCGGTTATTGCACGAAAACAAAAGTTAACACATTACAAAGAAAAGAAGGCTAGGATCCTTGTAGTAATAGCTGGAGAGACTTCTAAGCATTCCAGCAAGCCTTGCATTGTTGGTTCCAGCGCCGATCAAACCCAGGGAAATAATTGCTGACTGTAGGATCCAGATGAAATGTCAGTCAAACACCAGCAAATCAAGCCAGGGAAATAATTGCTGACTGTAGGATCCAGATGAAATGTCAGTCAAACACCAGCAAATCAAGCCAGTGAAATAACTTATACCACAGCCGTGAGTGGAGAAAAGAGAACTCACCATGGCAACTTCTGAATCTGTGTCATGGCTAAGTCGGCTCAAGGTGTCCATGACAGCCATCTGGAATTGTGGAAAATATTAGAGAATGACAGCAGTATTCTTAAGCAGAAACGTAAAACTAGATTTTTCAGAAAAAAAATGTATATTCACCTTTGGGTTTGATATGCATAGGAGACCGAGAGCCAAAGGCACTGCACGCCGAACGTTCTGTTCTCCATATTGTAGCACGCGCTCCAGAGAACGGATCTCCATATCAAGACCCAATTCTTCAGACATAGCAACCATCGCTAATCCAATCACAGCTGGACCCTGGTGGATATCATCTTTCTCCAGATGCTCTCCACACTGGGCCAGAAGGTCTTGGACCTGAACAATTAAAGAGTGAGCAACTAAACTAGAAAGCAATGAACTATGTAATTTAACCACCAGTAGACTTAATGAGATACCTTAAGGACATTCCCTGTTCCAGCATACGCACAGGAAAGAAGTGTCATATCACAATACTTTCTGATCTTCTCATTGAACGTCTTTGAGACTTCTGCAGTAGCCTCCACACTTTCCTGCTCGGTATTGAAACAAGTTGACACTGATAAGCAAGGGAACTAACGTTCGGGTAAACAAACAAGAAATGAATAAAGTACGACTCATTGTCTACCTGTTTTCCAAGGTACAAAAGTCCAAGTCCAAGAGGCAAGAAACGTGTGAGGGCCTCACCCAGTTCTGCCTCACTCCGATCCATTAAAGCAAATATAATAGATTGGGCAACCTCTTCGTTACACGAACCAACGTAAATCATCCCCAAACTAAGTGCAGCAAATGCAATCACATCGAGAGGTGATTTTGCATCATTTAGTATTGGAGACAAGCTGCTTCTTATCTGTCCAAAAAGTGAGCATGTTATTGTCTCTCTCAACAGAACATTCAACATAATACTATAGTTAAGTAGATAACATATCTTCACCTGATCATTTTGGGAACCCGCATATGCAATTCCGAGACCCATAATAGCACCAATTCGGATAGATGAATCAGCATTGTCGACATACTCTCCAAGAAGGGCCAATGCCTGAGAAAGAAAGCTGAGTGAGAAGAGTGTATGGCGAAAAATAGTGAACACAAAGGTTCCAATAAAATAAAAAAAGAAATCAACTCACAGGGTCACAATCATTCTTAATGCCGCAATTAACGATCCCAACTCCCAGCAGAGCTCCAGCAATAATGGGATTATCATTGCTATGGAAATATTTGTCGAGTTGAGAAAGTCCGGAGTCCACATCCCACAACAGAATCATACCCTAGCATTGGAAAACAATGAGGTCTTGTTACAATTTTCACTTCCAATTTATGAACACAGGTAGTCAATCTATTTCGTAGGAAGATGCATACCAGACTAGCAGCTGCACTGGTCTTGCCATGTTCTCTGTTTTTGAAGAGCCAGTTTCCAGCAGTTCCAGTGGTTGAGTCTGCTGGTACTGTCATTAATTTGTCCTGCAATAAGGGAATATATCAAAAAGGCAGCTGACTTACAATTTTTTTCTCATGCTGCACACCATAAGAAGCTGTAGTCATACCTGGCCGAAACCAGCATTCACAAAGGCGTTCACAAAAGTCGCAGCCAGATTCTGCCTAGCAGAATCTGCACCAGCACCAGAGCTAGCTCTGCCATCAAGCAAGTGCGCCTGCAAAAGTTTATTGAACAGATAAGAGACACTAAAAAAAACCTATCCTGCAACCAAATAAACCAGTAACATGCATAATTCTTATAAAACTGATATACCTTGTAGATGTCCTCAGGCGTCTTGGCCTCCATGACCTCAATATCCCTTGCAAGCGTCAGATATCCTTCGCTTAACTTAGTATTGTTAACAATATCCTGTAGCATTTCTCTGTCATCGTCATTTTCAACCATCTCACGGTCAAGCTCAAAGGTGATGCCCTGGATGAGGCAATAACAAGAGAAAATAATATTAAGAAAATGAACCAACACATACAGCTCTCAATGCTAATGTTAATCATTAAGCACTTACATGACGTGAAATCATGTAGCAGAACTGTTTCTTTCTTAGCAGATCAGTGCATGATGTAAATACTTGCTTCACATACTGCAATACGGAAAATATATATCATATAAGAAATATACATAACTTAAGGAAAAGCTTTTCCAGTTGCCCCCAGGGTGCAGAGAGAGGATATTGAGTTGTGTATGAAGATTAGAACCCAGACCTGCATGTTATCAAGAAATAACGCAATTTGCAGAGCGTTTGGATATTCTGCAAACTTGATGTAGATCATGTAAGCAATATCTAAAACCAGCATGTCATCTGGTCCTGGAAGAAACCTGAAAAACCAAAACATACTATGTCAAAGGGAGTGGTCATGGGTGAGATAATGAAGCAAAGCTCATGAGAAATTATGTCATACGGAAAATACAGTGCGAGTGATCTAAAAGCACTATGTGTGAAACACTAGTTAAATGAATAGAATGGTCATATTTATATTTATATTACTTTGCTGCACTCGTGAGGTAGTTGCACGTCCTCCTGAAATTTGCACTGTCCACATGCTCAAGTAAGAGATCAAGATCCTCAACATCCATTAAAAGGTCAACAGCTTCAGTTTCTGCATTATGCTGCAAAGAGCAAAATGGAATCCTTCAGAGATAGGAAAACAAAAGAGGTGCTCTCAAGACTAAATGGAACTTTTTTAATTTAGATATATAATGGAAATATTACAACGAATCAAGATAAGTAATGAATCTTACCTTCATGTGAAAAGCAACAATTTGTTGCACAAGGTCCATTAAGTCCTCAATAGAAGACTCCTCACCCTGATTTAACAAAAAGGAACGAACACATATACATATTTCAGAAACGATTCTACATATTTTAGAACTCACATTGTCATAATATTTATTAAAATAGAACCAGCAGAGAAAACCAAACATAACTATCTATGATCTTGTCAGAATGTGAGTATAAATCCTCAAGCGAAACAATATTGCCAAAGAACAAATTGTTTTCTAACCTGACGCTTCGTATACTCTTCTCCAATCTCTCCAGCCAAATTCCTGACATACTCGTGGCCCCACGACCCAATGTCACCCACTGTTCCAGTCAACCTATAGTTCAAGCTTTCCTGAAAGAGTATTGCATAACAAAGGACCAGCAACAAATAACTCCATCAAACTCTACCAAGAACAACCAAATCCAAATCTGCTAAAGGCATATCATAAGAAGAAAACACAGAAAACGAAAAAGGAATCCAGTGATATCATATATGAATATGGGCAAATAGCAATAGGTAAGAAAACATGTTTTTACTATTCCTCCTGTAATAGAAAGGAAGCATACCCGTTCACCATCAGCAGACATGGTCAGTGCCAGGACAGACAGTATATCAGCCATCATTTTCTACAAACACAGGAAATGCAATCTTTAATCGATACTCGGTAAAATGAGCAAGAAGGTGCTAATTTCTTAAAATGTCTGAAGAGGTACCTTGAGATCGGACTCCGGCATTGTTTTATGAAATTCCTTAAGGGCTCCATAATGAGGACGGAGAAACTTGAGGGGTTTGGGAACTGATGTCATGGAGCTTGTTGACGCACGGATCTCCTGCCTACGTAAACAAATTTAGACGGGAAACTCAAGGTTAGACTAGTAAAAAGAAGCTCCAACGAAAAATTATCTGAACTTTTCCAGCTAATCAACTCGAGGATTGGTGAAGAGAAACTAGAATTACCTCATGCTTTCAAGAGCAGTTTTCTGCAACTCAGGATTGGGGTCTTGAACCCTCTCAACATAGAGCTCCAGGTTCTGCTTTAGTTGCAAGTCCTCTTCAGACTACAATAACATCAGATACAATAAATCAATCATCTAGTAATCAAACTAGTTTACCCACTTTTTAAATCCCGGTTTCCGAATAGCAATATGACATTCACTTTGCCGAAGCTTTCAAAACCCATGAACAGCTTATCAGCTAATAAACTCAAACTAGGAAAAGCTGAATGCAAAATCTACTGCCTAATCGTGAAGTTTCCTTCTAATCTAAAAGTTTCAGCTAACTCTACAGGCAAGCACGATGTCAAAACCAGAAAGCGAAAATCGGGCTAAATAGAACTTACCAGATCCTCCTCCTTTTTAGCATCCTTCTTCTTGGGATCCTTCGAAGGGACCTTCGTCGTAGCTTCATCCCGCTTCGCACCACCACCAACGTTATTCGGATCCGGAACTGGAGCCATCTCAGTCAAACTAGCACCCGATCAATCAATCAGACGAATCCAACAAATGAAGCTTGAAATTCGAAAACTCCGACGAATCGAGCAGCTTCTACGTGTGAGCTCTCACTGAAACCCTAAGTCTGAATGTGCACGTTAGAGAGGAATTATGCCTTTCGTCTTCTTCTGGAGCTGAAGCAAAAGGAGAACTGTAGAAAGAGAACAAAAATTACATCGGAAAAAAATAAAGGAGGCTCATAATAAGGACGAAGATGACCCCTCGATCAAGAATTCCATTATGGGCTCGGCCCATAAACCAATCGGGCTACCTACTGGGCCAACTGTCTCTGCCCATATGTGGAGTTTGAAGAAGTGGGAAAATTAGATAATTACTGTAATTAATGGAAAATATATAAATAATATTCACTCCGTTTCAAATTAGTTGTCGTTTTAGCAAAATGTATCTGCAAATATTTGGACGTATCTGCAATGCAAAACACGTCCAGATACGCCCAAATATTTGCATATACATTTTGCTAAAACGATAACTAATTTGAAACGGAGGGAGTAACATTTGAAGTGGTTAATAAAACAAAATTACACTGAATTTCTCTGATTAAATTGTAATCCCATCTTCTTCTTTTTTTTCCAGCCATTTTATATTGAAGTCCAAAAAGGCAAACAGCAAGTACAAGGTGAGTAAACGCCCCATAAACAGTCTATACAAAAGATCATTAACTAATAAAAGTACATAAGCTAGACATGTGGCATCTAAAACTCAAGGAAACGTGACAAACAGGGACACGCGTCAACTAACTGATGGACCGCCGTAGAACATCGTCGAAGAGTCTCTCCCTCACGCCATTTCACCGTGCGCTGCTGCTAACCTTTCACTTATCACCGGAATAGAGAAGATCAGATCCGTTTTCATCATGCTTTTTAACCGTGAAGGATTGAATTGATAATACTCCTCAGACCACCATCAAAACCGACGCCAAGCCTGAATCTCCGTACTCCAAATCAACCACTTCGAATCACTTTGAATCATAATCAAAGAGAAACCGTACTCTTTCACATGAATAAGGATTTATTCTCTCATGAATGATGAATCAAAGATTCGATGAGAATAATGATCTATAATTTTAACCGGAAAAGATCATTTTTAAGAAGTGAAAGGCAAAGTCCGAACGAAGTCGGAAAACATAACCAATCATGTCGGAAGCGAATCCGTAAAACGAAATAGATAATCCGTAAGATCGGAAAGCAAAAGAAGCATAGCAAAATGTTGTTTATTTACAGAACTAAATTCAAACTCCGAATCAAATCGGAAATTTAATTGTAATCCCATCTTCAGATCAATGAATTTGGTTTTTTAACGTATAAAAATATACTTTCGCACAAAAAAAAACGTAAAAAAAATACAGTTTGATTCTAAAAATGGAAAATTTCAAGCAAGTAAAAGATTAATGGAACATTTCAACAGTTTCAAGTTTCAACGATAGTAAAAGAGAAAAGGTCAAAAAATGGAAAGAAGGCAGGGGAAGAGCCAAAAGGGCAACACCGTCACCGGCTCGTCAACGCAGAGAGAGATAAGAGATCGTGTTTTCTCGAATCTTCCAGGAGATTCTTTTACTTGTGAAATAGTAGAAGAGAGACTAGAGAGGAAGACGAACCACCTAGACAGAGAAAGAAAAACCCAGAAAATACCATTTCCGTTTTTTTGATTATTTCTATTTGAGATTCACTGATCGGATTCAGGAAAGCTGAGGAAACAAAAGAGAGGTGAGATGGGAGTGGATTATTACAAGGTTCTAGAGGTCGATAAAAGCGCCAGCGACGATGACCTTAAGAAAGCTTACAGAAAACTCGCCATGAAATGGCATCCCGACAAGAACCCTAACAACAAAAAAGACGCTGAGGCTAAGTTCAAGCAGATCTCTGAAGCCTACGATGTATGTCTCTTTCTCCTTCTTTGACTCCACTGCCTTCTTCTCAATCTCAAAGATGATTCCTTTATTGAAAAGTTTTGATTTTTGATTTCCATTTCCACTGAATGATACTGTCGGTTAGTACCTGAGCTTGTTTCTGGTTTTTGATTTGAGATGCAATTGGTCGGATTTCACGAGCACCGATTGCTTATCCCTCGTCGGTGATCAGATTTCGTGTCCCGAGCAATTAGAATCAAAGTGTAAAAGTAAAAGGCGATTGCTTTAGCTTTGGGCTAACTAGATTATCTGAGGTCATTGCTTACGGAACGAATCGAAATCGTTGATAGTGTCCTCAAAGTTCTAAATTTTTGCTTTTTCTCCGATCTTCTGACTCAGGCTCACTGTAGTTTGGCTTTGAAACTCTCTGATTGACTATTGAGAAACTCTTTCTCCGTTCTCTGTAGCTTTAGGACTCTGTGAAGTATACTAAAGTCGCTTGCTTTGATTCAAATTTTATGTGGCTAATTTTGGTCTTGCTTGTGAAATTGTTTAGGTTCTTAGTGATCCTCAAAAGAGAGCTGTATATGATCAATACGGTGAGGAAGGGTTAAAAGGCAACGTGCCACCTCCAAATGCCGGTGGTGGAGCCTCCTACTTCTCAGCAGGAGATGGATCTTCGTCTTTCAGATTCAACCCGAGAAATGCGGATGACATATTCGCTGAGTTCTTCGGCTTCTCGACTCCGTTCGGTGGAGGAGGAAGCAGTGGTGGTGGAGGAGGAGGGCAGAGATTCTCTAGCCGCATGTTTGGTGGTGATGATATGTACGCCTCGTTTGGTGAAGGAGGTGGTGGTCATCATCATCACCATCATCACCATCAAGCTAGGAAAGTGGCTCCTATTGAGAACAAGTTGCCTTGTAGCCTTGAAGATCTCTACAAAGGAACCACCAAGAAGATGAAGATCTCCAGAGAGATTGTTGATGTTAGCGGGTAAGTCATCAAACTCACATACCATCTCAATCATACATTAAAAGTTTCAAGCTTTTGGTTATACTTATACATAATCAATATATAGTCCTGACAATAACTAATCTTTGTGGTTTCTTTCTTCTGCTAATGTGCAGCAAGGCAATGCAAGTGGAAGAGATCTTAACGATTGGAGTGAAACCTGGATGGAAGAAAGGCACAAAGATCACATTCCCGGAGAAAGGAAACGAGCATCCGGGAGTGATTCCAGCGGATCTCGTCTTCATCATCGACGAGAAACCGCATCCGGTTTTCACACGTGAGGGCAACGACCTGATTGTCACGCAGAAGATCTCACTAGCTGATGCCTTAACAGGCTACACCGCTAACATAACGACGCTTGATGGTAGGACACTTACAGTCCCGGTCACAGACGTGATCCATCCGGAGTACGAAGAGGTGGTGCCCAAAGAAGGAATGCCACTTCAGAAAGATCAGACCAAGAAAGGCAACTTAAGGATCAAGTTCAATATCAAGTTCCCAGCGAGGTTAACTGCAGAACAGAAGGCTGGTTTCAAGAAGCTTCTTGGGTGATGATGATTAAAAGCTTCTTGTCTTGTGATGTGTGTGATTCAAGTATACGATTTTACAGGGAAACTTCTTCCCCTTTTAGTAATTCAAGATTTAAAATTCCAAGGAAATTCTTGCAAGATTTGGTACATGTCATCCACAAACAAAAATTGAAGATACAAAATCTTTTTGGTTTTACAAAAGTTTCTGCCTTTTCTTTCTTTTTTGACTTTCCCCTGTTTTAGAGAAATGAAATTTACTCTTTGGTGAGAGGAGATCCTATCCCGTGACGGCGCGTGGGGAACACGAGGAAGAAACCGCCGCAAACAACACCGATGATAAAAGGCAAACCGGTGAGGAGCTCTTTGGTTTCCTCGGAAGGAACAGGGAACAAACAACTGATCACGTTCTGATCTAACATGGAGACTGCGACGAAGACGAGCATTGACATGACTGCGTGCATGAAATCAAGAAGTCTCAGCTTATATTTTCCCTTCTCCTCATCAGTTAGAGTAATCGTTCCATCCAACACATACAAACCACTCGGCGTCGCCAATCCGTACCTAACCTGCAAAGTTTAAGAATTTGATGTTATAAATTTTTAAAAATCATGTTTTCAAAACGTAACAACAAAAAGGGAAAGAAGTTGCGAGCGATAGAGATATGTTGTTGTTATATGTACCTTGCCTTGTGGGTCTTTGAAGGAGTCGGTGAAGGAGAGGAGGAAGCAAGAGGAGGCGCAAGCCATGACGAGGAAGCAGGTGAGCCAGCGACTGGTGACGGTAGGACACTGACCCTGATGGGTTATGACCGGACACATTATTTGAAAACCCATCACGGAACCGGTCGGGAGCAGATTGGACAGGTGAGCTGTTCCTTTAAAGGCTTTCCTCGCTACTATCTGTACTTTCGACCTATGTTTTTTTGGTGCCTCTGGCAACGACGCTATCAATGTCTGCTTCGTCTCATCCATCTCTAATTTTTTTGTTTTAATTAATCACTCTGCAAAAGTCGAATGATTAAATATGTCTTTTTCTCTTCTTGTCTATTGTTCTGATTTAAGAGAAAAGAACAAGATTTTATGGGGTTTGATTTCTTTCTTCTTCTTTTTTTGTGTCTGCTTCCGTTTGAGCTGTTGTTTCAGGTTTCGAGGTTGGAATTCTGTTCTTCCATTTTTATGTTTCTGTTGGAGGTCATTTAGCCACAAAAAACGTAAAAAACTGAATAAAATTTGAGTAAATGAAACAAGAAATAGGAGTTTTCGTAACAGAAAGTTTTTAATTAAAACGCTGTTACCGTTTCATAGTATATGTATATATGTAACTAGCAAAACTAACAGGTGATTTTGTTGAAAATTTTCAGGTTAACGATCGATTTCCCCCTTGTAATTTTCATCTAACACAAATATTCCAACAATCAAATTTACTAGAAAAAACTTTTCTATGAATTCCATTAAAAAATCCATATAGCGGATCCATTACGAGTTCAAATATGGGCCGAGTGTGGGTTGGGCCGGGAACAACATTTTGGTTGTTATGACTTATGATGTTAGGTGAATTGTAAGAAATCATGGGAGGTTAAAGCATCTAAATTAACGCAATGTTTGCAAGATCTTGTGGTTGGTCCACCCAATAGCCAACCTTCATTCACTTACACTTATACTCGGTCCCGTTTGCATTCATATTAAAGAATGAATGCAAATCCGTTTTACACCAAAACTTATAGAGCAGGAAGTAACAACAGTGTATTCACAGTTTATGAATTATGATAGACAAGATATTTCATTAATGTGATTGGATTTGTTGAATGACATCTTGCTGCTCTTCCACCAATGGAAACAACAAGCAAAACCACGAATTTTCCTAAGGGATCACAGAAGTGTAACATCTGTTCATAATTTGTTTTTAGTTTGATAAGAATATGTGTACACATGTCTACAAAATTGGTGGGGGAGAGTAGGCAAAAATAAAATAAAAATTTAGACGACAAAGAGACAGAAAAAGAAAAGGCTTTGAGGTTCCTTGTTATGCATGAGAAGTCTACGTGAAGAAATAGAATAATGACTGGCTTTTTAACTTTCTTTTTCTTTTTATCTACAAAAAATATATATCTTCCTACTTTCATTACTCTGACAAAATTCATGACACAGAGTGATATGTAGGTTAAGCTATTTTTTTTCAGTAAACAAAATTTCAAAACTATAGCTCTTAACTTTATTCTAGAGACTGGGACTACAATAGAATTTCGGAAACAACAGAAAATGTTATATCGCGCGAAACATAAAGAAAAAAGAAAGAAACTAACCTAAAGTTATATTATACACGTACAGTATCCAACAAAACCAATCAGTATACTATTTCAGTAAAAAGATGTATATATATATATATATATATGCAGATGTAGACGTTAAGGAAAAAAAAAAAAAAGATGTGTGTACAGAAATACAGATGTGTAAATTATAAGGCTATACGCTTATGTAATAATATCTTTACATACACTCTAGGGTGACATTGGACCTTAACCCCTTTTTTTTTCTTTTTTTTTTTTCCCTACCATATTACGTTTGAGCTCTCACAGACCAGCAGCCACACCTTGCTCCAAACCCACTCCATCTCATATCCATTTCTAGATCCGATACATTTATCAGTGAATTGTTGAATTAATATATTGATTCATTGCAGATTTTGTAAAAGAAAAATATAATTACATTAGAGCACACACGAAATACGACCAAGCAAACGTATGTTTTGAACTTAAGAACGTTGTCTGCAAAAAAGGAAGCTCACACATATATGTTCTTTCACAAGATTTTGTTTTTCTTATAATTTTTGTTTGGTCAGTCTCTGTCAAATTCTCTCTCACACACCATACATGCCTAGAAGCCAAACCAAACTTAAAATCCAAGCAATCTTTTTTCTTTTTCTGATAAGTCATTAATTTATTCTTCAGATCCATCACATTTTATTTTCTAAACAAATTATGTATCTCTTTCTTCAGATCCATTATTTTATTTCTGATACATAGATGTAAAATTAACGATTTGAATTTTCATAGTAAACGTCTTTACACTTTACTTTCAAGTTGTAGGTGTACCGCTCCCTCTCATTGTTACTTAGCATGTATGCTTCCTTGTTTGTACATATACTTGTTAAACAAACCCAAGCCTTTAAATAATACTTTCCTACAAATTTTAGATTCAGGGCATTTGTATACATTATAAAATGAGGTTGTATAATATTTCTTTTACGCTTGTCTCATTATTTCTCTCTCATGGATAGTACAAAGTTTAAATCAAGTGCAAAAAAGAGCAATTAACTCAACTTAAAAAGTGATGAACCAAGAATTCAATTCCTTCCTCTTTCTCAAGATAACCTCAAAGAGTTCTTCTTAGGAAACATATGCTTTAACCATCTTTAACCCCTTTTTTCCTCTCTTTCTCTCTGTCTCTCATGCCTTTGTTTATTCTAATGAAGTGGTGAGCAGTGGAAGAAGAGAGAAGAAGAGAGATAATGCACAAGAGCAAACTACGAGATACAAAACAACATGACTTGGTGCAATGACCGTAGCGATGTTCAGACCGTTGAAAGAATCATTCCATCACCGACAGCGGCTGAGTCTCCCGTAGCCTCATTTCCGGTCTCTTGTCACAAAACCTGTCCTTCTTGTGGCCATAACTTCAAGTTTCATGAACAGGTTCTTGTTTCTCTCTAGATAGCTAAATCAACAATGCGTTGGAAATGTGATTGCTATGAATGATTAAATCCGATGTATATATGTAGGCGGGAATCCATGACTTGCCAGGGCTGCCTGCCGGAGTGAAATTTGATCCGACGGATCAAGAAGTATTGGAACATCTTGAAGCGAAGGTGAGAGACGACGCAAGAAAGCTTCATCCTCTCATCGATGAGTTTATTCGTACCATTGATGGTGAAAATGGCATCTGTTATACCCATCCTGAGAAACTGCCAGGTGATTCTATGTTGTTTTCCTCTATTAGTTTATATTCCATCATCAATTATTCAGTTGTATAATATTTTTCGTCTTCATATAATTAACACAAAGCTTTAAATGTTAGTTTCTCATAAAGTTAGTGAATCATGTAGGGTAATGTTTCAAATTGATTACATTTATTTTCAAGTCATGTGATGTACAATCTTCTAAAACTGATCATTTTGGTTGACAATCAAATTTTGTTATTATATTTCTTAAAAATTAGTGAATCTCAAAAATGTACGTAAATGTACGTAGAAATCAAAACTAAATCATGTTTGACGTCAAAAGAAAAATTTGAATAATATTTTTTTAACAAAGAAAAATGCCAATTACACGTTGAGTGGATGCTTTTGTTAGAATGTCATACCTAATAATATTAATTTTTATAAATGCTAGTTAGAATTTTGAATACGTAAACATTAATTTATGTTCACATATGACATATATATATAGGAGTGAGCAAGGACGGGACGGTCCGTCATTTCTTCCACCGACCGTCAAAGGCATACACGACGGGAACAAGAAAGAGACGTAAAGTGCACACCGATTCCGAAGTCGGTGGCGAGACACGGTGGCACAAGACCGGCAAAACACGGCCAGTTCTCTCCGGAGGGAGAGTGAGAGGCTACAAGAAAATCCTAGTGCTCTACACAAACTACGGCAAGCAAAAAAAACCCGAGAAGACTAATTGGGTAATGCATCAGTATCATCTTGGCACAAACGAAGAAGAGAAAGAAGGCGAGCTCGTCGTCTCCAAAGTCTTCTACCAGACTCAACCACGCCAATGCGGTGGCTCACTTGCTGCCGCAGCCACCGCAAAAGAGCGGCCTTACCTCCACGCCCACCACCTCGGTAGTAACGGTGGTCGCCACCTTCACTACCATCTTCATCATAACAATGGTAACGTTAAGAGCACTGGCGGTGGTGGATCCGCCGGAGCCGGTGAGTATTATAGCAATATTCCGGCGATCATCTCGTTTACTCAGACCGGGATACAGAACCATTTGATTCATGACTCTCAACCTTTTATCCCTTAAAAAGGAAACCATATTTTTATATATGGACGGTCGTATAAAATAAGAGAAAGGGTATATAACCTAAAACATTATATATTGCACTAATACACACACATATATACATTGAAAATAATTTAATTTTACGGGGAAATCTTATATACGTAACTTTTTTTGTCCACTAGTTTTTGTTTTTCCGTTTATATTGCACTGTACAATTTTAATTCCTTGGACTGATCATGAAAAAAAAAAATGTACAAGATCTCCCTTTATCTCTTGCTACTAGCTTACATTAAATTCAATTTGATGTTTTGTCGGCAGAGATCTATCGACTGTATAGCACAATAATTCATTAGGTGCAAAACGTACTTTGGACAGGTTTTGCTGAATGTGATTATAAACTTCCAAATGCAAGTTTCAACACATATCTTCATCATATTTCTCAAACGACAAGTTTATTACAATTAACTCATTCAGCAAGATTGTATATGGTCATAACTTTGGGATAATGAGATCCCAAGAACAACTTAAAAAGGTTTTAACAATCCAAAGATCTCAAGCTTTTTGTTCTAAAGGATACAAGGAATTGAAAAGAAGACACAAAGCACATTGGGTTTTACTTGAGAAGCCTCTCTACTTCTTTGCATTCACATCCAAATTCATCTCCTGGAGGTTAAGCAACAGGTCGTCTGAGCTCAAGTACACCTTGTTCGCGGAGTGCGCTATGGTCTGCGCAATCTCTCTTGCCGCCTCGATCTTCCTGAGCGTAATGAAAGCTTGGTTGTTTGCAATGGCTTCACCTATGAGCTGAGCACTCTTGGCTTCTCCCTATACAAGGCATGAGAAACTTTTGTCACACAAACAATATCGGTCTCAGAATTTATGAACCTTGAAGCACAGATAGAGAAATTCTCTTTTACCTGAGCGCGGATAACTGCACTTCTCTTGTCTTGTTCGGCCTTCTCAACAATGAACTTGGCCCGCTCAGCCTCTTGAGCCGCCACCTGCTTGGATTCAATGGCAGCCGTGAACTCTCTTCCGAACGTCAAGGTCGTGATTGACACATCGTCAAGCGCAATGTTGAAGTTCGTCGCTCGTTGAGTCAGAATCTTTCTGATCTCCCTACTGACCGCCTGAGACAAATCCAACATATATATCCAATCACTTGACTTACTAAGAAGAAAACCATGTATGTACAGAGCAGCTCATATATATACATACCTCTCTCTGAGTAATAAGCTGGCTTGCGTTGTACTGAGCAACCACAGCTTTCAAAGTCTCGTGGATGATAGAAGGCAGAACTCTCTCGCTGTAGTTCTCACCAAGGGTTCTGTAGATCTCAGGCAACTGGTCTGCCATGGGACGCGTGAGAACCCTTAGCCCAATTTTCACCTGAAAAGTTTCAAAACCCACAATAGACTTATAACTTATGAAGTAGTTTGATGATATAAGCTATAAGTAGAAACAGTGTTACCATCTGGAGATCACGGCTTCCAGATGTGCTCTCAACAAGGTAAGGTCGTGCACGAACATCGTAGATGACGGGCCTCTCGAACCAAGGAAGCATAAGGTGTGTGCCCTCAGGGTAAACCTGCGTGATAGCAAGATTAACAACTCCACACACTTGTGAATCAAGAAGACTGTTATTACGCTCAGTGACAACAAGATTTCACAACCAAACATTGACAATAAACTCAGCCTCGGGGATTAGTAAACAGAAAACCACTCTTGTAACTAACAATTCAAGATGGATAATTTCACAAAGATGACAGAAAACAGCATGAGAACTAGTTGGGGACACACAAGGGGAGAGGAGAAAGTATATAATATTCACTGCAAACTCAAAAAAGATCCAGTTTTGAAGAAACAGTGACTAACCTTATCTTTGATACCGACTAAACGGTTGAACATGATGGCTCGGTGACCTCCGTCGACATTGTAGAAACTGTGAGTGGCACCGTAGAGACCTAGTCCACCGATAATCCCGACCTTAAGCAACGCCGATATCGCACCAGCGCCTGGCACCTTTGGAACTTTGTTGAAATTCATCTCCTTCTACCTTTTTCTGAAATACTCCAAATATATAACCAAACACAAAACGAAGATCAAAATCGAGGAGTCTCGGAACAACATAGTCAGATCTACTCATTTCTGCAAATGAACGACTACGAAAAGTGTTAAAAGGAATAAAATCAAGTCAGATTCAGCTCAATGAAGTCATAAAAGATTGAAAATTTAAAGAAGACCCATCCTAGACCTACCCAGAACACTTTCGATTAAACACGAAAACTAGCATCTTTAGCACAATAACAACGAGTAGTTGGCAAAATTCGAGCAGAAAAACTCTCACCCAGCTGCAGATTTACTTGCTAATAAAACTTCGACAGGAAAAAGAGGGAAATGGAGAAGAAGCGTACCTAAAAGCTCTGCTAATGTCGCGGAGAGAAGAAGGGGAAAATCCGTGAGAAAGGGGTTGAGGGTTTAAGCTCTCTCCTCGCTTCTATTGAAGAATAAGGACGGTCTCGAATTTCCGTATGAAAATGAACTTTGGGCTCACGTTATAGCTTAAAAGCCCATCGTACCAAGGACTTAAGCCCAAAACTTTGCGAAGAAATATATAAAGCCCATGGGTACGAAATATCGGAAACGTCATCGAAGGCAGGGAAGCATGCAACCGAACAGTTGTCGAGACAAGTCGTAGCAGATAAAACGGATCAAATCCGCCTAGTGTCGCCGCGTCTCTCTCATGTGTCGTCACTCGTCACCTTCTTCTTTTTTCATATACTAACAAAACTCTTTTATTTAATTTTCTATACAAAAGATTTTGGCCGTATCTCGTAAACTCTTCGATCCAAACGCCATATGTTATTGATTAATACAGGACACTGGTGATGTTAACTAATTTGATGTGTTAATTGTCAAAATTAGATTTTTCTTCCTCCGTTAGAATGAAATTATCATAGTTTTATTAAAAGAAGTTAAGAGAATAAAGCAAAAAAGATAAATATATCATTGCAGAATTTCGCTATAGATGGATAATGAGAACCAAAAAAATGAGATAGATACATTTGATTTTGTCGTATGTTGGTATATGCGGAGGATAGCTACGCGCATGAACATCGCCAAGAGACACTTGCTCGAGCTCATAGAGTGACGTGTAAAAAGCATAGACCAAGGACTTCATGCAAACCCAATCATACGTGGCACATGACCTTCATGCTCACTCCCACTATATAAGCTTACACTGACTCCTGTTTCTCTTCATCCATCTCTTAGAAACACAAAAAAAAAAACAAAAATGGTTAAGCTCGGTAATCTCCTAGTAGCAACCTTCGGGGTCCTCCTCGTCCTTAACGGCTGCCTTGCAAGGCAGTCGTTTGGGGTTCCTCCTCAGCTCCAGAACGAGTGTAACCTCGACAACCTTGACGTTCTCCAGCCCAGCGAAGTCATCAAGAGCGAGGCCGGACGTGTCGAGCTATGGGATCACAACAATCCTCAGCTCCGATGTGCTGGTGTCTCCATCGCTCGTTTTATTATCGAAGAAGGCGGTCTCTACCTGCCTACCTATTTCAGCTCCCCCAAAATCTCATACGTCGTTCAAGGTCCATATCTATTATACACACACATAATAAATTTTTCTATTTATACCATGTTCTAGTGGAAGATACTATCGATTGACTTCATGATCATATTAATATACATCTCTCTCTTTCTCTCTATCTATAAAATTTACAGGAATGGGTATTAGAGGAGTAGTTGTCCCTGGATGTGCGGAAACCTTCATGGACTCGCAGCCCATCGAACAACAACAGCAGGGACAGGAAGGAGAAGCATGGGGACAACAGGGACAGCAGAGACAGCAAGGACAACAGGGACAACAGGGACAGCAAGGACAGCAGGGACAACAAGGTTTCCGTGACATGCACCAGAAGGTGGAACATGTCCGACATGGAGACATCATTGCCATTGCTCCAGGATCTGCTCAATGGGTCTACAACACCGGAAAGCAGCCACTTATCATCGTCGCCCTTTTCGACATTGCCAACTACCAAAACCAACTCGACCGCAGCCCCAGAGTAATCACATATATACACAATCATTTCAATACTGTTTAGAAGATTACCATATTATCATTTTCACTAATATATGTACATGTGTTGTGTTTTTGATTTGTGCTATAGTCGTTCCGTTTAGCCGGTTCTGGTGGTCAAGAGCAACAACAGAAGGGGAACATGTTGAGCGGTTTCGACCCTAAGATCCTATCTCAGGCATTGAAAATCGATGTTAGGTTGGCTCAGGAGCTTCAGAACCAAAAAGACAGCAGAGGAAACATCGTTCTTGTTAAGGGACCTTTCCAGGTTGCGAGGCCGCCTCTTAGACAGAAGTACGAGAGCGAGACGTGGAGACACCCAGGCCCACAAGACAACGGCCTTGAGGAGACTATCTGCAGCATGAGGACCCACGAGAGCATTGACGACCCAGCTCGTGCTGACGTGTACAAGCCTAACCTCGGCCGTCTGACTACCGTCAACAGCTTGACCTTGCCCATCTTGCAGTTCCTCAAGCTCAGCGCCACCCGTGGCATTCTCCAGGGTGTAAGTATACACATATACAGATCCTTTAAATCAAAATTATGGTTTACTATAGAAAAATATACTGTTTACTAAATTATTTACTAAGAAAAACATGAATCCTAATTCATATAAATATTTCTAAACCAAATTATTTTACCCAATTAATTTTTTCTTAAGAGAAACATTTTTAAATCGGTGGTTAAATGTATGTAATCAAATGTTGCAGAACTCGATGGTGCTTCCGAAATACAACATGAACGCGAATGAGCTATTGTACGCCACAGCAGGACAAGCAAGGATCCAAGTGGTGAACGACAACGGAGAGAACGTGTTGGACAAGCAGGTGCAGAAGGGACAGCTCGTGGTCCTCCCACAGGGATTCGCATACGTGATCCATTCCCAGGGAAACAACAACTTCGAGTGGATCTCTTTCAAGACTAACTCTAACGCGATGATCAGCGCTTTGGCTGGTCGTACCTCGGCCTTGAGGGCATTGCCACTACAGGTCCTCACCAATGCTTACCAGATCTCTCTCGAGGAAGCTAGAAAGATCAAGTTCAACACTCTTGAGACCACCTTGACTCATGCCTCCGGTGGACAGCAGCAGTACATCGAGCAGATCGTCGAGGCTTAAACAAACGTTTTTTCTTTTCTTTTGCTAATAAAGTATGGTCCGTTTGTAATCACGTCTATATCTAGCTTTAACGTTTGTGTAAAATATGTGTCTGACGAACACAACACCGGCACGTCACTTGTATGTAACCCTTTCTTCGCATAAATAAAAGGGGAGTTTCGAGTTACATTCATATCTATTGCGCCATTTTTAATAATCTAGTATTCTTTCCCAAAAAATAAAATAAATAGAATTAAGGTACTATATATTGTCAGTGCGTCCTTGCTTGGAAGGTATACGATCATGGTTAATCATGGTTAGGGTCCTTGATGATACAACCAAGAACGTCTGCGGAACAAATTTCCAAGATTGCCTTTCACTAGGGACTCCCAAACCTTGAATAGAAGCAAGTGAAATTAAAACAAGTGACTGGATATTGGCACACGACATAAAATGCCTTGATATATTGGCTCCACATCATCTTACGATTAAGGTTGATTCTCGTTCTTGTATCTTCAAACATATTCATTGTTTCTCACTGAAACTAATCATGATCAACAAAAAATGGTTGTAAAGTAGATCACACGCGCGCATAATCATTCTCATAGACAAATCAGAAATATGTATAAATTTTATAAAATTCATCGATTTGATTCTTCTTCTTTAGTAAATAGTATTACGTAGAAAATATGCAACCTAGAAAGAAAAAAATGACTATATTCAAATGAATCAAAGCTCTCACATGGGGAAATTGATATGAACACGGGAGCTTGTGATAGGCTACTTGAAAGGGACACTGCTGAGGTGCCACATTCTCATTGAGCTGAAACAAGAGAACCACATCATCAGGAAATTGAAGCTGAAGTCAACCATTGCTTCTTTGGTAGTACTGTAGTAGTAGTATTAAATATTAGAAAAGTTATTCTATTTAGAGTCTCATGCTTGATTGTCGTTGTTTGGTAGACTTTAATGAGTGTGAGATTGTGATCTCTGTGAGATCAGTTTCCGGGAAATGAACATGGCCTTAATATCCCATTGGGATTCGAGCAGCGCCATATCTGCAATCCAGCAATGTTCATATTTATATATTCTAAACAAACACATATCAAATCAACTATATTCTGGCTAGGAAGTTGCTAGAGAGCAAAGTTTGACTCTAAGAAACTATTAAAGGCATAACCTCATCATACTCACTCAAACACAACACTTAAAAAAAGCTTCAAACGTCGATCAAAGCTTATACTCTCTTTCCTTTTTATTTCTACTTCTCAGATTGAGCAGACCAACCAAAAAAAAAAAAAAAAAAAACATGTCATTGAGCAACAACAACCATGAAGATGATGTTGTACTCGACATGAAACCTTCTTATGTTGCAGAGACTCCACTTCCTTTTTTAACTCCCAACAAACACAAGTCATCATCCCCGCAGTTGTTCTCTCTCCATTTCATGCAAAAGGTGAGTTTTTGTTTTTTTTTTTCCATTTCCTTGCTTAGTCCGTTATATAAGCAGTTTTCATGTTATAACTGTGATACTTCATACTCACGATGAGCAAATCAACTTGTAGCTTATAGCGGAACTCGTGGGAACTTATTACTTGGTATTTGCGGGTTGTGCCTCTATTGCCGTCAACGCTCAACACAACAATGCAGTGACTCTTGTGGGTATAGCAGTGGTTTGGGGTCTAGTGGTAATGGTTCTTATTTACTCTCTCGGCCACATCTCTGCACATTTCAATCCCGCTGTCACTATTGCCTTGGCATCTTGTGGTAGATTCCCTCTGAATCAAGTCCCGGGCTATATAGCTGTTCAAGTCATCGGATCGATCTCGGCTTCTGCGACTCTACGTCTTCTGTTTGACCTGAACAACGACGTGTGCAGCAAGAAACACGATGTCTTCCTCGGGTCATATCCTTCTGGATCTGATCTTCAAGGATTCGCGATGGAGTTCTTCATCACCGCCTTCCTCATGTTTGTCGTCTGTGCCGTCACAACAGGGAATAGAACAGTAAGTGATCAACAACCAACAACACACAATACATTTTTCTTGATCAGATGATATGATATAAGTCAATCTTGATATTGATCATGAATCTTGCAGAGTGTTGAGCTAGAAGGGTTAATCATTGGCGCAACCATCACGCTGAATGTTATCATTGGCGCGTAAGTTTCGCTTTTTCCCTCCTCAATCTCCGTAAATGGTAATGAATCTCTTTGGTTAACCAATCGAAAACAAAATAAAATCTTTCATTTGACAGAGAGATATCAGGATCATCGATGAATCCAGCAAGAAGCTTAGGGCCTGCGCTAGTGTGGGGATGTTACAAAGGGATATGGATTTACTTGCTGGCTCCAACACTTGGTGCTGTCTCCGCGGCCTGGATTTGTAAATTGTTACCGTCTATACAGAAAACAGAAAACAGATCCTGAGTTTTCCAACACAGAAACGAAGTTACCTGATGGAGGATAATTTTAGTTTTCAAAGTTTATACATTAAGAGTCTGTGTCTTCTGTTTGAAGTCTATATGAAGACGTTGTCTCACATTCAATTTGTTAGTTAATGCAAAATTTGTGTTTGACCAGATAGGAGAACCATGTGTTTTAAGGCGATAACTTAATTATCAACAGAGTCATTAATGGTAATATCCGCAACATAAGTTGGCGGTTTGTTAAGTTCTTTCATAAGTTTCTTCAAACCTACGTAACAAACGATTGATCCATGTGAGTCTTTATTCATTAATAAATCTAGTTTGAGAGATTGTAGTTAATGGGTCGCAAATATCAATAAGTGGAGTTGGGAACTTACTGAATGCAAAGAGATGAGGTTATATTTCTTACAAAGCATGGTTATTTGCAAAGAAAGCATGAGAGAGTCAAACAAAACCTAAAGAAGTATTTTAGAAATCTTCTTTCAACTAAATCCATGCTTGCGGACCTGTGCGGATGCTGAGACAGAAGACATCAATGGATAAGCAAAGCAGTATCCTCGTACCTATAAAGAGGCAAAACCAAACTGCACTAAGAAAGCTTGACCATAGTAAGAACTCACAAAGACAAAGCATCGCATGTAAAAGAAGATGTTTTATTTTTAAGACTACAGATCCAAAATGTTGCCTCAAAACTAGCTGCAAATCCAAAACAAACTTAAATCAGTAAATACCATATGCCCCAATATTTGAATTGCAAAGTAGTGTTGGACTCTATGTCCTAACATGCATCAGCCACTGCGTCTATGCTAAACTTAGCTAATAAAAGTTCCATTGTTGTCTCTTTTTGCTTATGATTCATTTCACATTAGCTCTTTTCTACTCGCTCTCTCTTTCTCCTTGAATTTCCGGAAAAATTACATCATGTCTTGGCTGATGATTAAGCTTTATTCCCGGTTAAGAGATCTTGCAAGTGCTTCTTTACAGCTCCAAGCTGACTAAAGACGTAAAAACAAACTGTACAGCTACACACTTCGCTAGCAACAATAAACTGACCCAACGGTTTCGTCTTTTTATTTTCCGTTCTTCCTCTTATTCAAACGGAACTAGAAGAGACTGAAGGGCGGAAACAAAAAGTCGGAGTATGAATTATTCGCGAAAATTCCTAAATTGGCCATTGCAGCCCAATCGTCAATTACTTTTGGGCCTTTCCAATTGGTCTTCTATTATTCTCGTGACTCTCTCACATCTTATGTTGAATAATAATTTCTGTTGTTGTTGTAAATATCGTAAATCAAGTTATACACATGATATAGAGGTTTCGATCATACAGACAATTTGTTAGATATTAGATAGTGAATATCTACAGTGTTATTTACAACAAATAAAACTAAATTATGACAAATAATATTCATAGTATTGGGTTTACATATAATTCAAAATAAAAAATGAAAAACCTAAAAAAACACACTACTTATAACAACCTCCTAAAAACCTAGCTAGAATCCAATCCCAAACCCTATACCCAAATGCCACAAAACTTACATGTATAATAATGTGATAAATCTATAGATAGAATATTTGTATATTTCTTGAATCAACAAATCGGTGAATATATGTAAAAACCTTAAATAGTATATATATGTTCAATGGAAACCGAGGAGGTTGTCGGTCTCAAAACTCAAGCCACATTCCATGTGAAGATCAGAGACCATACCACCATCCGAAGATGACCCCATACATGTCTTCTCATTATCCAAACTCGTGATGTCTGATGACAACAAAATCTTCTCGTAATTCTGATCATGATGATCATCAATGATGTTGACACTGTTGTTGTTGTCGGCGTAAAGCAAATTTATCAAGGACTCGTGATCAGGGCCATGGCTAGAAGATGACGACATAGAACTGATCATCATCTGCTCCCATCCACATGGAATGGTTTGATGATGACAGTGGTGATGATAGGGATGGTCGGTGGTCCTTGAAGGCTGCTTCATTAGCTGCTCCCACTGATCACAAACTTGTATTTTCATCTTTTCATCATGATGATGTGGGGGGTCGATGGTGATGGAAGGAGGGGATGATAATAAAGGTGGCAACTGATTGTTGTAATTAGGGGCGTAATTAAGATCTGGAGCGTCATATAGTTCAAAACTTTGCGTTTGATGATCATTGTTATTGCTGTTGTCCTGTAGTGACGAGTCTCTGCCTTTGTTGAACACTCTGCATAAGACCCAATCTTCCTGTGTCCACATAGCAACAGAAAACGAGAGGACATTGTTTAGAAAAATATATAAACATATGTTTAAAATATGCATGGGATGTTTACGTTACGTGCGGTCTCGTGCATGCAAATGACCAAACACGCATTAAAGCCAATTTTGTCTCTTTCTTCCATTTTAATTTTTTTTTTTGGATTTTTCTGGACATATTCGTCATTATTTGTTCTCACTACCATTTCACCATGCGTCCCATGCCATGTGACCCATGCATACATATACATAAAGAGTGCATGAGATATACACAATGTGAGGAATGCTAGATTGGACTTGAGAAGTACTAACACTAGTGTGTTTAAAAAATATTGATTATTCCATTTCTTTGAAATTTTGTTTTAAATAAGTAGGAAGTCATCTTCACGTTTGCACCCCCAAAAACAGGAAGTCTATTACTCCCTCCGTTTTTTTTTAATGAATTTTCTAGCCATTATGTGTTGTTTCACAAAGATAAAAATTTTACCTTTTTGATACACTTTTTCAGTTTTCAAGAAACAATGATTATATTTGTTGGATTTTTATTGGTTTAAAATTATAAAAAGTTGTTTTATTGCAGAAATCTATACACTAATGATTGAAAATTAACTTTTTCTTAATCTGTGTGAAAAAATTAGAAAATTTATCTTAAAAAAACGGAGGGAGTATCATTCTTTACATGATACACTAAACTTTTTTAAAAAGAATACTAACTTGAAAAAAAAAATTAAAAGGACGAATAAATCATTTTTTTTGTGGATGAACTTATTATGAATTTATGATTTTTCCACCCAAATAGAAAGAAAAAAATATTTGTTGGCATAAATAACCAATGCCATCAATTCGGTACCGATATCTATGCATGGGACAGACACCCACGAATAGACACATGTCGTGAGTTTTGGTACGTTACTAGTTATGCTTATTAAGACGTGATAATTATGAAGTGATAATTACTAATAATGGTCAGTAGTATGAAAGAGAGAAGGAATTTTGTTGGGGAGTAATCAAGTACCTTAGGTGGCATGTTAGGACACTCAAGACGGAACTCATGCATGATCCAAGTAGTTTTGATACCATTTGGTGCTCTGTTTCTGTAGAACACCAGTGTTTTTCTCATCCCTACCAATTGTCTTGTACGTGGATCCATCACCGTCCGATCTTTCCCTGTTGCTTTCCAGTATCCGCTTATCGTCGCTCTGTTTGTGCGATATCCAGTAGCATATTTTCTATCGCGGAAACTGAAGAAGTACCATTCTTTTGCGTTTAGCTTTGCCACATCTTCACACAACATACAAAATATATAAATCGTTAGTAATATATCATGAAGTGTTTGTTGAGATATATGATCACAGTGTTTAAATTGAAGAATTTGAAAAAATATAAGCGAACTCTAAATATTATATGATTTAAAATATACCGTAAATTACAAAAAGAAACAAAAAACGCAAGGTTTCAGGTTATCAGTCTATCACTTATATTTTTTAGTTTATAATTATACTTTGCTTCATTTTTAACAAAATTAACACATCCACAACAGTCAACCATGCATTATTCAAAACCACATGCATATTGAATATTGTTATCACTAGATCCCATGAACGATTTTCTGAATAGATAGTCTCCATTTCTAAACACTGATGTGTCAAAGGTTTATGTGATGCTATAAGACTTGATGTAGACAAAGGCGGAGGATGTGAGACATTTTAGCAAATAATAATTACGATTTTGACTTCAACGGAGGAAATTATTGCTCTCTCAAACATTCCTCCTATCAGTTTCGCATTTATTTGATCCTTGTAGAAGATGATTAAGAAGATAATGTAATGAGTGTATGACTACTTAAAAAATTTCTATATTTTGCCTTAATTGAGAAGAAAAGTAATAGAATAAATTTTTCTTTTTCCAAAACAAAACATCGTCAACCATATCCTATATAGTCTATATCTATGTATATATTAATATTTCTTGTTTAATTAGAATATATATACATACATATATTCGACTAATTACAGCAAGATCGTGCAGGTCATGAAAGTAATTAAAGGTTTCTTGAGTCTCTAAAGTTGCTTGTCATATGGGGCAAAAAAAAGGTCTTCGTGTTTACACACAAAGCCTACTTTTTTTGTTTATTCTTTAGCACATTTAATTAATGTTCTTTAATGCAACAAATTAACTAATTTGAATTTTATAATCTGCAAGTTATCTTTTTAAAACAAAGTCCCTAAAAGTCAAAACTACGAGGACAACCGAAATTTTTAAAAGTGAAGGAAAAAATGATGACAACAGAATTCTCGGCCCCCTTTGGAAAAAGTTTCCTTGGTTTCTCAAGGTATTAGAAAAAGAACCGCAAAGAATAATGAAAGAAAAACTATAAGCATACAAAGGCGCGCACACACACAAATATATACTGTGAATGTTTTTGTATGTATAGTGTATGCATATATGATATATGATGATGTAAGCACCTATATACATATATATATAGAGAGAGAGAGAAGCACGTATATATGTAAGTATTTGATGTAATATAACTATATAATTCGTTATAAAAATATAATTATTTATTAAAGTTTATAAAATCTGATTTAGGAGAATCTGTAATGACAGCTGTGGTGTTTATACTTTGCCGCTTTTGTATAGCCTCCAGAACATCGAAAACATTTTTTTTTGTTAAAGATAATCTAAAACATTTTATCAGAAACAAAACTAGCATGATCTAATTTATGACACTCCGGAATCCGGATAATGGTTCAAACTATTTCTTAATGCAATTATAATCATACTGAGTAATTAGTTAACCAATCCAATAATCTTAAATTTATGTGAAGAGATCACGCGTTTCACTGAAACATATATATATATATATATATATATATATATATATATATGCATGTATGCATCTATGTGTGTATACTGTATACATGGCAATCGTATCTGACTAATACACATAAGTAATCATCTAATTGCATGTATAATTACTAATTAACAGATGCCGTGAATAAAATCTGATTTCAAGAATCTACTTCGTCTTTATGTTTAACTAAATTCAAGAATCATTTTCTTTAATGAAAAGTTTCAAGAATCTCTACTAAATCAATTTAAAACCCACCAAAAGCCAGGAGTGGGAAGAGCACACACATATGTACATATATATATACACACATATATACAAACAAACTCATAAACACATAATTACCAAAACAAGTACATATATAATTAATTAAAAATCAGAAATAATATGTTACCAGGAAGCTGCCATGGCTCACAAATATGTAAGTCAATCTCCACAAGATCAGTAGAACCCTTCAAAGCTTCATCAACTTCATCATCTTCAAGATCATCGTGATCAGATTTGGCCCTAATCTTGTTGCAAAGATAATGACAAACCAACTCTTCATCACTTGGATGAAACCGAAACCCCGGTGGCAATTTGGATCCAATATCTTTCAAACCCATTATGTGAATAATTCTCTGGCTTAATATGTATATTTAAATGTGAAAACCTTTAGAAGAATAATACCAATATAGGGTATGTAAAGCTTCAAAGAAAAAGCTTAATAGCAAAAGAGGAAGAGGGAGAGGGAGAGGGGGTAAGTGTAGCTACATATATTGGTTTAATTATGTATATATTTATAGTTAGGGGGAATTCGTTTATATGATGTATGGAAATAAAATAATATATAACATGCATGTAGCTAAGGATGGAAGAGGACAAGTTAGAGTTTCTTACAATATTGTAAGATTAATTGGGTCCATGCTTGTGTAATATATGTAGTTAGTTATGGTGGGAAGTTTCAAGAAAAACCAAAGTTACAAGAAATCTTAGTTGTGAGGTGTCTCATGGGACACTATTATCCAATATTCTCTTTTGGTTTCATTGTTATCCACTTAGGGAAAACAAACCAAACTTTTCCCTTCTTTTCTCTTGTTCTAGTAACCGTTTTCATTTAGATAATGTTTATTTGTATGTAAATATTCGGTAAAATCAGTGTATATCATTAGTCTAGATTAAGGCTGTACGTTGACAAAAGAAAAAGATTAGTCTCCACTTTTCGTGTAATAGCATCATATCTCGAAGAAAAAAAGTTTTTGTTGATGTTGTTGTTAAAGAGATGATTTAATTATGTAAAGGTTAATTAGAGTTGATTTCGACTCTTTGGTTTAGTGATTTTCTTATAAGAGGAAAATCCTAAATTGAAACCACTTAGAAGGAAGGTAAATTATTATACTAATGGCTGCCTTCATATCCATGGAAACTCAAACTAGGGTCCAAATCCAAACTTCGTGGAAAATACAAAATAAAATAAAATAAACAGGGTGAGATTTTGTTGCTGCCAACAATTAGTATTAGCAGCCATGGCTTATCTAATTTTATTGTGTTCAATCAATTATTTTTAGCCATATATTAAAAGGAAAATATAATATCGTACTTTAAGCGGTCCTTATGATTCTCTAGCCATATCATATGAACCTAACAAATATGTCAAACAATTTTTTCCGGATTTGATAGCAAAATAAAATAAAATAAAAAGTGGTAGACAAAGCATGATGTAAAGTTGTAAACAAGCATGCAAGAGTATACATGCATAACGCTTACTAAAAGGAAAAATAATTCCGGAACTTAACTTAAAGAGGTTAACATTACCTCATAATGCTTGATTTTTTCTTCTTCTGACATTAGTTTTCTGTTCAAACTTAAACTCCGTGGATTCAGTAATAAATTAGTTTAGAGAAATACTGATTTAACATATCATATAGATTCGACTACGCTGATTCAGTTTGATTAATAAGTTGACATTAATTCTTGCACTATTAATCTACACCTAACATGCTAATGTGGCATATATATGTGACGAGAGGCCAATTTATTTAAAACGTTAGAGACAATATACTTCCAATATGTAAGAATGTATGCGTACCAAAAATCAATCAATAATTACCAGGTCAACTATATATATAATATATATAATTTGTTCGACTACGTTCTGCACATTATATAATGTGTACATTAATATAAGAGTTCAACTGGTATGTACTCGGATAACCGCTATCGTAATTGCTTGTTCAAGTTCTTCAGTGATATTAAGCAAAACCTTTCATTACTACCGCTACCGCCGTACCCGATTACGGATGTCCTCGAACAAACAAAACTTTCAGTTTTATATTTGAGCTGCTTAACAATTGTCGCAAATTGGTTGCAGTTGTACAAAAAGGAGGTTATAAATCTGTCTGAAGTTGTTACTGATTTGTCTACTCGTTATACACATCGTTACACTTTGATTACCGTTGTAAATTAAAATGTGTGATGGACACATAGGTAACTTAATTTTTAATATGCATATGATATGTATACTATATTATTATTATTTTTCTCTGGACCCACTAGTACTACTTTAAAAAAAAAAACTATAACAGAAAAACAGATAAAAGCATAATTTTTAAAGATAGAAACCATTGATGGGAGTAAGGGGTCCATTAATGATGAACATGAAACCGAAGACACAGTGAACTTTGAATAAAACTCATTTGTTGGTATTTCAGAAAATCTTGGATTTATATTCAAAGACTGCCACAATAATTGAGGTGTGGACAAAACCAATTTTTGTCGTTATGTTTCCTATGTTTCTCGTAATTATTGGAAGCTGTATATCTACAAGAAACGACACCAACTGTCCCAAAAGAAAAAAAAGAAGGGAGACACCACATTCTAAACTTCATTTTTCTAGGTGACTTTAATTATAACCTGTAATTTTTTTATATATACTCATTTCCAATTTTTTTCTCAACACTCATCTACATATTGTTCTTAATCATCACATATTAAATTTCAAGAGAATGTCCTCCTTGAGGTTTTGTGTCTATTCCTGATGGGGAAACCTAAAAATGAGCTGTCTCTTTAATAATTATGCTCATGGTGGATCCTATATCACTGTCCCTAAGATAGCTGTGTGTGTAAGGATTCCTCTTGGACATACTTGGCTTAGTGCAAGCTGGATCAATTCCAATCTCAAACCGAATCCCGAATCACGAATCATGGGGACCAAATTTGTATATATATGTTTAGTTTTTAATAGAACAAAAAAAAGTGATAGTCAAGATCAAAAAGGAAAACCGCTTAAAAGATTAGGGATAATGTATGTGTGTGTGTCTTGGTAATAAGATGAAAGGGTTTGGCGTCGATTGTTTGTAAAATGATATCTGAGAATTAGAGAATGCGGTTAGGGTTAATAGATAAAGACATGTATCCACTCATTAGTTATTATTCTAATAACAGCAATTGTTGGCAAAAGAAAGAACAAAAATTGTAAGAAAATTAAAAGTAAAATAATTAAATATACAATTTGAAAACATTGGGGGTACGAACCGACATAGCATGGTGTGGCCATGTAATTGTTTTATTACTACTATGTAAAGATATTACTAGCGAAGATAATTCAAACTAAAATAATTTGGTAACATCATACAAAAATAATAATAACTTGGTATCATGCATTTGGTAATTAACTTGCGATTACATCAAAAGTTTTTTTTTAATGCAACCCTTAATTAGAGGGAGCCGAATGCGGCGGAAAAACTGGTGAGGCGCAGGTTACACGTCCTTCCTTCCATTGCTCAGGAATTACCGATTACGTATAAGAAATTAAGTTAATATTTTTACTAAATAAAATTTTAACTAGTAGCGAGTTTTCATATTCTTTAAAGATTGTGTGCTATGAATCTCTTAGTTCGATTCTCATTTGGAAAGAGGACAATGTTTTTCTTTTTGATAAAGAGACGTATGGGTTTAGTTCTACGATTCTTTTTGATCAACCTGCATTAAATAAAATTTCCATAGGCTAATTACTAGTTGCTGTAGACGGAGAAGATAAATTATTAGTACCGTTATTCTGGCTTTGCCGTTATTTCAATGAAATGTTACACTTTGTTATTCAAAGGCTCCCGCTTCAAAGTATTATAATGTGAAATTATGCTATGTATGTATGTCAAAGTTGTTTTGTACATATAAGAAAATTAAAATTGTACATGTCTGATATTTGTTTTCTTCTCAGATGGAATAGATACCTAACGGCTAACGCTAGGGCAAACAAAAAAAATGAAAATGAGTTTTTCTTTTTATAATCTGTTTCGTTCAATATTGGATTGTTTTCTTATAGAATTGACGTGTAGCATTTTGAAGAGTGAAGTTATGTACCCAAAGTTTTTTTTTTGGTTTTAAATGTAGCCAAAGTTATACGACCACAACTTAGAACTATGGTCGTGTTATCGATAAAAACCTAAAATATATACATGATTAGTTAGCTAAGCAACAAGAATCATAATGAGGGTTATAATGAACAAAAACGTTTTTTGGGTTATTATTTTGTCATAATCGTGAGGTGATTTAGAATCTGAACACCTAACCAATCCTTTTAGGATGCATATACCCGCTGAATAGTCTACTCACCGACTGGCCATATGAGAGTAGTTATATAATTTGACATATGAAGAGAATTGATCCCTAATCTAGACTGACATGACAAGTCATTCTCAAACTGGAACCACTAGCCTACTAAAACTTAGTTAACATTTTGTTAATTTTGAGGATTTGGATAGGAGATTTTAAAAATAATTCATTCATATATATCATTTATATCATTTAGAAGGAACAAAAATAAAAGAAACTAAGCCCACAAACTATGTGTACAGATACACACACAGGTGTATGGGAGATGTATTGTTGAATAAAAGTGATGGGAATAATAAGGGTAAACTCGAGGGGAAGAGTTTATTGCCAAGTCAGGAAGTTTATGTGTGTTTGATTGGAGAAAGAGTGACGGATTTAACATTCTTTGTCGTGATCTAATTATTCGTCTTTCGTATTCCTTAGCAGCCTTCTTCTTCACATATAATATTGTCAAAACTCCATATTTTTGTTGTCTTTTTAGTTTTAATTATTTTATGAAATTTTGGATTATCTCCATTAATTAATCACAACTTACAAAAATCTAATATTTAAGTTTTGTCTTGTAGTTTCTACTCTAAAATGCCAGATAATCATTACGATAGAAGAAAATTTATATAGTATTTAACATTGTAATATCTGTATAGATGATCTGAAAACCTGTTGTGTAATACAGTTGATTGATTACGTTATATGATTTGTATTTATTATAGTTATTTAAATGGTTTTTTTGGATCTTGAGATCCAGAGGGTTACATCTAACTTAGTAAGCAAATCATTTTGCCGACTAATATAGTTAAGAAAAAAAACTGAATGAACAGGTCATGGTTATGTCCTAAACTTTTTGTAAAAAAGAAGCAAGAAATAATATTAACTACAATAAAATTTAAATGGTCGCATACGAAAGTACATGCAAGTGTCAAGGAATGCAAAAACGATAATATATTAGCATTTTTAAAACGCCTAAATCAGAATCGAATAGTATTCATATGCTCTAATCAAATGCACATGGGGT